TCGGAAACGGGAGCGGCGCGGGAGGGGAGGGGGATAGGGGAGGGGAGGGGAGGGGAGGGGCCGCCCGCGTGTGGGGTGCTCGGCAGTGCGCCAGGGGACTTCCCTTCTGACAACAACTTGGCCGGTGCGAGGGCAATTTTTCCCTTCTTCGCTGCGTCTTCCTTCCACTACTGGTGCGGTGGTGTGGTGGCAGTGGTGGGGGCGGGGCATTGACGTCTATGTCATGAGGCGCGCTCTCAAGGTCGTCCGTGGGACGGTCAAGGCCGCCTGTGAATGATCGGGGCAGCAGGGGGTCTGCCTTTACACTTATCCTCTGCCTTTCCAGCGAGCTGATCGTTGCACTTTTTAGAACAATGTCACCAGACAGAAAAAATTGCATATATGTCGACAGTGACCAACGGGAGGGATCTTGGGGTCAAGGCGGAATTTACTCAGCTGAACACTTTTGCGGGCAGTGAAGTGCGATTTCGTGTCGAGATCGACGGAAGACTGATAGTCCTCGCATCAACTTTGTTTTCCGTCGTGCAACTTGACGCGAGATGGAGCGCCTGTGGAGTCGAGGGTAGGCAGTGCCGCCACACTGCGAGGCGCTGCGGGGCGGTGTACCCTCTATTACCATTGCCATTAAGGGCTAGACCGCACAAATGATCGTATGCCATTTCGGGCTCGACGACGGCCCACAATGAGCCAGAAGACAGGTTGTGTCGCGTTTTGAGCTCTCTAGAGTCGCTAAACGGGACTCAAAACTAACTGACCTCACCAATGGATTCCTCGTTCAGAGAGCAATCCATTGGTGAGGTCACACATTCGGCTCGAGAGGCGAGACCCAGCTACTCTGGAGCTCAAAACCAAGGGGTTAACCACTCTGGTGATCGTGTGTACACTTCGTCTAGTAATCATTGGTAATCACACACCAAAACTGGCTAGTTTCGTCGTTTTTATCGGATTTGGGGGGTTTTCTTTACGAAATTAGGCCAAAATGCTTTTAGCTGGTCAAATCACTGGTAATCAGTAATCCTGTGTACACTCCTGAGCTGAGTGGTCAACCCCTCGCTCAAAACGCGTCTTGGCTTCTCCCCACCAGCGGTGTTCTGGCACACTGTGTGACCTCAACCAAGGCCTCAGCCAAGGTAGACCATCCGAAGGTCAAAACTCGTCCAAGGCCTCGACCCAGACCTCGACCTGGAACTGTTACGGGGGGAACTTCAAATCTCGCGCCGCCTCTGTCACCAAGCCGACAGAGATCTCGTCGGCCTGCTCGGCGAGACACCGTTGTGTTGGCATGCCAAACGACTGCGGCTTGAGTGCACCCCACAGTGAGGACGACGACGAACGTCTGACGGACGGACTGTCGGACGGACGGACAGGCAGGGAGACAGACGGTGGTTGTCTTATTGGTGTTACTGGTCGTGCAAGTCGAACGCTCCGCGCGGCCCCGCGGGCAGAGACGATCCGAGGTGCCCTGGACCCTAGGCAGGGAGGGTGGGAGGGGGGAATAGCATGTACGTATCGGTGTACGTAGTGTGTGGGTGAAAGCCCCACGGAGCGGTACAAAGCACTCACTCAGATTCAGCCGCGATACGCCCATCCCCCGCAGTCGCTCTGTCTCTCTCGCACCTCTGCGCAACGCCGAGCGAGTGCGAGGGAGACAGAGCGAGCGCACTGTTCGCACGCTGGCATTCCTCGCGAGCATCCGCGTCCAGTCGTGTGTATGTTAATGCCTTTATAGTGATTGGCGCGGGGTGTACTGCAGTGTGCCGGCGTGTCGTGCAGCACAATGCGTTCCTGGAGAAGGACTCATCATTCCGACGCAGCACAGTGGGCCAGAAGACCGGTGCAGGCGGCCAAACCTCTAAACGCGTTTTTAGCTCCAGAGTCGCTAAATGTGACTCGAACAGAGCGTGACCCCACCAATGGATTGCTCTCCGATCAAGGAATCCATTGGTGGGGTCACACGTTCGGCTCGAGTTCTGTTTAGCGACTCTGGAGCTCAAAACGTGCTGAGAGGTTTCGCCGCTTGCACCGGTCTTCTGGCCCACTGGTCTCCCAACAAAAGAAGTGTATCTTGAACCTGAGGGAAAGATAGATCCTTTTATTTGCCATGGGAGGCGTCGATCGTTGGCCCCTCTGCTCGCCTTGTTTACACACAGGTCTGGGGCGTCGGCCGGTGGCTCTTCTGCTTCTGCAGGCTCTCCAGGCCCGGCAGCGCGTGCGTGGCGCGCTCCGCTCAGCGAGGCGCCGCCATGGCGCCGCCCTCGCCGCCTCAAACAATGGCCAATTTCACGCTCGCCGAACTTGGGCCCGGGCCGGACCGCGGCCTGGAGTCCGACTACGAGTCGGCTTCGTCGCTCTGCCTCTCTCACACCTATAGGGGACGCCGCATGAGTGCGAGAGAGACAGAACGACGAAAACGACTCTCCGAATCAGTCTGCTGTGCACTGCGCGTCTTGTCCTTGCCCTTGTCCGCCCAAACCGCAGCAGCGCGCAGCAGCCACCACCGAGGCATCGGACGGGCCGGGCCCAGACAGATCGAGATAGATCGAGACAACGAGGTGGCGCCTCGGGTGGCCCGCCCGATAGGGAACTTGCACTTTACTTTCCACACCGCAGCCACCCCTGTCGCTCGCTCTCTCCCTCTCTGTCTGTCGCCTGTCTGTCTGTTTGGTCGTTTGTCTGTCTGATTGTCTGTCTCCCTCTCTGTCTGTCGCAAGTCAGTCAGTCAGTCAGTCAGTCAGCCAGTCAGTCAGTCAGTCAGTCAGTCAGTCAGTCAGTCAGTCAGTCAGTCAGTCAGTCACGCCCCCGAATATGAAAGAGAGAGAGAGAGAGAGAGAGAGAGAGAGAGAGAGAGAGAGAGAGAGAGAGAGAGAGAGAGAGAGAGAGATGATAGAGACACCCCCGCTCGACCTCTGGGGACACTGCACTATGAGTGGCCGCCTCCTCGTTGGCCGCAGACCAGAGCAAACTCCCAAACGGGCAGCTGGTGCGGTCAGGCTGGAAACTTCAGTGTGCACCCCTAACGAGATGATCATTGGGGTTGTCTCGATTAGGATCACTGAACCTGTGCCGTTTCCCTGCAGACTGATTCCGAGAGCCGTTTTCGTCGCTCTATGTCTCTCTCGCACCTGCACGGGACGCCCCGTGAGTGCGAGAGAGACAGAGCGACGGAAGCGACTCTCGAAATCAGTCTCCCTGGACTGCGATCAGCCAGTGTTTTCTCCTGCAGCGCCGTCGCACCGCGCACTTCAAGACCCCTCCCTTCCCCGTCGTGCTCCTCGTATTCCTCCGCGAGTGAGCCGTTTTATGTGAACGCAAATTACTACACCTGCGGTTGGCATGTCGCGGCGGTGCGGGCTTTGGGGGCGGGGGAGGGGGAAGCACCCCAAAGGTGAAAGGCGCCCCGCCCGGGTCCGCACACACACACACTCACGGCGCCACCTGATCCACTCGCCAATAATGTGTGCGCCTGATTGCCGAGGAAATGATGCGGCCGAAAGCGAAACTACTCCTGGCGGCACTCGAAGGTGCTCGAGGTGTTCGAGGTGCTCGTCGAGGGCCGCAGCCGCGAAGCAGCGGCCGGGGCAGCCACGGCCATTCGCACCCAAAGTGTGAATCGGTCCAATCCTAGAAAGCCTGACGCTGCGGTTTCGGTTTCGGCCCGTCGGATGATGGCGGCGCGGCGGTCGGCGCGTCGTTTCCAAGACGCCATGCGCCTGCTCAGACTACCGATTCCACGAATCGTTTTCGTCGCTCTGCCTCTCTCGCACCTATACGGGGCGCCCCATTGGTGCGAGAGAGACAGAGCGACGCAAACGACTCTCGGAATGAGGCAGCCGCTCCTCCGCGGTGTCGCGGTGGCATCGGCGACGTGGTCGGCCCCGCGAGTCCCCCGTGGCGGCAGGGCCAAGGCAGGGGCGCAGGAACGCCGGCATCCTCATCGCAGTTAGTTTACAAAGCGGTGCGCCCCCGCCGCGTTATGCCGAGTGAAAGCTTTTAATTGCTCGGGAATTGCATTGCGGGGACGGCGAGGACCGCCCGGCCGGCGACGGACTGGCCTGCCTGGTACTCCTGGTCTACCTGGTCTTCATGGTCGTCCCGAACGTCCTGCTTGATCTGGTCGCCGGTCGCCTTGGTTGCCCTGGTCGTTATGGTCTTCCTGGTCGTCCTGGTCATCCTGATCGTCCAGATCATCCTGATCGTCCAGATCATCCTGATCGTCCAGATCATCCTGATCGTCCAGATCATCCTGATCGACCAGATCATCCTGATCGTCCAGATCATCCTGATCGTCGTGGTCAACCTGCTGAACTTTGTTTCACCGATGCGTGCTTGGGAAGGCGCCAAGTTGTGAGCAACCACGCCACAGTCATGACGCGGCCAACGCCATGGCGCGCCACCCCTCAAGCAGCGCCGCGGCGCTTTCGGCAGTGAGAGTGCTTTGACGGCGTGTGGCCCTGCCTGGGGCCTGGCCCTGCTTCGCCGCCTGGCTGCTTGACCTTGTTGGCCCGGTTTGCGGCCGGACGGACTCGGGGCAGCCACCGCAAGGCGCGGCAAGGCGCGGCAAGGCGTGCCCCCAAACGCCATTGTCGGCGTGCTGCGCGGTGCTGCGCACACTGGGCCAGAAGACCAGTGGAGGCAGCCAAAACTCTTGACGCGTTTTGAGCCGAAGAATCGCTAAACAGGACTCGAACCGATCGTGTGACCCCTCACCTACGGATTGCTCGTTCGGAGAGCAAACCATTGGTGGGGTCACACGTTCGGTTAGAGCCCAGTTTAGCGACTCTGGAGCTAGAAACGCGTCTGGAGTTTTGACCGCCTCCACCGGTCTTCTGGCCCACTGTGCTGCGGTGGCGCCGGCCGGTCGCGTTGCTCTGCACAGTGCACGCACCGGATACCGCATCGGCTGCTGGGCCCTGCCGTTCTCCCCGGCCCGCGTCCTCCAGATCGTGACGAATGAATCAGACGAAACTAGACTTTTTATCAATTTTAATGGGGAGGGGAATTTGGGGAAAGAGGGGGAGGGAGGGGGCACGGACTCACAGACACACGACGCACGGGCACACAGACCCATAAAAATACAAGCGCACGTAGACAAACACACAGAGGTCAGAAGGTGTCCGTGATGATGGCGAGGATGTTGGAGGCCTGCGTCACGTTCCTGAGGCAGGGCGGCGTGAAGGTGGCGTAGCGCAGCGTGTCGCGGATGCTGAAGAAGGTGGCGGCCAGCGTGGCGGCGACGCCGAGCACCACGACGACGGCCGTGAGCAGGTACTCGCACCGCGACAGCGGCCCGGCCTCCAGGCACGCGTCCAGCGACAGGCAGTCCAGGGCCAGCAGGCGGCGCGGCCAGGGCGCGCGGCGCGGACGGCGCTGCAGCACGGCGCTGCGCCGCGTGTGCGACGGCAGCAGGCGGTCGGGGTGCTGCTGCTGCGGGGAAGGGTACCGGTCCGTGGCCAGCAGCGTCATCACGGCCTCCATCTCCTTCTCGGGGCCGCCCAGGACCAGGCCGGGGCCCAGCAGCGCCTGCAACGGGTAGAGTTTCAGTGTCACCGTGACGTGGGGTGACTTCGGCATCCGGGGGTTTCTTGGGTGACTTGGGCATCCCGGTGGTTCTGGGGTGACCTCGGCATCCTGGGATGACTTCGGCATCCTGGGATGAAGCATCCTGGGATGACTTCGGCATCCTGGGATGACTTCGGCATCCTGGGATGACTTCGGCATCCTGGGATGACTTCGGCATCCTGGGATGACTTCGGCATCCTGGGGTAACTTCGACGGGCACTAGGCACTAAAACGCAACTTTACTCGCATAATGATAATTTTCACCTAATATCGCAATCTTCGTGTTCTACAGCAATCCGAAGTATGAGATGAACCAAGTTACGATACTAAAAGGCAGTACCGATCGAAGTTACCCCATTTGCCGAAGTCAATACACCCATTCAGTCATTGGCGAGTGAAGAACGAAAGTAACCAGACGTCAGGATCCAGCAGCGCGCTACCCGGCGGCCGTTTCTGGAAGCTGCACTGTGGGAAAAAATCACAGTAAATCCTGTAGTGATTAAGTACAGCTGTCACTGTAGTTCAGAGTACAGGATTTACTGTACTTTTTTAACAGGATCTTCTGTACTTTGTACGGGATTCACTGTACCATAGGAGAGGAGTACGGAATATCCTGTACCAGGTACAGTAGATACTGTAGCCAGGCACGGTTATTCCTGTGTTCTGAACTACAGTAAATCCCGGCAAAAAAATTAACGGAATTCACTGTGGTTTTTTCGCACAGTGTGTCAAAAGCTCAACCCAACTAGTTCCTGCTTTTTGATTGATTTTGTTCTCGGCGACGGCTGAATGGCTCTGTGGTCTAATCGGTGGTACAAACGCAGAACTCACTCAGCGTGATGCTCGTCGCACTGTGACTTGGGCGGCCAAAACTCTAGAGACGCGTTTTTAGCCAGCTCCAGAGTCGCTAAATGGGACTCAAACCGATCGCATGGCCCCATCAATGGATTGCTTCCCGAACGAAGTCGCGTCCTGCTCAGCGACTCTGCACTCTAAAAACCTTACGAAGTATTTTGAGCATACGTATAACAAACTAAAATACTTTGTTATACGAAGTAGTTCGTAAATTACGAAGTATTTTCTTTGTAAGCTTACGTATGCTCAAAATACTTTTTGACAACTACTTTTCTTTGTAAGGCCCAAAATAGTTTGTAAGGTTTTCTCAGTGTGGAGCTCAAAACGCGTCTCTTTGCCCGCCTGCGCTCCTACCTTGTCGTTCTCGGGCACCCAGGGCAGGGTCGGCGCGGGCGGCGCCGCGGCCGATTCCTTGAGCAGCCTCGCCCTCCACGACATGCGCCTGAGGCGCGCGTAGAACAGCGGCGGCAGGATGAACATGAGGGGGCCGGTGAGGGAGCCGCCGATGAGCCCCATCACCAGGTCGAAGCGCGGCACCGCCTCGCCCAGCAGCACCATCACGGCCACCATGGAGGAGCGCAGCGCGCACCGCCGCCAGCTCATGTCTGAGAGAGTTCGTCAAACAACAACTTGCGGCTGAACAAGGCTCTGTCACTCTCGCACTCCTGCGGATCACCCCGTGAGTGCGAGAGAGACAGAGCGAAGAAAGCGCTTTTCGGATTTAGTCTGCGTCAGGCTGGTTCCGAACACTGCATCCTCGCTCTGTCCCTCTCGCACCCCTGCGCACCGCCCCATGAGTGCGAGAGGGACAGCGCCAGTCTGCTGCTTGTGCTGACGAACAACGCACCCCTGGGGATGTTGAGCTTGTCCTCGATGTCCTGGAACAAGGCCGAGCCCCCCACCACCATGGACAGGCATATCTGCACCGTGACGAGGACCACGTTGGCGTAGAGCGGCGCGCTGGCCGGCAGCCCCTGCAGCAGGTTGGAGCGCACCGTGGCGCCGTACCTCCAGATGGCCAAGCCCGTCGTCACCATGAACAGCAGCCCCGTCACTGGAGAAAATCGTTCACAATCGACCACTGAAATCGTTTACCATCGACGGCCATCGTCATTTTCCCTCATTTTCCCCCATCCGTCGTGAGGGCGCGCAGCCCAAGGGGCCCAAGGGCCGCCGAAACCTTTTCTCCCCGCGTTCGCGTTCCGAAAGGCGGGAAAACTGATGGCGGGGCGTGGCGGGTCGGGGCGCGCCGGCTGGGGCTAGTTTGTCACGGTCCACTCGTCATCAACAGGTGGCACGTGACCGTCATACCTCATGGGAATCCGTGTGTGTGTGTGTGTGTGTGTGCGCGCGCGTGTGGGTGTCTGGGTGTGTCTGTGTGAGAGTGTACCGTTAAACGATATCACGCCGATATCTTATCGTCGGATCGCATCGCCGTACGCGCCGACTCCAGCGAGATGGCGTTTGGCCGCGTCGCGTTTAGGAGGCTGTTCAGAGGCCAACCGACCGGGTGCCGCGCCCCGCACAGTGGGCCAGAAGACCGGTGGAGGCGGTAAAAATCCTGGACGCGTTTTGAGCTGCAGTCACTAAATGGGACTCGAACCGAACGTGTGACCCCACCAATGGATTGCTCTCCGAACGAGGAATCCATTGGTGGGGTCACACGTTTGGTTCGAGGTCGTGTTTAGCCACTCTGGAGCTCAAAACGTGTCTAAAGTTTTGGCCGCCTGCGCCGGTCTTCTGGCCCACTGTGCCCCACCCCGCCAGTGTCCTAGTGGCGGCCCCGGGGCGGCCTCTTCGGCGGCCGTTCGCCTCGTCGGCGGGGTCCTCGCGGTCGCGTGCGTACAGTGTACAATGCATGGAAAGCGACTCGGTGGCGCGGTCGGCGCGCGACCCCGCGTCAAACTTGACCTCCTCGGCCACTGCCACGGCCACGACGGCCATAACGAGGATGCGCGGGCGTGGCCGGCGGGCGTGGCCGGCGCGCGCGGCACCTCGCAGAGTCGTCACTCCGAGCGCCGCTCCGTCTCTCTCGCACTCGCGGGGCGCGCCGTCGGGGTGCGAGAGAGACAGAGCGACGAGGGCGCCTTTCGGCATCGGCCTGGCGGCACACTGTGCGGCACACACCCCGGCGTTGCATTCCGTGGCATCTCCGCGTCGGCGGGCCCACCCAACAAGGCAACACGTTTGGAAAGCCCGTTTAACCACGCGCCTGCCTGCCTGGCTGCCGGTGCGGGGCCGCCGCGCCACCTCGCAGAGTCCACTCCGAGCGTCGCTCAGCTCTCTCGCACTCGTCTGGCCGCCGTCGGGTGCGAGAGAGACAGAGCGACGAGGGCGCCTTTCGGCATCGGCCTGGCGGCACACTGTGCGGCACACGCCCCGGCGTTGCATTCCGTGGCATCCTCCGCGTCGGCCGGCCGACCCAACAAAGGCAACACGTTTGGAAAGCCCGTTTAACCACGCGCCTGCCTGCCTGGCTGCCGGTCTGCCGGGGTCCCCAGGGTCCACCTCAAGGGGGGTCACGGCGGAGCGGAGAAGCAGACCGTCTGGCCGGACCGTCAAGACCGCCAGGACCGCCTCGCTAACTCGTCCTGGAGCCTCCAGACGCGGAGGAGAGGGGATGGGAATCCTGTCCAGCCAGCAGACCGATTCCGAGAGTCGTTTTCGTCGCTGCGTCTCTCTCGCACTCATGAGGCGTCCCGCCTAGGTGCGGGAGAGACTGCGCGACGAAAACGACTCTCGGAATCCGTCTGCAGCATCGGGCCGCGCCAGCGTGCTGGCCGACGCTGGCCACGCAAGACGTCGAAAAGTCTGAATTCCCCGCGAGCATGATGGCAGGCAGAGTCGGCCAGAGTCATCCCATCCATTGGTGTGTGTTTTTTCTTCATTTTGCTTCTTGCTTTTTGTGGCGCCCGGGTAGAAAGTGCGGGGGAATTAGTCCCAATTATGTCCATTCCTCGCTGCTGCTGCGACGTCCCCGCCGCGTCTTCGTCTTCAGCAGACTGAGAGTCGTTTACGTCGCTGCGTCTCTCTCGCACTCGTGGGCGCCGCGTGTGGGTGCGAGGGAAACGTAGCGACGAAAACGACTCTCGGAATCAGTCTGCAGGAAGGAAGGGGTCATCTGGTCGGCACGGCCTCTAATTCTTTTGTTCTCCCGAAAGGCCGACAGGGATTCGTCTTCATCCACCCTTCGCTCCGTCGCGTCGCCTCCGAGTTCGTGCCGCTCATGCCGACCTTTGATTTTCGCCTCTGCTCTGCTTTATATTGTCTGTATTTCTTTGAGTGTGCTTTTTGTGCATTTCGGGTGCACTGTGAGAAAAAAGTACGGAAAAAGTACGGAACATGTCTGGTCAATAATTTGCCTGGACCGTCCGTACTTTGCCAACTACGGAACGTTCCGTACCTTTTTTCCGTACCTCCGTACTATATTTTTCTGTACCATTTCCGTACAAAAGTACGGAATTTTTTACGGTGTGGAAGCAACGCCCCTCTCTGCAGGCTGACAGTCTTTTCGTCGCTCTGCCTCTCTCGCACTCACGGGGCGTCTCGTGTGAGAGAGCGAATCAGCCTGCTGCACTCACCCAGGAAGCTGGTGAGGATCGCTTTGCCGAGCTTGTTCTTGTGCTGCATGTCCATCTGCACGGTGAGGATCATGGGATGCACGTCAAACTGAAAATTAAAAGGAAAGGGAGTGAGAAACGCATTCGAATCGCAGTTTGTTTGTGTTTGCACTGAGAATAAAAGAGTCATGATCGACTAAAATTTTGAGCGAGGAATTCTTTATCGCCCAAATTTGGGTGAGGAACGGTGAGGAAGGTTTCCTCACCCAAATTTGGGTCATAATACTATGGAGCCATATAGGCAACTGATACACCCTTCCTCACCCAATTTTGAGCGAGGAAACAATCCTCGCCCCAATTTGGGTGATAAAGTAAACCTCGCCCAAAATTGGGTATTGATCATGACTTTTTCATTCTCAGTGTATTGTTTTTGTTGTTTTTCTGACCTGGAATGCGATGATGCCGTAGGCCACGGCGAGCGCTTCCCACGACGGCCCGGCCCACGGAGATCTGGCGGTGGCGGACAGAATGGCGTCGTCCTGGACGATGCACGTCCACGTCAGCACCGCCACCGAGCACACCGTGCACACCGAGGTCACGGCCAGCCACCTGCGAGCGGTCACAGTCATTCACGTTGGTTCAAAATCGAATCACATCAATCCCTATTTCGTTCCGGGCGTGGCAGGCATGGCTTGCCAGGTTCCCGCAGCTTGGCCAGATCCACACGAAAATAAAGACTAGTATGTTGTTGGGATCAACTTTGTGAGATAGGCTACCGTAGGCTACACTCGATACTTCAATAAAAAATCCGGTAAACTGGAAGCCACGATGCCGAAAACTAGTACAACGGAAACTAGTCCTACAGTTGCCAACCAGGTGGGTTGAAGGTATCGGATTTTCGACTGCAGCTTTCGAATTTAGCCTGTAGAACGTAGCTGACTCTAAACATAGCATTTTTTTGTTTCGTCCAGAGGACCTGAAGCCCGGTGGAGGCGGCCAAAATTCTAGACGCGTTTTGACGCGTTTTTGAGTTCTAGAGTCGAACGTGTGCCCCCATCGATGTCTCCGAACGGGGAATCCATTGGTGGGGTCACACGTTCGTTTCGAGTCCTGTTTAGCGAGCGACTCCGGAGCTCAAAACGCGTCTGTGGCCGCCTCCAACGGTCTTGACGGTGTCTTACTTCATGTCCTTGGGGCTGCCCAGCCACATGACGGGGCACAGCAGCACGCCCAGCACGACGAGCCAGTAGCAGAACGACACGTCGAAGCGCTGCTCCGACATTTTCAGCCCCAGCAGTTGGATGTTCTGCGACGCTGTCGATTCGCGCCAAGTTCCAGTGAGTCACAGTTTTTGGCGGGAAAGAAGGGGGCGGGACGCACACCGGTAAAACTATCGCGTAGTTGTACGCTCCATTCAAGCATGGAACTGCATGCGATTGAAGACTTTACGCTCGAAGTCAAGCGAGGAGATAAATTTAAGCATGTAGATTGGCGGGAAAGGGGCAGGGCAAAAGGAAGAACTACGCACAGTGAGTGGGCCAGAAGACCGGTGGAGGCGGACAAAACTCTAGATGCGTTTTGAGCTCCAGAGTCGCTAAACTGGACTCGAACCGAACGTGTGACCCCACCAATGGTATTCTCGTTCGGAGAGCAATCCATTGGTGAGGTCACACGTTCGGTTCGAGTCCCATTTAACGATTCAGGAGATCATAACGTGTTTAGAGTTTTGGCTGTCTCCACCGGTCTTCTGGCCCACTGTGCTACACTCAAATCCCAGCGTAGCAGCCACTGCGCTTGAAGGAAGGCGTTAAAGTACGCTGCAGCTCCACAGTGTGCTGCCTGAGGCTGCCTCACAGTGACACGCACCGACCAGCAGGTTGGGCACGCCCGCGCCGAACACCGTCACGTCCAGCAGCACCGTCACGACCTTGCTCATGGTGCTGCCCATGGCCAAGTGCGCTGCAGTTTTACCAGTGTGCTGCCTGAGGCTGCCTCACAGTGACACGCACCGACCAGCAGGTTGGGCACGCCCGCGCCGAACACCGTCACGTCCAGCAGCACCGTCACGACCTTGCTCATGGTGCTGCCCATGGCCAAGTGCGCTGCAGTTTTACCAGTGTGCTGCCTGAGGCTGCCCACAGTGACACGCACCGACCAGCAGGTTGGGCACGCCCGCGCCGAACACCGTCACGTCCAGCAGCACCGTCACGACCTTGCTCATGGTGCTGCCCATGGTCATGTACGCCAGCGCGGCGTACGGGTACCTAGGTTCGACCACCACAACATACAAGAACAACATTCAAACACGCACGTCCAGAAGGCCGTGAGCGGAAAATTCTAGACGTGTTTACCCAGCTCCGAGTCCTATGCAAAAGGGCTTGAATCAAACGTGTGACCCCACCAATGGATTTCTCTCCGAACGAGGAATCCATTGGCGGGGTTACAAGCTCGGTCGAGTCCTGTTTAGCGACTCTAGAGCTTAAAACGCGTCTAGAATTTTTTGTCGCCTCCACCGGTCTTCTGGCCCACTGTGTATTACGAGCGCGATTTCAAGTAAACTGCATGTGCAAACGATGGATGCGTGTTACCTGCTTTTCTCGACGATGGAGGGATCGATGTCCTCGGCCAGGACCCAGCAGCGTCCCAGCAGCAGGGCGGTGTACACTTGCAGGCTGAACACCGCGGCGGCCAGCGGCAAACCCAGCCAACCTAGCGGCATCACAGTGGTACTTAGTAAATCGTAAGCGTTTCGATTGAATCGAAAGAAAAATCGGTTCCAGAACCTCCGTGAAGATGGCCCTACCCACTCTAGCACAGTTCGTAAAACCGAGCTATAAAATCGGTGCTCAAACTGATCCCAAAGTACCAATTTTTTATTATTGAAAAATTTAACTTTTTTTGGTAATTTTGTTGAAAAATCGATTTTTTTTTTAAATTTGAAATGGATGAATCGAAAATTGATTTAGCCCTGGTCTTGCGCACGTGTCTGCCTGCCCGTCGGCTTGGCCGTCGGTGTGACGCAGGAGACTTTCCCACACGTCCCGCTGAACCGCAAAGGCGATTGGCTCCCGACTGAATCGGGGCGGAATACCCGAAAAGCCACGCAGCCCCGCCCAAGGCGAGGCGCCCTCAGACTTCCTCGCACACCTCTTTTTCCATCCCCACATCCATTTCCTCATTGGCACTAAATTGGATCCAAAGCTACGCCAATTCACCGAGAGACTCTCTCGACTTCACAGCTCACTCCAACCATCAGCGGCTCTCGCCGTCCTCTTCCGAATTTTTATGTGGGATTATGACCCCGTTCGTCAGGCCATCAGACTGATTCCGAGCACTGCTCTCGCCGCTCTGTCTCTGTCGCACTCATGGGGCGTCCCGTGGGATGCGAGAGAGACAGCGACGAAAGTAGTGCTCGATATCAACCTTACGGGCTACAAATGGCCTGGTCCTGATCTGGTCGCCAAAAGTGGGGATTCAGTGGCCAACCGCGGACGCGCCTTCAGAATCTGGGCCGTCGTCGGCGTGGACAACGTGGAGGAGGCAGAGACCGGGGTGCCGCTCCCAGCAGACTGATTCGGAGAGTCGTTATCACAGTGCTCTCCTATGACAACCTTGGAATATCTTGATATTTAAGTAGGCTAAGGCATGCAAACTGCTAGAACTTGAAATTTTAAATTTTTTCTACGGTGGCAGGCGTTGAACCTCCGACCTCCCGCGCCATGACTCGTGCTGTACCTCTGCCTTCGTTTGGCCTCATTTCGAAGTCACGTGTTCTATTCTTTACCACGAGGACAAATAAATCAAATAGGTTGGCAGAATTGGCACATATTAGATTGTCAACAAAAGGGAACTGGGGACCGGAAACGCCGAAAGCCGCCAGAGCAGTGGGAGGAACACTTGAACGAGCTGGTCAACGTGCCTGGCCTGGTGGTCCCTAGTGGTCCCGAGCGAACAGGAACGGCAGGAGTCGGATGGGTGGCCTGCCTCCACGGCGCCCTGCGTCCCTACGTCACAGCCCTAGTGCTGCCAGCGAAAGTTCCTAATGTCCATCACGGTTGCCAACCTTAGCCGTCCTACTAGGCAAAATCTTTGCCTGCGCCATCGAGAAGTTGCCTAGTAGGCAGGCTGAGGATGATAGCCCTTTCGACAGTGCTCTTAAAAAATTTGAGTTCTTAATCCGAGAGCACTACTAGTGCATCACTGGAAAATGCTCTGAACTATTCCGAGGGCATCTTTCCATGTGGAACTTGGATTGGGAACTGACTTTTACGGGTTCCAAGAACCCCTATTGTTTTCGGTCTGGAGGTTTCTTCGCTCCCTCCCCCCACCCCAACTTAATTTTCAAAATAAAATCCGCCGAACCATTTCAACGATTCAAAAACCAAAAAAAATCAATTTTTTAAAAAATATCTATCTATGAATTATCCGCATAATCGACTAAAACACAAATTTGCATAATTGGAGGTATAATTTGCCTGCTTTGTTGGCAAAGACGGATCCAGGGGGCGTGCCCCCCCCCCTCCCCACCTGATGGTGGTGGAGCCGCCTGAAAGGTAGGCAAGTAGCCCCACTTAGCCCCAGTAGGTAGACAACTTTTGCGACATCCCCCCCCCCCAGCCCGTCTCTGGATCCGCCCTTTGGCAGCGCCACCTTGACTCGGGCCGACTCACCGCAGTCGATGATGGGCCTGGGCAGGGCCACGATGGGGAAGACGCCGAACAAGTCGATGATGCACAGCGTGGCGAAGAGGAGGCTCAGCCCGCCGCTGCCGGTGGCGCTGCCGGCGACGCCCCCCTCCCCCTTGGCCGGCGACCGTGGCAGTCCCGGCGCGCCCCCGAGCCCCCCGAGCAGGGGTTGCCGCTCGCGGTTCTTGGCCGCGCCGTTGGTGGCGCTCCCCGCGCTCCCCGAGCCGCGAGTCCTGTGAGAGTGGCAGAGAGAGAAACGCTTCTTAAAGATTATGGCCTACTCTGCAAACTCAACAGTGTACTCAGTACACTCTAGTTAGAGTGTGCTCGGATGAGTACACTCCAAGGGGGAAACGACTGAGAAATTTTGTGTACATCGGATAGGGATAACCCCGGATAACCCGCGGATTACCTCCGGATTACATCGAAAAATTTCCAGGATTACCATTGGATTGCGCCGGATTACCCCGGATTACCTTCAAAATTCCCCGGATTACCCCGGATTACCTCAGAAATTCCCCGGATTACCCCGGATTACCTCAGACTTTCCCCGGATTGCTTCGAAATTTCTGGTTATCCGGATAGCGGATAGCCAATTTGCTGTACATCGGATAACCGAAGTCGTTTCCCCCTCGGTACACTCTAACTAGCGTGTACTCAGATGAGAACACACCTAAGCACGCCTGGCAATTTATGCAGCTGAAAGTGTGTACTCATCTGAGTACACGCTAGTTAGAGTGTACTCATCCGAGTACACGCTGAGTGTACTCATGAGCACACTCTAACTAGAGTGTACTGAGAACACTGTTGAGTTTGCAGAGTACGGAGTACCAAACCGAGGGGTGCGTCACTTCGTCCTAGTCTCCAGTCAGTGTACACCCCTGACTCCAGTCACCGCCTCGTCTCAGTCTCTAGTTACTTTAAAAAGCCAGCATAAACGCGTAAATTTGTCCCGTTTGCGGCATTTTTGTAACGCATCTCGTAAGATTAACACTCTAATCAAAGTGTAAATTCAGTCCAGTCACCAGCAGGGTTGTTAACGTTACTTTTTAAAGGTAACGCGTTACCGTTACCGTTACTTCGGGTTTGAGTAACGGTAAAGTCGTTACTTTACCGACTTCTGAAAAAGTAACGCGTTACCGTTACAGGTAACGCAGTAACGCCGTTATCGTTACTTCAAATCCTAAAATTCCTTAAAAGCCACAATTTTAAGGGAGTATGGGGCGATTTGTAACAGATTTTGGAATTCTCTATACAAAATTAAGAACATTCTGCATATCGGTGTCAAACTTGTGCCAGTTGAGCAGTCTGGCCCTTCATCTAGACTGTGCAGCTCCGTTGGATCAATCTGGAGTCCGTAATCTTTGAAATCTAAGACGCTTTCCAAACCCTTGCATGCTGTTACGAATCGCCCCAGCATGGGGTGATTTGTAACAGCCATGGGTCTTTATAACAGCCTACACATTAAATGAAACATCGTCGGGAATGTTATCTCCTCCAGCAGTTGTTCTTCGGATGTCCTACAGACGCCTTAAAATCTACATTACAAGCTGCCCTTGACCGCCTCAGCATAAACTGACCGGCTATGTCAACCCTAACCTCACTTTTTTCAATTTTGGAGGAAATAATAGAATAACTCGCTTTAAAATGCATTTTGAACTGTGTAAATGTATTGGAATAAGGCAGCAGATGATTCGAGAAATAATTCAAGCATTTAATTGCAAAAATTACTTAAATTCTTGTTTTTATACGGGTCTGTTACGAATCACCCCAATTGCCGGCTACGCAAGAAATACGTCCCTAACTATCACTGGACAAAGTAAAAGCACCTTATGCCACGTGGTTACATTGTAAAGGGGTCACGCTTCAAGGCCCCAACAGTACTTCGATGGTGATTCATACCTGGGGAGCCTCAGACAGAAACTTCCTAGAACTCAAAATAAAAGATTTACCTGTTTTTGGTGTACCCTAAATTTCAGACGCCCTCCAAAACTATACCTGAGCACCGATCACATCCGCTTTGATTGTAGAAGGACCCTGTACTTGAAGCGAAAGAGGGGCCATACTCAGATTTTCCTCTGCTCCCTCCACTTAAATTAATAAACGCATTGTGTTACGAATCGCCCCTGTTACAAATCGCCCCATACTCCCTTACCGGTTAAAATTGCTGGGGTGAATTTGGATTATTTTAAAATTAAAGAAAAGACAGTAAAATTTTAATGTTTAACACGTTCTAATGTAAACTTCTGCACCTACTTCTCCCAATATTGCCACTTATTTTAAAATCAAAGTTAAGACAGTAAAATTTAAATGATTAATATGTTTTAATGTAAACTTCTGCACCTACTTCTCCCAATATTGCCAATTCATGGCCGATGGGACCTCTATTTCAAGTCATGCATCGCTCAATCTGTTTCTGAGAGCAACAAATAAGCGTCTACACTCAGAAAAGTGCAAGTGTTAGAAGATTTTTTTCTGAGTGTGGACGCTTAATTGTTGCTCTCAAAAACAGATTGAGCGCCTTGGCAAATGAGCTGACCACAGCAGGGAGAGAAAGGGAGAAAAATATAGGTTTGTAGCTCTTTTTTTGCCTCGCGGTAACGGTAACGCCGTTACCGCGTTACTCCTCTGTGGTAACGTTAACGTCGTTACTTTACTCATTTCTCAAAAAGTAACGCGTTACCGTTATCGTTACAGTAAAGGTAACGCTAACGCTGGTAAAGTCTTTACTCTTTAAAGTAACGTTAACAACCCTGGTCACCAGTCAGTGTACACCATTTTCCAAGTGAGGTACCCTTCCAAGCAAACGCACCAAACGGCTCCACTGTCACGTCGTCTCGTTTGGCGGCTTCAAAGTTTGCGGCACAAAAATGACTGACAACGAGTGGGCTATTGGTCGATCTCCGAACTGCCGACTTAACGCCTACAAGCGCCTGCGAGGTAGGCCGCCGTTCCGGCCTGCAACGCACCGGTGTGGAGACGGTGGCCTACCTCGCCCCTTGTGGTGACAGGCGCAAGGTAGGCCACCGTCTCCACACCGGTGCGTTGCCTATCGATCAGTTGCTTACCTCGCAGGCGTTCCAAGTGACGGGCAGCAGGGCTGCTTCCTGCCGAACCCATCCGAACCTTATTGGCAGCAGAGCAGGGCATATTTGTGAGAACATGCTGCCGAATGCGAAAAGTATCCCCTTCAGTGTTGTAGCTACCACAGGGTGGCTACGGGAGGAAAGCCCGCTCTACAAATCGAAGAGGGTATATTGTATGCTCTAACTGGAGCATGACTGCAAGCATGCCTGCAAGCACGCTCTAGCTAGCGCATGCCTGCCAAGCATGCACTTACTAGTGCATACATGCCATGTACACGCATGCATCTAGTGCATAAGGAATAGGGAGTTGCCTGCCTCAGGAAGCGTGTACATGACATGTATGCACTAGTAAGTGCATGCTTGGCAGGCATGCGCTAGAGCGTGCTTGCAGGCAATGCTCCAGTTAGAGCATACAATGTACGCTCTTCGATTTGTAGAGCGAGGGGGCGGGGATACCATGGTCAACAGTCGCCTGATGGGTCAGCAATTGGCAGTTACTTTCCACTGACTGGCTGGACTATCTTCAAAACGAAGGGGAGCCTTTTGCGATCGGTCGGCGCAACAAAACTTTTGCCGATCCTTGCCGGCCATCGCCGAAACCCTACCACTCGAGATACGCGCCGGCCGCACGAACGTGGTGTCACTTTTCAGTGCCGGTGAGTCAAGCCGCGCGGGTGCCGTCGCCCTCCTCCCCCTCGCACCCCGCCTCGGGTACACTGTCTGTCGAAAATCACGGAGGCACTCCGAGGTGAGGTTGATGTTCTCCGGATTTCCTGATTCCGCTGACCGCGACACTAATGCACACAATCGCGAAACCAAGTGCGCAGAACTCCACACTGCAAAGTGGAGGTGTGGAATTCGCAGTCTCTGGTGAAGTTCTCCCCTTCTGAACCTTGCTTCGAGGAAGAGGCTCTGTGATCCTTACACTTGAACTTTGGAGACTGCAAACTGTACACCTGCAATAGGGGAGAATTTATCCGCATCAGGAAGTATGTGTACTAGTAGTTCTCCACACTCAGTTTGACAGTGCAGTCATAAAAGTCCACGCGTCATCGCTTTCCTAATACGAAAAAACCTCGAAGAAAACTTAGTGAAATCTACGAATGTGTCCGGTCGGTGGATCCAGGGGCGGATCCAGGGGCGGATCCAGGGGCTGACCCTGCGATGCGAACAAGGACAACAACAGCGATTGCGCAACGCGTGGAAGAAGGGAGGAAAGGGAACAAGGAAAAGGAGGGAGCGGGCGAAAGGATCAGTTCTGCTGCCGCACACAATGTGTCACGATGTGTCACCGCGCGGGGCTTACGGTGGGGCGTCCTCGTCACGGGCCTGCACACTGAATGTTTCATGTACTTTATTGTCCATAGCTATGGCCGTTTTTGTGCATACAGAACTTATGTACAAATTTGTTCATAAATTAGGAACAAATATTTCCATATTGTGCTTAAGAATGTAAAACATTGTACCTAATTTATGTACAAATTTGTACATAACTTCAGTATGCACAAATACGGTCATAGTTATGGACATAAAGTCCATAAACATTTAGTGTGTCTGTCTCTCTCGCACCTACACGGGACGTCCAAAGAGTGCGCGAGAGACGAAAACGACTCTCGGAGTCTGCAGCGAGGGGTTACCCACTCGGTACTTGGGCGTACACACGATTCCGGATTCCCGCGATTCCTGAACAAATCTTGCATAAAAGGAGAGGTTTTTGAAGATTTTTCTTAGCTTTTGAGTGTTTTGTGTCTATAACACATCCCTCTCCATTGACACTTTTAAGATTTTGGATAAAATTTTGAGCAAATTACGAACGATTCCCGGACTGAGTGTACACACGATTCCCGGAGTGGGTAACCCCTCGGTCTGCGGCAATTCGATTATCGACGCAGCTCACGAAAACAAAATGCAGCACAGTAAAATAGGCTTTCCTCGCCGACGAAAACGGCCCTCGGAATGTCAGTCTAATTGACTTACCTGAGCGACGCATGTTCGGGCGAGGAGTCCGAGGACATCATCGTGGCGGCCTGGTGTGCATGGTGCCGCGCCGAGGACCGCCAGGCTCACCGCCAGGCCGGCAGGCTACAGCCGCCTCACAGCTTCGCGGGTCTGGGGGCGCACCCCTGAGGCTCTCTGGACGCACCCCGTCTGAGGCCCTTCCGGTGGCGTGGTCCTGCCCCGCGCGCAGTCCCGCCGTGATCCCGGCTGTCTTGGCGAGATCGCGGGGACTGCTGTCGTGATCCGGGTGTGATCCGACCGAGACGCGCCCCTTCGGCCACTCGCACTTGGAGCGCCGCGCCGCGCCCGCAGCCCCGGCCTGTGTGCACAACACTGTCACCATGCTGTCACCCACACTGTCACCCACACCGCCCGGCGGCCATGCTGGCCATGCCCTGCAGCGCCCTGCAGGGTCGGTGGAGGAAGAGGGGGTGCGCGGTCCCACGCACGGCAACGCACAGTGGGCCAGAAGATCGGCGCAGCGGCCACAACTCTAGACGCGTTTTGAGCTCCAGAGTCGCTAAACAGGACTTGAACCGAGCGTGTGACCCCACCAATGGATTCCTCGTTCGGAGAGCAATTCATTGGTGAGGTCACACGAACGTTTCGAGTCCTATTTAGCGACTCTGGAGCTCAAAACGCGTCTCGAGTTTTGGACGCTGCGCCGCCGGTCTTCTGGCCCACTGTGCAACGCACGGCTACTCTCAAGGCAGGCCGAGGACGCCGACGGCGCCAAGGACAAAACGATCCCCATAAGAGTTTTAGCTGCGAAATCTAGAGTGATGGGCTCTGTTTCGTTTCTGGTTGCATGCCTCAGCCCCGCACCGTGAAAGGGATTATGGGGAACGTCGGAAGCGGGGGCTAATTCAGCAGACTGATTCCGAGAGCCGTTTTCGTCGCTCGGTCTCTCTCGGACCTCTAGGGGACGCCCCATGAGTGCGAGAGAGACAGAGCGACGAAAACGGCTCTCGGAGTCTGCAGAAATCGATCAGCGACGCTGACACAAAACGTACGGAAACAATGCAGCACGGTACAGCGGACTTTCCTCGCCTTTGGCCCCGACTCCCTTCCCTTGTCCGATGCTCAGCGCGTGCCGCTTAGCATGGGCCCCGGACAACGTCGCGAAACCCTTCAAGATCAGGTTACGCCGACCCGTCTATAGTGTTGGTGGTATCTCATCGCCGTGTCAGTGTGCGTGTGCCTGGGTGTGTGTGTGGGGGGGGGGGTAGGGCAGCCCGACCGAGCTGCTACCGCTGCTCAAGGCGTGCAAGCACGCTCTGGTCTCATGGTGCAAGGGCATCGGCCTGGGCCGAAACTTCTTGGTTGTTCCGTCCGATTTACACCATCACGTTGAGCGAAATCGCCATTGGCGGAGTAGTTTTCGAACGTGTAGGTTCCTATCATCTTCATCTTGGTCGCACCTCGCCCTCGCACATTCTGCCGCTGCCACCACCGCCACCGCTTCGCTGCGGTCCGGCGCTCGGCCGGCCGGCCACTTTCCCGCTGTGGTTCAAACCGACCGCCACGAGCACCGCCACCGCCTTGCTGCTTTGCTGGGCTCTCCCTCTCACACACACGCGCGCGCACACACACGCACACACGACGCACACACGCACACTGGCAGCTTTGTCTACAACAACAAATGTAAGACACTGACATTTATTGACGTGATTAATACTGTTATCTTGTTATCTATTGGGTCATATCGGTCTGCATGGTTGTGAGCATTACCAGTCATCGTGCGTTTGAAGTGTTACGCGTTTTACGTTCCTCCTTCTCAACTCAAGCAGACGGCAAAGATGATTCATAACCTGATAGTTTGACAGCAACACCCACTTCAGTGGGACGACTGCCATTTCTATTTCAACACGACTTTGTCCTAGGTGAGATCGAATTATGAATTTATTTTGTGATTCATAATGATTTTCATACAATTTACAGTAATTTTAAAATCTAGTTTTGTTGTAGACAACCTATTTTAACTTGACACAATTGTGTTGTGGACAAAGACCACTACACACTGCTCAATTAGTTTTTTTCCGGTGTGTATTCTTAAACTTTTATCATTGTGTTTCAGAGCTGAAACGTCAAAATGTTGGCCCCAGATATTGGCTCTACTAATGCTGATGCAGAGTCTTCAGTTGAATCTGGCACAAACTCGAGATCTCGAGAGAAAGCTCCTCTCTTGTCGAAGCGGCGCTTCTTTAGTGGCCTGCAGAATATGTTTGGTGTGTCAGCAGCAACATCGACTGCCAACAATGCTGGTGAAGGCTATGTGGAGTTTGGAGTCATTAACTCAGATCCCGGTCGGACTTTGGGCACATTTGCTGGAGTATTCAGTCCAGTTGCCCTATCAATGTTTAGTGCTTTACTTTTCTTGCGAGTTGGTTAGTAATTATTGCAGTTTCATAAATAGTTTTTTATTTTCTTACCATCCTTTGACTGCAATTTGCTTTTTCCTTTCAGGCTTTATTGTTGGTAATGCTGGTTTGCTCATGACACTGTTGCAATTTGCAATTGCATACAAGATTCTTGTGTTTACTGTTGCTTCAGTTTGTGCAATTTCCACCAATGGAGCAGTGGAAGGTGGGGGTGCTTACTGTATCCTTTATTGACTTTGACAGCCAAGAATTTTGTTTTTGTGATTTTACTTTAACTCCTTTCATCTGTGATTATTTATTTTGTGCTATGTAAAATTTCCTATTATTGTCATCAGTTATGATTAGTCGCACTTTAGGTCCAGAATTTGGTGGATCCATAGGAACCCTTTTTTTCTTTGCTAATGTTGTAAGCAGTGCTCTCTACATCACTGGTTGTACTGAAGGAATCATGCAGAATTTTGGTCCATCAGGTACACATTAGTAGTTAAATTTAAATTATTTTGATTGTTTGTGAACTAAATCAAGCACTAATCACCTGCTTTTGTGTTCATAGGATACTTTGTGGGAGAAGGTGGTGACCTTTTACCAGATGGTAAATGGTGGAGATTTTTGTATTGCACCATTTTGAACATTCTAAATCTTGGTGTGTGTCTTATTGGTGCAGGCATGTTTGCTAAAACAAGTGCTTTAATCTTAGCTGTTGTTTGTGTTTGTATTTTGTCAACTGTGGTTAGCTTCTTTGTTAAAGACGCAATGCAGGTAGGTAGCAGTTATCTTAAAAGCAAATATAATGTGTTCTTTACTGTTTGTGCAGGTTTATCTCAGTAAATAATTTTCTTTGGAACAGGTTGCCTTGCCAGATTCCAACCATTTGGTTCCTGGTAATACCACCGGCACATTCACAGGCCTCAACTTGAATACTTTGAACAACAACACTTGGCCAAATTATGGGAGAGATTACACCACAAGTGACGGAGTGTTGACCCAATTTGCATCAGTTTTTGGTGTACTATTCAGTGGCGTTACTGGCATAATGGCTGGTGCAAATATGTCAGGTATGACATTTGCCTAATAGCAACACCAAAATTTTACTCAGGGAACTAAGTTTAAAGAGAATTTAATGATAAAATCTTGTATTACAGGAGAACTGAAGGAGCCTGCACGAAGTATTCCTACAGGAACATTGTCTGCTGTTGCTTTCACCTTTGTAGTATACCTCTCTCTTGCTGTGTTAACGGCTGCAAGTTGTGACACCATCTTACTTCAGAACAACTACTTGTTCATGATGCCAATAAACGTTTGGCCCCCTTTTGTGGTCATAGGAATTCTAACGGCAACATTTTCTGCAAGCTTAAGCAATTTGATTGGGTCTAGTCGTGTTTTGGAAGCTCTCGCCAAGGATAATGTGTTTGGTAAGTGTTTTCCATTATCATGTCAAAAGACTTACTCCCTTCAAATTTTTGTGTTTTATCATTTTTATTGTTCTGTGCAGGATCTGTGCTGAAGTTTGTGTCCCGGGGTGTGTGGGGTAACAACCCCATAGTAGCTGTTCTTCTGTCTTGGCTCTTGGTCGAGGGAATTCTACTAATTGGCTCTTTAAACTTGATTGCTCAAATCAACTCAGTCTTGTTTTTATTGTCTTACCTTGCTACAAACATGGCATGCTTAGGTCTTGAACTTGCATCAGCACCCAACTTCAGGTTTGTTTCTTGTTCCAAAAACAAAATGACCAATTTTGAAATTAAGTTTGTAAATAACAATATAATAACATCACTTTTTATTTTAGACCTTCATTCAAGTGGTTCACATGGCATACAGCTTTGATTGGTTTGCTTGGAACTTTAGTGATGATGTTTGTTATCAACCCCATCTACGCATCCTCTAGCATCTTAATGTGTCTCTTGTTGTTCATCATGCTACATTTTTTCTCACCGTCTCGGGATGCTCATTGGGGGTCCATATCCCAAGCTCTTATTTTCCATCAGGTATGGAAAGTGTCCCTAGTTGTTAAGTTGTTTATTTCTTTACTTATTCTATCATTCCTGCTTTTTTTTTTCCTTTTTCATTTATTACAGGTTCGCAAATATTTGCTTATGCTTGATTCTCGAAAGGATCATGTCAAATTCTGGAGACCTCAAATGCTGTTGTTAGTCAACAATCCTCGAGCAGCATGCCCTTTGATTCATTTTATTAACGATCTGAAGAAAGGTGGACTTTATGTACTTGGACATGTGAAAGTTGGAGACTTTTCCACGCTAGACTCTGACCCAACTCTTGAGGAAGTCAGTCACTGGCTGTCTATTGTTGATCACTTAAAGGTGTGGATCATGAATGGGGACTGTTTTAGCACTTAAAGTTTATCATTATTGAAAAATATACAGTTAACTTAAACATTGCTTTTGATCCAAATTTTTACTGGTTTAAAGGTAAAGGCATTCATTGAGCTCACTGTTGCTCCATCTGTTCGAGAAGGACTACAGCACCTCATACGAATATCTGGTATGGGAGCCATGAAACCCAACACCATAGTCTTGGGATTTTATGATGAGCAGGAACCTGTAGACTTCTTCGAAAGGTAAAATGTAGCCCTTGCTCTTTGGGAGAATTTAACAAAGTCTGTATTGTGCTAATGTTTTTATTCGTTTTAAATTATAATACAGAACTCAGTCACGTTACAAAACAAGAGACTTTGATAATGTATCAGTCTCCAGCTCAACAAGTGGCAAATTGTTTGAGTTAAGAACTAGAGAACATGCTCCAAGATTCATCGACCAGCAGCAGTATGTGGGAATGATCAATGATGTACTAAAGCTAAAGAAGAACCTTTGTATTTGTCGCCACTTTCATAAACTTGACAAAATCGCTGTGACGAAGTAAGGCTCCTTCTTTGCTAAAGTAGAATACATGTTTAAATTCTGCCCTTAATTCATCTTGGTTTGGGTTCGGTTTACAGGACAGGACAGTTCAAGCATATTGATGTCTGGCCTATAAATCTCTTTAATCCAGATGATGATGATGCATTTGACACCAGCAGTCTTTTCATGTTACAATTAGCATGCATTCTGAATATGGTTTGTCTCTCCATTATGGTTATCTCTTTACATTCCTTTTTTTTTATCAAAAACTATGTGTACATCTACATGTGTTAATTTAAAGGTTCCTGGATGGAAACATTTGACTCTCCGTGTGTTTCTCCTGGAGAGTGGGAATCAACGTCGAAGGAATGAACATCGTCTTAGGCAGCTGTTACAGCAGCTACGCATTTCTGCCAGCATTTATCAGGTAATTTAGGCCTATAATTTGATTATAAAGTATGTAAATTTTGATCCTTTGAAGTGCTGGTTTTACTAGTAATTTAATTGACTAAAACCGCAATGTTTTCTTTGCAGGTTGATGGCTGGGTAGAAAAGTTGCAGCTACTCCAAAGGAATGGTGGAAGTGTTCTTCCTTCTGCTGTTGACAATTTTTCAACAAAGCAAGAATCGCAGGATTATATCAAAAGGTAAATTTACCTTTGAGCTGAAATTTTGTTTTTGGGCAGTTTTTAATGTGTTAAAAATTTTCTCATGTGTGTTTGTAATTTTTTTCAGTGTTAACGGAATGATCAAACAGAACTCTCTACAGTCTGCTGCCTTGTTCCTGTATCTACCATCACCGCCTGCTGTTGCCCCAGGACATGCAGAGTCCAGTGCATTACAGCAGGAGTATTTGCAACTGTTAACAAAACTTACCAATGATCTGCCTCCTACTGTTTTTGTCTATGGTGTCAGTGCAGTAACGTCCACTACTCTTTAATGTGAATAGGGAATTTATATTGGGGCCGACTTACCATCATCTTTGTAACACTACTGTACTATTATTTTACTGAAACAGAAGCAAACTTGCATATTGAAAAAAAAATCATCTACAGATGGAGCTTGACCAGTTGAAATATGAACATGTACACCCAAGTTGGCTGATAGAAATAATTTTTTAATGAACTGGCATTCCAGAAATCAATGTTAACTAGTCTTGTTTTGACTTTGCTCAAGAGGAACACTTCAAGTAAATCAGAAATTAATATTTACTCAGACTAAAACAGTATTTTCATCTTACTCTTTTGTTGAAGTTCTGCAAGAACGAATGTGTGTTTGGGGTGTAATTTTGTTGTAATCAAAATGTAGCTTAGAAACGTTTTCACTTTTATATTTTATATTTATGACTATGAAAGTTGGAAAGGACAACTAGTTGAATGAGGATTTCATGTACTCGCTATAATTCTTAGACATAGAATAGGAGAAAAAGAGGTGACCAATTGAATGCTTTTAGTTAATTAAATGGTAACTTGATCTTTTTTCTTGAAGTTTTTGGACCTTTGTTCAAAGCCCTGAACTAACTAGTGTTGATTTATTTTTAATGAATCTGCTGCAGCTGTGATCTTCCAATCCTGTGGAATGTTTAAATTTAGAAATATGTGATAAGTTTAAGACTTGAAATAAGCTGAGTATGTTTGATGAGGAAATGATTTAACTTAGCATATTGAGATAAACATGATGTAGTGATATTTGCAACAGTTCTATTCCCCAAAAAGGAATGATGATAAATATATTTTTGACTCATGTTTTGTACAGGGTGATTTATTTCTGTTTTAACTCTGAAATACACAATTGCTCCATAAAAACAAAACAACTAAATATCTAAATCATCATCAGGATCTTCATCATCCCAATCATCAACAGCATCTGGCTGGTAAAACACTTTACCACCGCCATCTTCAATTTCTTGGGGCGTATCACTAGTCCTGCAACAGACAAGCAGATAAAAAATTGTTTTATTTTTCCTTATAAAATTATAATTCAGATTGAAGGGTACAGAATACAATTTTTAGTTACCGCATGTATGGTAGCACCAGCTTGCTTCTGTCTTCTTTTTCCTTGTCACTCAAGCCAACTCGGAAACTGGCCACATCTTGAGGTAGTGTTGATGGCTTTTCCTCAGTATGCCTAATTTCAGTCAATGCTGATGCTCTGAGAGGTTCAATGCTGATTTCTCCCTCTGATAGGATGGCATATTTTTCTTCCTACAAGCACAGATTATGAGCAGGTTTACAACACACTCTTTGACAAAAGAAAACAAATGATGTCAAAGCTAATGTGGAAGCAGATGATTTCTTTATGGATTTTAAAAGATCTTTATTAGCTGTTGAGGAGTGGTCATGATAAATTCATAACTATCAACTTCACAGAAATTTGTGAAATTGCTTTCCACATTTGCAAATACCATTATCTGGAAAAGTCAGTATCAGGGACAACGTAGCATCTGTGGATCGTGGTGTGGGTCATGGATTAGAGTCCAGCAAAGTCAGTCTCACTCACACCTCAATCGCATTAATCAAAAGGCAAGTTTCAGGAAGGACATTTTTGACAAGGATATATCCCAAAGTATCATCTGTTAAAAAGAGTCAGATTCCTAAGCAAGTGTACCTTCTTTTCTATATGACCTCCTGGTTTACGGTGAGTGATGCTGGCTACATGACATTTCAATTCAACCACTGTACTTGCTATGTGTTTCAAATGCAAGATTGATGCTGGTCCAAAGGGAACTAGATTTGCATTGACAAGGCAAAGTAGTTGGTGAACTTTGATACCTGGACAGAATGAATTAATTTAGAGTCTGAAACAAATCATCGGCTTAAATCACGGTATGGCAAAATGAAGGTCATCTCACCATTAATAGAACCAAAGTTCACAATCTTCTGTAAATCTTGAATGCAGGAGCCAAAACCAATAGTAAACAAGGGGTTTGACAGAGAATCAATGACAATATTTATTTCTCTAGTATCTTCTGATATTGAATTATCAATTATACTAAATAAGTGTGATTGGTGACGACCTGTTCAGAAAAAGAGAATTCAATTAACTTGCGAAGCATAGGCCTACACAGTGCTACCTCACTTTGTCTTACCTTGATCGATCCAACCATTAAAATCTGAAAGGCAATCGTGAAGGATAAGCTTCGAAGGAAATTGTTTTTGCAACGTTTCCAAATGTTGAGATGTTTTTCTCTGCCAACATAATACATGAGTGGCCCGTTCAGAGCCTTTAACATACGATTTGATTACAGACAAAAACATGGATGAACTGTCAGAGTCCTCATCAACAAGAGAACTAAACGGGCCATACTGTTTTCCAGGGTAAAGCTCAGGGCCATTATCTAAGAAAATGAGACAAGGTTTTAGTTGACACCATGTTACAAATCTAAAAGTTCATGAAAATAGTGTAAACATAACCAAGGTAAAGCGTGTTCTCACCTACGAAGAGAATTAAGGGGCTCTGCAGTCTACCATCGCTTATACTTCTCAACATGATGATGCTCAACAGAGGCGAAACTTGACAGAGAAAAAGAAACAGTTCATAACGTCAATAAAGAGTTTGATGTAATTGTCTGTCGTATTTTCAGATTATTTTAGCTAGAGACTTTGTTTATGTTTGTTTTGTCTAAGCGCTCGACAGTCAGTTGTTTTGGTTTTGTGGAAATATGTAGGTTCAACAAGCTATGAAAAATTATGCGTTCAGGAAAGACCGGGGGGAGCCCCAAAGAAGGGGGAGGGGAGCGCCCGGAAGGATAGGCAAAATCGAGGGCTAGTGCGCTTCCAAGCAGCGCGGGATGCCTACACTGTGATACACAGGCGTTACAGCAGTCTGATGCAGGGGGTCGTTTCCGTCGCTCTGTCTCTCTCGCACTCATGGGGCGTCCCGTATCGATGCGAGAGAGACAGAGCGACTCTGAATCAGTCAGCAGGTAGGCATAGAGATCAGTATCTCCTTTGCTAATTGCTAATCCAAGTGTGGAACGACCAAAACTCCACGCCTTGAAGGTTCACGTTTTTCCCAAGCTTGCAAGTGTGGGAATCCTAGGACCGGCTCTAGAGTCTAGGCAGAAAGTGTAGGACCTCATGTCTTGTCCTAGGTGGGAATCCTATGCCCACTCCTGGAGGTGCGGGACACGTCAATGGCAGAAAGTGTAGGACTTCAGAGTCTATGCCCTAAACTCTGTGGCAGGGGCGGATCCAGAGACGGGTTCACGGGGAGAAAGATACAGCGAAAGTAGTGTTACTTGCAGGGCCAACGTGCGACTTTTTGCCTACCTTTCAGGCAGCTCCACCGCCCTCAGGGAAGGACCCCCCCATTTCCCCTGAATCAACCCCAGCTCTGGGGCTCCAATGCAGAACCATCCCAGTCAAACAATCTCCTTTCTACTGACACGTCTCCTTTTTTCGCAAACGATAACAGATTACGTCAAAACCAGGCTATGATTTTATGCATCGCTTAACCGCATGGGACAAGGCGCGCCCGAGTCCACTAGGCGTTATGGACTTCCTCACGACGCATCGTCGCCGTTGCATTAATTCATTCAACTTCACGCCGCCTCACGACGAAAAATCGAAGCAAAGAAACCTGGCCGTCAATGGCATCGCCTTTCACACGGGTGGAACTGGATCAAAGTTAAAAAGCAGGACTCACAGACTCACATACACGCACAAAATTGGGGCAGAAAGGTGCGAGCGAGGAGAAAAATGATCTGAGCGACACGGCGAGAATGCTTTACGGCAGGCTCTTGGACCGTGGACCGTGCCGCGGAGCGCGCCGCTCTCGTCGCGCTGTCCCTCTCGCCCTCGTGGAGCGGCCCGAGCTCGAGAGAGACGCCAGACCGATCCCGAGAGTTGTTTTCGTCGCTCTGTCTCTCTCGCACTCACGGGGCGTGCCGTGTAGGTGTGAGAGAGACGGGGCGACGAAAACGACTCTGCAGAGAGACGAGAGCGGTGCTGCAGGCAGACCACGCTGCCGTCACGGTGTCTCGTGGGGGAGAAGTGCAGGCAGTCGCGGACACGCAGCGCACAGTGCAGCGCACAGTGCACCGCCACAGCACCATGCTCCGCCTCTTCGCCGCGGCGCCGGCGCCGGCCGTCGGCCGCCGCACCATGACTATGTGAGCCAAGCCAACTGATTCCGAGCGTCGTTTTCGTCGCTCTGTCTCTCTACCTCACCTACACGGGACGCCCCATGAGTTTGATAGAGACAGTACAACGAAAACGACTCCGGAAGGCACCACCGAGGTCATTCCGAGGGGGAAACGACTTCGGTTATCCGATGTACAGCAAATTGGTTATCCGCTATCCGGATAACCAGAAATTTCGAAGTAATCCGGGGAAATTCTGAGGTAATCCGGGGTAATCCGGGGAATTTCTGAGGTAATCCGGGGTAATCCAGTGGTAATCCTGGAAATTTTTCGATGTAATCCGGAGGTAATCCGCGGGTTATCCGGGGTTATCCCTATCCGATGTACACCAAATTTCTGAGTCGTTTCCCCCTCGGGTCATTCCCTGACCACAGGTTCCCCTTGTTCCAGGCTAGTTCCCAACGCAATGAGAAGGGAACAAATCCAAGCGGTGCGAGACATGAACGCCTACTTCCCCAAAGTGGTGGAGCAGCTGAAAGGGATGGGGGACGCGTGCAACCTGATCGGCGAGTCGGACTGGTTGGAGAAGGTGCGTATACACTGTGTAGTGCGCACGGAGGCTCCACAGAGGACCGTGCAATGCATGGGGAAGTTTTCCTCCTTTTCCTCCGTGCGCTTCAAGAAGGGCCTACCCAAGGAGAACAGGTAGTAAAAATTTGGTCACCACGACATGAAATGCTGTCATTTTGCCATCAAAAATGGACTAAACTTTGACTAAAATCGTTTATTTTGCGGTCATATTGACTTCATTTGGACTTTTTTGTGCTCCCTGGGTAGGACTGAAGTACGCCCTTCTTGAACTGACAGGGCAAAAAAAAAAATCAAGCAGATTTTAAGCGTAAAATTGGGCGAAGTCCGACGAAATGTCTTTTCTTAAGAAATCTGTCCCGAAACATCAAAAGTGGTTGCCCTCTCGTTACAAGCAATGCGTTCACGGGTCCTGGAACTCTTCGGTACAACCTTGAGTCTTGCGTGTGCTCCACGAATGAAGACGAAAGAAAATTAACAACGAGTTGTTGCACTGCAGCTACTGTACTACACCGTGCCCGGCGGCAAGATGGTTCGCGCCGTCACCGTCTACGAAGGCATCATGGTTCTGGGCGGCAGGGACACCCCAGGCCTCAAGGAGAAGGCCATGAACATTGCCTGGAGCATGGAGATGGTAACACCGTCACACCGCCAGCCTGTACACCCTACGTACAGCCAACGCGTACTCTGTGAACTCAACCGTGTACTCAGTACACTCTCTTCAGAATGTACTTGAGTACACTCCCACGAACGTGTACTCAGATGAGGACACACCTTCAGCTGGATACTGTATATATTGCCAGGCGTGCCAATGTGTGTACTTATCTGAGTACACTCTCGTAGGAGTGTACATCAAATATAATGTACTTTTGAGTTCACGCCCTAAAGAGTGTACTGAAAGAGAGTACAAGTTAAGTTTGCAGAGTAGCCTCCATCTGCAGCTAAAATGTTTAAAACATGGCGGCTTGTTTTAGGTGCAAGCGTCTATGCTGATCGCGGACGACATATCGGACGAGTCCTTCAAGAGGCGAGGCAGGGACAGCTGGCACGTGATCGCCGGCAAGGACGCCGTGTTCGACGCCATCCTCGTGTCGACCTGCGCGTACGCCCTGCTGGGCATGCACTGCGACGGAGAGGCATTCCACCGCTCGCTCAGGAACTACAACGAAGTGGGTTTGGTTGGAGTGAAGCAGGGCGTAGTCGCCGAGTCAGTTCGTGGGAGCGCGCGGACGCGTCCGGAACCCAGAGGATTCCGTCGGTAGTCATAGGCCCGTGCTCCTTTACACGCTGCTAGGGCGATGCTGCATGCATCAAAGTCGAAGGAAACAAACGAATGACTACGGGTCTGCCACCTGCCACTCCCTGCAAATGCGAGTGCAAATGTATACAGCCGATGAAAAATGTACTTGATATTTGTCATCAAACTGCGGTCTATCCGCGTTGCGCGCAGATCTTGTTCCAGATCTGCATGGGGCAGAATCAAGATAACCACTGCACAGACCCGCTACAGGGCAAGGCTAAGTTCGACGAGTTCAACATGGACAGGTACACCAGGGTCTGTGAACACAAGAGCGGGGGCTACACTTTTTTCCTGCCCATGAGCACGGCCTTGAATGTGGTAAGGGGATGGATGCTGTAATGGCAAAGGCAGGACGGAGAGAGCATTGTTGTGCGCGTTGGATCAACATTTTGAAACGATCTTCTTTCTAGTGTGGCATTTTTGACGAGGCTGCGCACGACGCTGCGCGGGATATTAGCTCGGACCTCGGTTTGCTGTACCAAGTTCAGGTGGGCCATGCTTCGAGCGCAAGACAGAGCAGGGCCGGGCCGGCCGGGCCATGAGAGAGAGAGAGACAGACAGACGGGCTTTCTGCTCTCATGGCTGGGCTGACAGGTTCGGTTGGGATTAAATTGACAACACTGTCGATCGTTTCTCCTCAGGACGACTATTTGGATACTTACGGTATTATCAGGAAGATGGGAAAGGGGAGAACCGATATTAAAAACGGGAAATGCACGTGGATTATTGTCGAAGCGATTAACCGAGCGAACGACGAGCAGCGGCAGAGGCTGAAGGTATGCAATGCTCATCACCACCATACGCCTCTCAATTCTCTGCTTTCTTTCATAATATTGTCCGTTCTTCCTCTTCTGTTTACGTTTCTCTAGGAAAACTACGGCTACGATGATCCGAAGAAGGTGGACAAAGTATTAGAGGTGTTCACTGAACTGAAAATGAAGGAAGTCTTCCTCCAATGGGAAAAGTCAATGATGGACAAGATTGAGGGTAAAATCCGCAAATATTCGGATTTGGTCAATCCAGAAGTTTTCACACAATCCCTAGAATCTATTAAGTACCACATTAACAGATGAAAATAAAAGTATAAACAATACCAAATATTAAATAACACCATTTTATTAATTACGTCCTCATGAACAACTCAGAGCTAGGTGGTAATTCAAGGGTCGGTAGAATCTGACTATACAAACAAACCTGTCCTCAGACAACAGAAATTTGACCATACCATGAAACAAAACTATCCACAAAAGATTGCTACACTTTTAATTTTAGCTGTGGAAAATTTACTGCTTGTTGCAGCCAAAGAGCTGTTCTTAATAATGCATTTTCATGGAAAACAGGTGCCATTAGTTGTAAACCAAGAGGTAGACCTTCTCTTGACAGGCCAACAGGCACAGTTATTGCAGGAATTCCTAAAACAAACACACAAAACCAGTTATTAAATTTCTGGAACGAATCATGTACCATCAGAGCAGTGTTGTACGTACCGGCCATGTTGGCAGGCTGGGTACAGTAATCCTGAGTGACACATTGTGTCTGATTATCATATTGTTTGAATTCTGATATTTTGGGAGCATGGCTTAAAGTTGTCGGTGTTAGAAGAATGTCAAAATTACTATCCCACAAAGAATCAAAATCATTTTTAATCAAACGGCGTACTTTCAAAGCCTTCACAAAATACTTTTCATAATTCCTGTGTTGAAGAAATATTTAATATAGAGCAAGAAGGCTGAGAACAATTATTCTAGAGAATAGGAAAAATAAATAAAAATATATTACCTCTTTAAGAGAAAATAATTTCCAGATAAGATTCGGCTACGCACAACTTCATTGAAACCTCTGCTTCTAGTTTCTGCATACAATTGCTCTGTAGAAATAGTAACATCACCTCTAATACCAAATCTGAGGCCATCATAGCGAGCCATGTTGGAAGCCACTTCACATTGATTTAATACAGAATAGCATGTTATAGAGTAAGGGGTATGAGGCAAGGACACCTGAAAAGAAAAAGGAAGGGTGATGAAATTATGAATAAATATGTATAAAAGGAGCATTCACATCAAGGATAGAAAATCAGTAAAATTTTTCAGAGCAGAATTTACCTCAGTTACATTTGCACCACATTCTTTGAAGATTGATGCAGTTTTTTTCAGGATATCAACTATTTCCGCATCTATTGCAGTATTCTGATATTCTTTGGGAATGCCAATACGCAATCCTAGGAGATTCACACCTTCGTCTAAAGAAACTTTTTCATATTTCCTCTTTAGAGTGGTAGAATCATTGACATCTGGACCGGCTATTGCATCTATTTAACAATTTTAACATCAATAATCAGTTTTAAGGTACAAAATCTGCAACGTTGTAATGAAAAGACACCTACTCAGAACTAAAGTTACATCCTCCACGGAACGGGCAATAATACCAGGCACATCCATGGAATTAACTAGAGGTATAAGTCCATGTCTTGAAACTAATCCATAAGATGGCTTGAATCCGACAACACCACAGTATGCTGCAGGATTACGTGTGGAGCCGCCAGTGTCAGACCCTAGAGCCCTGCAAGGCAAAGGATTTTCTGCATTGATCCTTTTTAAACTTTTCAAATAAAAGTTCCATTTAAGTGAGAAGAAAAAAAATAAAATGCATACGCAAAGCACGACCCTGATGCTACTGCCACAGCACTTCCACCTGAGCTTCCACCTGCTATACGCCAATCCTCTGGATCAACTTTGGGTTTTGATGAACTCATTTTGTGATTAGGTTTGTATGTCACGTCATAAGGGATGTTTGAGCCCCATATGTTTTTTGTTGGGCCATAAATGGAGTCAACTGTACCAGACCTAATAATACAGAGTAAACAGTAGATGAACACAAGAATTTCTTCTGCTAAAATCTAAAAACTATTGGGAATCACTTACCCCATGGCAAATTCATCCAAATTACATTTTCCAACCATTACAGTTCCTGCATCTCGAAGTCTGGAGACAACAGTAGCATCATACGGTGGAAGAAAATTGGACAGCATATTCGAGCCACATGATGTTAAAATCCCTTGAGTGCAAAAGTTGTCCTTGATAGCAATAGGAATGCCATCCAAGTCACCTCTTGTCATCCCTTGAAAAGATAAAACACAATAATGTTGAACAATCAAATCACCAATTTTTATTTGTTTGCACCAAAACTGTAGGTGGTGCCCAGATAGCAGTGTGTGGCAATAGCACTTCAGTAGCACTTCCGAAAATGGCTACAAAACTACCTCGAACCAACGCTGATTTTAACACTAACATTGCGCTTTAAGCTGGCATCTGCAATCTATAAGAGGCAGTTTTCTAGAAGTGCTATTAAAATGGTCCCATTGCACCACTATGCTTTCTGGGCGTGAAATTATGTTTACCGTTCAAGAATCTCTGGTCGCTCTCCTTTGCCTGTTTGAGGGCTACATCGGATGTCACAGTTATAAATGCATTTAGTGACTTCGTTTTCTCTATCTGCTTTAAACTGGCATCACACAGCTCAGAGGCAGAAATCTTTGAGTTTTTTAGCTGCTTGGCAACCTGAAATGTGGGAGTTGCCAAATTAAGCACGCACGAAAAGAGAGGTTACCTTCTAGTTTTGTGGAGAGAAAATGTGTTATTGAGAGGGTCTCAAGACAGCCTGAAACCGCACCGATTGAATGGAAGTTGACAGCATCTTAAAGAGTATTCGAAATCACTGCCGTTGTTCTGCATTGAAAATAAACGCAGAAAGCATCCGGCGAGACGAGGTCTCATGAGCCGCTATATATCGTCTGCTTGTGTACATCTTTCGCTTTGCTCTTCGACGACCACTTACTAAAGTATGAAAAACTTCAAGTAACGTTCATCCGAATCCGGACCCAGCCTAGAGGCGGGGGCCAGATTTAAACTCCGTGATACTGGGCCGAGTGTCAGACTTTGGTAATGCACCAAGGCGCATTGAAATGCACATAAAAGTCGCATAAAAGATAACACATTTTAGGGGGATTTAATGCGATTGTGCGCATCAAATGCGCATTAATTCGCGTAAATGCACATTAAAGAAACCTAAAATGTGTTACCTTTTAAGTGCATTTCAAGGCGCATCCCCGCTGTAAAAATGCATGCTTGCAAGTACACACTTACAAACGCATGCTTGACGCATGGAGTTATAGTGCGTCAAGCACCCGTTTGTAAGTGTGTACTTGCAAGCATGCATTTGTAAATGTGTACTCAGTAGACAGGTTTGTAGTGTGCGCTTTGATGCACATTGGCGCTATGGGGGATATCCTTAGCGGGGATCTCTAGACTAGCCGAATCAGGCGCGAGAGAGAGATGGCGTTATGCGGAGTTCGTGAGTGCGAGCGAGAGGTCACATCCGAGACGTCCCTCTCTCTTGGCGGCGACAGAAGAACGATACACATGGGTTGTTTTGTCGTGTGGGTTTGGCTTGGCTTTAGCAGCCGCACTCCCCGTCAGCACCACTTTTTATCGCCTCTAGCGCCTGTGAGGTAGGCCAGCGTTTCGACCCGCAACACACCACGATGGCCCGGTGAAGACGACAGTGCGCTCTGCACACTTAATGTTTTTGTACAAATTTCGGAAGAGACATCACAGTTTTTTGTGCACACGAAATTTTCGTACAAATTTGTGCGCAATTTTGCTCAAAAATGGGGGAAAGTGTGCATTTTTTTTTTCGTTAAAAAATTGCACAAAAAGTTCTTTTGCACAAAAATCTGTGATGTCTCGTTCTAAATTGTACGTAAACATTTAGTGTGTGGGGAGAGCCTCTCCTGGAGAGAAACTCTTCTGGAAATAAACTCTTCTTGAAAGAAACTTTCCTGGAGAGAAACTTCCCTGAATCCCCTGGAAAGAAACTTCCCTGGATCCCCTGGAGAGAAACTCTTTTTGGTCTCCCCTACTGGTCGATCGTAGGCAACCCTCTTGCCTGACAGCCCTGAGGAAAGTCGACCATAGGCAACCCAGTTGACACCTGAGTGCACGTTCCCCGAGGAAGGACTGAATCCGAGGGGGAAACGACTGAGAAATTTTGAGTACATCGGATAGGGTTTACCCCGGATAACCCGCGGATTGCCTCCGGATTACATCGAAAAATTTTCTGCCCTGTAAAAAAATCCGTACTTTTGTACGGAAATGGTACAGAAGAATAAAGTTCGGAGGTACGGAGAAAAGTAGGGAACGTTCCGTAGTTGGCAAGTACGGACGGTCCAGGCAAATTATTGACCAGACATGTTCCGTACTTTTTTCTCACAGTGTGGATTACCATTGGATGAGGCCGGATTACCCTGGATTACCTCAGAATTTCCCCGGATTACCTGAGAATTTGCCCGGATTGCCTCAGAATTTGCCTGGATTACCTCAGAATTTCCCCGGATTTCTTCGAAATTTCTGGCTATCCGGAAATCAATTTGCTGTACGCCGGATAATCGAAGTCGTTTCCCCCTCGACTGAATCGGTTCCACTGGTGTCCGCAATTTTATCACTGGCCGAGGAAAATTCTACAGTTTAAACTCATTTTAGGAGTGTTTTCACATATGTCCCCTTGTGAAGATTGGACCCTTCTCGCTCGGGATCACCCCATTACCTCTGACTTCGCTGTTAGTTAATCGGGTGAGCCAGTCTGCTAGCACACCTGTCGGGGTGGCGTCGCGGCAACAACACTCTCAAAAACCACTGCCGCCATATGGCGCCACGAAGGCCTATCGCTCGACAGTCCCACTCCGATAGTCCCGCCCGCGACCCCCTCGACGCCCGTGACTAGTGGCGTAGCCTCTCCGGCCACGGCGGCGGCATGGCGGCGGCGAGCACTGAGGGATGGGGGTGGGGCGGCATTAGGGCGGCATCAAGCACCGAGCGGGCGCACAGTGCAATGGCAACCTCGGCATCATGACCATGCATGGTGAGCGCGCGGTGCCCGTCTCCTCTGGAAACCAACTTCGAGATCCAACTTTGGTATATGCGCATCCGACTGACTTTCGGGATTTTACAGGGTCCGGTTGGCGCTGCGGTGTCCGGCTCTCCCTGGCATGTGCACTGCTAAGCCTTCCTGTTGCCTTCGCACGTAAGATGATTCACTTTATAAAACATGACGAGACGAGCCATTGTGCGTCTCGAATCACCTTTTCCTTGGACGTCCCGAAAGGGTGTTTTGTAAAATCTGAAACCACTACCTAAGTGCGCACTCTCAAGATCCCACTCGGTTTTTTCCTTGGCTTTTTCTTCGTCGTACGCACAAAACTATTAGTGCTAAGGACAGCACAGCGAAGAAGGTAGTAATCTAAGGTGAAGGGGTCTCAGTAACTTTTAACCGCTTTTACGAACGAAAAAATTCTCAGTATTATGACTGCAAGGAAATTGGGAGTGCGCGCTAACGTTTCACTTTTGCAATAAACGCGAATTAACTTTACATCTGCCAAGGGGGCAACCACTTTTTAGTGGGGCACCATGACCATACATATTTGAGTGTTTTTTCTCATTTTTTGGTCCAATAATGATTTATTTTCGTCGAAAATTTGCTTTTTGCTTCAGAAAATGTATAGGGATTGAATAATTGCTGCAGAATAGATAGTCACAAATCGTGAATCACCAGGATTAAGAATGGTTCTGAAACTGAGACTCGAAATGGTAGTTTCTCTAGCACTAAATTGAGCTCCAAACCGCAAAAGTTGGCCGCGAAAGCGATCCGTGGCTACTTTGCACCAAAACGGCTCTGGCATTATGAGAAACAGCATTTATTTAACTTGTTTGCAGTGTAGTAACCGCGATAATTTTCTTAAAATTTACAGAATTGAAATTTGCATACGAATTTCGATTCGTCTTAGCAAGACACACATAAAATGTTAACCCATGTCATAGCTTTGGATGTGAAATTTGAAAGCCTTAGAGCGTTCACTGTTTTAAACCGTCCATTTTAAAGCATCTTAGAACGTTTGAAACTTCGGAGGTTTTTAGAGTGTTTCTTTTTTAGTTAAGTTGACTGGCCTGATGGTAAGGACAGCGATATAAAAAATTTCAATGAGAATACAGGTAGAAAGTACACTTCTTGGGCCAAAGATGGTCATGGTGCCCCACGGGGTGGTCATGGTACCCCATGTGGGGCGATTCTAATTCGATTCGAAAAATAATTTAAGATTCGACACGAATTCGATTCGAAACGAAAATCCTTGATGCGCTATAAGCACCCATAAACAACGACGACGATTCTGTCTGCCGCAGCGCTGGCTCCGAGGCCACGTTCCGATGGCGAACCGACAGTGTTACTGAAGGGCGTGGACTGGACCAGCGTCGAGATCTACTGGATGCGCGAGGAGGTGCTCTACTACACCATCCTGATCCAGGTCTGGGACAACGGCCAGTTTCTCGACGTGTTCAACGATTCGATGGTGTCCTTCTGGAACGAGTTCGACGGCTCCGAGGCCCACGCGGAGGTCAGCGATCTTCTGCCGTGCACCACCTACAGGTTCTCGGTGAAGGCCTTCGACGAGTCGGGGGGCTTGGTGCGGGTGGAGGGCCGACCCATCGACGTCTTCACCTTCGACGGCAGTGATGGTGTGTGCCGCGCTTGCAGTGCAGTGGCAGTGGTGTGCGAAGCGGCCTCTCCAAATCGAATCAAGTGTTGAAAACTTTCTCCGAATCGAACCTAATTGAATCAGGGCACAATTGATGCGATTCGATTACAGTCTAATTGGATGTCTAACTGTGGTGCTCAAAAGGCGGCTTTGGCTGCTTCAAACTAATCCGATTCGGAAATTTTCACACTTTAGTTTCGATTGTCAATAGAATCGAACGTGGCTTTGATTCGATTCGGTTTCAAAGCATCTGCACCACTGCACAACCGAGGGGCAACCACTTGAAATTTTTTTGTATACAGGATTCTTCAAAGATAGGGATTTTGCAAGATTTGGCAGGATTTCACATCAAAAATACGCTAGATTTCGCGAGATTTTGATGGGATTTCACTCAATTTCACCAGATTTTGAAGGGATTTCACGAAATTTCTACCGATTTCGCGCAAGATTTCGGTCAATCAAGGATTTCGCAAGTGGTTGCCCCCCGCACACCACTGCAGTCTCTTGTGTTACTTTGCCGTACCGCATGGTGATTGTCCACAGAGAGTGTGTATGTGACGGCCGTGACCGGCACCCCCGTCAACGAGACGGCCATGAAAGTGACCTGGGTGCCGCCGCCGTGGGACAAGCTGCCGGCCCCGTTCGAGCATTGCGTCCGAGGCTACTCCGTAAGGTCCATCGTGTACGACAATGGCGTGGAGACGGCTTACACCTGGGTGGACGGCGCGCACACCTCGGAGGCCATTATCGCGCGCTACCAGCCCTGCATCACGTACTGGCTGGAGGTGGCACTCACCTTCCCCCGCAACGCCATGGAGCTGGACGGCACCGGGCCGCCGCAGGTGGAGAGAGTCAGCGTCACCATGCCAGGGGACCGTGAGTACCGAGCGACACATCCACGGAAGACTGTACTACCTTCTCCAATACTGTTTAAAAGATCATGACAACAACACAATTACCAATCCCGACGACGCTGTTGTTATAAACAAGTTTTCGTGTTTAACGACGAATTCGTTGCCAATTATTTTTCTGACTTATGCTGTTTTAAAACAATCTTTTGCTGTATACAAACGGCCCGGACTCTACTGTCTGTGACTTAATCGGCAATCAAAATTGATGCTAATTATATGGCTGTCTCCTGGTTTGTAAACATCTTGTCCACGAACAACGTAAGTCATCAGTGAACAACTTACCTCATCTGTAGACAACTTTGGTCATTCAAAAAGTTAGCAACATATTTACTGCTAAATTTTAAAAAAAAAACTTTAACTGTGAAGAAACACGAAACGCTTCCGAAGCAGGCAAAAGGATGTCAACAAGACATCAAAATAACGCTTTATTCACCAAAATGTTGACTAAAATTTGTCAAATTGACGCCTATGATGTCACGGTGAATGTTTCGTGTTCTTGGGCACCGCAGAAGACTGGGACCTTTTTTTGTCGTGGTCTTTGGTGATTCTTTTTTCCTTTTTTTCTTCCTACCCACTCGAACGCTAGAGGTCTGCTGAGGCAAAGCAGCGCTGATGATGATGAGGACGAGGTGGAGCTATCGGAACGCCTGCGTGTGGTCTAGCCCGTAATTGGCTGAGCGATAGCGAAGCCTGTTACTTCAGTGGGGTTGAAAAGTTTTGTCTGTCTGTCTGTCTGTCTGTCTGTCTGTGTGTGTGTCCGCACTACTCCTCTTGAACGGCTCGGCCGATCTCGGTGAGATTTTGCACACTTCTTGGGTATGTCCTTGGCTCAGCACACGCGAAATTTCACCATCCTAGCTCAACTGGTTCAGTTTTTATAGCCGAAAAACACCTAAAAAACTGCGAAAAATAGAGCTTTCTGCAGATAGATCACTTCTGTCTTGGAGAAAGGGGGGTCTGGGGGGCGGAGCCCCCAAGCCTCGACAAGTTAAAAAGTGACAAGGGTCAAGATCGTGTTATCTGTCGATAAAACAACTTTATTTAGAATGTAGGGGGGTCTGGGGGGCTCCGCCCCCCAGCATTCAACAAGTTAAAAAATAACCGACAATGGACAAGCCATTGCCTGCCGCAGGCAGGCTAGCGCCGCAGGCCAAGGTAGGTACGCCAGGCGTGGATTGGAGGAACAGGCAGCGAGACATCGCGAAGCCTGTTACGACAAAACGCGGTCTGGCGTAAACCTACCTTGTTTATTTTACTCACAGTAAAAACGGTTCCTGGTTTTCCCAGGAACTCCCTGGAAATCACCTATGCCTTCACCTGGAGTCCTGGGAAAACCAGGTTCCGTTTTTACCGTGGCTGTCTCCCATAAGACGCGTTGTTGAACCATGATTACACACAGTAGGCCGTCCCTGTTGAGCTCTGTATGGACCGCTACTCTGGAGCTCTAACTCCCGTATCTCTGCACAGTACCGAGCGAGCCGATAAATCTGCAAATAAGGACGAGCCTGCTCTCGTCGGGCGAGGCTAGGATCTGCGCATCTTGGGACCGCCCACTGAAGATGCCGTCGTGCGTGAGCTCCTACGAGGTGACATTGGAGCCCTTGGAAACGTCATGCCAGTGCCAAGACACAACGGACAGCCCGAACGACGACCTGTCTTCCTCGGCCGCCCCCTCTGAGACTCCCCCCGCCCTTCCCACGAAGCTTCCCACGAAGATTCCCACCGCCCTTCCCACGAAGATTCCCACCGCCCTTCCCACGAAGCTTCCCACGAAGCTTCCCACCGCCCTTCCCACGAAGCTTCCCACGAAGATTCCCACCGCCCTTCCCACGAAGCTTCCCACCAAGCATCCGACGAAGCTTCCCACCAAGACTCCCACCGCGCTTCCGACGAAGCTTCCCGTCAGGCTGCCGACCAAACTTTCCACCAAGCTTCCCTCCGAGCTCCCCACCATCACCACCACCAGCAGTGGTGACTACAAAATCTGCAGTTCAATGCTGTCGGGATCAATACGTCAACGCCGGGCCATTGCCGGCGTGCCCATGCTGCGAGGGCCGACGACCGCGGCGGGGCACTGGCCCACGACCAGCAGCTCCAGGATGCCCACCCTGGATCCCTCACCGAGTACCCCTCGTACCCTGGATACCTCGCCTGTCCTGGATACCTCGCCTGCCCTGGATACCTCGCCTGCCCTGGATACCTCGCCTGCCCTGGATACCTCGCCTGTCCTGGATACCTCGCCTGCCCTGGATACCTCGCCTGCCCTGGATACCTCGCCTGTCCTGGATACCTCGCCCACCCCAACCACCCCGCATGCTCCACCTTCCGCGCCTACCTCAACTGCACTGCCCACATCACCTGAGGCACCTAGCCCGCCAACCACGCCCACCCCGCCTATCTTGCCTAACTCGCCCACCCCGCTTACTTCGCTTGCATCAGCCACGACAACCACCGACAGCGACGAGACCTGCGTGCCGATGTGTGGCCCTTGTCATGCAAAAGGTGAGGATACAAAGTGGCGTCGACCAAACAAATTCAGTGTGTCATTTTTTTGTCGTTTTTGTCCCCCGATTTATGCGATTTTAAGCCTTTCCGACTGTGGTACGATTTTCTTCGCGCCTGCTCACACGTTTTGGCCGACGCCTACAGAACACAATTTGTCCCGCCTGGTGGCCACCAAATTATGTCACCATCGAATGTGCTTAGAATTGCATCATTTATGACCAGTGGCGCACCCAGAGGTGGCCTATGGGGGGAGAGGGCAAAGGAGCACTTTCTGCCTACCTTTCAGGCGGCTATCTAGCCCCCCCCCCCTCCCTGTATCCGCGCCTGTTCCTAACACAAAGAGTCGCATGGCATTGTGAGGAGAATTGTTATTTCCTGTCGTTTGTTTTCCACAACTTTAGAAGGCTCGAACAAATCACCATTTTGTCAATTGTTTTCTTTCCAGAATCATGGCGGGTCGACCCCTCTCAGCAGACAGCCCTCCCTCCCATCGAGTAATTGTTTTGAGTTTCTATTTTCAAATTTGCCATCCAGGCGAGCTCCTCTGTGTTTTAATCGAGCTGCTCGTCCGCACAGTTACGGCAGTTTCTGTCCGGCGGTCGAGACGGGCGAGGCTGACGCGGACTACGACGACGGGCCGTGGATCGTGCGGCATGCCACTGAAACCTGCACCGACATGCCGGCACCGATCGGGTACTGGATCCCGACCCAGATCGCGATGACCGTGGTGCCGCGCAACAAGAACGACGACGACGGGCCGCCGGCGCGGCAGACGGCCTGGATAGGTGAGCCACTCCTCGTGTCAATTTTGTCAGAATGACGGATACTCTAGTGCCATGCACACTCTTAACTGAAGAGTGTGCATGGCATGCTCCCCCAGGGAGTATGCCACAAAGCACGCTCCATCCTGGAGTGTGCTTGCAAGCACACTCTACGGAGGAGCATGCTTGCAAGCACACTCTTCCCAGGAGCATGCTTGCAAGCACACTCTACGGAGGAGCATGCTTGGCAAGCACACTCTACGGAGGAGCATGCTTGGCAAGCACACTCCAAGATGAAGGCATGCCTCTTCGTTCATGTGAGCCTTGCAATAGCGACGCAGCACGCTTTATCCTGGAGTGTGCTTGGAAGCATGCTCCTCCGTAGAGCGTGCTTGCCAAGCATGCTCCTTCGTAGAGCGTACTTGCCAAGCATGCTCCTTCGTAGAGCGTGCTTGCCAAGCATGCTCCTTCGTAGAGCGTGCTTGCCAAGCATGCTCCTTCGTAGAGCGTGCTTGCCAAGCATGCTCCTTCGTAGAGCGTGCTTGCCAAGCATGCTCCTTCGTAGAGCGTGCTTGCCAAGCATGCTCCTGGGAAGAGTGTGCTTGCAAGCACACTCCAGTATGGAGCATGCTTTGTGACATACTCCCTGGGGGAGCATGCCATGCACACTCTTCAGTATCTAGAGTACCTGTCGAAATCCTGATCAAAATTCGCGCACCTCTGAAAGCTGAAAACTTTTTCTGACATTCTGTGGAACTCAGGCCGCATCAATGTCAGAATGGGTTTTTAGAATCACAGGTGTAAACCAATTTAGAAATTTTCTGATAAACGCTGGATTTTCTGATAACTTGACAAAAACATCAGATTCCGAGTATTGTCTGATAACATCAATTATTTATCAGAAAGAGGTTATAAGAACTGTTTTTTTAACACTTTCTTAGGTTATCAGAATAGAGACATCAGAAAAAGAGACCATAGGTGTCCGAAAAAACATCAGAAGTCAGACATGAGAAATGTTCTGATATGCAAAAGTATCTGAAAATTTCTGAGTTGATTTGCACCAGTGATCTCAGCTTTCATTCGTGCGCTAAGGGCCAGCCTTGCAGAGTTTTGGTAAACTTGCTACCGGATTTGCAGTGAGTGCATTTACTTTCCTCTTCCAGCCCTTCCCAAACCCGATGCTGGCACCGCGGTCACCGTGCGCAAGCGGCAAGCACTGCTGAACTGGCCGACGCTACCGGTGCCGGCCTGGTGTGAATGTAAAGGAGGGGTTGACCTGGAGGTGGGTAGCAGGCAGGCATTCCGTGCAATCTTTATTGGCTGAGCGATAGCGAAGCCCGTTACTCCTGTGGGGTTAAAAAACATTTTCTGTCTGCGTGCGTGTGTGCGTATGTGTGTGCGTGTGTGTGTGCACTACTCCTCCTGAACGACTCGGCCGATCTGGCTGAGATTTTGCAGGCTTATTAGGTATGTTCTTGGCTCAGCACACGCGAAATTTCACGATCCTAGCTCAAGTCGTTCAGTTTTTATAGCCGAAAAACACCTAAAAACGGCGAAAAATCGAGGTTTCTGCAGGCAGATCTCTCCTGCTTTGATGGAAGGGGGGTCTGGGGGGCGGAGCCCCCCAGCCTCGGCAAGTTAAAAAGTTACAAGGGTCAAGATCGTGTAATTTGTAGATGAAGCAACTCTATCTAGAATGAAGGGGGGCTGGGGGGTGGAGTCCCCCAGTATGCAACAAATTAGAAGTAACCGACGGTGGACAAGCATTGCTTGCAGAAGGCAGGCTAGCGCCGCAGGCCAAGGTAGGTACGCCAGGCGTGGATTGGAGGAACAGGCAGCGAGACATCGCGAAGCCTGTTACGACAAGACGCGGCCTGGCGTAAACCTACCTTGTAGTACAGTGCGATCGAGTTGTGGTTTGGTGCCGTCGCCAGGCCACGGCCCCCTAGAAGGCAGTCTCAAGGCGTCATGTCAGTCGGTCCTAGTTGCTCAGTCTTGTATCTGAGCATTCAGTCAGGTCAGAATGCACGATCTACACTGTCGAATGTCATACGGTGAAAAGCTGCGGCTTCATCACCATATTATGCTGAAGATTTTCTCCATAAAACAAACTAAATTCGTCAAAATATCTATAAGGTACAGCGAAGTCTCATTGGTATGTTTTAAAGTCAGCTGCACCACCATAATAAAGAGAGTTTTCCCCGCAATATAGAGAATCTTCACTCTAAAACTTTTAGAGAGAGTGTATTGGAGCATCATCCCGGTCCAAATTATTACGACAACTCCAAACTAGTGGCATCTCCCAATCCAACAGAGATTTACCATACATGAGTGAAATCCTGCCCCGCTTAGGTTTGGTGCGGTACTCCCCCCTCTCCTGCATCCACAAGCGTCACCGATTTCGTCGCCAGAATCAGACTGCCGCAGAGACAGGACGCCATCAAGACGGCGGTGTTGCTCGACGGACTCACGCCCAACACGTACTATGGCTGCACAGCCAAGTACGTTGGCCGGGACGTCGGCGCCCAGTCGAGCTGCTCGGATTTCACCTTTTTCACGACTACCGCGGAACATGGAGGTAAAAGCTGCAGCAGCGGGCAGAGGTGATGAAACAAAGGCATCAAAACTATGCCCTTACCGAGCGGAAACGTTTTATGCCCGTGGAGTGGCGTGAATAGTTGTATACCCTTAGGGCTGGAATTGAGTACTTCTAGGCCAAAGGTCAATACTCTTTTCACAAGGCATTACCTCATTACGCCATTATGGGGCGTGGAAGGCTCTCTACAAAATATACGGTGTACTTAGTACACATCTATAGGAGTGTACTTGCCAAGTACAGCAGTGTGATTGATAGGAGTGTACTTGGACGAGAAAGCTCCTTTCATCGAGGGGCGAATCACTTAGTGTTCTGACACGTGAATACATGAGTACGGGTGAGTACACCTTTTACTACTCATAGATTTCACCTTTTAAAACGTTTTTTGGCTTTATTTAGCGGTTTATACGATACACAACGCCTAATCGTGTACACTCTGTAAATCCAGAGGTAAGTTTGACTGCCACAAATTGGGCAAGCAGTTTTGAATGCCAAAAATTGGCAACCTTGGCCCGGAAATACTCCCCAGCTTGCCAAAACTTGGCAAACTTGTGGAGATTTCCGACCAAAGCTTGCCAAATTTTGGCATCCAAAACGGCTTGCCAAATTTGTGGCAAGCAAACTTACCACTTGCTTTGCAGTGTAAAGCGAGCTAATTCTTCTTTTTCTAAACTTGTGAGTACACCGAGTTCACTGAGTACAGGCCGATCTGTATTGTACACATGAGTACATTAATGATTCACCCCTCGCCATTCATTTAGTTTATGAGATGAGAGTGTGCTTTCTTAAGGATACATGCACTGAGAATGAATTGGTCACCACCATCACCCTTTAAATGGGTGATGCAACTTCGTTACCCAAAATTTGGTGACGAAAAATTCATCACCCAAAATTTGGTAACAGGCGTTTGGTCGCCCAAATTTGGGTAACGTCGTCGGCGACGCCGTGAGGTTCGCGATGACGTCCTTCAGGGGCCACCACGATGACCGGAGGCCTCAACGCCCCATTGGGTCATCGTGGTGGCCCTGGAAGAGCGTCATCGGGGACCTCACGGCGTCGCTGACGACGTTACCCAAATTTGGGCGACGATTTTATGACTGCCCAAAATTTGGTCACCGCGCGGGCTCGTCACCCAAATTTGGGCAACGGTGCGTGCGTCAAGAACTTATATAGCCCCAATCCGACTGACTGACTGACTGACTGACTGACTGACTGACTGACTGACTGACTGACTGACTGACTGACTCACTCACTCACTCACTCACTCACTCACTCACTCACTCACTCACTCACTCATAGAAATGTTTGGGGGTCAGGGAGTGGTCGTAGAGACTTGCGGTTTTTTCCATTCGATTCCAAATTTTATGAGAAGATCGGGAAAAATCCCGAAAGTTGAAAATTCCTCACCGTTTCCGAGCAAACCTACTCAATCTTGAAAAAAAAGGGGACCAAATTCCTCACCGTTTCCGAGCAAACCTACTCAATCTTCAAAAAAGGGGACCGACCGACTAAAAAATTTTATTCGCCCCATCGGTAGGTCTGGTCGAGACATTTCCGAAACTGTGCCGCAATCGGGACCCCGTCACCGGCAACATCCTCAAAACGATTAAATAGGCCTAAATTCAACAAAATCCACTCAATCTTCAAAAAAGGGGACCGACCGACTGAAAATTTTTATTCGCTCCATCGGTAGGTCTGGTCGAGACATTTTCAAAACTGTGCCGCAATCGGGTCCCGGCCACCGGCAACATCCTCAAAACGATTAAATAGGCCTGTTCAACAAAATGCGGTCAATCTTCGAAAAAAGGGACCGACCGGCTAAAAATTTTTATTCGCCCCATCGGTAGGTCTGGTCGAGACATTTCCGAAACTGTGCCGCAATCGGGTCCCCGTCACCGGCAACATCCTCAAAACCATCCATCAAGAACCTATATAGCCCCCATCCTACTGACTCACTCACTAACTCACTCATTGAAATGAACACAGATCTTATCCTTGTCAAAGCAGTCTTCAATATTTTGCGGACCTTGTATGCACCCATTGACTGCCACCGTAGCCAATGCGATACAAGCTATCTTTTTCGGCACTAAGAGTAGCTTCAACATGTGGTCGAAAGCAGTTAAATCGACCTCCCCAAAAAAGCAGTACATTTACTTCCTTAGAGAATCTGTCTCTGGTCACCACGGACTTACTTTAAATACTTCGGTATGCGCCCCACACATGCGGGGGTCTGGGGGCGGAGCCCCCCGCGAGCGTCGCGAGTTACCCAAATAAAGGGCGATTGTGGTGACTCTTTCATTCTCAGTGTAGTCAAGTGCACTGCTATAGACCGACCCCTCCTAAGAAAGAAAACCATCAACGCCGCGGCGAGTTATAGCATGGTCGTCTAGCGCCCTGACAAAGTAAGGATGGTTTTCTTAGGAAGGCTTGAGAGATGTTATAAGTACACTAGATCTTAATGTCATCCCCTAAAGAGCGTATTTCTTTACGGACTTTACCAGCGAGGGATAGGATGGGGCTGGGGGTAGGTGCCGGCTCCCTTCGGACCCTATAATCTAACTGGAACATGCGTCACAATGCCTCTTTCGTCCCTCAAGGATACATCGGACTGCCAGAAATAGACAACTCCGGAACCGTCTCTTGGGAGGACTCATTCAGTGAATTCGGGACGTCGTACCTGATACATGTCAGGTATACTCCAATTCAAGATAAAAAAAACAACAAAAAACAAAATTAAAACAGAAACTTCACTCCAAATCGAAAGGCGGTAACATTTCCACTCTTCACGGGCGGTAAAGGCCTCTAAAGGCGGTAATTTTGCCAAAGGCGGGCTCCAGGTTTTACCATCTTTGCGGAGGTGGTACAAAAATTACCACCCTTTTCAGACCGTTTGTACCACCCTTCGACAGATTTACCACCTTGTCAACATCGCAACAAGGGCACGAAATTGGCGGTCATATTTTGTACCTCCTCCGGAGAGTGCGGATCGGTGTGGACGCGTTGCGAGGGCACATCATTGACGGTAATATCCTGCACCCAGAAAAAAGGTGTCTTGAATCAAGTCGGGCTGGCCTTGAAACAAGGGTAACTGGGCCTTGATTGCTTCAAGGCCAGAAAAGACTTGAATCAAGTCAGATATTGCCTTGTTTCGTCTTGTCGTGGGTCAAGTCATTTCGGACTTAAAACAAGTCCACGAGAAGCCTGAAACAAGTCATTTTTTGTTGTTTTAGGCACGATGGAGCCTTGATAGCGACACAGTGTTCAAGATTTTTTAGACTTGAAATTTCTCACATCTGTTCTTAGTCTATCATGGCCTTGTTCCGTTAGGGCTTGTTTCAAGAAATTTGACTTGAAGCAGCCAAGGCTATCGTTGACTTGAATATAGAGCCTGCGGTGAAATACGCGTCTGGGATTAATTCCAGACGTTAAGCCCTTAAATACCATCACCCGCTAGATCTTGTCCACACAGTAATTGAAATAGCAGACTCTGAGACGATTCCTTACAGAAAACGACAGGCTGAATTAGATGGTCACCACAGGAACGACTTTGGCGCCTTGTCACCGCCCGACGTGGTTCCGCCAGCTGCCGCAAGAGCGCGCTGCGCGCGTTGTCCTGCCGTCCGCTCGCGGGGCCAGCCCCGGTCGCCAGTTAGGGTAGTTCGGAAGCAGACCCGCGCGTGGGTAGGGTCCGATGGGATCCACTAGCATCGGCCCTGTAGTGACATGATGGTCACGTTTTGGGGGTCGTCAGCAAGAATTTCGGTTCAAGTCTGGCGCGGACTTGTTTTCGACCAGTCTTGAAACAAGATGGAGTGACTTGAATCAAGCCTAAATTTCAAGTCAAAAAAATCAAGTCTTTTACTAAACTTGATTCAAGAAACCATTTTTCTGGGTGTGTACGGCTTTTTGGCCCGCCCTTCTATTCAAAAAATAGGGGGAGGGCCTATGCATTTGCCTTTGTGTCTGTGTGTTGTTGTTGTTGTTGTTGTTGTTGTTGTTGTTGTTGTTGTTGGCGTCTGTGTACAAGGAAGGAGTTGAGCTAGAGTAACCAGATTTGGAGGGTACTTCAGGAGTACCGTCCAAACAAATAATCCGGTGGTGCAAATCCCGTCCGGGTCGCACAAGGGCTGCTGCAGGTGCATCATGGTTTACATGACCGGGAGGGGGATTTCCGCCATTATTGGTGCTAGCAGGGCACATAAGGGTATTTTTGGAATCGGGGCGACGAGACAAGATGAATGGACCTGGTCCCGACCCCATCGGCCGCTTTAACAAGTTGGCCAGATCAGGATCTTCAAAAAAGGGGGTCGACCGACTAAAAAAATTTATTGCAGATTTCGATTGGTCTCAGCAAGACCTTTTCAACGAGGGGTCGGAAAGGGGGTCCAGGAGCCCGACTACGTCTATCAGTCACATCAGGATCTTCAAAAAAGGGGGTCGACCGACTAAAAAAATTTATTGCAGATTTCGATTGGTCTCAGCAAGACCTTTTCAACGAGGGGTCGGAAAGGGGGTCCAGGAGCCCGACTTCGTCTATTAGTCACATCAGGATCTTCAAAAAAGGGGGTCGACCGACTGAAAATTTTTACTTAAGTTTTCGATAGGTCTTGGCAAGACCTCTTCAACGAGGGGTCGGAAGGGGGGTCCAGGAGCCCGCCTTCATGAGTTATGGGAAAAAGTGCGACGGACTCGTTTTGCGCTCCTGCTGTGCCTCTATTGCAAGGAGTTGCAGGAGCATGGCAAATATGGGTATTTTCGGAATGAGGGCGAAGAGACAAATGAAATGGGCATATTCTAAGGACAGTTGGAGTAAAAAGTGTAAGGACTATTGCATATTGTGAATAGAAGGGCGGGCTTAAGTCACGATGGTACATCGATAACTTTGCTTTACCCGCTCACGGTGTGTGTGATGCGAGCGGGCCGAAGGCCCGGGCCTTCGACTGGCCAAGTTGGGTCTGATGCGAGGGCCGAAGGCCCGAGAAAAGGCCGCCGGCAGGCCAAGCTGGGCCGGCCCCCTGTCGAACCGAGTTGCCGGCGCAGCGAAGCGGAGCTGGCAACTCGGTTCGACGGAAGGGCGGGCCCTAGCTTGTTTAAAACCGTCTGTAGGGTTCATTTAGGATGGTACACCCGTCTGTAGGGCACGTAACGGGCAGTAATTTCTGCACCACCTTTGTAAGAACGTGTGCACCGCCTTTCGATTTGGAGTGTTCATTCCCAGCAAATGCAATATCTCGGATCCCCACCCGAAGGTCCGCCCTGAAAAGTGGAACATATTTTCCAGGACCCACCTGGGAATCCCAGAAACTTCTTTTGTCGGTTTTTGTTTTGGACTTTTGATGCGTTACTGAATTGGTTCGTTTCTAGTTACATGCCCTGGAGCGTGACGAGCCCTCCCTCGCGTGACCCGGCCTGCCCGGGTGTGCTCGACGAGTACCTTTTCTTCGCCTCCGCCGGGAACCACTGCTGCGGAGAAATGTACCACTTCCTGCCCGGCGGCTTGAGGTTCATCGTTACGGTCGAGGCGACGACCAGTGGGCAGAAAAGTAGCGGCAAGAATATGTTAACGCCATACAAGGGTGAGTCTGCGATACACAATACGAGAAAAACTGAAGGTTGTGACATTTTGATGCAACTCAATGACGTACGGGGTCAACAGCGTGCAGAGAGAGACGTCTGCACCAACTCCCCGAGTCCAGGGATCAACTCCCGACATTTTATCCCCCCCTGAAATGTAGTGACTATTTACTCCTGTATCCCCAGTTACGTTGGAACCTCTCAGGGCACAGAACAGCTGCATCTAAATGGAGATCAACAACCTTTATTATTATTACTCGCAGTGCAAGAATGCATACGCAAAAGATTGATTCCGAGAGTCGTCTTCGTCGCTCTGTTTCTCTCGCATTCATGGGGCGTCAGGTGCGAGAAAGACTCTCGGGATCAGTCTACAGACAACGGTGGGTTGTCTGAAAGTTTCAAACTGCCTGGTTGTCGTCGGCAGTGCCCAGCCCGATCACTTTCGAGATCGTGGACAAAGACGGTACAGTGCTTTGCGACAACAAGCCCGCCACGGTGTTGACCATCGTGGGGTTCCCGCCTTGCGAGGCCAACGGCGGATCCATCTACCGGTACGAAGTGAGCATGACGATAATCAGCGAGGACGGCGAAGGCCATTACCCCGCCATCACGCAGAGCTACAGCATCCAACCGGTAAGACGAAGGGCCAAGCGAGGAGGGAGGGAGGAGGGAGGAGGGAGGAGGGAGGAGGGAGGAGGGGAGGGGGAGGGAGGAGGGAGGAGGGGGAGGAGGAGGAGGAGGGGAGGGGGGAGGGAGGAGGCAAAGAGCGAAGGGCGAAGAGGGTGGTGGAGGGAGGGCAAAAGGGCGGCGGACAGCCCAAGGTCTTCAGGAATACCTCATCGTACCTTATCCCCGCAATAAGAAAGCTACAAAACATCGCTTTGTATTACGAAGAAAACGAATGCATTGCAAAATCCATGAATAAATGCTTCGCGTTATGAAGGAAATCCTTACGAAGCATTTTTAGCAGATGATACCTTTTCTTAAAAACATACCTTAAACTACAACTACAAGACATATAAAGGTGTCAGCTAGCTTTTACTCCAGAGTCCAAAAACCAAGTGCATATCCCAACAATATAATGGGGGCTGGCTGCCGGGGCGGGATGGTGCGTCTGGCTGGCTGGCTGGCTGTGCCTGCCTGCGCCGCAGCCTGCGCGGAATTCGACAATGGCACCCCCTTCTGGCGCGCGACGGCCGGGCCTGCGCGCAACATTGACAATCCCTCCCCGCTACAGCGCAGATGCACCGCGTGCTCGCAATCCAACGGGCACGGCGCGGCGGCGGTGCAGGCCACGGCACAAAGGACTCAGTTTTTAGCAGATGATACCTTTGCTTTAAAACATACACCTAAAACTATTAAATACTATCTTTGGAATGAGCCCATACTACCCCGTAGAAAAAAAAACAAACGAGTATCATCTGCTTTCATTAACGTTTGTTGAATGAGATTTTTCATAATACGAAGCAATCACTGCGAGAAAAGATCGCGGTAAATCCTGTACTGATTACTCCAGACTTCACCGTACTTTTTTTAACAGGCAATTCCGTCGTTTTTTTACAGGCAATACCGTACTTTTTTATACAGGAAACACCGTACCTTTTTTACAGGGAATCCCGTACTTTTTTACCCGGCAATCCCGTACTTTTAATACCTATCAAAAACTGCTATAATTTTGTTCAGTCGATTGACCCTCTTTTTCCAAGTTCCTGATGTACGCAACTGCTGAAGTCGGACTCCTGGACCCCTCTTCCGACCACTCGTTGGAAAGGTCTTGACGAGACCTATTGAAAGGTGCAATAAAATTTTTCAGTCGGTCGACCCCCTTTTTTCAAGATCCTGATGTGGACACTTCTTGGAAGCGGCCTTTGTTGGGACCAGATCTGGTCCTTCCTACGGCATGGACTGTACGGAAGAACGGTAACTACTGTTAAAAGACTACGGAATATTTTGTAAAACAAGTACGGTAAATACTGTAGACTGTACGGAGGATACTGGTTTTTGAAGTACGGTAAAGTTTGGCAAAAACATTATCCAGGATTTACCGTCATTTTTTCTCAGAGTGATTCTACAATGCCTTTCATTTGCTTCGGGGACGCTGTAAGCACATTTTTTGTAGACTAATCTTTTTAGACAAGACTTGGCTTTTAAGAGTGCACCTGGCAAGGCCGATGGTAGAGTGAAGTGAAAGGGCGTAAGGCAACATTTTGTTTAAAGTATAATTTATTCAAAAGATATGGCGTTGTGAAATTCAGAGCATTCCTGCCCGTTGCAATCCGTTCCAGTACATGTGCCCGGACGGCTGCTTCAAGATCCCCTTCAACGACAGGCGCTTCGACTGGTGCTACTCCATGAACGCCACACTGGAGGTGACCGTTACGGTGACGAACGAGGCCGAGAAGAGCACGTCTGGCAGACAGGAATACCTCACACCGTTTCTCGGTACGATCGGCAGGTGTTGGCTACGCTGTGAAACCAAGTGTGGGGACTCTCTGAAAACCTGACAATCTATTTTGGGACTTACAAAAGAAAGTGAATTGTTATAACAAAGTATTTCGAGCATTCGTAAGCTTACAAATAAAATACTTCGTAATTTACGAACGTATAACAAACTTGATAGTTTGTAGCCTGCTCAAAAGACTTGGTAAGTTTTGCAGCGTGTAGTTCCACACTTGCAGAGGCGTGGACTTTGCAGTCTCTGCAGGGGTGTTTGCAGTCAATACACTTCAAGTGTGGAGTTTGCAGTCGTCTCCTCACTTTCACTTCAAGTGTGGAACTCTCCACCTCTACGTTTGGACCATGACAAAGAGGGTCCTATTATGGGCTTTGTGTCTCTGTACACTTGAAGTGAGGACATTGTAAACTCAACACGTCCAAGTGTGGAAAATTACTGCGCATCTAAAAGGGTGAAGCTTGATTTGGCTGTGAAGTTAATGCGCAAGTGACAAAAACAGCATTTTCATGCCGACGCATCGAGGGTTGAGTTTTTAATGCACTAATGTGCACACATTTTCTTTTTATCAGTGTACTTAAGTGCTTAGAATGTACAAAATAATTCGCAACCAAATGTGGGTGATAAAGGATTACGTTGGTCAAAATTCGAGTCCTGGTTACGACGATTTCATTCTCAGTGCCCTTGCTCGTTTCCTTGCACCAGGCCTGAATGCGAACGACTCCGGCGTGTCCGCGAAGTGTGTGGCGGGCAAGGAGGGGCAGGTGGCCGTCTCCTTCTCCAAGAGCATGTTCCTCTCGTCCTGGAGGAACCCCGACTACTACCGCATCGTCATCACAGAGGGCCAGAGCGAGTTGAGCAAGCGATGCGATATCGACGAGCTGCCCCTGCAGGCCGAGCAGACCAGGGGCGCAGCCATCAGCAGCCTCGAGCGGCCCTTCAGGGCCACTGCCGAGCGCTGGAATCCATTCAAAGGTTGGTGCACTAATAATTTTAGCCACGTGGAACGAGAAATTTGCTACACACCCCAATGGTTTGTTGTTAAGGCTGACAGTTTGCAGAGCGCACTGTAAAACTTTCTTGCCGCTTTATGACACTTCGAGGGGTCCTATTCAAAAGATCTTATCTGGGCGTTTCCCTCAAGAGAATCTTATCTTAAACGCAGGCAAATTTCGCTCAGTTTGATCATTTGATAAGCTACAAATCAATATAATTTCTGATTGTATTCACTGAAATATGAAGATGAAAGATCAAAGAAACCTATAGTGCATGCAGAAATAAATTCCTTTTTCTCTCGTTCCCATCACAAATCGTCAAAGTGAGTGAAATTCGCCAGCGTTTAAGATAAGATTGTCTTGGGGGAACGCCCAGATAAGATCTTTTGAATAGGACCCCTCGACTTGTCGAGGTGCTGGGAAACCATCCTAACTCTCACACAAAACCTATTAGGTTGTTTCGATAGTCTCCCTGCCAGCCCCGGCGAGCTACGGTTTCTCAGCACCCTGGTGAGTTAGGAGGGTCAAGGTCAAACATCTCCTATGGGGCTTGACCAATTCCTGAGATTTTACTGGACACTGACCGATATTCCTGGGAATCCCAGGAGGTGCACCGTGGTTTTCATAGGAGGGGCCCATTTCATTCTGATATTTCCGACTGCAGGTACGAATGCCACCGACGTGACGTTCATCATCGGCGGCAGCGAGAACGCCTGCAACATCAGCGACGACAGCGACGACGCCGCGCTGTTCTGCAACAGGCCCCTGACGCCCGGCAAGGTGTACTCCGTCCACGTGCAGGCCGCCATCGCAGTGCCCAGGATCATCGTGACGGCGCCCCTGGTGGCCGTCACCGTGGGCGGCACTGGAGGGGCAGGCAAGCCCACACTAAGTGTTTACGTACTTTTACTGTCCATGATTGTAGCCGTATTTGTGCACAATGTAAGCCATGTACAATTTGATACATTTATTTAAATTAGGGACAATATTTCCTTATTGTGCTGTGCTTCAGTAGTTAAACCTAAATTGTTGTACATAACTTACACCTGAACCGAGGGGCAAACAACTTGAATTTTGGTGTACATTTTCCTTGAAATAACGTGAAATATCGGTGGAATAACGTGAAATAACGTGAAATATCGGTGGAATAACGTGAAATAACGCTGAAATAACGTTGAAATAACGATGAAATAACAGTGAAGTAACGCGAAATAACGTTGAAATAACATTGAAATAAAGTGAAATAACGTGAGTTTGAAATAACGGTGCACAAATTTTGACGAAGTTGTTTGCCCCTCGACCGGAACAAATACGTCAAACTAGTGTACAAAAAGTCCGTAAGCATTTAGTGTGCCCGCTTCACCAGACACCACCAAGGAGCCTCACTTTTGTTCAGGGGTTTCGTGTAATTAGCACACCGTCCACCGCTTTGTGTTCTCGTGTATAACCATGTATTCCCCGTATTCCCGAGTATAAAGGCTATACTTTGTTACCTGTAATACTTCTGTATTACTGATATCAATCCTGAAATACACGTAATACCATATAATTAGAAGTTGTATTACTTTGCGATACGTGGAATACATGTACTATTCGCAATAGTTCGCCTAAACTTAAACTTAATATAATTTCACCTGAAAAACGCCTATATGTAGGCCTGTAAGCAGGTAGAAAGAATGGCTGAACTCACTGGGAACTCACTACACTACATGACTTTAGTGAGTGGTAAATTAGACAGGCACGCCTCTGACTCTCAGAGAGTGCTGCCACATAGCACGCAAGTAATCTCGATGCATCAGCATCCAAAGGGTTGCCAGCCTTACTGCTCTGGGCAACATCTACTGGTAGTTACTCTCGAGAAGTTGCCCAAAAGATTAGCAACCCTCCTGTCACTGGTGAATCATGGGAATATTAGCAACCCTCCCGGCAATGGTGAATTATGGGAATATTTGGTAACACTGAAGCTCACTTCTTTGATGCATTCTTACTTTGCTGATTCCAGACGACAAGCGCATTTTGATGTACCTTATATACATCGCAGTTCCGCTGGTGATCGTCAACACGGCCCTTTTCGTCAAATACTTGAAAGAGTGGTAAAGGAATTTAAGGCTTCGCCACACAGCGCCCTTCTTGAAGCGTAAAAAATAAATGCACTCCTTTCCTCCAATCAATGGATGGGGGAGTGTACTTGTAGTACGCTTAAGAAGGGTGAAGGTCTTAGCGTCGTTTGTACACTGCTTAAACAAAGACATGAAAATTATGCTGTAACAGGAGGCGAACGATTTACTCACTTGGAACGGTGGAAAACTGTTGATGCCCTTGGAAGGGGTACGGATAAGTTCAAGGACGTAATAATGTAATGCCTATGGAAGGGCATAGAAATTTTGCCATAAATCCCTGGCTTTAAAGGCGTGAAAGACACTGTTATGCCCTTAACGGCGTTGTTTGCATGCCTGTATTACCAGTGCACTGGTAATACGCTAAGCCTAGCTTTCGTTTTACCAGTGCAAGCCTAGCGTCGCCTCTTGCTCCCCTCGCACAATCCTCAACTGCAGACGGATTCCTAAAGACGCTCTGTCTCTCTTGAACACTGAGATTCCAAACGCTATGAGTATAGCACGTGGTGCAATGCACTGAGATATCGCACCACACGTGCAATGGCACAGCCATATTGCACCTTTACGTGCAATGCTTCGCGAAAAGTACCTAAACTAATGCATGGGAGGGGAGGCATTGCACTTCATGTGCAACGCTTTTGCATTGCACCAATTGACGCTACATTCATAGCGTTTGGATTCTCAGTGCAGTCATGGGGCGCTCGGTATAGGCAGAGCAACGAAAAAGACTCGGAATCAAACCGCACGCTTGTCGTCTTTGAGTGCGAACGAGGGGGTATGCACTCGCGTAATAGTCGGTTCACTCTATCTGTAGTAGCACGCGTAATAATACGCGTAGTAGTCGCGTAACAGCAGACATTGTCAAAATTTTATCAATTTTGGGGTGTTTTAGGCCGTTTTTAGCAAAATTCCGATTAATTTGTGGTGTAATAGAGCGGAATAGCGTAATAGTCGGTACACAGGTTCAGAGAGCGCATACCCCCTCGAGTGCGAAGCTGTCTGTCGCTTTTGCAGCCGCCGCTGCAGGCGCCGTGGCGGCGAGCGCAAGCCCAGCATGCGCCGGTCCCTGCACTGCGCGGAACGGGCGGAGCGCCCGGACGGGTCCCTGGGGCACATGAGCAACATGGACCGCGCCTGGGCCGGCGTGCCGGAGCCCATCACGGAGCGCCAGTTCCGCCAGCTCTACGACGACATGGCCCAGGACATCGCCTGTCCCCAGGTACACTTCACGTAAAAAAAGAATTTGTTGTGACAACGAAAATGTATGTTGATTTTGGGATAGCAAAAAAAAAGTTGTTAGACGTACTATAAATTTGTTGTGAGAACGAACACTTTGCTCTCACGACAAATTATTCGTCAGGAGTACAAACATTCATTTTTATTGTGTTTAGTACTCCTGACGATATAGTTCGTTGTCAGAACGAAATGTTCGTTCTGACAACAAATTGGTAGTACGCCCAACAACTTTTTTTAGCTATCCCAAAATCAACATACATTTTCGTTGTCACAACAAATTCTTTTTTTCCGTGATTAGCCAGGCGCGGTGAGGAATCTAGTCGATGGCCGCCCGAAAGGATGCGAAAAACTATATTTTACCGCTGCATGTACTTAAGCAAAAGAAGAAAAACTTTGCCTCTGTACGTTGGCAAACATGCTACTCTGTCCCTGTACGTAGGCAAAAAGCTATACTTTTCCTCCCCTCCCCCGAGCTGCATCTGAATCCGCCACTGCATGAGTGGCCCCTCGCCCACGCTCCCCTCCTTTTGCTTTCGATTTCACTGAGAATGAAAGAATCTCGACCAATACTATAGTTTGGGCGAGGTTCGCTTTATCACCTAAATTTGGGTGAGGTTTATTGTATCGCCTGAATTTTGGCTGATCAGGGTTTCATTACTCAAATTTGGGCGATAAAGGGTGCCTGTTATCTCGAGAAGTTTACACAAACTAAGTATTATCGCCCAAATTCGGGTGGGGAAATCTTCATCACCCTAATTTGAACGATGAATCATCAATTCTCACTCAAATTTGGGTAGTAGATAATTGCTCACCCACGATTTTCGTCTTGGTCATGACTCTTTCATTTTCAGTTCCCCTGTGCAAATAAAAAATAAATGCGGATGTTGCAGCTGCTGAGGCAGTTCGAGGCCCTGTGCGCACTCAGCAGCCAGGTGGCCGCGAGCTTGCCGAGCAGGGTGGGGCACTTGCCCATGAACGCCTCCAAGAACCGATACTCCAACGTCATTCCATGTGAGTTCCTTCACATGCGTCCACATCGCTGCTCTCCCTCCACCTCCGCAGTTTTGAATTATTTTTTCGTTTCCCTGTTTCGGCGCGCGCTACAGTCGACAAGAACAGAGTCCGCTTGCTCGACTGCGGGGAGGATGACGAGGTTTCCAACTACATCAACGCATCTCACATCACGGTGAGTGGGCGGGGCTGATCCGTCTCGGGGGTGATAACGAAGAAGGTGCCGCGATGTCACGTGAATAGGCAAAAAATTCTGACGACGGACCCGTGTTGAAAGGGTAGCCACAGCCTGCCAACAGTATATTTCCTTTACTCTCGAAAAATTGCCTCTCGGTCCGGCAGATTGAGGCTGGCAGCCGAGCTGGCAACCCTACACACCACGAGGGAGCATTTTTTGAAAAGGTGCTGAACAACCAGTTTTGGAGGAAATATCTGCGGATCCTCTAGTGAGGCACTTGATTGACCCTTTTTGGGCAATGGCGTGGCACTAGCACTTGCATCCAAGCCCGGCTGGGGTGTCGGACTCACTTCCAAGTGGATTTTTTTGGATTTTTGCCTTCCTGTGTGATAAAACTATGACCCGCGATCGTTCTGCGGCGTGCAGGGCTTCTCGGGATGGCCGGAGTACATCGCGGCGCAGGGCCCCAAGGATAACACGGCCAAGGACTTCTGGTTCATGGTGTACGAGCAGAACGTGCGCACCGTGGTGATGCTCACCAAGCTGACGGAGGACGGCAAGGTGAGTCGGTGGCGCGGTCTCGGACTGATGCACTGTAAAATTCAATATCTCTCTGGAAAAAATGTCGAAGGAACCTTCGCAAATTCAAAAAGATTCTTGGTAGCTTACGAAATTTCTTTGTCACTTCGCGGTTTCTTCGTAATTTTACAAAGATTCTTCACAAATTAACGATGATTTTGCACAAATTCACGAAGAGTCCGTCGTGAATTACAGAAGGAACCTTCACCAACCTAGGTTGGTACCTCAGCTGAGAACCTTCGTAAATTCACAGTTTACTCCATACAGTGTGGGTGGCGCTCGCACACCTCTCACGTTACTGAAGGGCTCGCTTTCCCTCCGCAGAACAAGTGCCACCAGTACTACCCGGAGCTGGAGGACCGCTACACGTGGGGTGACTTGTCTGTGGCGTGCTGCGTGCAGAACGACCTGCTGTTCTACACGCTCAGGACCATCGTCATGACCAAGGTGGGCGGTACAAACCAAACATCGAGGGGGCAACGACTTCGGTTATCCGGGGAAATTTTGAGGTAATCCAGGAATTTTTTTGTAATCCGGAGGTAATCCGGGTAATCCGTAATCCGGCTGACACGAAAGTCGTTACCTCCTCGCCAAACATCCAAGACAATACGGTAAGAGTGGTGCAGCGAACCCCTTTGGCTCGCTCATTTTTCCAAATTCTTTTAAAAGTCCGTTTCGGCGCGCAATGTGGCATTAGTGTCCCGGTCCACCAGGGTAAGGCATTGCTCTTTGTACGGCCGGTCGGTCGCGTTTTGCATTAGTATTTCCGGTCCCGAAATGGCATGAGACCAATCCTGATCAATCGTGAGTGCCCGCCGGGATAAAGTGTCTCCTTAGTAAGGACGGCCATGCTCGTAGAAATAACTGACAATCTAGTGAAAAATACAAGGTTTGTAGTTATTATTACCAGTGCTCGTTTAACTAGGAGCAGTCTGGTACTTTTAACTAGACTTTTTTTCAATGTGTGGTCTACCTCCCAGGCGCTAGCGTGAGCCGTGTATGGGCGTACGCTGAAGGGCAACACGTGATAGCGCGGTTGGATCCTGTTGATCCTCTGCTGTTGCAGGGCTCGGAGAAGCGGCTGGTCAACCACTTGCACTTCCACGAGTAGCCCCCAAGCACGTGCTGCAGTTGCATCCTGTTGATCATCTGCTGTTGCAGGGCTCGGAGAAGCGGCTGGTCAACCACTTGCACTTCCGCGAGTGGCCCGACTTCGGCTGCCCCGCGTCCTCCAAGCACGTGCTGCAGTTGCATCCTGTTGATCCTCTGCTGTTGCAGGGCTCGGAGAAGCGGCTGGTCAACCACTTGCACTTCCGCGAGTGGCCCGACTTCGGCTGCCCCGCGTCCCCCAAGCACGTGCTGCAGTTCTGCATCACGCTGCGCCGCCAGGCCGTGCTGTTCCCCGGCATGATGGTGGTGCACTGCAGGTACACTGGGTTTTGCATGTGCAGTTGCGCTCTGTTTCCGTAAACTGACGCCGACGTTGTAGTCACACAAGAACGCTACAAACGCGTGGTTTCGCCGTTCAAGTTTGGCAGCCGAGCGATTCCGAAGAGTCTTTCCGTCGCTCCGTCTCTCTCGCACCCCTACAGGACGCTCCATGGGTGCGACAGAGACAGAGCGACGAAATATTTCTTCGGAATCAGTCTGCTGGCACCCGTCGTCGTGCCCGTGCGCACCGCTTGCTGCGTGGCCTGTAGCGCCTGCGAGGTAGGCCACCGTTTTGTCCCGCAACACACCGGTGTGGGGACGGTAGCCTACCCGGCCCCTTGGGACGTCAGGCGCAACGTAGGCCACCGTCTCCACAAGAGTGTGTTGCGGGACAGACGGTGGCCTACCTCGCAGGCGCGCTACAAGCGCACACCGTGCGGAACAGCTGTTATTGAACCTCCTCTTGTTTTCCCGGCAGCGCTGGTGTCGGCAGAACCGGGACCCTCATAGCTTTGGACATTCTGCTGCAGTGCCTGAAGAGCAAGAAGAAAATCGATGTCTTTGGTGTCGTGTTGAATCTGAGAGAACAGCGGCCATTCATGGTGCAGACTCAGGTGAGGGCAGCGCAGGCACAACAACTTCATGAGGAAGGTTAGAAGCTCATCGTTCAGCAGAGAGTTTACCATTTTGTTTATCTGTTGCAGGAGCAATATTGCTTTCTGATCAAATGTCTGAGGGTTGCTTTGGACGACCCAATCATACGTAAATACAAGCCTCCAGCAAAAGGATCGAAGAAGGCTGCAGAGTTGCAGACACTTGCCCTTCAGGTGTTCCAGAAATCAGTTCAGTGCAAGAAGATGCCAATACCATAATGCAATGCACTTTAAAATAAAGGAATTACAAGAGTTACTTATGAACACAGAATTCAAGACACTTCTTTTCATTCCTAACTCTCCAGCCAGTCTCTCACTTCCTCTTTTTTTCCACACAAAAAATGATTTTGGTAATGTCCAATTTGAGCAGAAAGAGTCGTTATTTCATAAATTGACTATTTATTACAAAGATTTATAAATAAAAGAGAAAATTAACAGTTCAGATTTCATTGAGCAATGCAACGTTGGGCTCCTCCTTCTGAGCCTTCAGAACAATTTTCACACTCTTAATCTTCTTTATCTCTTTATAGAGTGAGTCCTGGTTTACTGAAAACAGAAACAGAAGCTTGTTAAATTTTATGCAACTTCGAGAAAAAAATAAAATTGTTCACATGTTTGTAATACTTGTGGAGTTAAAATTCTCAGGGACACTTACTCAATGGGTCGTATCTGATGAATTCCATTTTATCTGCAGTTCGCTCTCTAAGAAGATTGATTCTATGACCAGTTGCTACACTTTCACACATGACCATAACATGCCTGTAATAAAAATATTGAGACAATGTGGGCCAAGGCAGGCAAATTGACAATGTCGAGGAATGAATTGCAGCAAACTTACTTGGTTTTGACTTTTGCTCTTAATAGAGTAGTAAGAAGCATTTTGGCTGGAAAAAAAAGAGAAATATCTGTCAGAAATGCTGAAGAAAAATGAAACCAAAAATAAAACCTCATAGAGGAACAGACGAAGTATCAACAACAAATATCTATTTCAAAGGGAGAAAGGTTATGATCCCGGTAGGTTTACTAAAAGTCGAGGTTAGATTAAAATGTTAATGACATGAAGAATGTCACTGAATTATAAATGCATGAATGATTACCTTTTTTCACGAATTAGCGTCTCAGAATTGCCACAAGACCCCAACAATTTTGCTGAAACGATAAACGATAGTTACTTCGAACCCAATCATAGCAAGCAGTAGCAGACGGCAAAACAAGGGGCCTTTTCAAAATCCAATATTACCAGACAATGCACCACCAGCCAAAGAAAGTTAGTGTTTTCGCACTGCAAAAACAAATATCATCATTCGAAGCCGTTTTCGAATCCAAGCATTAAACAATCTAGAGTAAATTTAAACCGAAATAACTACTTCAAATATCCCCCTAGCCACTAGGCGTGCTGTACTGCGAATAAGTGATACTTCATGCTACTGCCAATAGTTGCCCTACTGCTACCGTAGAGAATTGCAAAACCAGCAAAACAGAAAGCATATTTAAGTGTTTCTCATTTTGATGGTCTTCAAATGTAGGCCTGAGATGAGATATGTCCAGCCCAGCTACTCCTTGGATCGATAGAACGTAACGTTGACACTCCAAGCTAAAACTAGTGGCCATTGGGCTCTAGGAATATGTGGCACATCCCTCAAGACAGAAGTTCCTGGATTGTGAATGTCAAATAGTATTCACTGTCTGTGCTCAACGCTACACCATGTTTACGAAGAAAGTCCACGCCGATGTAAAGAAGTCGACTCTCAAGGTCCAAGACTTGAAGAAAGATTCAACCACTCGTTTAAAGCACCTGAAAATTGTGCTAGGTAGGTTATGTTTACATTGTCTCCCTGTTGTGGGTGTAACTGTGCTCCTCCATTCAAAACTTTGACAAGTGGCCGTGTTTGGATTATGCTCTCCCCTTCAACTCCCATGCTTTCCATGAAAAGGTCGTGGTCGCTTATTTGCGTTTGCACATCCCTTTTATTTACGTTAAACTTTGGTGCAAGTGCAAACTCCTCTGCTCTATCTATTAGTTCCTAGTCAAGAATATATGATGTGAATAGATGTGACCTATGTATATGTATGACGGAATTCTAAACAAGATTTGTTCCTCTCAACTCTCCCTTGTAGTTTGTTACATCATGAAACTCTTACAGGCCCCTGGTGACATACATCCTCAGGACGATTTTATAATTTTGCATTCTATTTCCTTCCAGAAAACCTTGATGTAGAGGAGTCTCGTCAATTTTTTGAAGCAAACTTTAGTCACATATATTGCATTGTGTATGACAGCTTCATTGCGGCTGAAACCAATCTTCGACAGAGAGGTGAGCTTTACATTTCTTTAAAATTTGTTGGTGGAGGGAAACTGACAGTGTGCACATTCAGCATCACACACTATGGGCTATGAAGCACTATTTTTGTCCTTTTGTTCTGACATACAGTAATATTGTTGATCTGAACCTCCCTAATATGTACAGTGATTTAGTTTTTAGGGTTTTCACTTTTAACAACTGACCTGAAAAAAATGGTGTCATTTAACAATGTGTTCCTGTAAATATGTTGTCCTGTAGTATTTGTCAATTAATGACGCATGTAATCTTGAGACAGATAGTTTATTTAAATGAGTAACCAGTCACATTTCTGAAATGAATCTCCTATTAGTATCAGAAACATAAGTCAAAATTTTCTCGTGTTCAATTAACATATTTTTGCTTCCCTGTGTTTGTCCCAAGCTATTTGCGTGCTACTTAATCCTGTCCCTGTCAGCTCAATGTTAAGCCCCAGCCCTCAGTCCCTCTTCAACCTATGCTGATGCATGCTTAGTAACGTACAACCTTAATGTAAACTATAGAATATGTTATGCCCTGAATATGATATTTATATTTCATTTTCCTGTTGCATCTTTTTCAGAGCTGACATTCCACTTGGGTAAGTAAAATGATATTGCATGAAAGCTTCTTATGTCTTGTTGCTTTACCCTAACTTTTCAGGCACTAAGGTTTTTTGTTGTTTTTTTTTTTCCACTAAAATGATTGGTTGCTTGGGTGCTTTTCTTGATTCTACAAATCTATTGGCTTTAAATAAATGTGCCTCACAGTTAAATCATTTCTCTGTATCCATTTGCAATGTTTGCAAAGGATTTTCTGGTGTCACAACAATCATGTTAAGGGCATCATTAGCATGCGTCTATCAATGACTTATAGGAGCTAATTGAGTTTTCAATTTAAAAAAAAAAAAAAAAATCTTTGCGGAAGGATTCTTTTTTTGTCAGAGTATTGTACATTAAACACTCTAACTCACTGTTCCCTTAGTTCATGCTTTGTACGGGGTGTATCAGTCAAGACCCTATATTGCAGGTTTGCCTGTCAGCGCCTCTTGGAAGGATAGCCATGCTTTTTTGTCCCAAGTTGCTGATGGGCAGACCAACATTATTGTGGCATCTGAACTGAATGCCTAAAATAATACCATAAATAAAAGATTTCTTTTCTTTTCTCACCAGTTCACAAGGCTCATCGAGAGGAATTAGAATGTGTACTTCAAGTATTAGAAAAAGCTTTAATATATCTACCAGAACTGCTTGGGAGACGATGGCAGTGTCACTCATTGACTCGAATCATGACAAAACTTCTGCATCCAGGCAATTCATGGAAGTTAAGGCGGGATGCAATGAGGTTTGTCCTTATCCTTAACTTTATAGTAGCATATCTTGTTTTTAATTGGGCGCTAATTATTTTCATTCATTTTTTATTCCAGATACTTTTTACTTTGGTACCAGGCTTTAGGAGATATGGCTCCCAATGCAATCCATGCTATGTTTGCAACTCTTGTACCAGGATTTCCCTCCCCTTTCCCCGGACTTGGTTTAGATGTGTTGAATAAAAGTGCTACACAAGTGTCATCAAGTCATGACAACCAAGGTAATTGATGTTAAACATTAGAGTGCTGCTGTTTAACACCTGTTAAATTTGTCAAGGCTCCTGTGACTAGCTACGATTTTTGTTTATTATCTGACAGGCCGAGTGGGTCCTGTTGAAATTTTGCCTGTTTTCCCTCCACAAAGTGGTGAGAAGCAGCCCGAAAATTTGCCTTGTTTCTTCTTGGATGCTCTTTTGGAATTTCTTGTAACACAGGTTTGAGTGATTTAAATGGTCTTATTCTACATGTTAATTATTATCACAGAGATCTTTATTAACACTTTTGTTTTTTTCAATTGATGTGTGTTTCAGTTTGGACGTATTGAGTGGAGAGACAAAATTTGTCGCCAACATAAGAGCTTTATGTTTCTGTTTGAACGATTCAAGCAATATTATTTACCTCATATTTTCCCTGAGTTCTCATCAACCACAAGCCTTTACAAACCCAACCTTGGTAAATTTTGTTTCATACAGTTTATGTTTATCAGTTCATTGTTCTTCTTGTACAGTCTGATGTTTTCATTTTTTATTGCAGAACTGCCAACTTTGCGGAAAGCTTCAGGAAGCCCTGATGATAGACGGCGGTTTGACCCAATGGCAAGCTGTCAAGTTGCATTTATTAAATGGATTGCTAACTATACACATGCTACAAAAAAGGGGGAAATAGGTTTTGCAACCTCTATCCCCGCCAACAGGTGTGTACCCGTATCATCGCATTCCCAAGCTCTTTCTCAGCTGCACTCCCAAGCCCCGACTCAACCTTTGCACCTGAGCTTGCAACCACACTCCTCGCATTTGTCTGCTGCTCAAATTTCTCAAGCAAGTTTGCACCTCGCTACTCATCCTAGTGCGCAGGGATATTGGTACGTAAACTCTGTTGCTGCTGTGTGTGTATATGTTAAGTTGACTGAGTTTAGCTTTTCTTTATTGCCTCTATTCCATAGTGTTTCTATCTTCTGCTGTGCTTGAATTTGCCTGTAGTGGAATATTAGTCATTACTCATAAATGTGTGTGTTCTATATTTGTGGATATTTTGGGTCTTTTCATATCAACTTTACTTAGTTTGTTGAGACAGTTTGTTCCTAGACTGTATTCGTTACGTTATTTGGTCGTTTATTTATTCTTGTCATTATTGTGTATTTATTTCCTTATATTGAGTATACTGTACTTTGTTTGTTTCACTTTTCATCATTTTTCTTGCCTTACTCAGCTTGGCTACTAATGATGAAACAGAACGATCTCCTGGCACTGAGCTTAGGAGGGTCAGTGTGAGTCAGGCAGGCATATCAACCAGTGACGCTGTATCTCCTGATTCAAATCAATCAGTTTCATTTTCTCAATCTGACTCCACTCTCAGGTATTGTCTTAATTTTAATACCCATTCTTTTTCTTCTCTCTCTCTTTTTTTTTTTTTAATGGAGTAAACAGAGCACACTCATTTCTTCATATGAACCTTTACTTTTCAGTGAGGATCCGAATCAAAGTGCAATATGTCTTGTGAGGGAAGTTCTGTATTCCAGTAGGGACAATGTGAACCTTATTCATGAAGTATATCGTCAAGCATTTCTGCTTGATATGTCTCAAGCTGCTGCAGTTCGCAGAACAATTGCTGTGTATAAGGATTGGATCCAAATGAAGGTAAGCTGAAAATATTAGATTTAGGTAATTTCTTAACATCTTTATTCTCGTATAATTCAGACTTATTTTATTTCTATACCTGCAGGTGGACTTGCCTCCTTTTATGCTTGAACCTTTGGATGGGCACAAACAAGAGGACCACAATCGAACAAAAAATGGAAATCCTTCAGAAATCTTGGCAAATGATGTAAGTTAACAGGATTTGTAGCGAGATATACTTCATTTTGTGATAAGCACACTTTATTGATCAAGTGTTTTATTTTATTTATCTTTCTTTTTTTGCTCTTCCTTCTGTAACTATTAGATTGGGGAAACACATCGCCAAACAAGACTACGCAATGATTCTTATCTAGGTGCAATTCATAGAGAGAATTTACTAGTTCGTGCTGGACTGCAGGTATGTATGTTTGTGTTCTTTTACAGATACACAAGAGGACATTTTTAATATCTATGTTCCCTATTATTTTACAGAACCTTCTCCAAGTGTTTATTACACATGCTGCTCATGTCTTTACTTTAGAAGTTACCTCAGACTTTCCTGTTCTTCTAGAAGAACAAGTGGAAGCATGCAAAAGAGTTCTGAATATTTATCGCTACATGGTTATGCATACAAGAATGGAAGCTCGCACATGGTATGTAATTCTTGCAATTTTGTAGGTTTCTATCAATTCTTTTACTGTAATGTCATTGGAATAATTTTCTCTTGTCTTGTTGCTGTGTAGGGAGCAGCTTCTTGTAGTACTTCTTCAAGTTACTTCCTTGATTTTAAGTCGAACGCCTCCTAAAAGGAAAGAAGAAACACTCGGAGGAAAGCTTGCTCCTGCAATTTTTCAGACTCTGATAGTCACTTGGATCAAAGCAAATTTGAATGTTGTTATTTCCACCAGACTGTGGGACCAATTTTTAACTGTTCTTTCATCCTTGACCCAGTGGGAAGAATTAATCAAAGAGTGGGCGGTAGGTTGATGTTGATTTTTTCATTGATTTTTGTGTGCTTGTTAAAGTGTTGACTATTTTACATTTTTGTAACATTATCTTATCTTTTCAGAAAACATTGGAGACTCTTACCAGAGTTCTAGCCAGACATGTGTACAATCTGGATTTAAATGACCTACCTTTAGACAGACTGACCGAGCAGAAAGCCAAACGACGCCGCGGGGGAGCGGGTGGAAATCTTGACAATGGCATCATGGGCTCATATTCTGTGGACAATTCTGCTCGAGGTAGTAACAGTGTGTCAAATGTTGATTCTGGGAGAGGAAATGGAGCGTTGGCACCCAGAAGAGCACGAGACAGACCTGGTACTAATGCAAAGCCTGCTCAAATGCATAGCCATCAGGAGGAGAATGACAATGGTCCAAGCAGTTTTGCCAACTCAGGTCAGAAATAGTTTGAAGTGTTGACTGAGCACCTGCTCAGAAGGTTGCCATCATTAATGTTTTTTTTTCCAAAACAGATACAAGCACTGTGATGTTTCCTCTGACAAGTAGGCAAGGAAGCCACCGTAAAAGAACATACAGTTCAGGAGAATCTGCACTTGTTCGAAGCTCAAGTGAAACCAATGTTAATTTATTGAAAGCTGGACATCATCATCATCGTCCGAGGACACCTCGGCCTGAATCACATTCCCACACTGTTGTCATTCCAGGTTTGTTGCGCATAATTTACAACTTAAGTTATGAAGCCTGCTACCAGATGAATTACATTCCACTTTGAATATTTCAGTTTTGCCTCCATCTGTTGAAGTGGAAGTGGCGCGCATTTTGGCTTGTGCAGATGGTAGACCATGTCCTCCCGCTCGCTTGCGTAAACGAAGGTCTCGATCTATGGACTCTCTTAGGGGAACTCGTGGTAAGTTAATAAAAGTAACAGGTCTCTTGATGCAGGCATCCATGAAAATAAAATAAAATGGCTAAGTGCTGAACTCATTCTTTTTAAATGCTCTAGGAGGCTCTCCTCTGCACTTGTATGAGTCAGAATGTGCCACCCGGTCTCCATCTCCTGCACCCTCAAGTGGCCTTGAAAGCACTTCCTTCAAGGATTCTCCCATGCAGATCGATATGATTAGTGCTGATGGTGCTTGTATAGGTAAGTGTTCTACTATTTCTAGTATTTTCCATATTGACTGGTGTTTTGATTGCATTTGTTGCATTTGTTCAGATGTAGATGATGGCGAGGGCAGGGTGGAACAGCGAAGTGTGATGGCTGGTGGAGCAGAGCGTGGCTGGCTTCCCGACGTAGCTGTGGTGCTCTGGCGACGCATGCTGGGTGCGCTGGGAGACGTCAACAGGCTTGCGGATCCAGCGCTGCATGCACAAGTCTTTGACTATTTGGTGGATCTCAATGAAACAATGGTCAAAGTAAGTGAATTCGTTTTAAACCAGCTTTTTATCTGTCGAGTGGTTTATCAATCCTTCACTCATAAGTGACTTTGTCTGTTTCAATTTTAGATCCGACTTAACCAAGGAGTTTCCCCTGACAATCTGAACACACCTCCCCTGCCAGACCTGGTGCCACCTATCACGATTATTGCTCCTTGGTGCTTTCAGGTACAATCTTTTCTCTACTTAAAATGCCCCAGGCAATAATTAGTTTAATGACTGCTAATGTGAACTGGATATTTCTGTTTGTAGGCTTTGAAGTTACCTGAAAGCTACCAGAAAGGAAAGTTGAGTGCCTGCAGGCTTTTGTGTAGTATGACGATAACTCCTCATGACATTCCATTAGGCCGAGATCACATAACACAATTTTATAGTGTTTTGCATCATGGTCTCATTGGCACAGACCAGGTAATAAGATGTTTGTAATTATTTTGCTATTGTTGATGTTACGTATTCTTTACTGTCTTACTAATTTTAAATATTGCCTTTCAGTTCATTATGAATTCTTTGGTCAAATTTTGCGGACCACGATTTTTTTCTCTGCAACTTCCTGGGTTCTCTTTGCTTCTGTTGGATTTTATTCATGCTGCCAACACCATTGTCTCAACATCAGACTTACGTCAAGTATGTTTTTAATTTCTTAAAGTTGACTCTTTGTGTTCTGAATTCACCTTACTGATGTGTGTAATTGCTGTTTCCATCACAGACACCAAGAACAGAGGCTATGTCGATTTTGGGAGCATTACTGTGTTTGACAAACAATCTCTCATCATTCCCAGTTTTGCAACCAAATGCAGTGGACTACTCCATAATGTCCTGTGTGGATGCCAAGGTATTACCTTAAAGTGGTTGTCATGTTTGACTTAAGGCGGCGTGCAAATATTACGTCACCTCTTGGCCTCTTTTTGACCCCCTCGCCCCCGTCCGTCATCGGTTTAACCTAACCTTCCCATGTACTTGAGATAGGACCGTCATCAGAGGCCGTACCCCCTCCCCCCAAAAAAAAAGTGATGACGTAATATTTGCACGCCGCCTAAGTTCTTGTATTGAATGCTGTCTTCTTTGGATACTTACTAATCTTTACTGTTTGTTTTAGGACCATATTGTTAACATATTGCTGAAATGTGGCAAAAGAGAGCCAGCTGGTCTGGCGCGGTGCATAGCACTTTCCTCTCTTGGTATCTATCTGTATCAGGAGCTCAGCAATCCACCCAATGCTAAAGGCCAACGCTTCTTCCATCCAAAAATGCCTGAAGCCATAAATGTATTGCTTTTGGCCTTACGGGTATGTTTCATATGTAAATTACTTGTGTAAATATAAGTTTTGACTAAGAAAAATTCAGTGTGCATGACTAAATATTATTTTTTGATGTTTTTTATTTAATTTGAATTTTTGAGTGGACAAGGATTGTATTAGTTTCATTTTGTTGGTTTTAGCCTTTGTTTTGGTGTGGTTTTAATGGCTGTTCATAGCTGTGGTGCATATTGCCAAACAAGTTTCCATTTGAAAACTATTTTACTTTTTGTTTTTGTCTGTAGAGGTGTGCTTATCGAAACCTTTCACCACAGTGTGCATCAACGAGTAAGGTAGCTCAAATATAGTGGCATGTTTGTTGTACTGTGTTGAGCATGAACATTCATGTTCCTTTATGTCAGTTATGTTTATGTCCTTGTCACTTTTTTACGTATTAGCGAAGTTTTGGCTGACGATTGTTGATGTTCCTTGAGAGGGACAAGCTTTTTTGCTGCCTTACTGAGATTGTCTGTATTTTGTTGTATTTAGGCTTACTTTTCAAACTGCCGTAATATGCAGTCTGAACTGTTATTATACAAATATTACTTTTTCATTTTATTAGATTATGTCAATTATTGCTTTTTGTGTTGCATGGATTTAAAGTCTGTGAATGTGCATGAATGTCATTTTTTTTCCTTTGTTTTTCCTTTGTTCATTTTATGGTCTGCCATTATTTAATTTGCAATTCTTTCTTTTACAGTTCAATCACAGAACAGTTGGTCAAGTTGCTTCTGATATTCTCCTTCTCCTGGTCGACCATGTTACGATACTGCTTGACTACTTCCCTGATGTTCCATGTCATATTGTTGAGGTATGATTATGAGACTTATATTATGGTAGTGTATAATGAAGAAAAATCACCTGTTACCACATTTACTGCATTCCTTGTTTTTCCTATTGTCTGAAGGTTATTGCATCGACTTTGGCTCAGCTGACACCTCAAGAAGGAATTCAAATGTCTGAGAGAGATAAACGACTTTTGACATCCTTGCTTTTCTGTCTGGGTGAATGGGTTATGGCATTACCCAAAGAGGTTCTTCTGTCAGTGCGGCCTTCCAAATCACCCTCCAAAGAAGATCAAACCAGTCTTCTGCACAAAATTTTCAAGGTACCGTAATTCTTTACAGATTCAACTTTTAAATTGTAATGCTTTCAATCTTAAATTCAAATTTGCTTTTGCTGCAGGTACTTATCAAAATCAGTGGAGGCTCATCTGGTGGTGGCATCAACACAATTGAGTCCTATTTCAAGCCAGACTTGTTGCATGAGTTCGACCCAAGCATTACTCTTGACAATCTTAAAGAGGGCACCAGTGGTGGTGGTGTGGGAGGCCGTCGCAGCTCTGCCATGCCTCCAGAAACATATGCTCACAGGCAGCCCTGTGGAGTAACTGTCAAACTAGCAGCTAAAATGGTATGTGATGTTTTTAAAAACTATTATAAATTTTGTGTCACTATTTATGTAGTGTAGTGTATTAATCAAGTGAATTGTTTTGTAAGGTTCTCATGCATATGTTGAATCACGTTGGCCATTTTCCCATGGCAATTGGAGCGGCTCGTCTGTCCTCCATGGTGGTGGAGCATGATGATGTGCCAGGACTTTCTCCTGATGAATTAAGTGTCCAAATATTCTCTGCACCGAACATACAGGTTTGTGAAAATGCTCACGCACACGTTGTTCAGTGGTTACTGGTAGAAAATTTTGTACCAATAATAATCTCTTCCCTTTTGCTTTTTTCAGCTCTTGGTACTGAGCTCCCAGAGGCTCCTTTCTCTTGTTGAATTACCCACTCTGGCAGTTCCTGGTGGTGGGGTAACTGCAGGATTGACAACAGCTCAGTCTCAAGTTAGATTATTGCTCAGGGACCTGAGTGGGAAATCTTGTTGGGATGCTTCTATTCTCTACTGCAGCCCAGAAGATAGTTCAGATTCATCCCTCAAATGTTGGGCCCCAACATCAGGTAAAGTCCTTGTCAAGCTCATCTTTCATTTCATTTAGTTGTTTATTTCATGTGATAGTCCTGATTCATTTTATTTTTATTTGCTCCAGCTGGATCTGGTCAAACTGTATTTGCTCCATCGTCGGGCACAGTTCTTCCTCGTAGACCTCTGTCAGTGCCAGTGCAGGCCAAGATGGATGAGTCCCTGCTGGCCTCATGTCTTGTTAGCCACACTCCACCTCAACACACTCTACGCCACCGACCACCTCATATCCTCCCAACATCTCAAAACACCGCAGCAGACATGGACAACCTGGATGATGTATGTATAGTCCTTTTATATCATTGTGACTTTTTATTTTATCTAAACATGCATGTTATCTAAAACTACTTCATGTGCAATTTTTATGTTAATATATAGCTACTGCAATACATTGGACACACTAGCCCTGAATGCCTGGAATCATTAGATACGCCACGCAATCTTCCATCTGCTCCACCACCTCCTCTGTTTGCTGAACTTGAACAGGAGGTCATAACCTGTGTACTCAATCAGAGATTCAATGAACAGGAATACCTTCAGAAGCATAATTCTCACATTACGTAAGTATTGTATTGTAGGCTTATGTAGCAAGATGTAACACTCTGGAGACTGTTTTGTAAACTTCTCTGAACTTCTGAATTTCAGCATGCTGGGCGAATGGGCACAGCGCCCCCCACACAGTCCCCCAGCATCACCTTTCCAACATTGCCGCCTATTATTCTCCCAACTGGGATTTGCTGGCTGGGAGCGTCGATCTCAACTGAATCTGCTGTCAAAGAATGAAAAGTTACTCAGAGAACTCCGCAATCTTGATTCTCAGGTTTGTATTGTGCAAATTATCATCTGTGAGCTTAGGGTCCAAATATTGATATGTTTGATTTCTTTCTATAACCAGAGATGCCGGGAAACCCACAAAATTGCTGTCATATATGTAGCAGAGGGCCAGGAAGATAAAAATTCAGTCCTCTCTAATACGTGTGGTAGCCAAGCGTATGAAGAATTTATTGCTGGTCTGGCTTGGGAGGTGTGTGATTCAAACATTTTACTTTGAAAACTATTTTCCTTGGGAGTTTATTCTCATATTAATACCCTTCTTATATATCCAAAATGACAGGTTGAATTAGAATCTCACACTGGGTTCTTGGGAGGTTTACAACGCAACAAAAGCACAGGTGACACTGCTCCATACTACGCTACGTCATTCCTTGAAGTTATATTTCATGTGGCAACTCGCATGCCCTCTTCCAGTCAGGAATCTTTGTTACAAAAGGTGATATCTTTGTTTACTGTTAAAACCTGTTGCAACCGGTGACATACTGCAAGTCCAAAAGCTAAAGATGCTATTCTTACAGACCCGTCATCTGGGAAATGATGAAGTTCACATTGTCTGGTCAGAGCATACCAGAGACTACCGACGTGGCATCATTCCAACCGAATTCTGTGATGTTTTAATTGTGATTTATCCATTGCCCAACAAGCTCTTCAGAGTGCAAGTTACACGAAAACCAGAGGTAGTTCTCATCACTCATAACTTTTAATCTTCTTTCATTGTCTGATTCTAATTTAAATTTTCTGTCATATTAGGTACCTTACTTTGGTCCTCTTTTCAATGAAGCCATTGTTGACCAACGAGTTCTCCCTGGATTAGTCAGAGCGACTGCCATCAGTGCGTCTCGTGCCATGCGCAGCCTCTTACCATTTTATCAACAACAGTAAGCTCATGGCACATTTAAGATTCCAGTTAATCCAGTTAAGTCTAGCTTTTTCAAGACCTCAAGTTAAAATGCCATTTTCTTCCTTGACAGTTATGAAGATAGAGCCAAATCTTTGGACACCATTGTAAAAAATCATAAGGATGCAACAACGTATGAAGAGTTCACAGGCCATGTATTTTCTCCTGCTCCTAGCTCATCCACTTTCTACTCTGGCCCAAACCGTACTTCAGGTATGTGTGTCCACTTGCATGTAACGCCACAATCACCTTGAACCATTTATGCCACAACTCCCCTTTCATTTAATCTGTATCTTTTTAGGTGTTCCACATAACTATCCAGAAAGAGACAGCAGTTTCACTCATAGTTCTCAGCTTGCAGCAGCTTTACTCGATTCACATAGACATCCATCTCCTCGCTCGTCTAATGCAGGACTTCATGACGTGCCTCTTCGAGGTGGGTAGCCTTATGGTTTTGTTTATTTTCCTGCTAAAATCTAAGTAGGATGAATCTTATTAATTTCATGTGTCATATACTGTCTTTAGGCGGATCTGAGGTTGATGCCCTACATGGTATATCTCCCCGTCCATTGAAGAAACTACCTCTGAAATTGAACTCTCGAGCTGCTAAGGGACTTGGATCATCCTCTTTGACTCCTCCAGACAGTCCTACTAGTCGCAAATCTAAGTAATAGCTTACTTTTGAAGCTACGCAAAGCATTTATTTTTACTGTTAAATATCTCTTATTTCCAATCCTCTTGTGATCTTTACCAATTTATGGCTAATAAGTTAAGAAATTGTGTCATATATTCAGGGCACAAGTGCAATGCTTTACTTGGTCATTGTCTTCTTTTTAACTGGGCTAGTTTTACTTTCCAAATTATTTTTTTTTGTGTAGCCTCTTTTTCTTTTTGTAAGTTTCTTTTAAGCCATCTTTTTGCAAGTATGTGATTCATGGCGGCACTGATGTACGAACTTGTTCCTCTGTTAGGAACTGTAAGGACTTAAATTGCTTAACTGTTTTGTCACTTTGTTATTATTATGTTATTGTTGATTTCTTTAGTCAAACTAAGCGTTTTAATTTGCTTATATTAGTATAAGTGTATGATCAAAATGGTCTGATCAGTATTACCTACTTTTTTGGAACTGACTCTGTGACCACTACCAGCCACACATGTGTAAAATACTGATTAATTTATATCAGATTGGTCCAAATGGACGTCCTATTCTTTACTTTTAATCAAAGCAGTGATCAAAAATCAAATAACCATATCAGTGGTTTGGGCATTTAATGGACTTGTTTTTATCATTGTATTTGATATTGTGAGAAGGTGTCATTTCATCATTTCTTTTTCTTTCATGCCTTTATGTAGTTTGAGTAGTGAGGAAAAAAAAAGAAAAAAATGTAGGAAAGACTACTTATATCCATGTCTGAAAACCTCTCTGATTGACTCAGAGTGTTAAAGTGAGCAATTTATAGGAGTACATACTCTGACCACTTAATTAGGAACATGTAGTTTTGTCTTTTCCATTAACTTTCCTCAACTTCATTGCTTAAATGTTAGTCTGATGATACAATGTGGTGCTGTCAATGACAACAGAGCTTTTTGTGTCTTCCATCTTGTTTGATTATTATAAATAACATGGGCTCTCATTCAATAGTCAGTAATCGTCCATGTCCTTTAAAAATAGTAAGATGTCATCAGGTACCGTCTGTGGGGAATTTGTGATCTGTCTTGGAGGATTTGTGATATTACAGGTGTTAGAGCCGATCATTGCTAAGAGATTGTTGTGAGCCATATTTTTTCATAAATTCATTAGGTTTCTGAGTTTTTTTTGTCCCAATTATGCATCTCTAGCATTACCGTACACTCCAAGTATTTTTGTTAATTAAGTACCAAGTAGAACTTCCTGTGTGGGAAAGTATCACATTTAAGAGGTGGGGATATCATGGCTGAAAGGTGGAAGATCTTTAGGCTTTACTATTTAATCAATACTATGTTAGCATGCACTCTTTGCACAATTTATGTCTCAAGAGAGAAAATGTTTGTGTCCTCACCTTCTATGACCTTTATTACTTTATTCATCAGTGAGGACTATATTTTTATTTTGATTGACAAAAATAATATATTTCTAGGAATGTGATCATGTTGTTGTATTGTAATTTATTATTAAATGTTATATTTCTGATGTTCTACTTTATATTTTCTACAATCCAAATCCAGTGATAAAATTGTATAGAGAGAAGGTATTTATTATGCAGTATTTTTGTATATATTTGAAGCGGCTGATTTTACTGTTGAAAATCGTACTAATTTATTAATATCTGACCGTGTGTATATTTCTGTAAAGGTTTCCTATTACTGTTTCAGGATTATTTTATTCCCTATTAAACCATAAACACCTATGTTTTTGTTTTTGTTTCCACAAAATCATCTGTCTGTGTCCCAAATTCATCTGCCACATTGGAGCGTTTGTACAAATCATCTGCTTCATTAGCTACGAGCCACTTCAAACTTCTGTTTACCACGTCTTATCGATGAACATCGCGCGAGTTGGCGTTCGAAAAGTAACAGACAGCAGAACTTGCTGCAAAAAGTATTTGAGAGAGTGGTACTTTACATCCGCCTTCCAACACAGCAGGGAAGTCCACCCACTTCGGTAGGGACTGGTGACTGGGCCCCTCACCTCATCCGCTTATGAGAGAGAAGGTTTGTTGTGATCAAAGAGCAGGAGGGCGCGTAATTCTTCTGGGTTTCAGGAGGAATCCCGAAAATGCAGACTGCAGCCATCCGTCCAGAACGCCCTTCAAGACTTGGCAGCTTGGCGATGAGTTCGTGCAGGATTCTGCTTCGCGCTTCAGCGAGGTGGAGCGTTGAGCCGCGCTGGTGAGGCGTGGTGTGGTGTGGCGTGGTGTGGCTTGGCGTAGCGTGCCGTGCTGTGGCGTGGCGTGCCGTGCTGTGGCGTGGCGGTGCGGGACGGCACTGCCGGCGGCGTGCTGGCCGTCCTGGCCGTCCTCCGGGGCAGTCCTTCCTCCAGCCGCGTCGCTGCAGCACTGCGCAGCACTGCGCAGCACGGCCAGCCTCCACGATGGCGGGCAGCATGGCCATCCCCGCGACCTGCGCGTCTTGCAGTGCGCACGCGCCGCGCCGTGCCGCGCGACACCCGCCTCGGCACGCAAAACACGCGCGACAGCGACACGTCCTGCTGCCGGCTTTGCCCGCACTGCTGCTGTGCGTCGCGGCCCTGCACTCCCCGCACCACCGCGTCGACGCCAAGCTGAGTACGTCTCCGTCACGCACGACAATCTGAGGAGCCCCGAGCCCGCCTCTGCTGAGCAATGCTAGTTATGCTTAACTAGCTTTCACCCCGTCGTTGTCTCTGTACCGAGTCTTTATCATCAATTTCGTCAAGGCCAAAAAATTGGGGGAAAGGGGGGGGGGGGGGGGTAAACGGGTGCAGACTTCAGATGTGTAGGTGTTGTCGAAGTACTAACATAATCAAGTACAAAACGACTATGGGGCACTCTCGGACGAATTAAGCAGTGTTATCAGGAAAGTAGACAAAACGTAGCCTGCCTAAACACGCCGGTCGGTCGCAGCGTTCTGAATACCGGCCTGCTTACTTACTGCCCAACATTTTCGCCAGAGCTGCAGAGTGCCGCACGCCGGTGTTTTTGGGCCCCAGTTTCCCATTTTTCTAGCCATGTTGTTGTTGTTGTTGACTCTTGGCGGCAGGGCGAAGGACTATCCAGGGATGCCAAGGTTGGTTTGAGACGAGTTTCCGCTTTCTGCTGGTTCGCGAGAGCTTATGAGAGTGCGCGCGCGCGTTATGGTCCCGGTAGTGGCGGCACTGTAGGCGCGCAGTGGCAGTGCCATGGCAGTGCGTCGGGCCCTGGGGCCCCTGGGGTCAATGCTGGAGCGGGGCTCCCTCAATGCCGAGGTGCTTCCCCGTGAAGTCATCAAAACAAGACGAAGAAGGAGGAGAAGAGGCAGAAGAAGAAAATGAAGGAGTTGCCGCTGCAACTTTTTTTAAGGTTTCAGTAAATCATGTCCGGAATAACTGTAGATAAGTTACCCACATCAAAAACTCATTAATAGAAATGCATGCAGCCCGCAACGGACGTAGGCACGCCACTGTAAAATCATATTTGGGCAAGTGGAAATGCCCTTTTGTTCCCTGCCGCCGCCAGCATGGCCATCAACCCCTGCCCCTGCAGTCCGATTTTATGGACGCCGCTGCAGCCGCTGGGCCGCTCCGAGTCTTGGGCCGTCCTGTGACTTCGCCAGTTCCAGCAGTGCCTGCGCTCCAGCCTCAGTCAGGATCATGGCCGCGCATAGCGGGGCGTTGGGCAGTGGCGGGGGCCGGGCCTCTTGGCCGGGCGGCTGGGACCCGGGGCGGGGTGCCCCTCCCGGACACCTCGCCGTCGCACAGTGGGCCAGAAGACCGGTGGAGGCGGCCAAAACTCGAGACGCGTTTTGAGCTCCAGAATCGCTAGATGGGACTCGAACCGAACGTGTGACCCCACCAATGGATTGCTCTCCGAACAAGGAATCCATTGGTGGAGTCACACGTTCGGTTTGAGACCTGTTTAGTGACTCTGGAGCTCAAAACGCGTCTCGTGTTTTGGCCGCCTCCACAGGTCTTCTGGCCCACTGTGCGTCGCCGGGCCAGGCCGGCCGCCCCGCGCTCGTCGGTCGTTCACCCTCCTCCCGTATTACTCCTCGCCAGCTTTATGATCGCGTCGGACATTGTTGCGAGACAGGCCTCGTTAGATGGGCCTTGGTGTCGTCTTTGTCACGCCGCGCCTCGCGCCGCACGGCACGCGGGGCCCGGAACGTCGGGACCCGGGTTCGAATCCCGCGCCGCGACGGGCTTTTCGGTGAAGGGAACAGCCTCGAGGCGTCGTGCGGCGTGCGCGACCCCGGGCCGCCTGGAACACGCTGCAGGCTGACTCCGAGAGTCTTTTTCGTCGCTCTGTCTCTCTCGCGCTCATGGGGCGTCCCGTACAGGTGCGAGAGAGACATAGCGACGAAAGCGACTCTCGGAATCAGTCTGCAGAGGCCGACTCCCGGACGGGGCCGCGCGGAAATGGGAAATGCCGAGAAGTGCATTCCCTTCCCTCGGAGGCGGGCCAAGCCAAGCGGCCAAGCCGTGAGTCCCTCATGCCGCCATGGCGGCATCACCCCGAGGATCACCCTGCAGGGCCTGCAGCAACAGGCGCTCCTTACCCGGAGCCCGCTCGGAGTCTGCAGACCGATCCCGAAAGTCGTTCACGTCGCTCTGTCTCTCTCGCACTCACGAGGCGTCCCGCATAGGCGCGAGAGAGACAGCGCGACGAAAACGACTCTCGGAATCAGTCTGCCGGCGAGCCCGGAGGCATCGCCATTCTATATACGGCGAGTACAAAGTCATGTCCATCGCGGAGGCTGGACAGACAAGTGAGTTCGCAGACCTCCAAAGTGCGAGGCGGGGTGGGGGGTGGTGGGGGGCAGGGGGCTCAGAAGGGACTTGAGGGAGGTGGGGGGCTAACCGGGAGCCGACCGCGGAGGTAACCGCGACTCCTCATGACCATCAAGTCTTGCAAGTCCTTCTCTCGATTAATCGAGTCCGAAGCAATCCTCTTCCCCCCTCGGCCCCGGGCCGATCCGGCAGGCAGCGGCCAGACCACTGTGACCAGAAAAGTCGGCAGAACCAGGCTGAAACACAGCGGGTGTAGCTGCGAGATGCATCTCATCCTTCCTAAGCTAGCAAGCAAAAGCTCGACCGCAGTGGGCAGGACTGCATATTGCAGAGCAGAGGGATGTGTTTAGGCTCCTTTTCGCAAACTTTCTGGCTCCACTGATCCCGGCGTCGTGGCGGTGGCTGTCATGGTGGCTGCCTTGTCGGTGAAGCACCGCGCCGTGCACCTGCTGCACCACGCTTTCGTCGTTCTGTCTCTCTCGCACTGCTCGCGCTCTCGAGAGACAGAACGACGAAGCTGCTATCCGCGGGGTCAGCTGGGTCGCCGGGGAAGGAGGAGGATGGCGCTGCGCTGCGGACTGAGAGCCGTTTTCGTCGCTCTGTCTCTCTCGCACTCGTGGGGCGTCCCGTGTGGGTGCGAGAGAGACAGAGCGACGAAAACGACTCTCGGAATCAGTCTGCTGCTCGCGCGAGGCGTGATGCCATTGTTCGCGAGGTGACGTCACGGCCCTGAAGGGTGCGGATGGTGCGGATGCAGCAGCGCGGGCGGGGCTGCCGAGTGATTGCGCACGACGCTGTCCTGTCTCTCTCGCACTTCAGGCGTGCCCCGCCGGGGCGCGAGAGAGACAGAGCGACGAAGCGCAGTTTGGAATCGGTCTTCTGCGTCTCCTGACAAGAAGCGGATTTATGCGACGCGCGGGCGTGAGTGGACGGGCCGGGACGATCCCGAGCCGCGGAGTCGTCGTTCTGCCTCTGTCGCACTGGTGACCACCCCGCTGAGGAGCGAGAGAGACAGAGCGACGAACCGCGGCTCGGAATAATTAGTCCACTGATTGGCATGCAAAGCGGTTGCAAAATGACGCCGTGGGGGGAAAAAACGGATTACTCGGACGCGTCGCGTCTTTTTTTTCTCTTCGCCTTTTTTTCTCGTCTCCTCCTAAAAGATTGTATTGGGGGAATCGTTCTCCGGGAGTCGTAGTGTATCATGACACCGCACATGATGGCTGCGTCTGACTAAAAAGAAGATCGGGGAACGTGCATGCCCGCGCCCCGCCCCGCCCCGCCCCGCCCCGCCCCGCCCCGCCCCGCCCCGCCGGGGTCCCCCTGACGGGTATTAAGTGGCTGGCAGAGTCCGCCGCCGCGTCCTGGAGAAGTCCTGCCGGGGAAAATAAAGGGAGGAAGGTGTGAGCACTGCAAGGACCAAGGACCGCCAAGGACACGCCCGCAGGCTGATTCCGAGAGTCGTTTTCGTCGCTCTGTCTCTCTCGCACTCATGGGGCGTCCCGCACAGAGATGCGAGAGAGACAGAACGACGAAAACGACTCTCGGAATCAGCCTGCAGGCCGCCATTACCGATGATGAGGTGCGTACGAAGTACGAACGCCGACGAACGCCAAAAGCAAAACAGTCGCCGCGCCACGCCACGGCCTGCCACGCCTCGAGTCACTTGTCAGTCGAGAGCGAGCCGGTGGGGCGTCGAGACGTCAGGGGATTAGAATAACGCAAAAAACACAAACCATCTAACAAAACAGTGCCTCGGAAAAAAAAAGTTTAGATTTGTTTTTTGCAAATGCACCACTTGCGAATAGTGCTTTTTCTTGTTGCAGTCACCGGGCTGGCGCCGTGCCCCAACGGGGCGCCCCCCGCCAGGGAGTGCCTCGTGAGCGTGCTGGTGGACCTGCGGGCCCTGCGCGCCAGAGGTAAGGCAGCCGAGGGCAGCCGAGGGCCGAGGCAGCGGACCCCTTCGGAACGGGGCTGTCCTCTGTCCTTCTCGCACTCTCACGTGGCGTCCTGCAAGAGCGGGAGAGTGACCAAACACTCTCCGGTTGAATGTCTGTTGAATGTCGACAGTCTGGCGCCTTCTTTTTTTGTCGCACCAGATTGCTCGGCGTGCTGCACCGATTTTACTTTTGCCTCCTTGCTTCCCGCCAGTCCTATCCCATCGCAGTGCCGCGGCAGCACTTGCACAGTGTGCGCGGCGGCCCTCTGCCAAACCGTCCGAGGCTTTGCATGAACAGGTTTGTCGGAGCTGCTGCTGCTGCAGACTGATTCCGAGAGTCGTTTTCGTCGCTCTGTCTCTCTCGCACTCACGGGCGTCCCGCATAGGTGCGAGAGAGACAGAGCGACGAAAACGATTTGCGGACTCAGTGTGCTGCCGCTGTCAGGGGTGTCGACTGCTGTAAATGGAGACGCACCTGTCCGGACGGCTCCAGCCGCTCCAGCCGCTCCAGCCGCTCCAGCGCTGCTTTCCGGGACGCGTCCATCCTTTGTTGGCCGCTCCGTCTTTGTTCGGCCGTTCCTTTCTCGCTCCGCCGTTCGATTCCGCATTGCGATCCCCTTTCTGTCCTGTCCGCTCAAAACCGCAGCATCAGATCATCACATCAGCCGAAGGCCTCCGAGTATTAATCATCGATACCCAACGAGCAAGACGACTCAACTCCACTGCGGGGATGCCGAGGGGGATGCTCTTATGGGGCTAGTGGGAGCGAGTGGGGTGCCTGGTGAGTGGGCAAGCCCGCACGACGGCCGAGCGCCTGTGGAAGGGCGGGTAGGCAAGCCCGCACGACGGCCGAGCGCCTGTGGAAGGACGGGTAGGCAAGCCCGCACGCGACGGCCGAGCGCCTGTGGAAGGGCGGGTAGGCAAGCCCGCACGACGGCCGAGCGCCTGTGGAAGGGCGGGTAGGCAAGCCCGCACGGCGGCCGAGCGCCTGTGGAAGGGCGGGTAGGCAAGCCCGCACGACGGCCGAGCGCCTGTGGAAGGGCGGGTAGGCAAGCCCGCACGACGGCCGAGCGCCTGTGGAAGGCCGGGTAGGCAAGCCCGCACGACGGCCGAGCGCCTGTGGAAGGGCGGGTAGGCAAGCCCGCACGCGACGGCCGAGCGCCTGTGGAAGGGCGGGTAGGCAAGCCCGCACGACGGCCGAGCGCCTGTGGAAGGGCGGGTAGGCAAGCCCGCACGACGGCCGAGCGCCTGCGGAAGGCCGGGTAGGCAAGCCCGCACGACGGCCGAGCGCCTGTGGAAGGCCGGGTAGGCAAGCCCGCACGACGGCCGAGCGTGGCGGTGCAGGCTATCCTCAATATCGCAGGCGCTTTCTGTACGGCGCTTGCATCTGGTTGCAGCTCGCGAGCGGTCCAACGCCACGGCGGCCTCCCTGACGCCCTCCACCAAGGACCCAGCGCTGGAGACGCCGCAGCAGGAGCTGCCACCCCAGCCCATCGACGACCTGGACCGCCGCAGGGAGCAGCAGGAGCAGCAGCAGCAACGCAGGCAGCAGCAGCTGGAGCAGGCCGTGCGCTTCCAGGAGGACGAGCTGCAGCAGCTTCGAGAACAGGTATGGTTTGCAGTGGATACTTTATAGTGTCACCGACGTGACCGGCCGGGCCGGAAAGGCATACGATGTTCAGTCACCAATGTCATTGCCATATCTAGGGCAATAGCTAAAGCAATAGCTAAAGCAATAGCTAAAGTAATAGCTAAAGTAATAGCTAAAGTAATACCTATTTCTATAGCTATTGCTATAGCTATTGCTGTTGCTATTGCTATTGCTATTGCTATAGCTATTGCTATAGCTATTGCTATTGCTATAGCTATTGCTATAGCTATTGCTATAGCTATTGCTATAGCTATTGCTATAGCTTGCTAGCGAGATCAATAGAAGTCCCAGCCTGCCCCCTTGGATAGACAGTCCACCGAGCACCTCTGCCGGAAGGGTGGCCTACGAGTCAGGCGCTGGCGCTGTCACGTCGTGTTAACGGGAGGGGGAGGGGAGTCTCGAGAATGGAAGACGAGCCACGGGAGCTGCTGGCACCATGGATGTAGCAGGCGACGGTTTGCCTGTTTCGGGCTCACCTATTATTGATGTAATTTTTTTGCTGATGGTGATGTTGATGACGATGATGATGATGATCCCACAGGTGCAGGAGCTGCGGTTGCAGCTGGCCCGGGCGCTGCAGCTGTACCAGCTGCCGGCGCCGCAGGGGGTCAAGTCGCCGGCACTGCAGCTGCGCGGTGGCGGTGGCGGCGGCTACTACCCGCCCCCCGGCCCCGCACAGGCCCGCCGCGCCGCCCCCGACCTCCGCGCCGGCTACACTGGATACGGCCCGGCGCACGACCAAGCCGGCCGCCGGTTCTACCGCACGTTGCCGACCCCCGCCGCCGCCAGGAACGTGCAGGGCGTCCAGGGTCCGCTCCCCGAGCCCGTCTTCGGCCAGCGCCTCAGCAGCCTCAGCCTCGGTTCGTGCGGATGACCTACAATACCCAGCAACACTGCAGCGCTTTCTTCGCTCTGCCTCTGTCGCACTCGGGAGGCGTCCCGTTAGTGTGAGAGAGACATGGAGAGACAGAACGACGAAGCGCTGTCCAGCACACTAAATGTCTTTTGTACTTTATTGACCATAGCTATGGCCGTTTTTGTGCATAAAGAACTTATGTACAAATTTGTACATAAATTAGGAACAATATTTCCGTATTGTGCTTAAGTATGTGAAACATTGTACCTAATTTATGTACAAATTTGTACATAACTTCAGTATGCACAAATACGGCCATAGTTATGGACATAAAGTCCATACACGGTAAAAACGGTACCTGGTTTTCCCAGGACGCCTATGGTAGGGACATGGCCTATTTCCAGGCAGTTCCTGGGAAAACCAGGAACCGTTTTTACCGTGTAAGCATTTAGTGTGAGGACAAAACGGCTGGACCTAACTCGTCTCTCTTTCACAGTGGGCCTCCGCGAGCTGGCCCGCGGCGAGGCGGTCGTGGCGACGTGAGGACGCCTCCTCTTCTGTCTGGCGGAGGACAAGACCACTGTGATGACGATGACGGCCACCCTCGGCGCGGCCCGTGCCCCTTGCAGACCCCGCAGACTGATTCCGAGAGTCGTTTTCGTCGCTCTGTCTCTCTCGCACTCATGGGGCGTCCCGTATGGGTGCGAGAGGGACAGAGCGACGGGAACAACTCTCGGAATCAGTCTGCAGGGCGCACGGTGGCTCAGACGGGTTGCCTCACTCGCAGCACTTCGCGGACGACCAGTGCGGTCGCCTTGACCCGCGGGTCCTAAGTGCGACGGTTGCTTGTCCGCCATGTGCTGGGTGCTGCCGAGCGATGCGGGAGATTGTCGCTCTGTCCCTCTCGCTCCCTCACGGAGAGCCCCATGAGCGCGACAGAGACAGCGTGGCGACACGACTCTTCTGAATCGCTCGACTGGCCCGGGAGCCGTGCCACGCCGCAAGAAGCGGAAAAGGACGGCTGTCTGGAATTTGGATCGCGTGAGGTTATTGCGTTGCGGGGCAAGGCGGGGTTAGGTTGCTTTCATGACTATCTGTGACTCGTCTAGTACTGACTTAATAAAGTTTGTTTCTTACCAACTATCAGTTTTATTTCACTTACAATAAAAACATACAAGTAACATTAAACTCGACATTATGAGACAATTAAAATAACAATTAGAATTATGGGGTCTTTTGAGAGCGTCTAAATTATCAAAGGTATTGGCAGCTATCTAATCTTAAATCTACAGCGCGAGGACACGCACGTCGTATCTAGGAATATTCTTTTCATTATCTGTCCTACTTTTAAACCAAACGATAAACTGAACCGCCTGCGAATATCTTTGGTAAATGATCGAGAAGCTGCAACAGAGGCTTTGTATGCACTGAAAAGGATGTCTCTCAACTCGCAAAGTGTCATGCGGGTGGGAGAGAGATAGATAGAGCGGTAATGGTTGAGAGGCTATGGCAATGCAATGACGGTGAGATGGAGGAGGAGCGGCTCATATTCATATTCGCGACTGGAACTAGACGCTCGAAATCACAGTTTTTCCGCAGTTCCACCGAAGCAGAGAGCGCGGCCTACGAGCTGGGGAACAGCTTGTCGTAAGGCACCGAGGTGACGATCTTGTTGGCCACGCTGAGGAACTCCTGGGACAGCGCGCGCTCCACGGAGGGCTTCAGCTCGTTGAAGAACGCCTTGAAGTTGCTGTTGATAGCCGCGTTGACGATTTCGCCTGAAAAGAGGGAACATGACGTGTGAATGAAGGGGGTCGATGGAGGCGGTCAAAATCCAGGATGTGTTTTGAGCTCGAGTGTCCCCAAATGGGACTCGAACCGAACGTGTGACCCCACCAATGAATTTCTTCTGGAACAAGAAATCCATTGGTGGGGTCAAGCGCTCAGTTCGAGTCCTGTTCAGCGACTCCGGAGCTCAAAACGCGTCTTGAGTTTGGGCCGCCGTCGCCGGTCATCTGGCCCACTGTGGTAAGGTGTTGGGTTCGGGCCGGCGGTCGTCTGCCATTCGCCACCCACATTAGCAGAACTGCAGTTTTTCCAGTGCACTCACCGAGCGTCTGCTGGCCGCCGAACAGGTTGTCGAGGTGCAGCGAGCCTCGGCCCACGGCGATACGCACCACCAGGGAGTCGTACTTGAGGTAGTCGACGCCGTCGCGCTTGGACACCGTGCCCTTGAGACGCACGTCACCCTTGCAGTCGGCTGGAGAAGGAGTCACACAAACGGAAACGAATTAAAACAGAGAACAAAACATGAAACAACAAATGGAACAAAGCAGAGCAAATATGTCGTCGTTTGATTTCCAATCACGGCAAAGACAGTGCCCGAGTTTTCCCAATGCCACGCCACCGTGGAAAAAAAGATGGCCATTTTTCCAGGATCACCGCAAAAAATCCTTACTTTTTCGGACCTTTTTTTGCACATCTTTCTGTGAGAGGCGGACTGCGGAACCCCATCACTGTTTTTGCCGCGAAGGCGATGGCTTACTCATGTTGCCGCTGAGCTGGCCGGCCCCCCTGACGGGCAGCAGGAACACCCTGCCGTCCACGGTGTAGTCGCCCAGGATGAAGAGCTTGGGCAGCGTGATGGCCATCTCGATGTCGTTGCGCTCCAGGTCCACCCTGTGGGCAGAGGGCGGTGTGAGTGTGTGCGTGAGAGTGAGAAGTGAGTTTAATGTACATTGGCTTGAGCATAATGCTCACGCCGTGAGCATGGGCGTAGGCATGGGCGTGGGCATGGGCGTGGGTGTGAGCGTGAGCGCGAGAGTGGGCGTGAGAGTTTACATGAGGGAAGGCGTGTGTTTTGCTTGCGAATTGCCTACCCAACAGGCGTTTGTTAGGGGTAGATTACCCCTTCCCCTTTTACTCACTCACTCACTCACTCACTCACTCACTCACACACACTCTTCCAGTGGGTGCGCCACCGCCAAGGCGCTCTCCGTGACGCTGGTGGTCCTCACCTCAGCCTGTTGATCTTGAAGTCGCTGCAGCCGAAGGCCTTGACGTTGCGCGCGCGGATGCGGATGCCGGTGGACTCGCCCACCCTGATCTCGGGGATGATGAGGGGCTCCAGCGAGGGCACGTGGAACTCGGGGATGCCTGGCAAGCAAACCGCGGCGGTTACTCGTGGTGCCCTGGCCGTGCACGGCGTCTGTCCGGTACGTCAACGTCGACATGGTTTACCTTTGACGAGGTGCGACCGCAGCTCTTCCACGGACCGCTTGACGCACTGGTCCACCTGCGGGTCGTTCTTCTTGCAGATCTTGATGAAGTCGGCTGCGGGAGAGAGAGAGAGAGACGCGCACGGGCGTGCTACAGTGTGGTACAGAGCGAAACAGAGAAATGGCGTTTTCATTTTCGCCAAGCCGTAATGTCATTCCTCATTACCCCGGCGGGATGCAACCGGCTAGTCCCCACAGGAGCGTCGCGCCGGTTGCCCCACAACGACGCATTGCGCCGCCTTGCACTGGCCGACGCACTTGCAATGCACTTGCAACGCACTTGCAATGCACTTGCAATGCACTTGCAACGCACTTGCAATGCACTTGCAATGCACTTGCAATGCACTTGCAACGCACTTGCAATGCACTTGCAATGCACTTGCAATGCAACTTGCAAGCACTTGCAAGCACTTGCAATGCACTGCAACTTGCAGCACTTGCAACGCACTTGCAATGCACTTGCAATGCACTTGCAATCTTGCAAGCCTTGCAAGCCTGCAACGCACTTGCAATGCACTTGCAATGCACTTGCAATGCACTTGCAACGCACTTGCAACGCACTTGCAATGCACTTGCAATGCACTTGCAATGCACTTGCAATGCACTTGCAACGCACTTGCAACGCACTTGCAACGCACTTGCAATGCACTTGCAATGCACTTGCAACAAACGTCGGCGTACTCACCAAGTCGTTACCTACCATCTTGTCATGCGCTCGGCATTCGGACCGTTCGGACCGTTCGGACCGTTCTGTTCTGACGCACGGCCGGGGAGTATCGCCGCGCGTCACGCGGTGTCACGGCGGCTACGGCGGCCAGGCTCGACGGCGCACAGTGGGCCAGAAGGCCGGCGCAGGCGGCCAAAACTCTGGACGCGTTTCGAGCTCCAGAGTCGCTAAACAGGACGCGAACCGAACGTGTGACCCCACCAATGGATTCCTCGTTCGGAGAGCAATCCATTGATGGGATCACACGCCCGGTTCGAGTCCCATTCAGCGACTCTGAGAGGTCGAAGCGCGTCTAGAGTTTTGGCCGGCTGGGCCGGTCTTCTGGCCCACTGTGCGGCGCTACCCCGCGTCGCCAGGTCCCCCAGGTACTTACGTATCGGAATCTCGGCCTCGACGCCGGGCGCCATGGCGGCCAGGGCACCCATCAGGCCCAGCGCCATGAGGGGGAACATCGGCTTCATGGCGGACGACAAGCGGGGCTCTCTGGAAGCAGACAAGGGCGACGTTGAGACGTTTGGCGGGCCTGGAGCGCGCAGCGCAGCACATGCCAGTGGCGGATCAAGAGCCACCCCGAGAGAGGAGCAAAGCAGCACTGTTACCGTTTGCCTTCTTACAGGTACAAACGGCAGTGGCAGATCTAGGGACCCGGCCCGCCAGATGGGCAAAGTACCGACGCAAATTCTCTGGGACAATGGCGCTTTGCCTGCCTTTCTGTGGTTCTAGGGACTCACACTGCAAACCTAACTGTCTACTAAGTACACACTTACAAATGCGTGCTTGCAAGTACACACTTACAAACGCATGCTTGGCCAAGTACACACTTACAAATGTATGCTTGCAAGTAGACACTTACAAACGCATGCTTGACGCCGTATAACTCCATGCGTCAAGCATGCGTTTGTAAGTGTGTACTTGCAAGCATGCATTTGTAAGTGTGTACTTAGTAGACAGTTAGGTTTGTAGTGCAGGGGCCACAACCGTCCTTTTGCCCCCTACTGGATCCGCACCCGGCACGTGCAGTAGTACGTGCTGCAGGCACGAGCAGCCCTCAGTACGTGCTTCAAGGTCGGCTCCCTGCGTGAGCTCGCCGGGGAACCGTGTCGCAACCGTTTGAGCAGTGTACTCCGCTCCCAAGTGCAGCTGTTCCACTTTTCCCCGAATTCGGCCGGCCGTTCGCGGACAGTGTAGCGCACCGCGACTCCGGGCGCCGCGTCTCCTGGCCGCGCGGCCGCACCGCGACACGCCGCGGCGCCGCTGCTTCTGCTGCAACGTGTGGCCGAGCCAGCCAGCAGACTGATCCCGAGAGTCTCTCTCGCACCTGAAGGGACGCCCCGTGAGTACGAGAGAGACAGAGCGACGAAAACGACTCTCGGAATCAGTCCGCAGCCAGGCAGAGATACCCGGCGCCGTGCCCCGTCCCGTTGTTGGGAAGACATTGCGACAGAAAACAGAACAGACTTGTACGCGGCGTGCGCGGGGCGTGCGGCGTGCGGCTGCAGCAGCGTTTCGCTGAGCATGGCGAAGCACGGCGTAGCATTGCCTTACCGATGCCGCAGACCCTTGGCCCTAGGATCAGATGCAAGGGCTTGCCTGCCTGCAGCCTGATTCCGAGAGTCGTTTTCGTCGCTCTGTCTCTCTCTCACTGCACGCGACACCACATGAGTGCGAGAGGGACAGAGCGACGAAAACGACTCTCGGAATCAGGCTGCTGCCTGGGTTCGCCACAAGCAACTCGTAGCGGCGCGCCAATTGGTGTAAAGTAGCCGAGCCGCCAGCAGCGGACCCGCGGCGACCCGCGGCCGCGCAACGAATTTCGACGTTTTTGTGTCCTTGGCGGCGATGGTGCAACGCGAGACAATGGCACGGCCGTGCTAGTCCACCGCAAGCCGACTTTACAACCCCGTGGCCATGTGCGCCGTGCGGAGCCGTGTGAGGTGGCTAAGCCGCGACGCGCCGACGCACAGTGGGCCAAAAAACCGGTGGAGGCGGCCAAAATTCGAGAAGTGTTTTGAGGTCCAAAGTCGCTAAAATGCCTCGAACCGAACCTGTGACCCCGACCCCACCGATGGATTGGTCTTCGAACGAGGAATTCATTGGTGGGGTCACACGCTCGGTTCGAATCCTTTTTGGCGACTCTAGAGCTCAAAACGCGTGTAGAATTTTGGCCGCCTCCACCGGTCTTCTGGCCCAGTGCGACGACGCGGGCACAGCTCTGGAAGGATGCGCGCCGCGACACAACCGAAACCGAGGAACGCGCACTGTACAACGGGCCTTGCCCAAAAGAAGGTGGCCCGCCTTTCTCAATTTCGCTACTTCGTGACAGCAACTGGACCAAACGTCACCGTCACCACACTGCACACCTGGCGGAAAGGACTCGGGCGTGGCGGATACAGGGTGAAGAGAGGGTGGTGCAGCACAGTGAGCCAAGACCGGTGGGGGCGGCCAAAACACTCGACGCGTTTTGAGCTGTACTCAATGTGTCGCTACTAAACGGTCGCCACTAAATCGGGCTCGGACCGAACGTGTGACCCCCACCAATGAATCGCTCTCCAAACGAGGAATCCATTGGTGGGGTCACACGTTCGGTTCGCGTCCTGTTTAGCGACTCTGGAGCGCGTCTAGAGTTTTGACCGGCACTAGATTCGCGCCGGTAAGGAGCAGCCACCTCAGCCGTGGAAAAGAGCTAACTTTGCCATGGGCTTTTCTTTCGTCGAAGTTGCAAGTCTTCCGCGACACTGGTCAGTGGGTGGATGCAAAAGCAAAGGACGCGAGGAGAAAGGACATGAGGAAGGAGGCGCGTGGCGGCGCGCACGCCATGCCAACGAGATCCACCCCCACCTGGCGGACCGGGAATACCTGGCGCACTTCATTGGGAGTCCGGCCTGCCCGCGTCGCTCTGTCTCTCCAAGCGTCTCTCGCTCCCGCTCGCGCCACGAGTGCGAGAGGGACAGAGCGACGAAAGCATTGTTCGGCACCGGCCTGGCGCTGCCGTCTGTCCCCGTCATGCCGCCGCAGAGTGGGCCAGAAGACCGGTGGAGGTGGAAAAAAACTCTAGACGCGTTTTGAGCTCCAGAGTCGCTAAATGGGACTCCAACCGAACATCTGACCCCACCAATGGATTGCTCTCCGAACGAGGAATCCATTGGTGGGATCACACGTTCGGTTCGAATCCCACTAGCCCCTCTGGAGCTCAAAACGCGTCCAGAGTTTTGTCCGCCTCCACCGGTCTTCTGGCCCACTGTGCGGCGCGGCGTTTTCCTATGTCCGACAACCCGACAGCGCGTGCGGCCGTCTGTCTCTCTCCCATCCTGCCTCGCGCCCGCGTCCCCCATGAGTGCGAGAGAGACAGAGCGACGAAAGCATTGTTCGGAACCGGCTTGCCGCCGCGGAGTGTTCCTATGTCCCACAGCGCGTGCGCCGTCCGTCAGTCCGTCCGCCGACTAGGCCATCTGGGGGTGCAAGGTGAACCGCATGCCGCGCCGCCTGGTCACACGCCGTGCGGAGTCATCGCCGTCCAGGCATGTCATGTCCAGGGGGCGCTCAAGATCAGATTCGGTGGCGGCCTGCGGTTTTGGAGAGAGGGACGGTTTAACACCTGACACGGGGCTGCTAACTCGACCGGGGCGCGAATTATTTCCGTTATTTGGGCAAACCGCAAGAGTGGCATGACTCCATGTCGTGGCCGGTTTGGAGTAAACCTCCATCGTCCACCGTGCCGTCGGGGTACGCCGGATGCCCGTCGTCATGGAGTACGCCACCATGCCCTCGTCATGGAGTACGCCTCCATGCCCCTCGTCATGGAGTACGCCAGCATGCCCTCGTCATGGAGTGGGCCACCATGCCCTCGTCAGAGAGTACGCCACCGAGCCCGCCGCGAACGCAAGGGCTCTGCCTACGTGCTCTCTTTAACATGCGCAGCCTAAACTCACACTCACTGAGATTTCAACTTGCATACTCCTGTATGTGGTCAATTTAGCGAGGCAAACGCCGGAAAGCAGGCAAAAAAAAAGCATACCTGAGCCCACTGGGAATCTCAAGAAGATATCAATGATACCCCAAACCCACACGGAAAATAGACGTCTATAGATTAAGCTAGACCGTCTAGATGTGGTCTTCAAAAGTCTATCTACGTCTATAGACAAATTTAGACAATCTATAGATGATCTTTAGTGTCTATAGACATCTATGGACTGAAGTAGACGGTCTATAAATGATCTAACGCGCCTCTAATCCGTCTATGTCTAACTATAGATGCAACTGCAGATGTCTATAGATGATCTTTCTTGTCGAAGTTCATCTAAGGACTCATAGGACAGATCTACCTGATATCTAGCAAAGGTCTATCGGCAGATGTCCACACGGTAGATTTCATGTAGACAGCTAAGGTCGTTTAAACTTGGACGTCTAAAAATATATCACATGTAGACTATCTATAGATGCACAATGATAGACTTTATGCAGACGCCACATAGATTAATTTCCGTCCCAACTTCTCAGGTCAGCCCATAGCGTAATGGGTGAGATCTTGGTCTTCAAAGTGGAAAGATGTCTTTCTACTCTTTAGATAAGGTACTAGACGGATAAGCTTCTCCTAACTGCCACGAGAGCGCGCCACGCGCAAAGCACGTCTGCCCGCTCGCGGTGACGACTCCGTGAGCCAGTTCTCTTATAGTCTCTACGCCGTTCTCCTTTCTTTTGAAGAGTCCTCTTACTACATTCGCGCTTGAGGCGTGAGGACCTTAAAATTTTTAGGATGTGGCAAGGGCTGGTAGCATTCCCTTGCTCGGCCCACTGAATCCTCACATCAGGTACGAACTGCCCTATTCGATCTAGATGCTACTACCTTCCCAAGCGGGAACCCAACTCGCGTTTTGACCGTTGATACCTTCGTTGTGCGCTACTTGGTACGCAGGGGCTATTCTGAGTCCGTCGATTATAAATCTATCTGCAGACGTCTACTAGAGGAAAAGTAATAGACGTCTAATAGACGTCGCAAATTCGACCATTAGATTATGTGTAGATGATCTACATGTAGATGTCAAAAGACCTCTATTAGACTCATTTCCATCTACAAATAGACGTCTAATATACGTCTTTTAGACGTCTATTTTCCGTGTGGGAAACTGTGTGAATGCTTACTTTTGGGACGGAATAAAGAGCGGAACGACTGAATGCGTTATAGCGATTACTCTGTACGTGATTCAGAGGAGTGAATACCTCCCGACCACTCTCACTCACATCTACATCACTGCAGATAAGTGGCAGACATACCCCTGGCGCCAACGCAAACAATTTTTTAAACAATTTTTTGCACAAATTTAAAAAAATGTTTTAATTTTTTTCTTGAAAACTATTGCAGATTTGAAGCTTATTCTAGTCAATTCTATGACACTGCTAGGGATGAGTCTTCCTGATTTTCCCCCCGCAGATCTGAGCAAGCATGCGAAAAAAAAATCTTACGAGAACTAAAATTTTTAACGTTTCTACTAAATTTCCAAAAAATGGCCAAAGTTACCTTACTTTATGCCAAAATGAAGCTCACTCATTTATCTAAAATGATTTGAATACAGAAATCATAAAATCTTGATCCTTTTTAATCAAAAAAATGTTTTAACAAAGTGCTTTTAACATGTACGAGCCCCCTTAACGTAACGGTCTCAACAAATATTACAAAAAGAATCCACTCGATTTGAGACAAATATGCTCCGTCTCGCATTGAGAAACTCTTTGTTTTTTTTTAGAGTACTGCTCACCCCTGGAACAGTCCTGCCGACGGCCGCACAGCCGAACGGCATCCGCCCATCCCGCTCGGCCGGGCGTCACTGAACCTTACCTTACCGCGAATTATAACGTCTCGACGGCCGGCCGGTCGAGGCAGTCACCTCAGACTCAGATTCCTGCGGTGAGCCTTTACTTTCAATCTTCAATCCGACACCTGTAAGGAAAAGGCACGCAGTAGCGGCCGCGCGATCCAAAAGGCGCTCAGTTGCGCGCCTGCGATCTGAAAGGCACGCAGTTTGCAGCGCGCGATCCAAAAGGCACTCAGTTTGCCCCGCGCGATCCAAAAGACACGCAGTTTACCGCTGGCGGCCGGTAAACTGCGTGTCTTTTGGATCGCGCGGGGCAAACTGAGTGCCTTTTGGATCGCGCGCGGCATACTGCGTGCCTTTCAGATCGCAGGGCCGCAACTGAGCGCCTTTTGGATCGCGCGGCCGCTACTGCGTGCCTTTTCCTTACAGGTGTCGAATCACGGAAAGTGCCGCCTTGGAATCCGAGGGATTGCCGTGGTTATTTATAAGACCAAGGACTTTGAGTGGATTTTCAAAGCAGTGGAAATTGGCATTATTTCATGCGGAACAGAAATAGATTCGTCTCATAAAAATGATAATATTTTTAATCAGTACATGATGGGAAATGAAAAAGAGTTATTGAACTGCACAGGTGCTTTTAAAGTGCTATAAAATTTTAATTTTGCATCAAATCTCAGACATATATTGACAGATCTTGCTTGTCTTGTCTAGAGAAAATTATTTCCGTAACGCAATATCAATTTGGACAACTTTGAAATTTATTAAAACACAGGATTCCAGGGTGGTGCTCACTCACACCGTGATAAGACCAGAAGTACGGACTCGTGGATAGGGTGTGGCAAGGCCTATTTTCATTGTTTTGGTTAAATAAAAACGCGAGCATGGACCTTGACCACATTCGAACACGCGACATCACTGCTTCGTTGACATGACTCTGAACCACCGCTCACAGTTTATCACCCTGCGTGGTTCGAGGCATCGCCGCAAAGCAAACTTCCCCAGTCCGACCGAGAAGGGGAGCAACTTACAACAATCATTGCACAAAATTTAAACACATTCCACTCACATTCGGGTGGCAAAAACGCGTGTTAGTTGGCAAAATAATGTTGCTAATGCGCCAGACATTTTGCCTATTCTAGCACATCCCCACAATCGCTTCGCTGTGCACAAAATTTTACAGTTGGCCGGGCAATACTACACTGCCCCCGGAGTTCCGCGCTGCTCCACCCTCTCCTCGGCGCGCACCCTGGACTTACCGTGGGGCAGGTCTGCGTTCGTCGGCTTGCGAGGAGTCTGAACTGATAGCCGTGGCCAAAGTAAATCCCAGATTCGTCTCATCACCACTCGGCGGCGAGCCCCGGCCCTGCCGGCCCGCCTGGGTGGTGGTGGCGGTGCGGCGGCGGTGGCGGCGGTGGAGGGGGTGCTCCTGGAGGGGGCAGGTCCCCGGCGGTCCGCGGCGGTCCCCGATGAGTCTCGCACGCAAACAGAGGCACTTGACATTGAAACGCTGCGACGCCGCGGTGCCGCGATGTGTGTGTCATTTTGAGTAGCCGTCCTCGGTAGGGGGATGCGGCGCCGGGATCCCCACCCTTTTCCTTCAGTCCTCCAGGCATCTCAGCCTTAAGGCAGGTGGAGCAGTGCATACGTTGATGCCAAAAGCAATTTCGTAGTGTATAGGGTTTTTAAAATACTGGTAAAGCAACAGGCGACTTGAGCTAGGTGAAATAATAATAAAGGAAGAAGAAGAATCTACACGAACATGGCGCCTGGTCGTTGATTGGCCCTAGCAGCCGACGGCAACCGTCCGCCATGGTCGTGAAGATCTTTACTTCCTCTTCTTTCGCCTAGCTCAAGTCGTCTCTCCCTGATACCGAAAGAACTGAACTGACGCGCAATAAGCCTGAAGCCTGATTTCAAGCGCAGTGGTTGCTCTACTCGGTTTCAAGCGAATGCAGCAAACACGCGTTCAATCAGCAGCCTGATTCCGGACTGTGTTGTGTTGTTCGCTGATGGGAGGACCTGCGGGGCTGCGGAGGAGACGAGGCGACGACTGCGCTGTTCTGACTCAGCCTGCTGAAAGAAAGACGACATGGAAATACATTGCGTGCCGTGGCCGGGCCGTGGACAGGCTGTGGCCACACTCTGAGAAAAAATGACGGTAAATCCTGGATAATTTTTTTGCCAAACTTTACCGTACTTCAAAAACCAGTATCCACCGTACAGTCTACAGTATTTACCGTACTTGTTTTACAAAATATTCCGTAGTCATTTAACAGTAGTTACCGTTCTTCCGTACAGTCCATGCCGTAGGAAGGACCAGATCTGGTCCCAAAAAAGGCCGCTTCCAAGAATTGTCAACATCAGGATCTTGAAGAAAGGGGGTCGACCGACTGAAAAATTTTATTGCACCTGTCTATAGGTCTCGTCAAGACCTTTATAACGAGTGGTCGGAAGGGGGTTCAGGAGTCTGACTTCAGCAGTTGCGTACATCAGGAACTTGGAAAAAGAGGGTCAACCGACTAAACGAAATTATAGTAGTTTTTGATAGATATTAAATTGACGGGATCGCCGGGTAAAAAAGTACGGGATTCCCTGTAAAAAGTACGGTGTTGCCTGTAAAAAAAGTACAGTATTGCCTGTAAACAGACGACGTTATTGCCTGTTAAAAAAGTACGGTGAAGCCTGGAGTAATCAGTACAGGACTTACCTTGATCTTTTCTCGCAGTGCAGGCTGTGGCGGGGCCTTCCTGCCCGACCCTGCACGTCCGTGTGGGCTTTAGCCGAGGCTTTGGCGGGCCTGGCGGCCTGGCCTGGCCGGCAGCCCGGGGGCCGCCTCCATCCTGGACGCGCGGTGCCTGCCAAGCAGAGCCTACCGCACAGCAGCATCCAAAGTTCTATGGAAGCGCCGTAGTGCGAACGTTTCTGACTTTGATGACTTTCCTGGCTCTCTGGCTCTGTCTTCACTGGCTCCACTTGCACTGGCTTTTCTGGCTTAACTAGCCATGATCGTCTCTGCTGGCTCGGCTGGTTTTATCATTTTATCGTTTTATCATTGTTGGCTCTACTGCTGTACTGCTGCTCCACTGCTCTCGCTGCCTCCATTGGCGCCATTAGCTTCGGTGGCTCCACTGACTTCGCTGGCTCGATTTCGCTAGATGCACCGGCTTCGCTGGCCAGAGAACATCAGTGGATTTTCCTGGAAATTGACCGATTCCTGGAAATCCCTGGAGATGGTTTTACCATTGTGGCAGCACTGGCTTCACTGACAGAAACAATTTCGCTGGCTCCACTGACTACGCTGTCTCCACTGAGTACGCTGGCTGACTCCACTGACGACGCTGATTCCGCTGACTACGCTGACTCCACTGAAGCCACTGACTCCACTGACTTCGCTGGGTCCACTGACTTCGCTGGGTCCACTGACTTCGCTGGCTCTATGGACTCCCTTGGCTTGGCTGGCTTGGCTGCGACGCTATTTCGACAGGCCCTAATTGTGCGCGTGGCTTAGCTAAGAGCACCGCCAGTAGTACACGGCCACGACCCTCCCCTCTCCCTTTTGTGGTCTGCCTGTCTGCACTATTACCCCCCTCCCCCTCCCTTTCCTCCCCTCGAACCTCGTCCTGCACTTTCCCTAAACTTGACCCTCGCAACGCACACAGACGCACGTGCGTGGAGTGTCGTCGACGGCAGGTCGGTGGTGGGCGCGTGGTACACTAGTTGCTTGGGTGCAGTCCGACGAACATTGAGAGCTAAACTCGCATCTCCGCTTGAATCCGAGATGAAATCGGATAAAGCTCGGTTAGTTCAAGTGCAATGAGACAGTCTTGTACTGCTTCTCTCGCTTGCAAGTGCCAGACACCACTTAACAGGTTGGGACAAACGCACATTTATTTTGATTCGCGCCAGAAAGTATGAGACCGCACTGCAAATCTAGGTGTGAGACAGTCTCACACTATTTAGTGCAAACCACTTTTTCTCACGCTTGCAAGTGTGGGAGACGGCGTCCCACTGTTGCTGCCTGATGTTCCCTGTGGTTCAATGCCAGAGGATGTCAGACAAGTGGTTCGCACTTAATAGTGTGAGACTGTCTCTCTCTTGGCAGTGCAGTGTCGGCTCAAAATTGACCCAAAGTTTTAAATTGTAATAAAAATTTAAACAGCTGGCAAGGGCATTCTTTTTCTTTTGCTGGGTCGTGCGTGAAGTGGACGCGAGGCCCGGCGGCTACGACATTGTAGCGCCGCTCTGTTCGGCTGAACCGCAGCGGCAGTGCGTTAGAAAAGGACGAGGAGGCAAGGGCATCCTTGCTGGGTCGTCGCGTGCCAGTCGGGACGCAGTGCGGGGCAGGCGGGGCAGTGCGGGGCAGTGCGCAGCGGCAGTGCGGGGCAGTGCGGGGCAGTGCGGAGAGGCAGTGCGGGGCAGTGCGGGGCAGTGCGGGCAGGCGGGCAGTGCGGGCAGGGGGGGCAGTGCGGGGCAGTCGGGCAGTGCGGGGCGGGCGGCAGTGCGGGGCAGTGCGGGGCAGTGCGGGGCAGTGCGGGGCAGTGCGGGGCAGTGCGGGGCAGTGCGGGGCAGTGCGGGGCAGCGCGGGGCAGCGCGGGGCAGTGCGGGGCAGTGCGGGGCAGCGCGGGGTCTCTGGCCATCGCTGAAGCCACACTGTGTCAAGGTTCCTGTCCATCCGTGAGGCAGGCTCCCTCGGTCCAGGCCGCCGCCTGCTCCGGCCCCTGCCCCTATTTCTATGTCTCTTTGTTTTTGTAACGTACGCTACCGTGCGCCGTATTTTGGGTGCGGTGTTTGAAAGTCACAAACAGAATTGTTTCACGCGCACGTGCGCACACACAGACACACGGACACACGCTCACACTCTCACTCATATATACACACACATGCACATACACACGCGCGCACACAGAGACACACCTACACATACACCTCACACGCACGCACACTTTCACGCTGCCGACACGTAGTGGGGCGTGCAGGGTTTACCGACACCACAAACCTAAGGCCTTCGGACTTTGTGGTACCGTTTTGTTTGTTGGTTTTCCAAGCTTCCTACACATTCGGCACTTCCGAGAACTCTTCTATTTTTATCGTGGACCATCTATGACATGATGAGACGTATGCGCGATGTTGAGCGTAAATGGGAAACGCCGGGTCACTCGTCGTGGATCTCGACCACCGTTCAAATAAATTACACGAAAACAAACATCAATTTCTTTTTTCTTAACAACGCAGTTTTTTATTTGCAGAAATATAAATAAAATTATCAACAACAGAAACATACAAAAAGTGCACATTTCCCAAACAGTCCATTTCAAAGAAAGTCTATCATACTGCACGGTACTAGGACCGCAATAGTCCTTTAGGTCAAAGATGTTATTATAACTCGACCAATCACGCTCCGGATTCGGAGCACAACGATCTCAGCAGATCTCATCAAAGTCTCAACAAATGGGTCTTCCCCCTAAGTTTCCTCTCGAAATTTACGATTTCCATAATCAGTAGGCGTCGGCAACAATTTTCAGGTAGTGTCAGTACAGTAGTTTGTCTTTATCCTCCGTTAAAGCGTCCTTTCACTCGTCTAGAATCCAGTACTCGTAGGGCACCCTGCCGAAGAGGTTGTTGATGAAGGTCCTCATGGTCTGCAGGAGATGCTTCTTGATGGATGGCTTCATTTCCTTCAAGAGCTCCTGCCCGTTTGTGTTGATGAAAAGGTTCAGTGCCGCTTCTGAAAGTTAGAAAAGAATTATGAATGAACTTAATCAGTTTAGGACTTAATCAATGAACTAATCAACTCGGGAATCAAACTATGAATCATGAAGTAACACTATTAAACATCAAATGAAACATAAAACATCAAATGAAACTTGAAACATCAAATGAAACTTGAAACATCAAATGAAACTTGAAACATCAAATGAAACTTGAAACATCAAATGAAACTTGAAACATCAAATGAAACTTGAAACATCAAATGAAACTTGAAACATCAAATGAAACTTGAAACATCAAATGAAACTTGAAACATCAAATGAAACTTGAAACATCAAATGAAACTTGAAACATCAAATGAAACTTGAAACATCAAATGAAACTCGAAACATCAAATGAAACTTGAAACATCAAATGAAACATCAAATGAAACTTGAAACATCAAATAAAACTTGAAACATCAAATGAAACATGAAACATCAAATAATGAATGGATGAATAAAATCAATGAATCAATGCAGAACTCAACTCATACATAAGTCAATCAATGAACCAATCGATTTATAAACCAATCGATGAATGAATGAACGAACGAACGAACGAACGAATGAATGAATGAATGAATGAATGAATGAATGAATGAATGAATGAATGAATGACTGAACGAATGAATGAATGAATGAATGAATGAATAAATGGCCGCTTTAACAATGAAGGAATGCCTCAATCGATTGGGCTGTGAAGCGGAAGAGTGAGCCAAGTCGACTTATCCCAAAATTGAGTTTTTTCCAGAAAACTGTTCTCAAAAACATTTAGCATCACCTCATAAAAGGCCCTGGTCTATATCTCACTTAGTTTCATGGGAAAACAGAGTTAAAAAATGAGCTAACTTGACATATCCCCTTTTACGTTAAGTGAACGGTGGAAAAAAGAGATATGTCAAGTTACCTCTAAACTATTTCTACACTTGTTCTAAATAAATGCTCTCAGAAGGTTTGAATTTTTATATTAAATTAGCTTACTAACAGGAGAACTCAGACCAGCAGTTTGCACTCTCAACTCCAACTCATTCTTGAGATATAAATGTTTACGCTAAAAATGTAGAAATTGCGTAAACCTTTAATACTCAGAAACGAATAGGAGTTTGGGGTTTAAACTAGTGGTCTGACTTACTCTAATAGTAAGCTAATTTTATGCACCAACACAATTATGATACACCTCTTTAAATCATTTTTAAATGACTTGTCTCATTTTGAGTGGGGTTTCGCAAATGTATAAGTTGACTTATCTCATTTTACCACTCCGCAACTTGGGATAAGTCACCAATGTTATAGAAATATTGATGATACACCATATATGCCAAATGATCTGTTATTGGTTTATATTGGTAAATTATTTTCAGTCTGAACATTTCAAAACAAAAGGGGGCAACATGTTTTTAGTATTTCCTGAAAAGTGAGCGGATTTGACTTATCTCCTTCTTCCGCTTCACAGCCCGATTATCGAATCAACAAAGCGACTGGTTTTGAGACACACCGATGATGGCGTTGTCCTGCTGGCTCTTGATGCCCATTTTGATGTCCTTGACGCTGAAGTCCATCTTGATGTCGTCCACTTGCAGGTAGGTGAGGTCATTTGCTTGCTCCTGGCGCGCCTTGAAGTAGACTTTGGCCCGCACGCCCTCTGACGAAACAAAAGACATTATCAGCCTCAGAGATGTACCTTGTACGGGGGTGCAAGCAAGGAGCCAGGTTATTTCACAGTGCTCTCGGACGCTCTGTCTCTGTCGCACTCCTACGATACGTGCCGTGAGTGCGAGAGAGACAGTGCAACCAGGCTACTTTTTGGAATCCTGCCGCTGGGCTAGCACCACCGAGCAAAAAATTGCACCCGATCTCCGGAAAATTACTGTGTTCTATTTTGCCAAAAGCTTCAAAATGATTTCCTCCCGAATTTTTAGTCTAATTTTAACAGTGAGTCAAAGTGCGTTCTTGGCTTACCGTATTCGCCCCAGTAGTCGCCGCCCCCGGTGGCCTGCACCATGATGAGCACTCCGGAGGACCGGTACTGCGCCCTGGCCCTGATGTGCGGCACGTAGAAGCTCAGCTGGAACTCCATCGAGTCCAGGTTTGACCTGCACACACACAAACCGGGAATGTCATTATATTGTTATCATCATCACTCATCATCACGACATCATCACATCATCATCATAGTATCATAATCATCATCAGTCATCATCATCATCATCATCATCATCATCATCATCATCATCATCATCATCATCAGTCGTAATCATCATCATCATCATCATCATCATCATCGTCATCGTCATTGTCATCATCATCTTCAACTACGATAATGATAAAGATGTAACAAGCCCCTCAAATTCGGAGAGGATCTTACGGGGGCACGGAGAGGTGCGGCCTCGGGTGCGGCTTTTCATCTTTTACATTGTGGCTCATTCTTCTCTTACCTGACGCCCGTGACGGTCATGTTGCTGACGCCGAACGCCTCCACGTCCCGGAAGATGGCTCGGTAGCCGTCGGGCCCACTGCCCAGCGCCAGGTGGATCTCGTTGATCATGATGGGCTCCACCTCCTCTACTTCCAGCTCGGGGATGCCTGGGGAAACGAAGACGGAGTTCACTCTCAGCCCTCCCGACTTTTTCTTCGTTAAATACGTAATAGGCTACTAGTGTTTCAAGTAAATCTGACTAAATCCGACTTTAACTGTTCGCTCCCTGGGAAAACTGGTAGCAGGGCAAACGCTTATTGAGACTTCGGGTGCCCTTTTGTAAACGGATAGAGATAGAAAAGTTATGCACAATTTAAATTCCAGTTTCAAATCTAGCTTCATGCTTGTGATAACTAGCATAACTGTCGACGCCTCCTAATAGAATAATCCTAACTGTCAGTGCTGATCCAAGACAATTCTAACTGCTCAGAGGTTTCAGAGGAGGCTAAAGCTGCTGATTATAATGAGCAGCTTTCTTCAGTCCAATGCAGCGAATTCATCATATCACTGAAATACAGCTTCCACGTTTATATGCAAGGTTTATACTTTTTAACAAGTCCATTGCCAAGCAATTTGAAGCAGCATGTTGGCGTCGGCGTCACAGCATTTTAAAAGTGATAGCTTTTTACGTCGTACAATCTGCGCTGACAGTTAGGATTGTCTTGGATCAGCACTGACAGTTAGGTTTATTCTATTAGGAGGAGTCGAACTTGTTCATCTCGAGACGTTTAATAGATGCAATTCAAAAAAATCACCAAAAAAGTTTAGTTTGAATTTGTACACCCGGCCTGCCGCGCAACGAGGGCAGGGAGTGTCGGATGAGTGGCCCACCCTCCAGGCGTTGTCGCCGTGCCACGGCGCCACACTCACCGTTCCTGAAGTGCTTGACGAGCGTGTTGGCGGAGAACTGGAGGCACTTGTTGATCTCGGGGTCGGACCGCTGGCATTGATGAATGAAGTAGGCTGCCGACAGAGCGGAGGGAGGGCGTTACGCAACAGGACCATGCACTTCTCGCGCGCGTGGCGGTTTGGCGCCGCCGGCCTACGGGACTCATCAGCGGTTCGCCGCTCGCACAGTGGGCCAGAAGACCGGCGCCGGTGGCTGAAAATCTAGACGCGTTTTGAGCTCCAGAGGCCCTAAACACGACTTGAACCGAGGTGTGACCCCACCAATAGATTCCTCGTTCGGAGAGCAATCCATTGGTGGGGTCACACGCTCGGTTCGAGTCGTGTTTAGCGACTCTGGAGCTCAAAACGCGTCTAGAGTTTCGGCCGCCGGCGCCGGTCTTCTGGCCCACTGCGCCTCGCCGCGAAGAGAGTCGGGGTGAATAATCGCGTCCGGACACAAAGTTTTCCTCTCCAAACAACGACCCCCCCTTTTCCGCGTCAACCGGACTGTCCTTTGTTTTTGCCATCAGCTGTCCGGTGGACTTCCCCCTGACTGGACTTTCTCTCGGACTTGGCGGGCTGGGCGCGCCTCGCCTCGCCATAAGGCCTGCCCCGGCATGGCCGGGCTTGGCCGGGCCACAGTGGGCCAGAAGACCGGGGGAGGCGGCCAAAACTCCAGACGCGTTTTGAGCTCCAGAGTCGCTAGACAGGACTCGAACCGAACGTGTGACCCCACCAATGGATTCCTCGTTCGGAGAGAGCAATCCATTGGTGGGGTCACACGTTCCGTTTGAGTCCCGTTTAGCGACTCTGGAGCTCAAAACGCGTCTAGAGTTTTGGCCGCCTCCCCCGGTCTTCTGGCCCACTGTGCGGGCCGCCCATCTGAATCCATCTCGCTGCCCGGCGGCTGGCGGCGTCCTGGCCGGCAGCCCGGACGCCCGGACGGCACTGCCACGCCACTGCCACGGCAGGGCAGGCCGAGGCTGGCTTCCGGCGGAACGCTTTGCCGCTTTGCCCAACGCCTCGCCGGCGCCACCGGCCGGGAAGCGCCGCGCCGCGCAGTGGGCCGAGACCAGTTTCTGCGAGCCAGGGCGCCAAAACTCAACATAACTAATAACGTCATTACTCTGAGATTGAAGAAGTCATAACCAAGACCAAAATTTTCGCTGGGGCCATGGACTTTGTCACCTTAATTTGGGTGATGAAGGTTTTTGTAATATTCTTTGCTTTCTTTGCTATGTAGCTCATAGGTAGCAGACACGTCCTCCTTTGCCCAAATTTGGGTTAGGAAAACCTTCATCACCCAAATTTGGGCGATAAAATTATACTCACCCAAGTTTGGGTTGTAAGGAAATATACCGTACCCAAAATATGATATTGATCGACAATTCTCAGTTGAATAAGAGACCAACGTTTTGTACGTCGCCGAAGTTGTTTGATTTCTCTTCATGGCATGCAACTTTTAATAACGCTCATTGATTTTCAATTTCAGTCAATTCTATTAAGAGAAGCTCCAGACAAAAAAACCACTTGGTCAGCGACATCCTAGGAGCGGGCGCTTGTGGTGTTTTATCGGTTCCCTGTATGTATATGAACTGCCGAAAAGACACTTGGACGAAATCCGACACCCCCTGTGGCTTTGGTACGGGTCTAAACACCCCAAAAACAGCTGTTTTCGAGGGTTTGGGACTAGATGGGTTCTCGCAAACCGAGATCCAAAAAAGTACCCAAATGGGTCTCAGATACTCAAAAAAATGCGCTCTTTCGAACGCCGTGTCGAACGAGGCTCTACGACGTCGGGTTTGGATGCTACGGGCTCTCAAAGTTGCTCAATTTCACTATTTTTACTGAAGATTTGAGCATATCAGGGCCGTTTGAAGTAGACAATCGGCGATTTCGCTCCTCTTTGTCTTAAATAATGCCTACCCATAGGTAAACACCTCCACAAAATTTCAGCCATGTCAGGCAATTATTACAGGAACTGTGAACAATTTAAGTTTTGGGTCATTTTACCACTGGGCTTAGGTGGTTTTGGGTCCAGAAAAAATACTTTTTTAGCCATCTACTTTTGATCAGCGACTCTTGAAACGCCTTTTTAACATGGTGCCTCAAAACTTTTTTTCGAGGACAAACTTGTCTCTTTCTAGCTGTAATTGGAACATAACATTCGTATACATACAATGGACCGATAAAACACCACAAGCGCCCGCTCCTAGGATGTCGCCGACCAAGTGGTTTTTTTTGTCTGGAGCTTCTCTAAGGTAACTACGATACCTCCTGATAAGAAACACTTTTCCGTTGGCTTCGTCGCTCAAAGAACGAGAGGTTTTACGAAACTAGGGTCAGTTGGGGTAATTATGGGATACGGGGTAAAAATGGGACAGCTGATTCTTAGTCAAAATTTGACATTTTTGAACGCATGACATACCAAATGTGATGTTTTTGGCTGAGCGATAGCGAAGCCTGTTACTCCAGTGGGGTTGAAAAGTTTTGTCTGTCTGTCGGTCTGTCTGTATATATATATTCCAATATAAGATAGGTATGAATAAGTATGGTGATAGACTGACAGAGGTGGTCGTGCCAAAAATACTAAATAAGATGCCAGTAGATTTAAGGAATATACAAAGTCAAAGTGCCATGAAAACAAAATTAAAACAATATTTTTTAAGTGCAAACAATTGAAAAATCTAAATAACAAAAAAAGGTGGAGTTTAAGTTGTAAAAGATTTTTTTGTTTGTAAAAGATTTTTGTTTGTTTGTTTTTATTGATTGTTATGACAGAAAGACAGCAAATCCACCCCTGACAAGCAGTCATGCTTAGGGGTTGTCTTTTTCTAGTTTTAGGCAGTTTATGATTACTATGTTAATGTTTCTATCTGTAAGTGCCTTGTTTAAGTTTTTCTTAATAAAATACGAATTGAATTGAATTGAATTGAATTGAATTGTCTGTCTGTCTGTCGGTCTGTCTGTCGGTCTGTCTGTCTGTCCGCACTACTCCTCCTGAACGGCTCGGCCGATCTCGGTGAGATTTTGCACACTTCTTGGGTATGTCCTTGGCTCGGCACACGCGAAATTTCACCATCCTAGCTCAACTGGTTCAGTTTTTGTAGGCGAAAAACACCTAAAAAACGGCGAAAACTAGAGATTTCTGCAAATAGACCACTTCTGTCTTGGAGAAAGGGGGGTCCCCGACAAGTTGAAAAGTGACAAGGGTCAAGATCGTGTTATCTGTAGATAAAACGACTCTAGTTAGATTGTAGGGGGGTCTGGGGGGCGGAGCCCCCCAGCATTCAACAAGTTACAAGGTAGGTTTACGCCAGACCGCGTCTTGTCGTAACAGGCTTCGCGATGTCTCGCTGCCTGTTCCTCCAATCCACGCCTGGCGTACCTACCTTGGCCTGCGGCGCTAGCCTGCCTGCGGCAGGCAATGGCTTGTCCGTTGTCGGTTATTTTTGGCCCGCCCTTCTATTCAAAAAATAGGGGGAGGGCCTATGCATTTGCCTTTGTGTCTGTGTGTTGTTGTTGTCGTTGTTGTTGTTGTTGTTGTTGTTGTTGTTGGCGTCTGTGTACAAGGAAGGAGTTGAGCTAGAGTAACCAGATTTGGAGGGTACTTCAGGAGTACCGTCCAAACAAATAATCCGGTGGTGCAAATCCCGTCCGGGTCGCACAAGGGCTGCTGCAGGTGCATCATGGTTTACATGAGCGGGAGGGGGATTTCCGCCATTATTGGTGCTAGCAGGGCACATAGGGGTATTTTTGGAATCGGGGCGACGAGACAAGATGAATGGACCTGGTCCCGACCCCATCGGCCGCTTTTACAAGTTGGCCAGATCAGGATCTTCAAAAAAGGGGGTCGACCGACTAAAAAAATTTATTGCAGATTTCGATTGGTCTCAGCAAGACCTTTTCAACGAGGGGTCGGAAAGGGAGTCCAGGAGCCCGACTTCGTCTATTAGTCACATCAGGATCTTGAAAAAAGGGGGTCGACCGACTGAAAATTTTTACTTAAGTTTTGGATAGGTCTTGGCAAGACCTCTTCAACGAGGGGTCGGAAGGCGGGTCCAGGAGCCCGCCTTCATGAGTTATGGGAAAAAGTGCGACGGACTCGTTTTGCGCTCCTGCTGTGCCTCTATTGCAAGGAGTTGCAGTAGCATGCCAAATATGTGTATTTTCGGAATGCGGGCGAAGAGACAAATGAAACGGGCATATTCTAAGGACAGTTGGAGTAAAAAGTGTAAGGACTATTGCATATTGTGAATAGAAGGGCGGGCCTAAGTCACGATGGTACATCGATAACTTTGCTTTACCCGATCACGGTGTGTGTGATGCGAGCGGGCCGAAGGCCCGGGCCTTCGACTGGCCAAGTTGGGTCTGATGCGAGGGCCGAAGGCCCGAGAAATGGCCGCCGGCAGGCCAAGCTGGGCCGGCCCCCTGTCGAACCGGGTTGCCGGCGCAGCGAAGCGGAGCTGGCAACTCGGTTCGACGGAAGGGCGGGCCCTAGCTTGTTTAACTTGTTGAATGCTGGGGGGCTCCGCCCCCCAGAACACCCTACATTCTAAATAGAGTTGTTTTATCTTCAGATAACACGATCTTGACCCTTGTCACTTTTTAACTTGTCGAGGCTGGGGGGCTCCGCCCCCCAGATCCCCCTTTCTCCAAGACAGAAGTGGTCTATCTGCAGAAAACTCTATTTTTCGCCGTTTTTTATGTGTTTTTCGCCTATAAAAACTGAACCAGTTGAGCTAGGATGGTGAAATTTCGCGTGTGCCGAGCCAAGGACATACCCAAGAAGTGTGCAAAATCTCACCGAGATCGGCCGAGCCGTTCAGGAGGAGTAGTGCGGACAGACAGACCGACAGACCGACAGACCGACAGACAGACCGACAGACAGACAGACAGACAAAACTTTTCAACCCCACTGGAGTAACAGGCTTCGCTATCGCTCAGCCAAAAAAATAACCGACAACGGACAAGCCATTGCCTGCCGCAGGCAGGCTAGCGCCGCAGGCCAAGGTAGGTACGCCAGGCGTGGATTGGAGGAACAGGCAGCGAGACATCGCGAAGCCTGTTACGACAAGACGCGGTCTGGCGTAAACCTACCTTGTTATTGAGAAAATAACATTTGCTATGGCACAAGTTCTAAAATCTCGATTCTTGTCTACGAATCAGCTGTCCCATTTTTACCCCGTGTCCCATAATTACCCCAACTGACCCTACGGGTTTGTTACTGGGGTTACATTGTAGTCTTGACACCCTGGGCCCGAAAGACGTTTTCAGCTTCAGAGTCCTCACTGAGAAAATCTTACAAACTAGGCCTAACAAAGAAAAGCAGCTTGTTATAACAAAGTATTTTGAGCGTACACAAGCTTACAAAGAAAATACTTTCTTCGTATAACAAAGTAAATTAGTTTGTATTATGTACGCTCAAAATACTTGGTAAGGTTTTAAGCGTGTACTCACGGGCTTGGTACTTCTCGGCCGCGCTGACGAGAAACAGTGTGGCGACGGCGACGCAGGCTAGCCTGCAGTAGTGTTGTCTTATCTGAAATGAATGAATGAACACAGAGCTGTCACACTGGTAGAACTGCACCGTAAAGACATGGTGTCACTTTTCCTCGTAAGACTTTCAAAGAGTGATTTCCTCCTCTAGGAAGTTTTCACGCCGCCCATGGTAATGACAGTTCCTTTTTGTTTACAGCAGCCATTAAGTCCGGACGGCGCCAGCGGGTTTTCTCGCGTTGCCCTTAAACGTACGGGAGCCGCCGGGCCGCGGGGCCGCGGGGGCTGCCGAGGCTTCCGTCGACGCGCCTACGCTGCAGCATGATTCCGAGAGTCGGTCTCTGCCTCTCTCGGACTCACGGGGCATCCGTACAGATGCGAGAAAGGTCCGATGAAAACGACTCTCGGAATCAAAATTATCGGGGCCTCAGCAGGCTGATTCCGAGAGGCGTCTGTCTCTGTCGCACTCATGGGGCGTACCCAGCAGGAGCGAGAGAGACAGAGCGACGAAAACGACTCTCGGAATCGGTCTGCAGGCGGCAACCCAAACCAAACAAAGCAAATTGTGGGAGCGATTGTCAGGAAAGCCGGCCGGCCGGCCGAAACGGAGGCCTTCTTCGCCTTGGCCGGGCTGACCGAGTGACCGCGTGACCGTCAAGTAGGCCGAGGCGACGCCAGGCGACCCGTGGCGACGCGCGGCGACGCGTGGCGACGCGCGGCGACGGCGACGCGTAACGGAACGGATGCTTACGTGCGCGTGGAACGTGGTTCGGGCAGGTTCGGTTCGGAGCGGGTTCAGAGACCTCACGCAGCCATGCGGCCGCTTCGGGGCTGCCTCGATGCGGGCCCACAAATATGATTCAAGCGCGAGGGGTTACCCACTCCGGGAATCGTGTGTACACTCAGTCCGGGAATCGTTCGTGATTTGCTCAAAATTTTATCGAAAATCTTAAAAGTTTCAATGGAGAGGCACAAAACACTCAAAAGCTAAGAAAAATCTTCAAAAAACCTCTCCTTAATGCAAGATTTGTTCAGAAATCGCGGGAATCCGGTATCGTGTGTACGCCCAAGTACCGAGTGGGTAACCCCTCGTTCAAGCGTGATTTAACTTTATGCCCCAATCACTGACTCATCCAACCCATCACACTGACATTTTCAATATGTTGAAGGGAAACTTTGAATTTTCTTTCATTAATTTTTTGATTAGGTTGATGTGTATGATCGCCAACGCCGTAACGGGATGACGTGTGACGTCAAGAAATTCCAGAGTTTTGCAAGGGCAGAGTGTATACAAAACAAGAAATAATTCTTTGATTATTAAAATTAAGACTGCAAAACAGACTTTTTTTTGTTCTCAAGGCCAAAATTGTTAAACAAACAAGAAAAAAACTATCGTTCGATACTTGAATTTCAAACTAAAAGACTGAGTTATTTTTGTTCAAAACACTTACGCCTGCGGTGCACTGGACACGTAAAGGCTCTCACACTACAAGGACGTGGGCTTTGAGATTGGTGCGCACTTTTGTCAAGAACGGCGTCAAGGATCGCGGGGACGTGGAAGCTTCCGGAGCAGCGGGAAAAGTGACACACACACACACACACACACACACACACACACACACACACTCTAGGCGGCTCCAGGCGTCGGGCCGCGCCACGCCTAAAGCGGGACGGTGGTCGCGTTGCTAGCGTTTTCCGGGTACCCCGGCACGGTGCCCAGTCGAGTCCGGCGCTGGACGCCTCGCCTGGACGCCTCGCCTGGACGCCTCGCCTGGACGCCTCGCCTGGACGCCTCGCCTGGACGCCTCGCCTGGACGCCTCGCCTGGACGCCTCGCCTGGACGCCTCGCCTGGACGCCTCGCCTGGACGCCTCGCCTGGACGCCTCGCCTGGACCCCCCCCTCGCCTGGACGCCTCGCCTGGACGCCTCGCCTGGACGCCTCGCCTGGACGCCTCGCCTGGACGCCTCGCCTGGACGCCTCGCCTGGACGCCTCGCCTGGACGCCTCGCCTGGACGCCTCGCCTGGACGCCTCGCCTGGACGCCTCGCCTGGACGCCTCGCCTGGACGCCTCGCCTGGACGCCTCGCCTGGACGCCTCGCCTGGACGCCTCGCCTGGACGCCTCGCCTGGACGCCTCGCCTGGACGCCTCGCCTGGACGCCTCGCCTGGACGCCTCGCCTGGACGCCTCGCCTGGACGCCTCGCCTGGACGCCTCGCCTGGACGCCTCGCCTGGACGCCTCGCCTGGACGCCTCGCTGGACGCCTCGCCTGGACGCCTCGCCTGGACGCCTCGCCTGGACGCCTCGCCTGGACGCCTCGCCTGGACGCCTCGCCTGGACGCCTCGCCTGGACGCCTCGCCTGGACGCCTCGCCTGGACGCCTCGCCTGGACGCCTCGCCTGGACGCCTCGCCTGGACGCCTCGCCTGGACGCCTCGCCTGGACGCCTCGCCTGGACGCCTCGCCTGGACGCCTCGCCTGGACGCCTCGCCTGGACGCCTCGCCTGGACGCCTCGCCTGGACGCCTCGCCTGGACGCCTCGCCTGGACGCCTCGCCTGGACGCCTCGCCTGGACGCCTCGCCTGGACGCCTCGCCTGGACGCCTCGCCTGGACGCCTCGCCTGGACGCCTCGCCTGGACGCCTCGCCTGGACGCCTCGCCTGGACGCCTCGCCTGGACGCCTCGCCTGGACGCCTCGCCTGGACGCCTCGCCTGGACGCCTCGCCTGGACGCCTCGCCTGGACGCCTCGCCTGGACGCCTCGCCTGGACGCCGAGCAACGCGCGCAACGCGACCACCGGCAGGCGAACTGGAGCCTACAACCCCCTTCCTGGGCTCACAAGTGCCAGAAAAAAAACACTGTAAAAAATTCCGTACTTTTGTACGGAAATGGTACAGAAAAATATAGTACGGAGGTACGGAGAAAAGTACGGAACGTTCCGTACTTGCTCCATGTGAACCCATGTAAATGGTACGGAAAAAAGGTACGGAACGTTCCGTAGTTGGCAAGTACGGACGGTCCAGGCAAATTATTGACCAGACATGTTCCGTACTTTTTCCGTACTTTTTTCTCACAATGAACTAGAAGCGGTGAATTAAATTTTGAGTTTGTAACACCTGGAATGAAAAAAAAATCGTCGTTGGCTTCCGCCATAACCGCACTCTTCAAACCTAACGAACTATTTCCTCGTCAACTAACTAAAACGTTTAATCTTACTTTTTAATTAGTTGGCGAGAAAATAGTTCGTAAATTGCGGCGCAGTTTCTTAGTCAGCTTTGCTGCTCAAAATACTTTGTTATGAAAAGGTTCTTTTCTCTGGAAGGTCCGAAACACCACGGGTTATTCCGGTTATGCGGTTCCTGGCTTTCCGAGGAACTCCCTGGAAATCGCTTATGCCTTTACTTTAAACTATCCGCTGAGAAAACCAGGAACCATTTTCGCCGGCTCTTGAGAGGGCGGTGGTGCTCGGAGCACTGCAAGAAAAAACCACACAAAAGTACACAAATTCCTGGCAAATATTTTATCAGGAATTTATTGTACTTTTAAAGTACAAGAATTTTTGCACAAAGTACAATAGAACCAGCACGACGAGTGCTGGGCAGTCCAGGCCTTGTTGTAGTTTTTACAGTTCTCGTTGTACTTTCTACAATCCCTGTTGTACTTTTGTTGTACTATCCACACTTTTTCTTGCAGTGTGGGGGGGGGGCGGCGCTGGTCGCTCGGACTCACCTCCATGGCGGTGTATCCAGACAGGCACTAGGTCACTGTATCACTGCGCGACCCCGGGCTTTTCAAGGACTCAAGGACCTCGAGGAGCGTCCTTCGGCCGGGACGTGTGGCCGCCAACTGGCTACCACTTCAGGGACGGAGCGGCGGCGGGTCGGGGAGGGAAGGACAAGGGGGGAGGGGGGGGGAGGAGCCGGGCACGAAGAGGTAGTTCGAGTATCGCCTCGCCGCGCTTCTGGCTCCGTGGTGCCTCTGTGGTCCTGGGGGCCGAACGGTGGCGGGGCGGGGCGGGGCGGGTTGGGGCGGGGCGGGGCGGGGCGGGGAGGCCGTCACACACATAACAGTACACGCGAACACGCCATACACACCAGACACGGACGCGGTACCCGAAAAACACACTCCACGGCTTGCTTCCTCAGCTGGAGGCATTGCACCGGTGCTTGCACACCGGGAAAAAAGAGGCTCACGTCGAGGGCTCTTTGAAATTTCAGGACAGAAAAGGGAAAATATCTTCTCTGCAATGTTGATTTTCCACACTTGTTGAACGGGGTTGAACGAGCACCAAACCTAACGCAAGAGCACTCTTAAAGTCTTATGAAGTGACAGTTCCCCATATTATGGTGAAAATCTTGCATAAATTAATGGTGTCGCTGACTTTGTAAATAACATTATAAATTTCATTGCGCATTATAGATGTTTCGTTGAATTTCTTTGATGTTATAGAGAAAATCTCCTCAATAATGTGTTGGTGCCGCTTTCGAGCCTTTCACCGAGGGACATTTCAGGGTATGGTCATCTGAGAGCCTTTGGGGACCCGCCTGCCGTGAGTCGAGCATTCTTCATGTCCGTGGCCGCCGTCCCAGCCGAAAGTCGAGAGTCTAGCCCGGTCGGCCAGGGCACAGTGGGCCAGAGGACCGGTGGAGGCAGCCAAAACTCCAGATGCGTTTTGAGCTCCAGAGTCGCTGAATAAGGACTCGAACCGAACGGGTGACCACACCAATGGATTGCTCTCCTAACGGAGGAGTCCGTTGGTGGGGTCACACGGTCGGTTCGAAACCCATCTAGCGACTCTGGAGCGCAAAACGCGTCCAGAATTTTGGCCGCCTCCACCGGTCTTCTGGCCCACTGTGCGGGGCCCGAACTACCGCAGGGAGGCCCCGACTCCCTGTTTACCTTTCGAATCCATTTTTCCAGGCGAGGCCCACCGCCCACTTTTACCTTTCCCAAGAAGTGCGTCACCGAGGCGGCCAGCTCACTCGCGCCGAGGCGGCCGAGGTCTTGTCCATCTCCCAGTCGTTGGCCAGCAATAAACGAACAAGGACGCTGGGAGATGAGGCCTGGGCAACCTTTCGCCGGCGGCGGGCAGAAGCAGCAGCAAGCCTGCACACTGATTCCGAGGGTCGTTTTCGTCGCGCTGTCTCTCTCGCACCTGTACGTGACGCCCCATGAGCGCGAGAAGGACAGGGCGACGAAGACGACTCTCGGAATCAGTCTGCAGGCACCACCGCCAAAGTGACCGCGTGGCCGCGCACAAGCAGTACGCCGTGAGCTTTCACCATTCATCGACAGCACCGAGGCTGCCGTCTGTCAGGCAAGGCTTCACCCAGCAGACTCATTCCGAGAGTCGTTTTCGTCGCTCTGCCTCTCTCGCACTCGTCCTGTGTCCCACATAGGCGTGAGAGAAACAGAGTGATGACAACGACTCTCGGCATGAGTCTGCTGACTCCGAGCCACGCGTGGCTGCGCGTTGAACCTGTCGCTTCTTCGCTCTGTCTCTCTCGCACTCAGGGGGCTCTCCACAAGGGTGCGAGAGAGACAGAGCGACGAAGCGAATCCTCTGAATCGCTCGTCCGGGCGGACGGGGACTTGAACGCACGCGGCAGGCCGGCAGGCCAGGGGAGTGACCCTGTCTGCAGGCTGAGAGTCGTTTTCGTCGCTCTGTCCCTCTCGCACTCATGGGGCGTTTCCGATGGGTGCGAAAGTGACGAAGCGACGAAAACGACTCTCGGCATCACACAGTGGGCCAGAAGACCGGCGAGGCGGTCTAGACGCGTTTTGAGCTCCAGAGTCGCTAGACAGGACTCGAACCGAACGTGTGACCCCACCAATGGATTCCTCGTACGGAGAGCAATCCATTGATGGGGTCACACGTTCAGTTCGAGTCCCATTTAACGACTCTAGGGCTCAAAACGCGTCTAGAATTTTGGCCGCCTCAGCGGTCCTCTGTGCACCAGTGCGCTGTTCGCTGCGAGTGTGCTGGTCTGCTAGTGTAGTGGAAGCGCGGTGGAAGCGCGCGGCCAATGGCACCTGCTTGCGTTCGATGGAACCTTTCCATACAAGGATGCCGGCGTGCCGCGGCGCCCCGGGGCACAGTGTAGCGGCTTGCGGCTTGCTTCGCGGCGTGGCGGCGGGCGCAGACTGATTCCGAGAGTCGTTTTCGTCGCTCTGTCTCTCTCGCAGACACGGGGCGTTTCCCATGGGTGTGAGAGCGACAGAGCCACGAAAACGACTCTCGCAGTCAGGCTGCAGCACGGCCAGCGGGCTGGTGCCGAGACGGGGGTCCAGTCGGCCTACCTCTCTCGCACCCTTCACGGGACGCGCCACGAGTGCGAGAGAGAGGGCAGACCCCTCACTTTGAATCGGCCTGCTGCTCACCGGCGGCGGGAAGGGAAGGCATTCGCGCTCGGCTGCCGAACCCGGTTCAGCCGCTTCATTCAAACGATACTCCCGCATGGTCCGCTGACCTAGAAAAGAGCGTCCACCGGAGCGAGCAGCGCTTGGAGCAGCGCTTGGAGCAGCGTGGGGCCGAGTGCGCCGCCGTGGCGCCGCCGACAACAAGCGGACCATGCACCACGCCGCGGCATCCTCCGTACACTGGCTGAACCGAGGCCTTGCGTCGCGACTTTTAAAGCTCGCCTCAAAGAGTATGTGACCAAACTAACTCAAAAGGGTGGAGGCAACTTCCCACTGTACAAAATTTGAACACATTCCCCACACCCTAAGTGAAGATTCTCCATATTATGGTGAAAATGTTCCATGTTATGGTTAAATTTTCCATATTATGGTGAAAATGTTCCATATTATGGTGAAAATGTTCCATATTATGGTGAAAATGTTCCATATTATGGTGAAAATGTTCCATATTATGGTGGTGCAGCTGACTTCGTAACAAACCATTAAGAATTCACTGTACCTTATAGAGATTTTGACGAATTTCGTTGGTATTATGCAGAAAATCTCCACCATATTATGTTGGTGCAGCCTTTCACCGTAAGACATTTACTGTGCATTCACGTGACAAAGTACGCCTGTAAGTATGCAGCATGTGTGCCAAATACGCCATAAATCTTGCATATTCTCAAGTCACAATTTTACAGTGGGGCACCCCTTGAGTTGACTTCTATCATTCCGATCTTAAAGGTTGGGGGTTTCACCTCAGCACGATTCAACAAGAGCGGAGGTCGTCAAGTGTTTCATTACGCTCGCGTGAAGCGTAATTTTACCCCTCAGGCCTTACCGTGCAGCTGTCGATGAGTAGCTTTTTCCTGTATTCAAAAACTTCCCAGCCGAAAATTCCGGCCACCCTCCGGCCGGAAAATAGTCCGGCCGGACTCCGTTATGACTCCGGCCGTATTTTGGGTAAATTTCCGGCCGGACACCACCGGACTCCGGCCGGCGAGCTGTCCGGCCGGAGTCCGGTGGTGTCCGGCCGGAGTCCGGTGGTGTCCAGCCGGAGTCCGGTGGTGTCCGGCCGGAGTCCGGTGGTGTCCGGCCGGAGTCCGGTGGTGTCCGGCCGGGACGCGGAGTCCGGCCGGAGCAGACATCAGTCACTCTGACCACAAAGACCATGGGACAGTGTCCAAGGTATGGTCGGAAGGTCAATTTTCGATTCTGAGTCGATTGGTACCATCGCCATACCCGTAGGACCATCCGTTCGCAAAATGACCCAAAAAGTGGAGCGGGTTGCCTACCCAATTGTCATACAATTGTGCCTACCTTCTGGGCGGTGGCTCGGGTCCGGCCGGAATCTGAGGCTCCGGCCGGAGATTTTCAAAAGTTCCGGCCGAACGAAAAGTTCCGACCGGACTTCAAAAATGTCCGGCCGGACCGAGAAATCCGCCGTAAAAAAGCCACCTCCGGCCGGAAAAAGGCTAAGTTCCGGCCGGAACTAGAAATTCCGGCCGGAATCAGGGCCGGAATTTTCGGCTGGGTTCTACAGTTTTGGAGCTTTCGGAACAAGGGCAAAAACAAACCACAACAGTTCAAAGTAAACACTAACTTATATTATTATTACTTTATAAAAGTAGCCTAAGAAATCACAAAATTCACAACGGTGGAAGCGAAAATTATTTACAGGCATGAGGCAGCTGGGATGGGAATGCAGTCTTTTCATATTTGTTTAAAATCTACGTTTTCGATGACACACCGTGAAGTTAATTCATAAATATGCGCTGCTCTACGCAGGAGCGGTAAAGGTAACTTTTTTTTGCAGCAATAGAGGAGTATTGCTGTTTTTTTTTGTCGATCACAGAAGGGCGCGTCCTCGTGGCCACGGAGAGTATTGTGTTGCCATGGGAACGTCGCTAGTCTCGCACGAGGTACCGCACGGGCACCTTGGCCAGCAGGCTGAGGCTAGTCTCGCACGAGGTACCGCACGGGCACCTTGGCCAGCAGGCTGAGGCTAGTCTCGCACGAGGTACCGCACGGGCACCTTGGCCAGCAGGCTGAGGCTAGTCTCGCACGAGGTACCGCACGGGCACCTTGGCCAGCAGGCTGAGACTAGTCTCGCACGAGGTACCGCACGGGCACCTTGGCCAGCAGGCTGAGACTAGTCTCGCACGAGGTACCGCACGGGCACCTTGGCCAGCAGGCTGAGGCTAGTCTCGCACGAGGTACCGCACGGGCACCTTGGCCAGCAGGCTGAGGCTAGTCTCGCACGAGGTACCGCACGGGCACCTTGGCCAGCAGGCTGAGGCTAGTCTCGCACGAGGTACCGCACGGGCACCTTGGCCAGCAGGCTGAGACTAGTCTCGCACGAGGTACCGCACGGGCACCTTGGCCAGCAGGCTGAGACTAGTCTCGCACGAGGTACTGCATGGGCACCTTGGCCAGCAGGCTGTTGGCCAGGCTAGACTCGCAGGAGGTACTGCATGGGCACCTTGGCCAGCAGGAGGCTAGTCTCGCTCGAGGTACCGTACGGGCACCTTGGCCAGCAGGCTGAGGCTAGTCTCGCACGAGGTACTGCATGGGCACCTTGGCCAGCAGGCTGAGGCTAGTCTCGCACGAGGTACCGCACGGGCACCTTGGCCAGCAGGCTGTTGGCCAGGCTAGTCTCGCACGAGGTACTGCACGGGCACCTTGGCCAGCAGGAGGCTAGTCTCGCACGAGGTACCGTACGGGCACCTTGGCCAGCAGGCTGAGGCTAGTCTCGCACGAGGTACCGCACGGGCACCTTGGCCAGCAGGCTGAGGCTAGTCTCGCACGAGGTACCGCACGGGCACCTTGGCCAGCAGGCTGAGGCTAGTCTCGCACGAGGTACCGCACGGGCACCTTGGCCAGCAGGCTGAGGCTAGTCTCGCACGAGGTACCGCACGGGCACCTTGGCCAGCAGGCTGAGGCTAGTCTCGCACGAGGTACTGCACGGGCACCTTGGCCAGCAGGCTGTTGGCCAGGCCCATGAACACCTCGGCGATCTTGAGCCGGAGCTGCGGCATCATGGCCTCCAGCACCTCGTGCCCGTTGCTCCGCAGAAACAGGTTGGTCGCCTCGGCTGCAAAAGAGAGATAGAGAAACAATGAAGTATTTGAGCCCAGGGCTGTGCTGTACGCGAGTAAGAGGTGAGGCCTAGCCGTCGCGGCGCCGGTCTGGCAAGCTGGCAGCCTGATGGGTTGCCTAGCGACCACGGCGCACGGCCAGCAGGTTGATGGGTGGCCTGGCTACGGCGTGAAGCGTCGCAGCAGCCCCCCGGACAGCCGAGTTACTCAGAGGAGCAGTTTCGTCGCTCTGTCTCTGTCGGACTCCAGAGGCGAGAGAGACGGAGCGACAAAACACTCTTCTGAATCTCTTATCAGGTGGGATTGTTTGGTGTGATCGCCTGGCAGCGCACAGTGGGCCAGAAGAGCGGCGAGGCGGCCGTCTGTAGACACGTTTTGAGCTTCAGAGGCCCTAAACAGGACTCGATCAGAACGTGTGATCCCGACCCCACTAAATGGATTCCTCGTTCGAAAAGCAATCCATTGATGGGATCACACGTTCTGATAGAGCCTCATGTAGCGACTCTGGAGTTGAAAACGCGTTTAGAGTTTTGGCCGGTCTCCATCGGTCTTCTGGCCCACCGGGCCGCCGTGCAACAACGGTGCAAACGAAACGGGGGGTGGAACTCACTGAGGATGGCATTGTTGTTGAAGGCCCTCTTGATGCCCATGTTGACGTCCTTGATCTTGAGGTCCACGTTTAGCTTCTCGACGCGCATGTAGTCCTTGCCGTCGCGCGGCGCGGTGCTGACGGTGCCCCGGACCACGGCGTTGACGCCACCCAGCAGCGCGCTGAAGGATCCCTTGCCGGAGGCGGGGATGATGATGAGCACCCCGGAGGACGTGTAGTCCGCCTTGATGCGCAGCGAGGGGATGCGGATCTGCAGGTCGAACGGGCCGCCGTTCTCGCCCAGCCTGAAACGCAACGAGGCAAACCCACTGTAAAATTTCGAGTACAACGAGGAATGTCTTCACGCTTACCCTACGAAGTATTTTGAGCATACATTATACAAACTAATTTACTTTGTTATACGAAGAAATAACTCGTAAATTACGAAGTCTTTTCTTCGTAAGCTTATGCATGCTCAAAATACATTTTTATAACAAACTGCTTTTCTTTGTAAGGTCTAAATAGTATTTAAGGTTTTCTCAGTGTTAGACTGTGCTAGATTTCTGGTGTATCTGCCACACACGTAGCCTACCTACAGGTGGTTTTTGCCACCTGAATGCGAAAAGTGTTCAAAACTTGTACAACGAATGTAGGAAGTTTTACTACCTTGCATCGAGGACACAGCGTGGCGTGACGCGCGATTGTTTGCGGCGCTCAAGGTTCCTGGTTCAACTCCTATGACAGAAGTCACATTTTTTCCCCCGGCTGTCGCCGTTTGAGTGACACCGCGTCCGTGGACAAAAGCGCCAGTTGCGACGCGTCGCACGAACTCGCCCTGCCGGGCCTTGCCGTGCCGTGCCTTGCCGTGCCGTGCCTACCTCAGCCTGGAGACGGAGAAGTTGCTGGCGCCGTACAAGTCGATGTCCCTCAGGTGGACGCGGTAGCCGTTGGGGCCCGTCGTCAGCGACAGCGACAGTTCGTTGAGGCGGAAGGGCTCGGCGGCGGGCAGGTTGATCTCCGGGATACCTGTAGGACGATGGACGGGTCAAACAGGGTCAAACCCAAACCATGGTCAAATACTTGCGGTCACCACGCACAGTGGGTCAGAAGACCGGTAGGATGGAGGCGGTCAAAATACCGGACGCGTTTTGAGCTCCAGACTCGTCAAATGGGACTCAAATCGAACGTGTGACCCCACCAATGGATTGCTCTCCGAACGAGGAATCCATTGGTAGGGTCACACGATAGTTTCGATCCCTTTTAAGCGACTCTGGGGCTCAAAACGCGACAAGAGTTTTGGCCCGCCTGCGCTAGTGTTCTTGCTGTTATCCGAAAAAAAATCCAGGTAATCCGTAATCCGGCTGATACCAAATTCACCAGTTACCCCCTCGGTGGTGAAAGAAAAGTGCACCCTAATGGGGCTGATGACCTCCTACCTTGCGCCAGCCAGGGCCTGATGTGCATCATGGCGTGGACGAAGCACTCCGTCACCTTCGGGTCGCTCCACCGGCACTGGCTGATGTAGGGCGCTGCGAGACAGAAAGAGAAAGAACAGCCCCCAATTAGTGCCGAGCCATCGAGTCAAAAATAACGCGGCGACCGAGGCGACATTGCGCAATGTCCAAGCGAGGTGCGGGCGGGGCTAGTGCTCCGATGGGGCGTGGCGTGGCGTGGCGGGGCGGGGTGGGGCGGGGCGTGGCGGGGCGGCCAGGTCTCCAGCACTTTCACTGTCGGCACGTGCTTCTGTCAGGGCACCGCGGTGGCGGCGGGCCGCGCGGACAGCACACTGATTCCGAAAGTCGTTTTCGTCGCTCTGTCTCTCTCACACTGACGGGGCGTTCGGTCCTCTGCGAGAGAGACAGCGCGACGAAAACGACTCTCGGAATGAGTCTGCCGGGCGGGCCGGGTGCAGCGCCAGCGCTCCGCAGAGTGAGTGCGTTACGCCCGTTGCACCACGGCGTCCCCGCGGAGGGCGCAGCCTAGGCGCAGCACAGCCATAGGCGCTCTCAGGGCGCAGCACGGCAGTGCCTGCGTCCTCCTCATAAAGCCAGACGCTTCGACGCGTTTTGTTGTTCTGTTCCACACCAACAGCTTGCCAAAGTCCTGCAGGCTGATGCCGAACACGCTTTCGTCGCGCTGTCTCTCTTGCACTCATGGGGCGCCCCATTAGGTGCGAGAGGGACCAAGCGACGAAAGCGATGTTTGGAATCGCTCTGCTGCCGTCCTGTGCCACCCGGTGGCCACGCAATGCGGCCATCGTAAACGCGCCGGATCGTTTCTGGAGGCGCCGCCGGGCCACGCCACGCCGCGCCACGCCACGCCACGCCACGCCACGCCACGCCGCGCCACGCCGCGCCACGCCACGCCACGCCACGCCACGCCAGGCCACGCCACGCCACGCCACGCCACGCTACGCCACGCCACGCCACGCCCGCCAGGCCGCGCAACGCCACGCCACGCTACGCCACGCCACGCCACGCCACGCCAGGCCGCGCACGCCACGCCACGCCACGCCACGCCACGCCAGGCCGCGCACGCCACGCCACGCCACGCCACGCCAGGCCGCGCAACGCCACGCCACGCTACGCCACGCCACGCCAGGCCACGCCACGCCACGCCACGCCACGCCACGCCACGCCACGCCACGCCACGCCACGCCAGGCCAGGCCAGGCCATGCCACGCCACACTACGACGGGGCGATGGAGCGGCGGCCGGCCTGGGCAGAAGACTCGCTGACCAACAATGCCGATTCCGCGGCCCGACGCCGCAAGGCTGGAAGGTTGGAAGGAGCAGCGCGGAAGTCCTTAGCAGCCGCGGCGTGGCGCGGCGCGGCTTTCTCCACAGCCGGCCGCTCCTGCAGGCCGAACAGGGCTTCGTCGCTCTGTCTCTCTCGCACCCTCAGGGAGCACCCCTCGAGTGCGAGAGAGACAGAGCGACGAAAGCGCCGTTCGGTGTGCTTTAGTCACGGCACGCCGAGGCGGAAGCGCCTGGCAGGTAGGCAACGCGTGGCGAGGCGCGCGGGCCTGCGTTACGGGTCGGCCTGCCTGCCGGGCTGATCATTATCATTAAGGGCTAAGGAGGGAGATGGTGGCTGGGGCGTCTGCAGACTGATTCAGAGAGTTGTTTTCATCGCTCTGTTTCTCTCGCATCTTACGGAATGCCGCATGAGTGTGAGAGAGACGGACAGGACAGTGCGACGAGTAGACGATTTTCTGAATAGCCTGCTGAATGCATGTTGGATAAGATATTGTTGCTGGTCGCGGCATTTGGTGGTCGTGGTGGTGGTGGTGGTGGTGGTGGTGAGATGATGGTGGTGATGGTGGTGTTGACGGTGGTGGTGGTGTTAACAGTGGTGGTGGTGTTGCTTGTGGTGTGGGTGGTGGTGGTGGAGGTGGTGGCAAGGTGGTGGTGGTGGTGGTGGTATTGGTGGTGGTGTTGATGGTGGTGTTGGTGGTGGTGTTGGTGGTGATTGTAGTGGTGGTGGTGGTTGTAGTGGTGGTGGTGCTGGTGGTGGTGCTGGAGGCGGTGCTGGTGCTGGTGGTGGTAGTGGTGGTGGTGGTGGTGTTGATGGTTTGGTTGTGGTGTTGGTGGTGGTGGTTGTGGTGCTGGTGTTGCATGTTGTCTTGGTGGTGGTTGTAGTGGTACTCACGCAGGGTCTCTGCGGCGATCGCCACCCCCGCGAGCTGCGACAGGGCGACGCTGGCGATGACCAGGATGACGACCATGATGGCGGCTGGGTCTGCGGCAGACAACGTTCACTCGTTCACTGCGCGTCGGTCGACTTGCAGTGGTGCATACGCAGACCGGGCATTCCCCACCCCTTCCCCGGCCTCCTCCACGACACTCGTAGTGACGGTCGAAGTGACGGACGCCGCGTCCAGCTTTGAGGTGACGCGGTTTAATTGGCGCCCAACGACGTTTAATCGCGTTCCATTATTCGCACGCGAGGCGGAGTAAGACACGCAATCCTGCCCAACATGAGAGATTCTACTGCTTGGACCAATCAAAGCGCGTCTTTAGGTCATGACTCCATGTTTGCATTCACAAATATGCGAAATCGTTAATGAAAATGCTCTCAAGAAGCGCTTTGATTGGTCCAAGTGGTAGAATTTCTCATGTTCATCATGATTGATTGATTGCTCGTTGCTCGCGATCTCTTGACGAAACACGGCTCAGGGGGTTCTGCATAGGGGTGCGAGTGCAACAGAGCAACGGTACGATTCTGCTGAATCGTTCAGCAGCAGACTGATTCCGAGGGGGTCGTCGTTCTCTCTCTCTCTCTCTCTAAAATTACTTTCAATAAAAAAAAATTGTGTTAAAAGTTATCAAACAAAATGTAAAAACGGCATTCACCACTTACATCAAAACCTCAAGAAGCATAAAAACAGCATGCTCATTGTACCAAATTGACTCTAGTCCTACATCATCCCAATGATTGTTAATTCAAATCCCCCCAATAAAACATTTTTATAAACTAAACTCTCTCTCTCTCTCTCTCTCTCTCTCTCTCTCTCTCTCTCTCTCTCTCTCTCTCTCTCTCTCTCTCTCTCTCTCTCTCTCTCTCTCTCTCTCATTCCGTGGTCTCTCCGTTAGGGTGCGAGAGAGACAGAGAGGCCGTCGGCACTGACGTGAGTCACGTGGCGGCTGGAGTGGACCGCACTCGCCGACTGTGCGGCCGCCTCAATGCCGGTGTCGATTCATCTTGCACTAAACACTTTCTCTCTCTTTCTCGCTATCCTTTCCACCCTTTCACGGTGTGTGAATGTGTGTCCTTCCGACTGTTGCGTAATGCGTCTATGGGGCGCCGCTGTTGGTCTAACGTCGTGCTTGAGTGTGTGTGTGTGTGTGTGTGTGTGTGTGTGTGTGTGTGTGTGTGTGTGTGTGTGTGTCTGTGTGTGCACCCACACTCGCACGCGAAACCACACACACGCGTACACACACGCGTACACACACGCGCGTACACACACACACACTCACACACTCACACCTACACACACACCTACACACACACACACACACACCTACACACACACACTTGCACCCTTACGGGTCAACGCCTCGGTGACACGGCGGCGCCAAGTGCTCCGACCTCGCCTTCGTCATGATTGCGGTTCGAGAGAGAGAGAGAGAGAGAGAGAGAGAGAGAGAGAGAGAGAGAGAGAGAGAGAGAGAGAGAGAGAGAGAGAGGGAGAGAGAGAGAGGCGCCGCAGCTTCTGTACCGCGCTCACCCCAGTGAATCCGTTCCGGGCCGCGTCGCCACCACACAGTGGCCTTGCTTCGCGGTGCTTTGCGCTCCGCGCCAGTCAAACTGATTCCGAGGGTCGTTTTTGTCCCTCTGCCTCTCTCGCACTTTTAGGCTCCCCGTATAGGTGCGAGTGAGACAAGAGAGACGACAACGACTCTCGGAATCAGTGTGCGGGGCAACTGCAGGACGGCATGGGAAGGGAAAGGGGAGAATCTTTCCGTCGGCGATTCAAAGAGAGGCCGGAGCGGCCAAGCGGAGCAATGCACAACGAAAATAAATACAGTGTACTGAATGCAATGTACTTACATCAAAAATTACCCTTTCCTTTCTGACTCTTCAGTTTGCAGGGTACCATTCGTATAGTGCCGTTCAAAACAGAATAAGGCTACTTCCTGCCTAAAAATAACAAAAAGCATAAGGGGTAACGTGACTTTTTGTAATATTTATTGTTTTTAACGGCACTATGCGAGTGGTACTCTGCAACCTGAAGAGTGAACAAGGGTGACTTTTAGAGAGTCAACCCAAAGGTTGGCGCTTGCTACCGTGTGACAGGCATGCTGAAAATAAGCGAGTTCATGGATGGCTAGTACAGTCTAATTTGCGGCCGTCCTGCCCCGTCCAATAACAAGCCATGTACACTTGTTTCTGTCAGTAAATAGACAATCATTCCCAATCATTAGCATCCTTCTGGTTGACTATCTGTAAGAGTCTCTATGAGCGTCGACCATGTACAGTCAGTTGGCAGAGTATGAAAGAAGCATTCACTCTGTATACGGAGTCAAATGCCAGTTGACAATGACAACCCTCCAACACCTCCCGGCTGTCCGGCGGCGCGGTCCGGCTCACCTGCGCGACGAGAGACTCGCTAGTCCTCCGGAGGTCCTCCCACGGGCTGCGCGCTGCGGCTTCTGGCGGTTCGCAACTGCAGTCCCCCTGGGACTACCGTCAGGCCACCGTCGGGCCAGCGTCAGATTCGCACGCCGACCCGGCCGAGCCTAAGGAAGGGAAGTGCCGGCCAGCGGGGGAAGGGGGCGGGGCGGGGCGGGGCGTGCGGGGCGGGGCGAGGAGAGGTAGGGCGGGGAGGGCCTTTGTATACGGGGCGGGATGCACTGAGGGTAGGGATGGGAGTGCTGGGTGGGGGCGAGTGGCGGTTTAACCAAGCGTGCGGCAGCAGAGTGGAAATAAATGCAAGAGCAGCCGAGCGATTCAGAAGACCAGTCGCTCTGTCTCTCTCGCACCCTTACGGAGAGCTCCGTGAGTGTGACAGAGACAGAGCGACGAGACGACTCTTTCTTAATCGCCCGGCAGTCTGCCGCCTGTATTAACGCACAGCGAAAAAAAGACAGATTAAAAGTTTCGTAAAACAAAAAGGAAGTGACTCGGGGGCTATGCACCCATTACTCATGGAGTGCTTCGCTGCTTTGCTGCTTCGGGCTTCGAGGCGGGTTCTGCATGATCATCTCGCCGCGTTTGCATTTCCCGCGTCTTTGTCCGCCAGTGTGGCGGCAGTGGTGGCAGTGGCAGCAGTGGCGGCGGTCGGGGGCCGAAAAACTCGACTGGAGTGTTGGCTTTCCGACTTAGCGACTCTTATTTTTATTTGAGACTGGAAAGGAATTTCAGCTGAGCTCATCGGAAAGGTACGTGCAGGAATAACAGCGTACGTTCGTTGCACCCGAGGCGGGGATTCTCCTCAAGGCCATCTCTAAAGAGTGCACTTTTAATTAAATTAAAATTGGTAGGAATATTAAGCACTACTAGCTGTTTGCACTCTGAATGTCTTACGATGGAAGGCTGCACCAACATATGACGGTGAAGATTTTCTCCATAATATAAACTAAATTCGTCAAAATGTCTGTAAATCTCAGAGGTATCTTATAAAGTGAGCTGCACTTCCATAATTCTACTCTATACGACTTTAAGAGCGTCCATTATGGCCCATCTTTAATAAACATAAAATTTGTAAAGTGAAAAGAAAAAAGAAATACCAGGAAGAGTCATTCTATCATGACTCAAGGCTTGGAATTTGAAACGTAACCCCTAAATTGAGCTCAGTTTGACTGCCGTGACCCTCGCCTGTCTAAGGGCACTCTCACACACTGTGCGTGGGAGAATATCATGGCGTGACCTCTGAGCGTAGTCGTACACTTTATTCTAGCATACGCTTGGAGACTTACGCTCGAAGTCAAGCAAGCCTAAAGAAGAGATTCTCCCATGAATTCGGATGGGAGGAAGAGGAGCTGAACGCAATACCACGCTTGATGTCGAATATAAAAAACACTTTGCGTACACTGGTAAAACAAAGGCATAAAAATTACGCCCTTTAGGGCATAAATACTCTTTTACGCCCTTGCAAGGGCATAAATCGTTTTATGCCCTTGGGAAGGGCGTAAATGGTGTAGGAATTTCAAGCAAAATTTTAATGCCCTTCCCAAAGGCATTAACGATTTATGCCCTTTAAGGGCGTAAATCGTTTACGTCCTTAAAGGGCATAATTTTTATGCCTTTGTTTCACCAGTGTAGTAACCACTATGCGAATATGCGTAGTAACCACTATAACCACTATGCCCAGTAACCACTATGCCTAGAAACCACCATGCCTAGTAACCACTATGCCTAGAAACCACTCTGCCTACTATAGAAACCACTATGTGACCATGCGTATAGTACTAACCATATGTGACTCCGCAGTCACCACTATGCGCTGTAGCCACTACGCTTAAAAGAAAAGCGTAAAAGATCGCCAATGGAGCCGAGGCAGACGGCCAAACTGATGTGATTGGGTTAGGGAAATACTCTTAATTTCTTTCGCGATGTTTATTTTGGCTGTATCGTACACTGGCGTGGTATGCAAATCGCGGCGAAGGCGGCCTCTAGCAGCGGCGCCGTGCGAGGAGGCAACCCAACCTACTCGCCTTCTCTCGCGAGGCGCGGCGAGTCCCGAGTCCTGCGGAGTCGGTTGGGTTGCCTGGCAGCGAGGCGCAGGCTTGCGCAGGCTGCAGCGCACTCTTCTTGTCTTGGGAGGTCTTTTACTTTCACTTGCGTACGGAACGGATGTTTTGACTAGACTGGGTTGTTGACGCGAGCGAAGGGCCGTGCGTTGGACAATCACTTGGGAAACAAGTCCTCCAGCGGGAACTTGTCGAACACCTTCTTGGCCACGTCCCGCAGCAAGGTGCTCACGGCCTCGTTGATGACGGGCTTCAGCTCCGAGTACACCGCCTGCCAGTTGTCGCTCATGAACTGGTTCATCGTGTCGCCTTTAAACAAAAAAAATAGTTCAAAATTTGTTTCAGTTATTTTTGGCTGTGATACAAGGAATGTGACGTCATAGTCGTCAGAATGTGAATCTTTTTCACGTTCGTTTATTCAAACGATATCATATTTGTTCGAATGTGGCACTTTCGTTTTAGTAGGATGGTACATTCGTTTGAGCGACGGCCACCATATTAAAACGGTCAACATTGTAACGACTGTGTCACATTCGCTTGAACGTGGGTCCACATTGAAACAAATATGTAAAATTCGTTTGAACGTGGGTCAACATTGAAACGACTGTGTCACATTCGTCTGAAAGTGGGTCAAAATAGAAACGGACTGTGTCACATTCGTTTGATCGTGGGTCGGCATTGAAACGATTGTGTCACATTCAACTGATCGAGGTGAAAACGATATCGTCTGAACATGGGCCACCATTGAAACAAATGTCGGATTCGTTTGAACGTGGTCAACATTGAAATGGCTGTGTTTCATTCGTTTGAACGTGGGTCAACACATTGAACCGAATGTATAACAGCATATTTAAATGAACGTAACAAAATTCACTCTTATACAAATATGACGTCACTATTCGTTGATCGTCGTTGATCAACAGCGCACGTCACTCTCGATTTGCTCCACGCACCGAGGACTTTGTTGCCGTTGAACAGGTTGTCCATGTGGATGGTGGCGTGGCCGACGTCCACGTCGAACTTCATGTCGTCCATGCCGAAGTAGGTCTTGTTCTTCTTGGTGACCTCGTGGCCGGTGATGGCAGCGCGCCCCTTCACCATGGCTGCAAAACAAATAGGGGAAATTGGTTTCTCGGTACTGTGGGTCGAACGAAGATCGCCTTATGGTAATGCTGAGTGTCGCGCCGGTGCGTCACCCGCCACCAGTGCTGCCACCGGCTGCCACACGACACGCAATTCCAACCATTTGCCAGTGCCGAAAGAGTTGCCAATCTCAACCACCCACTGTGGGAAAAAATCACAGTATTCATTTCTGATATGAAGAATTAGTCCGTAAATTACGAAGCTTTTTCTTTGTAAGCAAATGCATGCTCAAAATACTTAGTTAACAACCTGCTTTTGTTTGTGAGGTCTATAGTACAGTTTGTAAGGTTTTCTGAGTTTATGCAGGCTGAGTTAGGCAACCCTATTCTGCACTGGTGCATGGTGGAAATTTTTCGCTACTTATGAGACAGCACTGCACGACACCCGGCCAATAATAGGGTGCGTACTGTAGTTGCTCCAGCTGGGCCCGCTGCCGGTGATGGGCAGCACGAGGATCTGCCCCTTGATGTCGTAGTCGCCCCAAGTGTAGAACCAGTCCAGCGACACGGAGATGTCGATGCGGTAATTCGGCAAGTCGACCCTGGGAAGCAGAAGCCATGCCGTGAGACGCACAGTGGACTAAAGGCTAGTTAGTGGAGGTGGCCAAAACTCTAGACGCGTTTTGAGCTTCGGAGTCGCTGTGCAGAACTCAAACCAAACGAGTGACCCTACCAATGGATTCCTTGTTCAGAGAGCAATCCATTGATGGAGTCGTGCGGAGAATCTGGAGCCTAAACCGCGTTTAGAGATTTTGCCGCCTCCACCAGTCCCACCCACTGTCGGCGGTGCCAAGGAGGAGAGGTCGGCCCCCACCCGAATCGAGGGGTCGACAACTCGCATATTTCTTCGCACGCGTCCAAGGAACGGAAAAAGGTCACGGTGACGTCAAAGGAGCTCAAATTGATGAAACTTAGTCACACATGGCATCAGTAACCTTAATTTGCACTCTGCGAAAAAATGACGGTAAATCCTGGATAATTTTTTTGCCAAACTTTACCGTACTTCAAAAACCAGTATCCTCCGTACAGTCTACAGTATTTACCGTACTTGTTTTACAAAATATTCCGTAGTCTTTTAACAGTAGTTACCGTTCTTCCGTACAGTTCATGCCGTAGGAAAGACCAGATCTGGTCCCATCAAAGGCCGCTTCCAAGAAGTGCCCACATCAGGATCTTGAAAAACGGGGGTCGACCGACTGAAAAATTTTATTGCACCTTTCAATAGGTCTCGTCAAGACCTTTCCAACGAGTGGTCGGAAGAGGGGTCCAGGAGTCCGACTTCAGCAGTTGCGTACATCAGGAACTTGGAAAAAGAGGGTCAATCGACTGAACAAAATTATAGCAGTTTTTGATAGGTATTAAAAGTACGGGATTGCCGGGGGAAAATGTACGGGATTCCCTGTAAAAAAGTACGGCGTTTCCTGTAAAAAAAGTACGGTATTGCCTGTAAAAAAACGACGGCATTGCCTGTTAAAAAAAGTACGGTGAAGTCTGGAGTAATCAGTACAGGATTTACCGTGATCTTTTCTCGCAGTGTGTCTCGGTTTTTTGTTTTAAGTTCACATCACAATCATTAAAAGGATATCCATTGACGGGCATGTGTACACTCCCTCGTACACAGATGCTAATAGCAGTTGTCGTCCCTTCGACGCAAATAAAGACGGTAGTTTCTGGTAGGGAACTAGGTATGATTGGATCTTGTGGTGTCAATGGTCTTGAGCCTAGCGGAATTTGGTTACAACTAAAGAAGTCTCTTGGTCTCCGCACGGCAAAACCAACGTCCGGGTTTCCCAGACGCACCCTGGAAAAACAGGGCATTTTTCCAGGGTGCGCCTGGGAAACCCGGACGTTGGTTTTGCCGTGCGCAAGAAAATAGCTATCAACAAATTCAATCACCCTTAGAGCACTCCTTACTTGACGTCGTGGACTTTGACGTCGCTGAAGCCCTGGATGTGCAGTTCCTTGAAGGTGCTGGTGATGGACACGGGCCCGTTTCCTTGGTTCAGCGAGATCTCCGACACCACCATGGGGTCCAGGGAGTTCACCCTCAGTTCCGGGATGCCTGAACACAAAGCAGACAACGGTTAGCTCTTCACTGGTACAGCTAGGCGTACACCGCAAAGCCGGTGCCAAGTTTGCCTGCCACAAAACTGGCAAGACTGGCCCTAAAATACTTCCCAGCTTGCCAAAATTTGGCCTTGCTGGTGGCAGAAGCCCCAAATATTGGCTAGCTAATGAAGATTTTGGGTCAAAGCTTGCCAATGTTCGGGATTTAAAACAGGTTTTCAATTTTGTACCACACAAACCTGCCAGTGTATTTGCAATGTAAATGTGTCTTAGAACCAAGCTCTTGAAGATTTTACGCTTGAAGTTGACTGGAGAAAAGCACCTATGCATTGAAATGTCTCTTAACAGACGGGAGAGGACCGACCGAAAGTGTTCCCACATCTCCACTGGTAAAACTAAAGCGTAGTATTACCCTCTGTTTTCAAGCGTAATCAGGTTACGCTTGAAATCAAGCGTAACAGGCCCCACCGCCAAGATTCCCCCTATCTAAATGCATGGGGGAATTTCCAGAGTGTGCTTCATTTCAAGCGTAACGTCTTCAAGCGTAACTTTATGCTTGACTCAAGCCTAGAGTTACGCTTTAGTTTTACCAGTGTCCTTACCCTTCTTGAAGGTGGATCTTAACCCCATGATGGACTGCTTGACGCACTCGTTGAGCTCCGGGTCACTTCTTTTGCAGAGCTTGAACAGGTCACCTGTCGGCAAAGCGAAGAACAAGATGAGTCGAAAATATAACAAACGAGCAGTCGGCAACAAGGTCCCTGCGTGCGGAGAAGTTCAGAAAAAGGACCAGAAAAACGTGAATCCCTGCATAATCAAGGAAAAAGAGAAGTAAAAATTCGACTCGTCAGAGGGTCTGAATATTTATCACCATTTCCGCCGGCTGCGTCGTTGTTGCACTCAAAATGTGCATCCTCGAAATCACGCAGGGTCGTTTGATGTCTCGGATTTCAAAGCGATCGAACCGTTTATTAAAAATGTTAATTTAAAACAAAAATTAATAAGGACACAAGTAGCTACGAATGTGACACGGTAACCATTGGTATGTCCAGTCACATCATTGTCACGTTCGTTTGAATGCGACTTGCCCGAATGGTCATATGTAAACAACGTGGCATTCCATAATGAGCAAAATCAACTAAGACGGATCACTTCTTCCAGCGACCCTCTCCGATTTGCCTGATTTTTTGTAGGCTAACAAAAGGAGAGTCTAAAGCCAAAATATTATGTCCGGCAAAAATTTATTGCCAGAGATATGGCCAACTTTAGTTTAACTTTTGGAGAAAAAAACACGAATTTGGGTATTTTGGACTAATTTTACACTTTTCATAGTAGAGGGCTAAAATTTGGTTACATGATGTAAAATTGGCCAAGGAACAAGAATATAACCTCAAATCTGACCTCCGGCGAATACCTGAAGAGTAAACCCTCCACCCCCCCTCCAAAAAAAAACCGTTTTTTCTTGGGGTTTCTGGGAAAAATATGTGGACAAAATTTCTGATTATCTTATCTTGTAGAAAATGACACGATGAATCGAATTAGATCATGCGCAGATTTTTATGTCAATTCGTTTAGGAGATATAGCTGTTTAAAGTCTGCAAATTTTGCCATTTATGTTTTTAAAATGCAGGTTTTGAGCATTGTTTGACGTTTTTTGCCTCCTTGGTGTGTGTGGGTGTTCTTACCGTGTGGAAAAAGACGCGCTGAATTGAATGAAACCACGCACAGACGCGCACAGAGTTGTCTCTCAAACCGTTTAGGAGATATAGTGGTTTAAAGTATGGGCACGAGAGCTCCTGCAAACACCCGACAAGGCAGGCCCGCCAAACACGCCTGTTGGGCGGGCGGACTACCGTGCCCATACTTTGAACCGCTATATCTCCTAAACGATCCTATTATGCTTGCACCAAATTCACGGTGTAACATGACTCAGCTCAAATTTTGCTGTAAATCACGTGGAGCACTCTTCTTCTGCTTCGTTTCTTTGTTCGCCGTTAATTTTGGAAAACTGCCTGGCTGCACTCACCTGCTTTTATGGCCGTGACGGCGCCGCTCAACGACGCGATCACCAGCGCGCAAAAAGCGAGACGGGACGCGGACGGCGACATGGCGACCTGCAGAAGAAAAAGAGAGACAGACTGTACCATTGTGTTAATTGTGATACAATGCGCGTGTGAGCGAGCGCCGCTGTCGCCAGCGGACTGACCGCCCGTCTTCGGTTTGAACGTGTGAGAAAACCGAAACCCAGGCAGCCAAAGCAGACAGAGCCGTCTCGCGGATTTCCCAGAAAATAGTACGACCTTTCAGAGAGGCGTCTGTGTGGTGTGAAATTTGCGCAAGGAGACGTGCTGTGCCGCACTGTTGAAACAGTGTTCTGCACACTAAATGTTTTTTGTACAAATTTTGTACGAGACATCAAAGTTTTTTGTGCGCACGAACTTCTCGTACAAATTTGTACAAAATTGTACAAAATGGCGAAAAATGTCCACATTTTCGTACGAAAGTTGTACGAAAATTTCGTGTGCACTAAAAACTATGATGTCTCATACAAAATTGTACATAACATTTGGTGTGTGTCAAAATAACTGAAACTTTCATTCTTTGTCGCGTGGAACCCCCTCCCCGCCCCCCCCCCCCCCCCCCAAAAAAAAAAATAAATAAAAAAAAGTGGGTCCTTTTGCTTAGAGTGACTCATGTCAAGACATGAGCCTAAAAAACTTGCATCATGATGACAATCGAATTATCTATTATCTTGACTATCGGCACTTAAAAAGCACTCAAAAAAGCACTTAGCCACACTAACACACTTTTTTGGGTGCACTGTAATTGTTACATTATCGCGCAAAAGACTTTTTCTGTCAAATCAGCTGTTCGAAAAGAATTGCTATTTTATTCGTTTTGATTTAAGGCTCGTTCTGTGAGTGCGTAGCCGCCTCGCTCCACGCAAGGCCACGGCAACAGTGTACCCGCACTACGCACTGGCGCTGCTGCTCCTCCGTCTGCATTCAGAAGCATTAGAATGGAGTCGCCGGAGGACAGCGGCGACTGTTGTTGTTTTGATCCGCTCCAAGCCAAGAGCATTGTAGCGACTCGGAGCCGGGAAGGACGCCCGGGGCCACCGCGACGCAGCCTGCCCTCTCCCCCTCTCTCTCTCTGCCTAGCAGCCCAGTCACACGTCGGGGCGGACGCAACACCTCGCCCCGCCCCGCCACGCAAGTCAGGGTCAAGGGCGCGGCGCACGCACGTCTGGTCTAATCGGCCCCGGCGTGCACCGAGTCCGGTCCAGCCTAGCAGGACGCCGCCGGTACGCGTCCACACTGCAAAGGTCTTTAAAAAAAATATTTTCCTGAAGATGATTTCGCTGAGGTGAACCAACTTAGGGCCATGGGCCAGTTCGATACACGGTAAGATTCAGTCCTGGAAGATCCAGGACTGAGTCTTACCGTGTATTGAAAAGACACAAAAACACACCGGCAGCCACAATCCGCCACAATCTAAAGCTTGTTCAACGACAACTAGGGTGTGTTTTCGTCTACTGCCTGGAATGTATTGAGCCTATCGAACAGAGTTGATCACGAGGGGGAAAACGACTGAGAAATTTTGTGTACATCGGATGGATAACCCCGGATAACTCGCGGCTTACCTCCGGATTCCATGGAAAAATTTCCAGGATTATCATTGGATTACGCCGGATTACCCCGGATCACCCCAGAATTTCCCCGGATTACCCCGGATTACTTCGAAATTTCGTGTTATCCGGATAACGGAGTACCAATTCCGGATAACTGAAGTCGTTTCCCCCTCGGTTGATCAAGTCCTACAAGTCTTTTCTTCCGTGTGTATTTTTTTGAAGATTTTGGTGCACTTGGTACGGTAATGCACACTAGGAACTGCTGTGGAGGCCTTCGAGGGTGGGAGCGCGCCGCCAGGACGACACGGTGGGAACTCCTGCCGGGCCACTCCGAAGGATCACTTCGTCACTCATCTGTCTCTCTCGCACCCCTACGAGACGCCCCATGAGTGCGAGAGGGACGGGGCGACGAAACGATCCTTCAGAATCGCTCGGCTGCATCGGAACTCGGAACGATCTGCATTCTGCAGACTGATTCCGAGAGTCGTTTCCGTCGCTCTGTCTCTCTCGCACCTACGGGTCTCAAGTGCAATAGAGACAGAGCGACGGAAACGACTCTCGGAATCAGTCCGCTGCGGTGGCGTGCGCCAAGGCGTGCGACGGACGGCGGAAGCGTGCGCCGCTGCGGAACGACCGCCCCGATCGCCGGCAAAACGGCCATTCTCTGCCTTCGCTCTGTCTGTCTCGCACCCCTTCAGGAGCCCCCGGAGTGCGAGAGAGACAGAGCGACTTCGGAATCAGCCCGCCGATAAAGCCTTCGGAGCGCGACGAGCCCCGCGGAACGACAACGATGCCGTCGATGCCACGCACCGATGGCGCGGCGGGGCGGGGCGGGGCGGGGCGGGGCGGGGCGGGGCGGGGCGGGGCGGGGTGTCGCAGTTCCGTTGCGTACTCGGCATGCAGTGGGCGCTCTGCGCGACGCGCCTGGCGCTGCGGGAGCGGCAGACTGCAACCGCAAACCGCAACACCGCGTCACAGCGAAGCCAATAAGTGTCGGCGAAATCTTCCACCGTGGAAACGGGCACTCGTTCAAAAATGGGGCGGGGAAGGGGTTGCTCTCCAGAAACAGACGCGATGGGTCAAGCAAGCGGGTTGGTCTCCGGACCGCCGCGATTCGGCTGTGCACAGTCATGAGTGTGGTGTTTGAAAGAGAGTCAGCAGACTGCTTTCCAGGTCCGATTTCGTCGCTGTCTCTCTCGCACTCATGGGGTGTTCCGCAAGGGTGCGAGAGAGACCGAGTGGCGGGCAGTGCTCGGAATCAGCTTACCGCCGCGGTCCACGGAACTGCGGAGAGCTGCGGTGGCGGTGCCGGCGTCTCGTGGTCGCCGTTCCTACCTGTCCGGGGTCTTGTTCGCAGCGACGACAAGTACACCTGTAGGCAGCCGGGGCTGGCGCGGGCTGGCGGCACGCGCGACTGGTGCGGCGTTGTCTTGGGGAGACACTGCGGGGGCTGCCGGTGCCGAGCAGGCAGCACACTGGCCGCCGCCAGGCCGGCGCGTCGTCGAGGGCCTCGCGGCCAGCCACGCACCGCCACGCCACGCCCCGCCGGCCGCTGTGTCCGTGGTGGCCTACCAGCCGGGCGGAGGCTGTCTGGGGAGGGCAGCGAGGCGGATTGGTTGCCTGCCGGCCGGGCGCTGCGCACAGTGGGCCAGAACACCGGTGGCGGCGGTAAAAATTCTAGATGCGTTTTGAGCTCCAGAGTCGCTTAGTAGGATTCGAACCGAACGTGTGACCCTACCGATGGATTGCTCTCCGAACGAGGAATGCATCAATGGGGTCTCACGTTCGATTCGAGTCCTGTTTAGCGACTGTGGAATGGGAAACGCGTCTAGAATTTTTTACCGCCCCAACCGGTCTTCTGGCCCACTGTGTGCGTCCGCCAGACGGTTTGCCTGCCAGCCGGGCGTAAAGCGACTAACTGACTCTTCGCGCTTCCGCCGCCGGAGTGCGCTGTGGTGCGCGCCGGACTCGAACCCGTCCGTGGCCGCGCCGGGCTGGGCCGGGCCGGGCCGCCCTGACGAAACTTGGCCCCCTTGACCTCGAGGGAGAATGCACGCCTGTGCGTCTGGCTGGGCCGCAGACAGGGACTCGACTCGAGTAACTCGACGTCTCGATGCCGTTCCGTGCATTCGTCGCTGCGTCTCTCTCGCACTCATGGGGCGTCCCGAGGGGACTGCGAGAGAGGCAGAGCGACAAAGCACTGTTCGGTTGGAATCATGCTGCAGGCTTGTGCGCATTGCGTGTGGGCGTTGTCCGAGGGGCAAACAACTTGAATTTTGGTGTACATTTTCCGTGAAATAACGTGAAATAACGGTGAAATAACGTGAAATAACGTTGAAGTAACGTTGAAATAACGCTGAAATAACGCTGAAATAACGTGAAATAACATGAAATAACATGAAATAACGCGAATTAACATTGAAATAGCCTTGAAATAACGTTGGAATAACAGTGAAATAACGTGAAATAACGTAAATTTGAAATAACTGTGAAATAACGTGAATTTGAAATAACAGTGTACAAATTTAGGCGAAGTTGTTAGACGGCGTTGCCGCGCTGCGCAGACCGATTCTGCAGACTGCAATCCTTACAAACTGTTTCAGGCCTTACAAAGGAAAGCAGCAAAGAATGTTGAGCATACACAAGCTTACAAAGCAAGTACTACGTAATTTACGAAATTTCATCGTGTAAATTTGGCTGAGCGATAGCGAAGCCCTTGCCGAGTTTGGGCGCTCCAAAAAGTGACTGGTCGTGCGTCTGTCTGTCTGTCCGTCCCTCTGTCTCTCTGTATGTAATCACTCACGTTTCTCAGCAACTACTGGACGAATAGTACCCAAATTTCACACCTGATGTCTCCTAAACATCCTACAGGGGGAGTTTATCTCAGATTAACAATTATCATCGTTTGAAATATTCAAAACATCGTTTTGAACTAGGTAATTAGCGTGGTTAGGTTGGTAGCAGTGTGTGGTTGACCAATTTCTCATACCGGCTGCCGCGCTTGCAAGCCATCCTCAAGACGGGACGGCACTTATGCAAATAAACAAACTAAAGAGCAAGGGGTTCTCAAATAGGTACTGAGATAGTTTTTTAACATTCTAGAATGATTGAAACCCTTCCGGGGTGTCAACAGAGGAAAATACGGAAACTAAATGTGAGAATGGTTTACGTGTTTCGTTCCCCTGTCCCCCCTCCCCCGTCACAGGGGAATCTTCCTTCAGGTCAGTGCACTGTGTGTAGTTGTGGATTGTAAATAGAATGTTTTCTTTGCCTTTGTGTGCATTTACTGATTTTATTCTCTCTTATACTATCCTTATTTTTAAATTTCATAGTAAATCAAATCAGGTAAATGCATAAATAAATTCTGTTGAAATTAGAAGAAATGTTAATTGTCTTGGTTTGTCTCGGGGAAATGACATGCTATTGCAATGCTGCAAGCTAACATAAATATTCTAGTACTAACATCTATTGATTAAAAGAATCCATAAATAGATGTATTTAGTGCAGTAAATAATCCATATATTTAGTGCTAACAGATTGAACTGATATTCGGTTCAATGAGACGATTCAGGTTTTGAGCGGCGGGTGACTTGGTAATTGGATTTAATGACACGATTCCTTTCACTTCACCAAAGCTTGTGTCCGACAACTGGAACTAAGTATTGGTAATGGTTTAAAAGCTGGGTCTCTGAATGTAAGCACAATGTTAATACTATACTGTATTCTTTTACTCTAAAGACAAAATATCACGAGGCATGAATAAGGTAAATTATGTTGGCGTATTGAGCAACAAGTGGCCTCTGCATTTGACTTTATGAGACGATTCACTGAATTTGACAAAACTTGTTCTCCGTCGAATGCTTCAGATCAGCCTGCCCTAAACTGAGTCACTTAATATAAACTATGATTACATATTCCAGTCTATATTGTTTAATTCACTGGTTTAAAATGAAAGAATGACAAAAGGCTTCTCAAATATAACTAATAAATTTGTGAATTTATAGTTTGAAGAAAAAGATGTATCGAATAGTGAGTCAAGCAGACGAGTACCTAATTAAGCGATTCAATGCTGGCAATGGAATGTTACTCGACTGAAGGAATCGCATTGGTGTGGCATCAGGGTATTGGTGACGACAAAGGGTGATCCATGAAGACCAACCCAGACCCATTCTTTACCCATAATTGACCAATTTGATATCGATATTTTTCAATCGAATCTTATATTGATTCTTGGAGTTTTTGGAGTGCTGATTATGAAAACCACCTCCATTTCGACTCTAGACTTGTATTTCCATCCCAAATTAGGTCATTTTGGACCAAAATTTTCAAATCGAGTTTTTTATTGTTTCCTGCAGTTTTTGATGCGCTGAATTCAAAAATGACTTCCAAAGTTTTCCCAGACTCACGCATTACCGAATTTTGACCAATTTTGGACCAAAATTTTGGAATTGATTTTGACGTTGATCCCAACAGTATTTTGTGTGCTGATAACGAAAATCACTTCCATTCATACCCCAGACCTACATTTCACTCAAGATGGGCCCACAAGCTGCACATTTCGTCTACCTAAGCAAAGTCCAAAGTGCACAAACTAATTCGCGTCGCTCAGCCACACTACGCGCCCACACTAAACGGCGCGTACCCCTAGTTATGTATGCTCAAAATACTTCGTAAAGTTCGTAAAGCGTCTGGTTGTTTTCGTCTCTCTGTGTCTCTCATAACTAGAGACGCCCATGAGTGCGTGAGAGACAGAGCGACGAAAACGACTCTCCGAATCAGTCTGGTGCACGTGCACGGGCGAGCGGAAAGCTACGCACGCGGCACAACCTAGAGAGAGAGAGAGAGAGAGAGAGAGAGAGAGAGAGAGAGAGAGAGAGAGAGAGAGAGAGAGAGAGAGAGAGAGAGAGGCCGTGGCGGCGAGCGCGCATCTTCCTGGTGCATTTTCTGCCGGGCGCGTAGAGCGTGGCGAGCCTCACCGCGTGCCCAAGGACGCGGCGCCTCGGCCAGTGTGTCGACGCGGCGTGCAATGCGTGCAATGCGTGAGCACTGAGCTGCAGAAACTGCGGGCCGACCGCTTCTGGCGAATAATGACACCATGGCCCAGTGCCGAGAAAGCTTTGCATTCAAAAATGGAAGCCTTGAATTTATAACACTGAGAAGTTTTCTTCAGAAAAAAAGACGAATAACGCGAAAAGGTGTTTAAGTGTGTGTGTGTGTGGGGGGGGGGGGTGTAAGTCTCGTGACGGATTCTTGTTCCACATTCGGGACGACAAACGCCTGCAATATGCCGGGTAGGCAACCAGTGACACAACGGTGCGCGCCAACCCTATGGATGCCTACCCTCCAGGCGTTTGGACCTTTCAACTTCATTACAAACAGATTGTTGGCCTGTAAATTTTTGTTCCTGGTGCATACCTTAATCATATTTAGTTGAAAGAAGTGTAGAGGATAGTTCATCATTCATTCATCCATTCATTCATCCATTCATTCATTCATTCATTCATTCATTCATTCATTCATTCATTCATTCATTCATTCATTCATTCATTCATTCATTCATAAAACTGTGCCGCCTGTCCGTCTGTCTGTGTCTGCTTGTCGGTATGTCCGTCCGTCTGCAGTGGGACCCATGAGCCGCTAAATGCGCCCTAGTCCCATCCTTGTCCGCCCAGTGGAGTAACAGGCCGCTGGTCCGCTACTCCGCCGGCCGGCGCGTCCAGTGTGCTGCCAGTGCCGGTGCCGATGAGGTAACCGAGCGGGGCCGGCCTGCAGGGCCTGCAGCTCCACTCCGAACCGCGCCGCGTCGCTCCGTCTCTCTCGCACCTCTACGGACCAGCCCGTGAGTGCGAGAGAGACAGAGCTGCGAAGTCACCGTTCTGTCGAGCTGCTGGGCTGGGCAGGCAAGGACCTCTGTGGGGCGAGGGAGGGGAGGGGGGATGGAGGGAGGGAGAGAGAAAGAGAGAGAGCGAGAGCGAGCGAGCGAGAGAGCGAGAGAGAGAGAGAGACAGAGAGAGACAGAGAGAGAGACAGAGAGAGAGAGAGAGAGAGAGAGAGAGAGAGAGAGAGAGAGAGAGGTGTAGGGACGCAGGGAGGGGCCCAGACCCTCGCGGCTGCATGTCCTGGTGAGGGAGATGGAGATGGGTCCCGGGCCGAGTATGGTGAGGCGCTGAGGGGCGAAAGGTCCAGGATGGCGTTTGCAAAGGCAGCCGGGCGGGATGCGCCGAGTGGGCGTGTGGCGTTACAGTGTGCCACGCGGGGCACCGTCGGCAAGGCGCGAGGCATGGGTGGAGCAATCGCGGGACTTCGAGGCACGTGTTTTTGGTGAAACAAAAAATTGGGGCGAATCGTTTGAAGGCCCAGCTGGGTACAGGTTGTCGCAAGGCGAACGTGTTTTAGGTTGATTTTTTTGAGCGTTTGGGGAAAGGGGGGAAGAGGCGGGGGAGGGGCTGTAGAATAATGCATGTCTAGGCCTAGACCGCTCGAGTTTGAAAAGTCAAAAACGTGTCACGAAAAGAAATGCAAGTGCTTGACTAATTGAACAGGGCTGCACGAGGGCCGACTGGATGCAGAAAGCTAAGGCGCATATTTTGAAACCGTTACCCGTGAGGCCAGGGCAACAACCTCGCGGTCCTCTTGTTGTCGTGGTCAGAGGAAGGGCTAGAGCAGATTCAGGTTCCAGCGGTCGTCATTTCGAACGGTGCTTTCGAGGTTCGAGTTCGAGGCGGGCAGCCCACCTCCTCTTGGCGTCTGGCGGTGCGCGAGGCGCAGAGCGGTGGGGAGGTGGACCGCACTGCCGCGGCCGCCGCGACGGGGGTGGGGGCCTCCTCGCCTTGCAGTGCACCTCGCCGGCCGGCCCCCCTCCTGGCCGCCCCTGGGCTGGACGCGGCGCGGGCCGCCCTGCCCGAGGTCTGGCCGATGAGAGTCTCAGTGAGGTGCAGCCATGTGGTCCGTGCTGGGTGGAGTCCTGCTGGCCGTCGTCGCCCTCCCCGCGCCAGGGCGCGCCCAGGACGAGCAGCGGCCCCTGCGTGAGTACGATGACCCGCGAACCACCGCATAGCGAAAGTAAAGCTACTGGCCAGGGCTAGGCCTCCAGCCTCTTTGCCTAGCTAGCACTGTATTAGTTCACTTAGCTTTGCCTGGATAGATTGTCACATAAAGCTGAACCTATTAAGCTTGTACAGTACAGCTTAGCCGATAGACTTAAAATCGTACGAAGTATTTTGAGCAAACGTACACTACCTGACGAGCACTGCACGAGTACTCCCTGCCGAGCACTCCCTACCGAGCACTCCCTATCGAGCACACCCAACCCAGCACTCCCTGGTGAGCACTCACTGCCGAACATTCCCTGACGAGCACCCCCTTGATGAACACTCCCTGACGAGCACTCCCCGACGATCAATCCCTGGTCAGCACTCTCTAAAGAGCTCTCCCTGACGAGCACTCCCCGACGATCAATCCCTGGTCAGCACTCTCTAAAGAGCTCTCCCTGACGAGCACTCCCCGACGATCAATCCCTGGTCAGCACTCTCTAAAGAGCTCTCCCTGACGAGCACTCCCCGACGATCAATCCCTGGTCAGCACTCTCTAAAGAGCTCTCCCTGACGAGCACTCCCCGACGATCAATCCCTGGTCAGCACTCTCTAAAGAGCTCTCCCTGACGAGCACTCCCCGACGATCAATCCCTGGTCAGCACTCTCTAAAGAGCACTCCCTGACGAGCACTCCCCGACGATCAATCCCTGGTCAGCACTCTCTAAAGAGCTCTCCCTGACGAGCACTCCCCGACGATCAATCCCTGGTCAGCACTCTCTAAAGAGCTCTCCCTGACGAGCACTCCCCGACGATCAATCCCTGGTCAGCACTCTCTAAAGAGCTCTCCCTGACGAGCACTCCCCGACGATCAATCCCTGGTCAGCACTCTCTAAAGAGCACTCCCTGACGAGCACTCCCCGACGATCAATCCCTGGTCAGCACTCTCTAAAGAGCACTCCCTGACGAGCACTCCCCGACGATCAATCCCTGGTCAGCACTCTCTAAAGAGCACTCCCTGACGAGCACTCCCCGACGATCAATCCCTGGTCAGCACTCTCTAAAGAGCACTCCCTGACGAGCACTCCCGTCTCCCTGTCAGCACTTCTAAAGCTTCCCTGACGAGCACTCCCCGACGATCATCCGGTCAGCATCTCTAAAGAGCACTCCCTGACGAGCACTCCCCGACGATCAAACCCTGGCAGCACTCTCAAGACTCTCCCTGACGAGCATCCCAGATCAATCCCCGTCACACCTCTAAAGAGCTCTCCCTGACGAGCACTCCCCGAAGATCAATCCCTGGTCAGCACTCTCTAAAGAGCACTCCCTGACGAGCACTCTTGCCGAGCACTCTTTGCCGAGCACTCCCAGACGAGCACTCCCAACAGAGAACTTCCTGACGAGCACTCCGTGATGATCACTCCGGAGATCACTCCGATCCACCACGAGCAATCCCAGCAACCCCTCGAAAACCCGCATGCAACCGCGTCTGGACGCATAATTTGCGCCCCTCGACCTTTGGGAACCAGGGACCCGTCAGTCCACCACACCGTGCATTTCGTTGCGGCACGTCCCGGCGTTGCGTGGAGTTTGGGACGTGCCAAGTGTGAGCGCAGTGTGTTGAAAGGAAAACCGTCCGGTTTGGGTATTTGAAACGTGGACTGCAGGCTGCCAGCGTGAAGCGTGCCATTTTGGCGTTAGGTCAAACGGCCTGCTACTGTTTGGATAGGACATTTTTTTCCACTTCTGTCCCGCACGGCGGCTGGACAGTGTTGTTTAAGATTCGCTTGCTTACCAGCCATTCCGCAACGCCTAGGCCGCAAAGTGGCAAACATTTGCAAGACGCTGGCAGCAGTCGTGGGAGAGAGAGAGAGGGGAGGAATCGATGCCCCCTTCGGAAAGAAGCCTATCTGACCATTTCCGGGAGACCTAGCCTATCTTATCGTTACCGTGTGAAAACGCCGATATCGCCCTTGAAAGGTTCTTAGAACGCACTTATTGTTTCTGTACAAATATTGTGCGAGATGTCACAGTTTTATGTGGCGATGACTCTTTCGTACAAAGTTGTTTGTGAGGAAAACGTACAGTTTTACATGTTTATCGTGCGTAAAGTTCTTTACAAACACTGTAACGTCTCGTAAAAATATTGTTAGTACAGTTAGTGTGTGTTCGTCATATTTGAACGTCAACACATCCGTTAAGACATTCCAAACATTCCTTTTACTTGCTATCCAGGAATGTCACATCTCGTTCGTTTGAACGGAAATCGTGTCACGTTCGTTCCAACATGATGCCACATTCGTATGAATTCACATGGATCTGACTCGGCGAAACCTCGGCCAAAAGACGCCTGAAATCACTTTCATACAAATGAGATCCACTCGGAAACGGCATCACTGTTTTTCAATGAGTGTGACATCGTATTCGCTTGAAAGTGAATTGTGTCACGTTCGTTTGAATATGATGAATATGAACGCAACACAATTCACATTCTAACGAACGCGACAACACATTCGTTGAAAACCAAGGAAGATAGGCTAGTTCTCTCGGCAACGTTCAGATGGGGAGAACATCGTAAAAAGAATAAAAAACCAAATACTTGTCAGCAGTGCGGAAACAGAAAACAGGCCTCTGCAATTACTCTTTATAATTTTTGGCTTGAGAATGGCCCGGCGTCATAATCGGTTTCTGCACGCACCAACGTGTGGACACCAAGGCCGGCGTTGTAGAGCAGTTGGGGTCGGAAAGTCACCTGTTTCACGCGGAATCCCAGCTGTCCCGGGGGGGAGGGGGGGGACGTTATGTGGGGGAAGCGGCTGACTTCAATAGAGCGTCGGTTGGGGTGCGCACGGAGCACTCAAAAAAGGCCTACGAAGCATCTGAACTACGAAGAAAATAAAGGCATTTTAGAATTGCTTCGTATTGTGAATGAAATGCTTCCTAGTACGAGGGATTTGGCTTCATAATACGAAGCATCTCTTCGTAGATTTTACGAAGCCTTCATTTTTTTTCACTGTAAATGTCTTACGGTGAAAGGCTGCCCCAACATAATATGGTGGAGATTTTCTCCATAATACCAATGAAATTCGTCAAAATATCTATAAGGTAGTGAATTCTCCATGGTATGTTATGAACTCAGCTGCACCACCCTAATATTGAACATTTCAACCATAATATGGAGAATCTTCACAGCCGAACATTTAGAGTGTTTGTGTTACGATGCGATGTTTCGTAAACTTATTTCTGTGAGAGGAGTGCCGGTATTACAAGAAGTATCTAAAAAGCCCATAAAAGGAATTCAATTTTGAACGTCCATTACTCGTAAATGATACGCGTTGCGAGCGTCATGCAAGGCAATTTGTTTCGGAAGTTTAATTTTAAAACAAAATTGGTTTAGTGTACCCACCGTAACGTTCTCCTTGACAGATTAGTGCGTACTCTACAAATCAAAGAGTGTACATAGTATGCTCTAACTGGAGCATGCCTGCAAGCACGCTCTAGCTAGCGCATGCCTGCCAAGCATGCACTAACTAGTGCATACATGCCATGTACACGCTTCCTGATGCAGAAAACTCCCTATCCCTTATGCAGTAAATGTATGCTTCAGTTAGCGTGTACATGGCATGTATGCACTAGTTAGTGCATGCTTGGCAGGCATGCGCTAGCTAGAGCGTGCTTGCAGGCATGCTCCAGTTAGAGCATACCATGTACACTCTTTGATTTGTAGAGTACAGCTGAATTCGGAATCAAAGTTAAGGAAGCTCTTCCTGTTGCGATCGGACACTTGCACTCTTAAAACCTTACGAACCATAATTTTAGGCCTTTCAAAGAAAGGTAGCATGTCATAACATAGTATTTTGAGCATATATAAGCTTACAAAGAAAGTTCTTCGTAATTTATGAACTATTTCTTAGTATAACAAACTTACATATGCTCAAAATACTTTGTAAGGTTCGTGGCAACCAGCTTTTAGGTCGCGGATTTTCGTTTGCAGCTCTCGAATCCAGCCTATCGAACAAAGTTGACCGCGACAGCAAACAAAGCATTTTTCCCGTGCGTGCGCCGGCCGGGCTTCCGCGGCTCAGGTCGGGCCCTCGACACTGGACAAGGCCGAGGACGCGGACCGCGGTCTGCGACACCGTAATGTCGCCTGGGAGCCGAGCTCGCAGACGGATTCCGAGAGTCGCTTTCGTCGCTCTGTCTCTCCTGCACTCGTGGGGTGACTTGTAGAGGTGGGAGAGAGAATGAGTGAGGAAAGCTACTCTCGGATCCGTGTCCTGGCGGCCTGGGGCACGGCGTCCGGCAAGGGGACCTTCTTGTGCAGGCGCTGCGTGCGTCCTGGCGCGCGAAAGTTATCTCAGTAATGACACCCTCGGCAAGGCTGCGTGTGCCCCCCCCCCCGCTCGTGTATCTTTTTATGGCTCAGCCCCAAGGGCGGGCCACCTTTGAAGGGCGTAAGCGCGCAGGCTGAAGGCGACTTTGCGGCAGTTGTTCCGGTCTCTTGCTGACAACAGAGATGGACATCACTGCTATTCCTGTGGCCTGTTCCCGCTAATAAGCTAAATGAGCAGCTTGCCTGATCTCCCCCCTTCCTTGCCCATCCTCACCCAATTATTGCTGACCTAGTGTGGCTGTTTGTTTAACAATGGACCGAACTGGGCAGAACTGGACTGAACAGGGCGCCAAATTAGCCTGGTGACTTAAACGCGGGACGATTACTGAAGTCTCTCAAAATGTACTCACAGGGAGTTACGCTTCATTTGGAATTACTTGACTTGAAACAGCTTGGACCATGAATGATCCTCCGCTTTTCGGGTCCATACGAGTGTTGACTGTTCTCCATCACAGCTCGCAAGTCAGCGGAAAGAGATAAAAGAATAACACTACCCGATAAAAAATAAAATGATGACCGACAACTTGTTCTTGTCATCCTTCCCGGCCTTCGCAAGCCCTTTCGCCCTTTCGCGAAACAATAAAAGTAGGCCGAGGGCGTTATTCGCACAGAGCGTTTGGGGGGAGGGGGGTCTAATTAAATCTGTCCGTAGTGGTCACAGCACTGGAAAGAGAGGGGGGGGGGAGAAGAGGTCCGAAATCAGGGGGCAATAACGGCGTTGATAATGATTCGGTGAGCAAACAGCAGGGTAGAATTGTGGACTAGTTGCAAAACCATTCCCGCTTTTTGCGAATGCTCAGCTCGTCATCCAACAACAGGTTTTGTTGGAGATGTGTGCGTGTGTCTGTGTGTGTGTGTGTTTATTCTTTTATGAGTGCTATGTGGCTGTGCATGCTCCTGTGTACGTGCGCGTGACAGCGTGTGTGTGTGTGTGCGTGCGTGTGTGTCCTCGTCGTTGTTTGGCCCACATTGTACACGGCGCACCGCGTGGCTCTGTTCCAGCCGACTACTTCAAGTCATGCATTCGCGGCCAGCCGGACTTTGACCGCTGCGTTATGGACGCCCTCAACCAGCTCAACCACCTCTTCCCAACCGGTGAGTAAAAGTAACAGTCCCATATCCTTCAAGGTCAAAGGAGGCGAGGAGACGGACTGAGGGAGTGGGCTGAAACCGTTTTGCCTCGTTCCGAAGCCATATTCTAAAGGAATTGTGCTAGATAAGTATAAATCGGTTGGTCCCTGGGCCACCCTGACCCTTCCGAACTGGTCCCCCGATCGTGTCTGTCGAAATGGATGTTTGGTGGGTTGGGTTTCCACTTCATCGCCATAGTCACCGGTCGAATAACCCAGCCCCCCCCCCCCCCGCTTTTGCAGGCGTCCCGGAGTACAACGTGCCGCCATTCGACCCCTTCTTTGCCAAGGAGATCATCCAGAAGCGCGGCAGCGGCTCGCTGCACTACAAGCTCACCCTCAGAGACGTGACCGAGTCCGGCTGGACCCGCTCCAAGGTCATCAAATTCAAGTAAGGTTAGGGGGAGCGTAGCACGTGCGGCACGCATGGGTGGGTCCAGGGGGTTTGGGGAGGGGAGGAGGAGGTGGGGGAGGAGGAGGAGGAGGGGGAGGAGGAAGGAGGAGTAGGAGGAGGAGGAGGAGAAGGAGGAGGAGGAGGAGAAGGAGGAGGAGGAGAAGGAGGAGGAGGAGGAGAAGGAGGAGTAGGAGGAGGAGGAGGAGAAGGAGGAGGAGGAGGAGGAGGAGGAGGAGGAGGAGGAGAAGGAGGAGGAGGAGGAGAAGGAGGAGGAGGAGAAGAAGGAGGAGGAGGAGGAGGAGGAGGAGGAGGAGGAGGAGGAGGAGCACAAGGAGGAGGAGGAGCACAAGGAGGAGCAGGAGGAGCAGCACTTTTTGCCTATTTTTGGCTCAAAACCTTGCGAAGAATGTGTTCGCATTACAAACCATTTGGTTTGCAGCTTGTGAAGAGTTTGGCTTGATTGTATTACGAACTGATATTCCGCAATTTTGCGAACAATGTGTTTGCAAAGGGTTCGCAATACAAACAGGTTGTTCGCAAATTGCGAAGCGCTTGTTCGCAAGCTGCGAGCGAACTACTAGTGCCTGGTGAACGTCAAGCGAATTGGACGAATACTGCAAATCAAAGTACTATGATGCCGCTTTGCACATCGATAGTTGGGTTTGATTTGCAATACAGATGCGTTCTTTCCATTGTGAACAAGTCAGGTTCGTTGCAAGCTTACAAACACATCGGTTCGGAAGGTTTTAATAGTGAGGGGCAAAGTGTTTGGATTTTGTCTAACCTTTCAGACGTCTATCTAGGGATTTAGGGTCTCTCTCTCTCTCTCTCTCTCTCTCTCTCTCTCTCTCTCTCTCTGGATCCGCGCTTGCCATGACGCAATATCGCGAGGGGCCGACTCGAGCCGATAACAGTGCCAAACAGTTTTTAGCACCGCTAGTAGCGGTTTGGTGGAACGGCGTTGTGCAGTAACACTACAGTAACAGTGTGTGTGTGTGTTGCTGCAGGAGCGACCCGCGCAACTACCGCATCCGCTACACCCAGTGGTGGCCGGAGAAGTACCTGGCCGGCGAGTACGAGTTCGACGGCAACATGATCCAGCTGCCCATCGACAACAAGGGCCAGTTCAACCTCACCCTGTGTAAGTCACCAAAATGCACACTATCATGTTTTTGGTACCAATTTCCGCAGTTTTTTTTTGTGCAAATGATTTTTTTTTTCAATTTTACACGCGATTTTTCACAAAAACGGGTGGAACGTGCAGTTTTATGCGTGAAAATCGCATGGAAACTTCATTTACACAAAGGGCTGTAACCTCGTGCAAAATTATTCATAACGTTTCTCGGTTTTAGAAAGTGCGCCCGGGAAAACACCCCTTACGAAAAAGAGAGTAACCTGTTTTTTTATTTGCTCCTTCTGCGAATAGACAACTTCACGCAGACGACGACGGTGACCCGAAGACCCGTGCTGGACAACGCCGGAGTCTTCGTCCGCTGGGCCCCCATGAAGGTCCAGATCAACGTGCTCAACTCGGGCGATATGGCGCTACACATCAGCCACCTCCTGGGCGGCCGAGTCATCATGGGTCAGTAGTCACAGAGCACTAGTGCGTCGTTGGTTCACGCTTGAAACCTTACAAAGTATTATGAAAATTACAAAATTTTCTCTTTGGTTTACGAAACACTAGTTTGAAAATTTCAAAGTATTTCGAGTATTAGCGTATGTAGGATGCTCAAAATACTTTGTTATGACAAAATTCCTCACTACGTGAAGCCTGAAACAGTTTGTAAGATTTTGAGAGTATTCAATTCTCAGTTCCCTCCGCTTTTTTTCTAGAGCACTTCTTTTGACCTTGCGTCGAATGCAGGGCTTAAAGTGTCGTTAGTCCCGCCTTGAATAGCAAGTGCCTTTCTCCGTTGCCTCGCTGGCTGGAACGCACGGACGCGCACACACACAGGCGCACGCTTGCCAGCGAGGCACCGAGGCGCTCGCACCGTTCAATGGCTTGTATCACACTGCACACCGATTCCAAGAGTCGTTTTCGTCGCTGTGTCTCTCTCGCACCTATACGGGACGCTCCATGAGTGCGAGAGAGGCAGAGCGTCGAGAACGACTCTCGGAATCAGTCTGCTGCTCCGATATCACTGCCTGGCCGCTCGGCGGGCGGTGCGGCGCGGTGCGGCGCGGTGCGTCGTCGGGCCGCGGGGCGTGGATGTAGGTCAGCAGCCGTTGCACCACCGCGATGCGCGCAGCATCAGCCTGCCAGGCCACCGTCCGAAAACGAAATAATTAAAACCCCTTTCTGTCGGCATTCCAGAGAACATTTTGGACCGGATCATCAACGCGGCGTGGCGGCCCGGCTTCCTCGTCCTCAGGTCCACCATCAACGACCTGGTGGGCACCGCCTTCACCAAGATCTTCAACGACGGATTCGTGGGCTTCGACCTCGACAGGATTCTGCCACCCGCGGTTCAGAATGCTGTCTAGAGACCGCCACCAGTGCCCACCCTGGTAAAACTGACACGCTTAGTGCGCGTTTACAATGACGCTTGGAGACTTTTCGCTTCGATTCAAGCGAAAAGAAGAAATTCTCCCTTGCATTTAGATAGGCGGGAGAGGGGCGGTTCAGTGTACTACACTGGAAGCCAAGCGCAGCAACCACTACGCTTTGGAAAGGGCTAAAGTACGTGTCAGTTCTACCAGTGAGCGGCGCCCCTTTCGACTGTGATCTACCGAACAAAAAGGCGTTGTCATTATTCCATTTTACTCTGTTTCTCGTCCGAAAGTGGGACGAGAACGCCGGTGAGGTTTCATCTTTATCCATTTATGTGTTCATTCATGACGTGTGAGAAGGTTCTCGAAAGCCCAGACGGCTGATTTATTGTGTATAATTTGTTGTTTTCTTGTATACTGTGTATATACTTCTGAAGCTCATTGTCACCTGATTCGAAGCTCAACTTGTGAAGACTGACGATGATTTGTTCGTAGAATATTGATAAAACGAATTTAGAATGTAAGGGAACGCCTGAAAGCAATAGACCGTTATGTGTCGCATGTTACACCAGGCCCCTGCGCACACGCAAAATGCTAATGGACATTTGGTGCGAAAGTATTGACGTAGTTGTGATCAAATTCGCTCATAAATTAAGTACAATAGTATAAAGACTTCCAATACGTAAAAAATAATACTTAAATTTTGTATGAAATTGTACAAAGCTAACAGATGTTCGAATGTGTCAATACTTTTCAACAATGAAAGTACGTAAACATTAAGTGTGCAGCGCAACCCACGGGGCCTGCCTGTCAGATGGGTTGCCTACCGTCAGGCGCCCAATGCGCTATGCCACGCGCTCTGCCCAAGGGGAAATTAATAACTCCATCCAAATTTGAACACCAAAATTCATCAAACTTGTAAAATTAAAATTCATCGAATTTTGACTGAAATTCATCAAATTTCGACTAAAATTCATCAAATTTCGACTGAAATTCATCAAATGTCGACTGAAATTCACCAAATTTCGACTGAAATTCATCAAATTTCGACTGAAATTCATCAAATTTCGACTGAAATTCATCAAACTTCGACTGAAATTCATCGAATTTTAACTCAAATTCATTGGATTTGTACACCGAAATTCACAGTGATTTCCTCTTGGCGCTGCCTCCGAGTGTGCTTCTTTGTCTCACGTGTTTTCCGCCAGGGACCTGAAAGAAATACACTGACTCGGTTAGATTTATAAATGTGTATTTATTGCTTAACTCGTGCTTCCACATAGAACTACATAACGTCTTCTATGACGGGGGAATATGGCACTTGGGGAGTCTCGTCCGGCCACCTCTCAACATCAGGTATCACATTACTAACTTACACGCTCCAATTCTTAACCGCTATGTAAAAACAGTCTAAAATGTGAGACTAGAAATAACGTCTTTCGCTTCATACCGATTCTCATGTTTGGCATGGGGAGGCAAAGCACCGTTCTGAAGATGACCCCTCCTCTCACGTTTGCACGATCGCACACTCACACACGGACAATGTACACACGCTCACACGCACGCGCGCACACACACACACACACACACACACACACACACACACGAAGAATGGGAGCGCTCCGGTAGTGGCGAGGCCGACAGCACCTGGAAGTGCACCGAGTGGAACCCACCGACTGCACAGCGAGGCACTGCAATGCGTTGCACTTGCTCACGCGCATGGCCGTCCAGGCCGTCTAGGCCGTCTAGGCCGTCCCAGGCGACAGCGTGGTCGGCTCGTCCACCCTGGTCGTCGTCGTGGTGGGGTCGCCCCTCCACGCCTCCAGAAGCACCTCGGCCGCTTCCGCGAGGATGTCCTTGGCCACTTCACCGACGGCCTGCCCGAGCGCGGCCAGCGACAGGCTGGCGTCCGCTGGGTCCGTGGCGTTGGCCGCGACCAAGAAGGCCGAGTCAACGGAGGCGGTGTCGACGGAGGCCGTGTCGGAAGCCACGTTGACGGAGGCCCTGTCCACGGAGGCCGCGTTGACGGAGGCCGCGTTGACGGAGGCCGCGTTGACGGAGGCCGCGTCGACGGAGGCCGTGTCCACGGAGGCCGTGCCTACGGGGGCCGTGCCCACGGGGGCCGTGCCCACGGGGGCCGTGTCCACGGGGGCCGTGCCCACGGGGGCCGTGCCCACGGGGGCCGTGCCCACGGAGGCCGTATCCAAGGAAGTCTCGTCCGCCGCGCCGCGAAGGTCACGGTTCAGAGCGAGCTGGTCGTCGTCCTCGTCGGCTCCCGTGGGGATGTTGTTGTCGCCCTCCGTCGTGTCCTCCAGCGCGTCTTGCGGCGTTGCGGTGTTGGACGCGGCCTCGGCGGCGTCCGACAACTCCACCACGAGGTGCTTCGTGTCCCCGAGATCCTCTTGAGGCGGTGTGGCGGTGCTGGACGCGGCTTTGGCGACGTCCAACTCCACCACGACGTACTCCGTGCGCTTCTCCTGGCCCTTGTGAACGAACACGACGTCCTCCACCGGCGGGGCGCTCGTTGGCGGTGACGGTGGCGACGGGCTGCTGCTGGCGACCAGCGTGAAGGCCGTGTCCAAGGACACGATGTCCCCGTCGTGTGCGTCGCCGGGGTCGGGTTCCACGGACTGCGCCGTGGAGGCGTCGTCAGCCTCCTTGCCGCTGACGGTGTCCTCGCCTTGCGCTGCACTGTCCACCTCCACCACTGCCACGACGGCGTCCACCTGTTCCCCTAACCTAACATCATCCGATTCGGAATGTGCTTCGTAGGCAACGCCCAGATCCTGGTCCTGGTTCTGAACCTGGTCACTTAAGACATCCCTGGGACCTCCCTCAGCTTCTTCAAGTGGTGCACCATCTTCTCGCAGCAGCGTGGAAGTCGAGGAGGATGTAGTAGTTGTGGTGGTGGTGGTAGGGAAGGTCGTTTGAATGACTGTTGGGGTGGTCGTTGGGGTGGTCGTTTGGGTGGTAGCTGTAGAGGTCGTAGTTGTTGGGGTGGTCGTAGGGGTAGTCGTTGGGGCAGATGCTGCAGTGGGCTCTGTGGTGGTTGTTGTGACGGGTGTGGCAGTGGTCGTCGTCTCAGGGGTGGGGATGGTTGTTGGAGAAGGAGTGGTCGTAGGGGGCGGCGTGGTGGTCGTGGTGGTCGTCGTCGAGGTGGTGGACGTCGTCGGCGGCCTGGTCCACTCGAGGGGCGGGTACTCGTCGGCCTCGTTGTCGTCCATGGGCACTTCCAGCAGGTGCAGCGGCAGCACTCCAGCCGGGAACAAGTGGCGGTACGGGATGTTCATCATGAGGCGGTTGATGCGCTCGCGGAAGATCTCGGCAAAGCCGCGCTGCACGGCGTCCTGGAACGACGCCCACGACTCCTCGGCCTGCTCGTTCAGCAAGCGGCTAGTCGCCTGGCCTAGAATAACGCAAGGGGAAAATGACCGTGAATTTCAGTGCGCGAATCGAATGGATTTCAGTTGACTTTCGACGAACTTTGGGGCAAAAACTACTGAATTTTGAGAGAAATTTCGATTATTTTCAATGAAACTCAGTGAATTTTTAATGCAAATCTTTGGTTGGTGTACAAATTGGGCTGAAGTTATTATCCCTTGGAATAGCGTTAAAAGAATGACTTCGGTCACGTTTTCGGTGTAAGAAGAGGACGGCAAAAGTGGCCAGGAGACTGAAATTGCCACCCCAGGGTCCCAAGGTTTGAGCGACTTTTCAAATGTGTCCAAATTGGCACCGCTTTGCAGACATAGATTTTTCACGACAAGAAACACCAAAAATGTAAACAAATATCACAGGTTGGGATAGTAAATAAATCAATTATCAAACATCAACAGCGATAGAAAGGTCTAAAACGACAATTTGGTATTTTTTAAGTTTAATCACTTTTTTATTCACCATCCAAATCTGTGACCTGTGTTGACGTAGTTTTCTCGTCGGGACGAGTTTACTTTAAGAAGCAATGTCAGTTTGAACCACTTTAAAAATTCTTGGCTTTTATCCTTTCAAGTTCCAGTTCGAGAGGGTGAAAAATGGGCAAAAGGCAACCCTGTACCACTGTAAGTGGGCAAAAAGCAACACATTGCCCCGCAAGTAGGCAAAACGTGCTACTTTGCCCCTCCCACCAATTCTGGATGGATGCCACTCTGTAAACCTTACAAACTACTTCATGCCTTACAAAGAAAAGCTTTTTATAACAAAGTATTTTGAACATACATAAGCTCGCTTCGTAACATAGGAACTACAACAAAGTAAATAAGTTTTGTACTATGTATTCTCAAAATACTTTGTGAGCGTGGCCCTCCTAGGGTGCCTTGCAAGGGAAAATAACTGCAGCCAAATTTGTACACCGAAATTCATCAAACATGTAAAATTCACTGTAATTCATAAAAAATCATCGAAATTTGACTGAAATTCATCGAAATTTGACTGAAATTCATCGAAATTTGACTGAAATTCATCGAAATTTGACTGAAATTCATCGAAATGTGACTGAAATTCATCAAAATTCGACTGAAATGCATCGAAACATGACTTGAAATTCATCGAAATTTGACTGAAGTTCATCGAAATACGACTGAAATTCATTGCATTTGTACACCTAAATTCACAGTAATTTCCCCTGGTGCCTTGACGCCGGCTACTCACTGTACAGAGACGGCTCGCCCTCGGGCGCGGAGAAACGGAACGACCCCCTGCTGGGCCGCATGGTCCATCGCAGGCTGGCCACCCGGAAGTGGAGGGCGTCGTCGGACACCCGGCGGACGAGGTGGCCCTTGACGAGGAAGACGTTCTCGACGTCGGCTGCGAGCACGGAGCACAGGTTGTTGTTCCGGCCGTTCATTTGTACACACAGGGGGTCGAAGTGAGGCTTTCAGGAATTCCAAAATAATTGCAGCGTAGTGACGTGCGGCGCGCAGCATGCAAAAGCGGCGCAATCCCCGCCATTTATGAAGTGCCTGCCCGCGTGACCGCGACGCGCCGCGAAGGCAGAGACACGTTCCCGGCGAATTCACTTCGTTCTCCGGTTGGATAAAAGTGATAAAACCGGGGAAACGTTATCTATACTGTTTTACGGGCTACTTACTCAGGTTGTACTGGCAAGTGCCGTCGCCGGATAGGGCGAGGAACAAGAAGCGGCCGTCCATGTGGTACCGCGCCCGGAAGTTGAGACTGGGAACCCTCATGGTGATCTCCAGCGTCAGCTCCTGGAGGTCGCTCCTGGGAAAAGGGCGACGTCAGTAGGGTGGGCCAACCGGCCACTTCACTTCCACTCAACAGAGACCTTTCGTAAAGCAAGGCCATTTCGAACAAAAGTGAATTCACTTGTAAAATTCAAGTAAGTGAATTTACTTGAAACATTCAAGTAAGTGAATTTACTCGAAAAATTCAAGTAAGTGAATTTACTTGAAACATTTAAGCAAGTAAATTTACTTGAAACATGCAAGTAAGTGAATTTACTTGAAACATGCAAGTAAGTGAATTTACTCGAAACATTCTAGCAAGTAAATTTACTTGAAACATTGGAATAAGTGAATTTACTTGAAACATTCAAGAAAGTGAATTTACTTGAAATAGTCATTTACGTGAATGTTCTGGAAACATTCAAGTACGTGACTTTGATTAAAACAATAAAGGGAGTAAATTTACTAGAAACAGTCAAGCACGTTCACTTGTTTCCAATAAGTAGGCAGTAGGGCATCTTTGTTGTAGAAATCACCGTTGGGGAAGTGATGTGTCCCTTACCGGACGCCGGTGACGACGTAGTCCCTGAAGCCCTCCATGGTGACGTTGGTCATCCTGAGGTTGACGCGGAACTTGCCGCTAGCCTCACTGAAGTGGATCTCGTCGGCAGACAGCGGGTCGATCGGCCGCACTCCGAGCTCCGGGATGCCTGGCAGAAACATGCCATTGCATTTGCTGCGATAATATTCCTCGGTCGGAACATGGAATTAGACTTACCGTCCACGAAGAGGGGCCGCAGCCCCTGGGCCGTCGTGGCCACGCAGTCGTCCCAGACCCTGGCACGGTGCCGGCACGTGTGGAAGTAGGGGCTACCTGGAAGCAGCATCATTTCAAATCAAAACACGGTCGCGTATGGCCATTTTATTGGGACGGAAACTGGCTCATCAAAGTGCGGAGAAGCTACGAGTAGCGTGTGAGAATTTCCAGTATAGGCCACGAGTGAACCCAGCGGGAAAAGAAGGAAGCCAAAAAATTCCGTTGCCGTCGTCCCAGCAACAGGGATCTATCCAGGCCTGCAAGCTGCCTCTCATGTGCCATTTTGCAGCACGAAAAAAGAAAGACTTTGTGAGGTGTTTAATTTTGTCCGACTGGCTGAATTCGATAGCTTGCTATCAAAAATCCGGTACCCACAACCAAAATCTGGTTGCGTCGACCAACCACTTGCCCGACATCCCGACAGCAATTTGCAGCTTAGTTATCCTCTTACAAAGGGTCATTCGAGGCTACCAGCTTTTTTGGTCGTGGGTATACCTGATTTTCGATTGCAGCTACGCTCTGAAAACTGCACGAACTATTTAAGCCTTACGAAGTGAAGTAGCTTCATATCACAAAGTATTATTGAGCATACGTAAGCTTACAAAGAAAAATGTCAGTAGCTCACGAACTTTTTCTTCGTATCACAGACTAAAAATTTTCTACCTGAAATATGCTCAAAATACTTTTCGTAAGGTTTTGAGCATGTGTCGCGCATTCACTCTATCGGACAAATTCATTCACCACTTCAAAGGTTTTTTTTATTTTTTCGTGTGTATTTACAGCAGTGGTTTGCGGGAAGCACTGCCTGGGAGACGGGCACTTTGTCGCGGCTAAACGGACCGGCACTGCGGGCTCTGCCTGGGCTCTGCCTGCTCACTGCACAGTGGGCCAGGAGACCGGTGTAGCGGCCAAAACTCTAGACGTGTTTTGAGCTCCAGAGTCGCTAAATGGGACTTGAAACGCTCGTGTGACCCCGCCGATGGATTGCTCTCCAAACGAGGAATCCATTGGTGGGGTCACACGTTCCTTTTGAGTCCTATTTAGTGACTGTGGAAGCTCAAAACGCGTCTCGAGTTTTGGCCGCTGCGCCGGTCTTCTGGCCCACTGCGGGCAGGTGCGGGTGGCGTGCCCAAGGCGTGCCATGCCGCTGCACTGTCATTGAACGGCAAGTGACGGGAATTTTCAAGTAGCGTTCTTGTTATGTCGACGCGGTCATCACGGAGTGCACAATGGGTTGCCTCTGGGCGCAGCGCGCAGCCGCCGCGGCTCGCTGCGAAGGTGATAATCAGTGTCAAGGTCGCGCGCTCAGGGGGCGAAGTAGCACGGGTGGCCCGTCAAGATGGCGGCGCGGAACAATGAGCCTCCCATACTACTCTAATGTTTCAGCCAAACAATGTCACAATGTGCTTTGATCGAACAGGCGAAAACACCGCTTGCGTTTCCGCGTCCCACTGCTAATGAAACGTGTATCTTATCCGAGCGCCTCCACGCAGAGCGACGCAGAGCTTGAAGGTGACCACAAGCCGTCCGTCCGACAACCGCAACCCGACGGTGGACCAGCCCTCGAGACCGGCTGGCGGCCGCGCCGTCAAACGACGCGAACTCCGTCAGCCTCGAAGCCGCGGACATGAACAAAAAATTCGATACGATCTCAATCATGCTCCTCTGACGGCGTTCTTCTCACGGCCCATCCAAGGCATCGCGGGCGGTCTGCTTTTCCCACCAGCTGTCTTCTCCGCGAGCCACACTCCCGACGCTCTGTCTCTCTCGCACCCCTACGGAGAGCTCCACGAGAGGGACAGAGACAGAGCGACGGAACGACTCTCCTGACTCGCTCGGCTGCCGGCAGCGTCATTAGAGGCGGATTTTTCGTGCCGCGACACCAGCAGACTCATTCCGAGAGCCGTTTTCGTCGCTCCGTCTCCCTCGCACTCATGGGGCGTCCCGTGCTGGGGGCGAGAGAGACAGAGCGACGAAAACTTCTCTCGGGATCGGTTTACAGGCACACAGTAAATGTCTTACGGTGAAAGGCTGCACCAACATATTATGGTGGAGATTTTCTCCATAATACCAACGAAATCCGTCAAAATCTCTATAAGGTACAGTGGATTCTCAATGGTATGTTACGAAGTCAGCTGCACCACCATAATATGGAACATTTTCACCATAATATGGAGAATCTTCACTGTAGAACATTTAGAGTGCAGACACAGGGCAGAAGGTGCAGCGGCGCATACAAAGCGCGCCATCCCAATATATAGCGCCGCATATCGGTCCTGCATGGGAATGAGCGCCTGTGTCGACACAGGAAGCACTCCTGCACATACTCCTTCACATACAGAGAGAGAGAGAGAGAGAGAGAGAGAGAGAGAGAGAGAGAGAGAGAGAGAGAGAGAGAGAGAGAGAGAGAGAGAGAGAGAGAGAGAGAGAGAAGGGAGGGAGAGAGGGACGGAGGGAGCAGATGAGTGCAGTGAGGAGACAGAGGGAGAAGAAGACAAGGCAGGAATGCACCGAGGGGGGGAGTAGGGGAGAGGGGGAGGCAGGCGTACAAACAGGCACTACCGTGCACATGCTGCCCTGCGTGCGTGCGCGTACGCCGACGAGAAGGCTGCTCACAACGTCTTCATTTCGACGTCACAAGCATTTCAACGTTTTCTTGAATAACAATTCGTTTTCCTCAAAGACGTGTGCGCGCGCGCGCGTGCGCGAATCCGAAAGGTGCGAGACTCACGAGACCAGTTTGCTAAACAGGCCTCATCCTCATTGTTAAAAATAATAAGAAATAAACAATACAAATTTGAAAGAGGTTGCCAAGCGGTGTGTGAGTGTGTGTGTGAGTGTGTGTGAGTGTGTGTGTGTGTGTACTTGGCGCGTGGTTTTCACTTTCGTGGACGCAAAGTATGCAAATCAGCGCCGCCGAAACACGTCTCGATGCCGCAGGGGTCATCCGACCGACGTGATTGGACAATTTGTCACGAAAGACCCCCGAAGAAGATCCCCCGGTATGTTTTGCCCCCCTCCCCGGCCCCTCCCCGCCCCCTCCCCTTTTGGACCCTCCCCTCCCCTCTTTTGGCGGTCGGTGCACGACATGGCGCGTTCGCCTTCAACCAACACAAAAGTTGTCACGTTCGCGGCGCACTTTCGTTGACTTTCCTGTCCGTGGCAATTATTTCTCATAACTCGCTGCGGCAAGGCCACACGTGCGTTAACAATAGCGCACGGCGCGGCCGCGGCGGCGGGCCGTGCGGACGCGACGATGAATGGGGAATAAAGTCTGCCGAAACGGCACATCGCGCCTCTGAGACTAAATTTAGCAATTTGGCACTTCCCTCGGGCAGCGCGTCCAGCACGTCCAGCGGCCACGCCCACCCCGCCGTGACAGCGGCGCTTTCTGGCGCTAATCGCGTGGCGTGGCGACCTCCGCATCCCCCGGCCACTTTACGCCGCGGCGCCACTGTAGCAAGTAAAGATCCAGGGGGAGGGGAGGGGGCAAAAGGACAATTGATCCCCCTCCAGCGCCCTAGATAGCCACCTGAAAGGTAGGCAAAATGTAAGTAAGAGTAAGCTCCTGTAAGTAAGTGAAAGAAAAGTACTACTTTGTTTCCGCCCTCCCTCCCTCAGGCTGCCTCTGGATGAGCCACTGCACTGCAAATCCGTGATGATTGTGACAAAAAGTCAGAGACACCTGCGGATCTTTTCCAATAATCCCGGCTCTCGACTCGACAAACGCCAAGAACTCGGTTCACCAAGGCAGACATGACAGGTGCCATGCTGCAGACTGATTCCGAGAACCGTTTTCGTCGCTCTGTCTCTCTCGCATCTACACGGGACGCCTCTTGAGTGCGAGAGAGACAGAGCGACGAAAACGACTCTCGGCACGAGTGCCGTGCTCACTCACCCTTCTGCCACGGTGCGGCCGCGGCCAGGGCCGGCGCCGACAGCAGCGCGACGACGGTGATCCACAGGGCGGACATGTCCATGGCGGCCGTCTCGGCCTTCTCGTCGGTCGGGGGGATCGGGCAGGGCCTCGGCCAGGGCGCCACGCTCACATTTTCCCCGCGTCAGGACGCCGCCGATGACGGACGCGGTCTGCCGGCCGCGCTGCCTCGCAAGGTTAGACTGCCGGCACACCACGGCACACACCGCCATGCCGTCCGGAGACACTCTACCGCGCTGCCGCCACCGCGCGCCGCTGTGTGTGTGTGCTTGCGTGTGTGTGTGCGTGCGTACGAGCGCGCTCACGCGTCGGCGTGCGAGCGAGCTGGGAACACTCGGAGGCTCGCTGAAAATAACGTCAGTGTGATCCGACGCTGTTGGGGTTGTCAGAGGCGGATCCAGGGGCGGCCGTAGAGTTGGGCAAAGTCGGGCAAAGTTGCACCTTTTTGCCCACTGACAAGGGTAAAGTGTTGCTTTTAATTGTCAAGAGGTCAGGGAGGAATGGGGGGTAATTTCCGGTTATTTCTCTCCCCCTCTCTCTCTCTCTCTCTCTCTCTCTCTCCCCCTCATTCTGGATCCACGCTTGGGGGTTGTCCGGGAAGTCCAGGGGGAGGGTGCGAGGTGGTGGCGTATGGCGGCGTTGTTTTGCTGGCGTCCGTCTCCGCTTGGCCACAGCGACGTCGCCGCGTCCCACACACACATGCATAAACATGAGATCGAAAAATGTCAACGGGCACGTCGCGTCGCTAGACAATAACCACAGTGGTACTCCCAAGCGCGCCAAGCGCCGAAAAGGCCCGGCGAAGCGAAGCACAGTGGGCCAGAGGACCGGTGGAGGCGGCCAAAACTCTGGACGCGGTTTGAGCTGCAGAGTCGCTAAATGGGACTCGAACCGAAAGTGTGACCCCTCCAATGGATTCCTCGATCGGAGAGCAATCCGTTGGTGGGGTCACACGTTCGGTTCGAGTCCTGCTTAGCGACTCTAGCTCAAAACGCGCCCAGAGTTTCGGCCGCCTCCGCCGGTCTTCTGGCCCACTGTGCGAAGCGCCGCGGAACCGTCGCGAATACAGTCGGAATACATTATCCGCGCGTCGCACGGCGAGGGGGTGGCGGAGCACGCCGAGGTTCAGCTTGCTTGGGATTGACTGGACGTCTTCGCTGCGGTGCGTGAAGGCGTCGCTGTGCACGTGTAAGTGCCGAGCATAGAGTTGCCGCTTGTCACCGCGTACTGGGGCAGAGAAGAAATGAGTTGACAAGCCGCTCTTTACTTTTAAGTACTGCGAGATAGGACTGGACTGCAGACTGAGAGTCGTTCCCGTCGCTCAGTCTCTCTCGCACCTATCCTGAGCGCCCCATGAGTGTGAGAGAGACAGAGCGATGGAAACGATTATCGGAATCAGTCTGCTGTTGAAGCTTTCACGTGGACCTGTGCCGTGGTGCTGATAATATGCCACCACGGCTATAGGGTTGCCACCCTGGACTGCAGACTCGCCGGGCCTCTGCACCATGGCTGAGACTGCGGCGCTGTTGTCGACGGCAGTCCCTGGCGGCGCTTCTCACAGTGGGCCAGAAGACCGGTGGAGGAGGCCAAAACTCCAGACGCGTGTTGAGCTCCAGAGTCGCTAAATTGGACTCGAACCGAAAGGGTGACCACACCAAAGGACTGCGTTCTGAACAAGAAATCCATTGGTGGGGTCACACGTTGGGTTCGAGTCCTGTAAAGCGACTCTGGAGCTCAAAACGCGTCTAGAGTTTTGGTCGCCTCCACCGGTCTTCTGGCCCACTGTGCGTTCCGGCCTAGCCCAGCCGCACTCGAGAGACTCTGCGTGGGGTATTGGCAATCACTCTTGCGGTGGCGCACTCCGCTGGACTAGCAGTGTACTGACGGCGAATTCCCGTGAGAACAACGTGAGCGTGACAATACTCCACGCGCTCCCATCCGGCCGGTAAAAATGACGCGCGATGCGGAGTATCGTCGTCCCAAGATGCCCCTCCCCCTCGCGCAGACAGTCTAGCAGTCTCCGAGAGTGGTTTTCGTCGCTCTGTCTCGCACTCGCGGGGCACCCCGTATAGGAGCGAGAGAGACAGAGCGACGAAAACGACTCTCGGAATCAGTCTGCTGAAGCGCTCCATTCCACTTCGCATTGCAGGCGGACTTACTTCCTGCACGCAGTACCGCCTTCCGTTCACACTTTTCTCCATTTTTTTCTGAACCGGTTCGCGCGCGAAGGTCCCCGCTGTGTTTGGTTCGATGACCCAGCGACTCGCGACATAGTCGCTGATGACGCCAGAGTGGTCGATGCCCAGGATTGAGCACCAAATGCGAGCACCGTGCCGTGAGCTGGCCATTTTCTCGGGCTGGAAATCGTGTTGTCACCGGTAGTCACCGTCCCATCCACCCCGTCCGAGGGCTCTCCCTCGCACTGAGAGAACCTTACAAACTATTTTAAGCCTTATAAAAAAAAATCAGTTCGTTGCACACTAAATGTTATGTACAATTTTGTACTAGACATCACAGTTTTTTGTGCTCACGAAATTTTCGTACAATTTTCGTACGAAAAACTGCACATTTTTCGCCATTTTTGTACACACAAAATTGTTCAAAATTGTAAAAATTCGTACGAAAAGTTCGTGTACAAAAGAAACTTTGATGTCTCGTACAAAGTTTGTACAAAAACATTTAGTGTGTATAACAAACTATTTTGAGCATACATAAGCTTACAAAGAAAATACTTCGTAAATTACGAACTGTTTCTTTGTACAACAAAGTATTTTAGTTTCTATAATGTATGCTCAAAATTCTTCGTAAGGTTTTAAGCGTGCGCGGAAAACGACAGTGTGAAAATTTGTTGTCACTTTATGACAAAATCGTGGATGATATTTTCATCACTTTCAAATGATGACGGTCTCATCACGAATAGATGACACTTTTATCAAATCTCCTATGCTTATTGCATTGGCGAGACAACAATGTCATCAATTCTTGATGACACCTCTTGTAAGGAAAATTAGCCTTGAAATTGTCATCAAGAGACGAGTCCAATTTTCACAGTGGCGGCGGAAAACACACACTACTAAAACAAGGTAGGTTTACGCCAGACCGCGTCTTGTCGTAACAGGCTTCGCGATGTCTCGCTGCCTGTTCCTCCAATCCACGCCTGGCGTACCTACCTTGGCCTGCGGCGCTAGCCTGCCTGCGGCAGGCAATGGCTTGTCCGTTGTCGGTTATTTTTTAACTTGTTGAATGCTGGGGGGCTCCGCCCCCCAGACCCCCCTACATTGTAAATAGAGTTTTTTATCTACAGATAACACGATCTTGACCCTTGTCACTTTTTAACTTGTCGGGGCTGGGGGGCTCCGCCCCCCAGACCCCCCTTTCTCCAAGACAGAAGTGGTCTATCTGCAGAAATCTCTATTTTTCGCCGTTTTTTAGGTGTTTTTCGCCTATAAAAACTGAACCAGTTGAGCTAGGATGGTGAAATTTCGCGTGTGCCGAGCCAAGGACATACCTAAGAAGTGTGCAAAATCTCACCGAGATCGGCCGAGCCGTTCAGGAGGAGTAGTGCGGACAGACAGACAGACCGACAGACAGACAGACAGACAGACAGACAGACCGACAGACAGACAAAACTTTTCAACCCCACTGGAGTAACAGGCTTCGCTATCGCTCAGCCAAAAAACACACACTACTAAAACTGAGGCGAAAAGAACCCTCTAATGAGGGTTAGGTTAGGTTTGGTTAGGAACCCCTTATTGAGGGTTCTTTCTCATTCATTTAGATAGAAGTAATTTGATGTTCATGCTCCTGTATGCTTCAAGAAGTACGCTAGCACTACTGGTACTACTAGTTTACTTGAAGAAAGGTGTAACGTTACGCCCGAGTTTTACCAGTGAGCACGGCGGCTGGTCGGAAAAACCGCGGCGCGTGGCGGCGGAACGGAAGAGCGCGTTTGTCTGCGTCCTGGGAGGAGGAGGAGAGTGGAGGGAGAGGGGAGGAAGCGGCGGGTCCGTGACACCCGGAGGATCCCAGGGAGGATCCCGGAGGCGGCGGGGCGGTGATATCCGCCTCGCGGAAGTGGATCGGTTCATGGTTCATATATAAGCCGCAGAGGAAGCGGCACATGTGACTCAGTTGAACCGATCAGTGCCGCTCTACCACCATGGCTCGCTCCACGTGCACCACCGCTTCCACCGCCTTCGCCCTGCTCTGTCTGCTCGGCTGCGTCGCCGCCGCCAACCTCGGTTAGTACCAGGCCCGAGTGCCACCATATTAGAAGTCACTCCACTATAAGGAAGAGAGCTAGTATACATAAACAGTGGAACGCCCAATGCTCTCCCCAAATGGAAGCTTCCATCGTCCATGACTATTGGCATATTTGTGCACACTCTAAATGTCTTATGGTGGAAGGCTGCACCAACAAATTATGGTCATGATTTTGCTCAGAATACAAACGAAATTCGTCAAAATATCTGAAAGAAAAGGTACAGTGAATTTTCAATGGTATGTTATAATCTCAGCTGCACCTCCATAATATAGACAATTTCACCATGATACACAGACAATCTTGACTATACAACTTTTAGAGTGCACATACACAGTAAATGTCTTACGGTGAAAGGCTGCACCAACATAATATGGTGGAGATTTTCTCCATAATACCAACGAAAATCGTCGAAATCTCTGGTACAGTGAATTCTCAATGGTATGTTACGAAGTCAGCTGCACCACCATAATATGGAACATTTTCACCATAATATGGAGAATCCTCACTGTAGAACATTTAGAGTGTACACACTAAATCTTTTTGTACAAATTTTGTATGAGACATCACAGTTTTCTTTTGTACACGAACTTTTCGTACAAATTTGTACAATTTTGAACAATTTTGTATGTACAACAATGGCGAAAATGTGCAGTTTTTCGTACGAAAATTGTACAAAAATTTTGCGTGCACAAAAGACTGTGATGTCTCGTACAAAATTGTACATAATAAGCTAGATGTACAACTGAATACGTAAATAAGAATCATTATTTCCAAGCTTAGAAAATTTAAGAATTTGTACCTTATTTGTGCATAAATTACTCCTGCACAAAAAGTTGTGTACAAAAAGTGCATGGGGATTTAAGCATTTAACGTGTGGCAGGGATAGCGCTGCTTATGATTTTACCACGGTAAAAACGGTACCTGGTTTTCCATGGTTTTTTGCAGGAAGCCTATGGTAAAGACTTAGGGGCTTTGCGATTTCCAGGGGCTTCCTGTGAAAACCAGGAGCCGTCTTTACCGTGGCTCATTTCAAAAAAAAACACTTCGTTCAAACTGGGAGGAGCTCTGGGTTCTGGCGGTCAACGTCTACTGCAGTGGTGGCCACGAGGGGTTACCCACTCGGTACTTGGGCGTACACACGATTCCGGATTCCCGCGATTCCTGAACAAATCTTGCATAAAAGGAAAGGTTTTTGAAGATTTTTCTTACCTTTTGAGTGTTTTGTGTCTAATTACATATCCCTCTCCATTGAAACTTTTAAGATTTTCGATAAAAATTTTGAGCAAATTACGAATGATTCCCGGACTGAGTGAACACACGATTCCCGGAGTGGGTAACCCCTCGGGTGGCCAACATGGTAGTGGCTCTCGTTGCGAGAGCCCGGAGTCAGAGAGCCCAGAGTTCTTTCCAGTTTGAACGCAGAACAGGCCTTAGATTTATCAGTGCGACAGTCCGACATGTCAGACAAAGGTGAGAACGAAGTAAGTCGTCGTCCCGGGCGAGGCTGGCGCCCGGTGCGTCGGCAGCCCATCGCACAGCGCACCGCGCGGCGCCAAGGAAAGGCACCGGCCGGGCGCAGCGCCGCGGCGACCTTCGAGGAGTCATTTCATTTCGTGTCCGTTGCATAAGGCGGTCCTGCCGTGCCCTGCCCTGCCGTGCCCTGCCGTGCCCTGCCGTGCCCTGCCGTGCCCTGCCGTGCCCTGCCCTGCCCTGCCGTGCCCTGCCGTGCCCTGCCGTGCCCTGCCGTGCCTGCCGTGCCCTGCCGCTGCCCGTGCCCTGCCCCGTGCCCTGCCGTGCCCCTGCCGTGCCCTGCCGTGCCCTGCCGTGCCCTGCCGTGCCCCTGCCCCGCCGTGCCCTGCCGTGCCCTGCCGTGCCCTGCCGTGCCCTGCCGTGCCCTGCCGTGCCCTGCCCTGCCCTGCCCTGCCCTGCCCTGCCCTGCCCTGCCCTGCCCTGCCCGGGGCGCGGCACCTTTGTGACTTGGACTTGAAACCGGCGTGCTTCTGTTCCAGCCGACTATGTCGTGCCGTGCAAGAGCAAGGACCCCGGCCTCAACGAGTGCGTCCGGCAGGCCGCGCAGGACATCATCGTGAAGGGCGCCAAGGGTAGGTGAACTCAAACTTGGAACTGACGCTATGTAAACTCGTCTGAAGCGTAGTGGTACGCTTCATTCAAGCCTAGAACTGCGCTGGAAGACCTTATGCTTGAAGTCAAGCGTAGAGCAGAAATTAAACCAAACATTTAAATTTAAGGGAAATGAGTCGAGCGGACTACTGCTGCGCTTGAAAACACGCGTAAAGTGCGCTTCAGTTACTCGGGCGCGAACCAGGGTCTTGGCCTTTCTGACACACTTCTACTCAGGCATCCCGGAACTCGGCATCCCCGTGCTGGACCCCGCGAAGGTGGGCAAGCTGGAGCTGGAGAGGAACGGTGCCCTGACCATGAGCCTCGTCTTCAACAACTCCACGCACTACGGGCTGGCCGGCATCAAGATCCGCAGCGCCAGGCAAGTCCCCGCGGCCTGGCAGACACCAGCACACTCTTAAAAGCCTATGAAGCATTTGCTTCATAACTACGAAGAAAATTACGAGCGACTCTTCGTAGAGTTTTTCCTGTGCTCACAGTGTGCGTCATCTTCAGCGGACTCACTCATAATCGTGTCTATTCGCGTTCCAGCGTCGATCCCAGAAACAATGTGTACAACTTCTCGGTGCTGATCCCGCACTACGTCGTGTCCGGGGAGTACGACATCAACGGCAGGGTCATCTTGCTGCCAATCAACGGCCGCGGCCAGGCCAACCTCACTTTCAGTAAGTCTCTCAGGCGCACTCACTCAGGCGCACTTACACACTCACTCACTCAGGCGCACTCACTCACTCACTCACTCAGGCACTCACTCCATCAGGCGCACTCACTCACTCCATCAGGCGCACTCACTCACTCAGGCACTCAATCAATCAGGCGCACTCACTCAGGCACTCACTCACTAATTCACTCACTCACTCACTCACTCACTCACTCACTCACTCACTCACTCACTCACTCACTCACTCACTCACTCACTCACTCACTCAGGCGCACTCACTCACTCACACAATCAGGCGCACTCACTCACTCAGGCACTCACTCAGGCACTCACTCACTAATTCACTCAGTCACTCACTCACTCACTCACTCAACTCACTCACTCACTCACTCACTCACTCACTCAGTCACTCACTCACTCCACTCACTTACTCACTCAGTCACTCACTCATTCACTCACCCACTCACTCCCTCTCGTTCCAGCCAACACGGAGGCCGAGTGGAGCTTCTCCGGCGTGCAGGAGCAGAGGGACGGCCAGACCTTCCTCCGCCTGGACAAGCTCGTCACCAGGATCCACGACGACTCCCCCAAGAGGGTGCAGGTTCACTTCGACGGACTGTTTGGCGGCAACAAGCTCCTCGGTGAGATAGACACATGGACCGGAAAACCGGTGGAGGCGGCCAATTTTCTAGACGCGCTTTAAGCCCCAGAGTCGCCAAACTGTTCTTGAAACGAGCGTGTGACCCCCACCAATGGATTCCTCGTTCGGAGAGCAATCCATTGATGGCGTCACACGTTCGACTCGGGTCCCATTTCGCGACTCTGCAGCTTAAAACGCGTCTAGGATTTTGGCTCCCTCGACTGGTCTTCTGGCCCACTGTGAGACGGCAGCCTAAATCCGATTCCGAGCGGTTGAATAGGGTACTTTCGTAGAATCCTGAACCGGATGCAAGCAGACCAGCAGACGCCAAATTGGCCGGAAACTAACCTCTCTTCGGATCCAAAACTATGGCCGAGCTGTACAAATATTGCTCGCGAAACACATATGCACTGCAAACAAGTATCAAACGACTGTTTATGTTCAAGTGTGGCCGATACCTTTGACGAACGTCTCTTTCCCATGTCAAGTTTGGATCTACTTCCGCCAACATGGCGTCTGTGTGCTTCCGGTTCAGGGATCTACGAAAGTACCCTATTGGGCGTAACTTTACTGAGAAAACAAATGTGAAGAACTACTCCGCAAATGAGATGACGCGGTCAATTTTCTAGATGCTTTGCCGCGCCAAATGATGTGGTTATTTTAGTCTGCATCCAAGCTGTTTGAAGCCTAATCCTTGAGGCGCAAACGTGGAGAACTCTGTGGTTCGAAGACGAGACAAACCGCGTTTCCTGGTGCCAGCCACGCACTCTGCGTTTGGCGCCGAGAGCACTACGTGCATTTGTACAATTTTGTACCTGGTCTCGCACAGTTTGAAAACATGCGAACCGTTTGGTACTAATTTGTACCTAGAATCGCACAAATTCATGTGAAATATACGCACGAATTTGTATGAAAAGCACGGATGCGCTGACGAGACCACGTACATTGAACAAAGGAATTTAGCGTTTGGCCAAAGTAAGCAAGCACCGCGTCACGTCATGCGTGAAACTGTCCGCGTTCGCAAACTTGTTTTCTCACCGCCGAACTTGAACTTGAACTCACTGTACCACCTGGTTTCCGACAGGCGACACGATGAACAACTTCATGAACACCAACTGGAAGGAGATCACCCAGCAGCTCAAGCCCAGCGTGGACGCGAGCTTCAGGCGCCGCATCCTGCCCGTCGCGCAGCGCATCGTGTCCAACTTCCCCCTCAGCCAGCTCTTCAGCGACCTGTAACGCACCGACCTCGACCGCTAGAGAGTCTTTATGCGAGTGCTGTAAAAATGTGTTGTCACTTCATGACAAAATCGTGTATGACATTTTCATCTCCTTGGAATTCACTGTAAAAAATTCCGTACTTTTGTACCGAAATGGTACAGAAAAATATAGTACGGAGGTACGGAGAAAAGTACGGAACGTTCCGTACTTGCTCCATATGAACCCATGTAAATGGGCACGGAAAAAAAGTACGGAACGTTCCGTAGTTGGCAAGTACGGACGGTCCAGGCAAATCATTGACCAGACATGTTCCGTACTTTGTCCGTACTTTTTTCTCACAGTGAATGATAAATGATGACAATGTCATCTTGAATACATTTTCGTCACAGCTCCCATTGTACGGGCGTGACAACGATGTCATCAACTGATTCGATCAAATTACGGAAAATTATCCTGGAAATTGTCATCATGTGACAACCAAAATTTTCACAGTGAACGCTCGCATGCAATGAATGACGCCAGAACGGAGCGCTCACGCCCTCTGCAAGAAGGCCGTGGCAGAAGGGTTGCCTGTCGCCCGGGCGCTCCTGGTCTTCCTACCTCATAGCAGCCACTGTTTGTCATTTATTAATTAACTTATTTTGTCAAGTATTTATTTGTGTGAAATGATGTGTGTGTAGAGTTTCTACATTTGTGTGATCGTGTATGTGTGTAGATTTGTGTATGTGTGTGTGTGTGTGTGTGTGTGTGTATGCGAGTGGGGGGTCTCCTTTTTCATTCATTTCTCATTCATTTAATACGTCTAGTCATGCATGTCTTTGTGTCATTTCCATCTTGTTTATTTTCAAGTGAATTTGTGCAGTGTGATCAAATAGAATACAAATAATCATAAGTATGTTTTCCCTATTTTATTGAACACAAACAAACCGTTTATCCCTGCCACTACCGAACAAAAAAGAGGTCTAGGTGACTGCAGCTACGTCGAGCCCATGTGTCGAAAGCCGAGCCGAGTCGAGTTGAGCCGAGCCGAGGCGAACCGAGCCGAGTGGAGCCAAGCCGAGCCGGGCCGTGGCGAGCTGGCGTGCCGGGGCTGCCGGAGCCGGGCGGGGGTGCCCGGTGTGCCGGTCGACCGCGTGCTGGGCAGCGCCATGGCACCGCCCTGCTGATAGTCTTGGACCAGTGGAGCTCCGAGTCGCCGCCGGAGCGCCCTGCCATCATCATGCCGTCTGTCTGGGTGGCGGTGTGTGTCCTGGTGCTGGCCGCGCACCAAGGAGTCGCCATCAAACTACGTGAGCAGGCCAAGTTTGCTTGACTTACTTCGCCAGGAAGGCCGCAGTCTAGTGCTGTCTTTTGTTTTATCGCTGTCATCGCAAGAGGGTGTTATGATTTCTCCGTCTGCAACCGGATCTTGTGGCTTGAGATCGATACCATCGTCTGCAGCTTGAGCACACTCTCAGCCGGTTACTGACTTTTTCTGATTACGAGACACATTTCTGAACCATAATACTATTGAATTATTATGTACACTATTTTACAATACTAAGTATTAAATTGGCCATTGCTCATTACTGCAGTATATTTTTTTTTTTTTTTATCGATCACAAAGAATATTTTACCTTCTTATGAAAGAAATCTAAGTACTAAGTTAGCTTACAGGAATACGTCTTCTGATGAGAAAGTGTCAGTAACGGGCCAAAGAGTGCATGTCTGCAAGAATGCTTTAAAAAAATATTTTTAAGAACAGTTTTCAATGTCAGGTGGCTTATTTTATTTATTCACAAATGAAAGAACGCTCTTCAAAAATCTGCATCTCAGTGGGAAATAATAATTGCTGTGGGTTAAAATGTAATCTATCGCTGAAGCCTTTTCCTGTGTGTTCCTCGACGGAGGCACGAAAACATGTATCTCTGTACTGACTTCCACTTGACACACACTCAACTTCTTATGCTCGTTTTTATGCGTATTACGATGGTTTTTCATCGTAAGGTACGCATAAATTTGCACATACGTAATATGCATAATTTTTCATCGTATTACGCATGAATTTCAGCGTATTACGCATGTATATCATCGTATTACGCATGAATTTGATCGTATTACGCATGAATTTGATTGTAGTACGTATGTTCTCATTTCAACGTATGTTACGATGGCCCTTTCATCATAAGAATCTGAGGGTGCACCCTCTAACTGTACACACCCCAAATTTAGGTGTGAGCGAGTGTAGGTTAATATTGGACAAGCTCGTTGTACACACGGTAAATGTTTTTGAACTGTTTTGTATGACCCTGCTCTCAGACAATTTTGAGCAGTTGAACTTCTTGTGCGAGTTGTGTGAGCAAAGTTTTTTGAGACAGTTTCGTTGAGGCAGTGTTCACTCTACGATTAATTTCTTCTTTTCTTCGTAGTTATAAAATAGGATTCAATGAAAATATTGCACTCTTGACCTGCATCCAAATTTCCACAAGCGTCACAAGTGGAATCCATCGCGTTCTTTTTTTTCTAGTACAGATGAAGCCATGCAACAACACAGCCAAACCGGGGATTCCAATGCTCCATTTTATTATCTCTGAAAAATGAATCACTGACCAACTGACTTCCATCAAATTATAATAAAGAGCCCGAAACGACAAACATTTATTGAGTTTACAACTTCTGTAGCCTTAATGTGTTACAAATTTAATGTGACATGTGCAGATGTACTTTTCGTTCAAATTTGTACTTGAAACTGCCAGGGCAGCTTGGGATCCATGCACTAACTATCCAATTTTTTCTTGTAATAATAGCTGTTGGGCTGACGTGTTACTCTGGTCACTAGCACTGCGCAGAAAACGTGTACTTGGTACAGACTAAATGTTATGTACAATTTTGTACGAGACATAACAGTTTTTTGTGCAAACGATTTTTTCGTACAATTTTTGTACGAAAAACTGCACAAATTTCCCCTTGTTGTGTAAAATTTCGTACAAATTTGTTCGAAAAGTTCGTGTGCACAAAAAACTGTGATGTCTCGTACAAAATTTGTACAAAAACATTTAGTGTATAGGCATTATCCAGAAATTTAAATCAAAACTAAAATTCTTCGAAAAAATCCTTTTTATTTCTAAGCATTTTTTTTTTTTTTGGGAATACGAAGCCATTTTTAGCAATACAAAACCCTCAGCGCCTTCCGTTCCTCCAATTTTCTTCCTCGTTGTGAAACAAATCTCCGTACAGTAGATCTCTTGCTGTGTTCGTGAATGAGAAAAAGTGGCAGCATCGCGTACGACCCTGCGTCATGTCGAAATTAACTTACTTCAAGGACAACGGTCGCCGGGGTGTCCTGCACCCCTCGAGGGTGCTCATGTCGCGGGCGGGACAGATTGGAAAATCTTTTTCCCCTACTCTACTCACACGGTTTGACCAAACGGACGGCTGAGGACGTCCCGTCAACTTAATTAACCGAATCGAGTCAGTGCAGTAAGTGATACACAATCGGGGTCCCCGCTGTCCGTTTCAAAATCCGGGCTGTGTCGGCAATGGTCGGTGGCCGGCACCTGCACGCCGCGGCGTCTGGCGTCTCCGAGCCGAAGCCGGTTCTGGGGCCGCGCCGCCGCGCCGCCCAACGAGTCGCCTTGGTGACCTTGAGGACGAGCATGTTGGCCGATCTGTGGTCACTAATTGCAGCATTGCGCGGCGCGTGGATTCACCCTGTTTACTGTTTGTCCAGCATCGTACCTCACCGCCTGCTCGCGCTCGGACCCCAAGCTCAACGAGTGCGTGATTCAGAAGGCGTCCGCCGCCATCCCGTTCATTATCAACGGTGAGCTAAACCGACTAACCGGTCGAGTAAACGGCAACGCAAACACCGTGACCGAAAACATGACATTCGCAGGAGACCCCAAGTACCGGGTGCCCAACATGAACCCCATGGTGATCCCCGAGCTCGCCCTGTGGCAGGGCACCAGCGCCGTGGGGCTCAAGATGGCCTGGAAGAACGCCGAGATCCACGGACTGAAGGACGCCAAAATGCTGGAATGCGAGTGAGTGAGACTGACTGGGAGGCCGGGGCAGTGACCTGGGACCTCGGCGGGCAGAGCGGTGCTGGGCGCAGCTAGACTGGCTACGTAGCCCAGCAAGTTCCTGTTTTGTGTAAACAAAACCAGCTGAAGGCTCATTATTATTGCTTGAACTCCGTTCAAATCACTTTCACGATCCAGTTTTGCATTTGTACTCATCACATCCCGCGTCTGTGCTTGCGTTTTATTGCGCTAGTTATCCTTTGCGTGTGAATTTCCTCGTGAGTTTCCACCGCTTACAGAGTGCTTAAGGTGCGAGATCGCGGACCGGGGTCCAAGCAACGGCTAAAGGAACTTAGACCGTTGTATTGACCGGAGTCCTCTCATGCGAATACTCCTTGCCATTTTCGTTCAGGCAGTTCAGGCAGTGTAGCACTTTCCCGAGAGATGGCACCACAGTCGAGTACTTCCAAAAAATTAAAAGGTCCTTGTTGGGGGTGGAGAGTCCTATCCTCACTGTGCATCATCTTCGTGTCAATGCCGCCTGATTTGGCAGTGTAGTTGCCGGTGCGGGCGAGGCGAGCACCGGCACCCTCGTCAAAGTGCACAAAGACAGCTTGACAGGTGCCACTCAGCATGGGCACAGCAACGGGTGAACTTCTGAGATTTCAAATTTATCAAATCAAACTTGTTTTAGCCGTTTTCCTCGTCTCATCGCGGTACCAGGGGTATATAAATTTATCCCAATAGTGCAAAATGAACGGGTAGTGTCCGCGGCCTAATCCTGTTGTTGGCCCTTCTGGGGCTGCCCCAGTGGCCGAGCGCGCTGCCGGTCCTGGGCTGCGTCTCCAGCGGGGGGAGGGGAGGGGGCAGACGGAGCGGAGACAATAGATCGGAATGCAGCGAGGTGTCCATCATAAACGCGTCGCACCGACTCGGCCGTCCTGCACGCAGTTCTGATTCTTTCCGCCGCGCCACCCTCCGATGCCTCAGGATTCGACCGCCAAATTCAAAACGTGTGAAAAGGACGGAAAAATGAGTGAAACGGCAAGAACGCCTACGCAAAAACTATGATAGGTACAGCGAATCCGAAAACGGATCCGTGTAGGGGAAGGGTGTCCGGAGGGCAATTGATCAGTCCGAAAGTAATCCGACAATTATTAGTGCCATTGGGGTAGCGTCAAAGAAAAGAGCGAAAGTAGTCGGTTTTGAACACCTCACCAAACGTACAAATATTGATCGCGCGACTCCCAGCCTGATCAATTGCCCTCCGGACACCCTTCCCCTACACGAATATGCTTTTGGTTTCCAGATCAGTCGCATAGTTAAGCCGTAGGCGTTTTTTTCCGTGAGCGCTGTTTTCACACTTTCATCGTTCAATATTTCGGTTCAAAATTTTTTGAAAAGAAAATCCTTTGAATGGGGTGCTTGTATTGTCGTCCTTAATGAATGTACAAATTTTGAACGAAATCGGTGACCCAAAATTTACGCGATCTAGCACCTTAACGATTGTTCGCCCACAGCATGGACGTCCCCAAGAAGCACACCAGGCTGACCTTCTTCACGCCCAGCATTAGCTTGACGGGCACCTACACCGCGTCCGGGAGGGTGCTGCTGCTGCCCGTCACCGGGACGGGGCCCTCCAACATCACAGTCAGTACGTATCACCAAACCGCACAAATGTATTTGCAGTTTCGTTTCCTTGAGCATGTGAAATTTTTCGTACGAATCTCACTTAGAAAAAAACACAACAAAAGTACACAAATTATTGGCAAATTTTCTATCAGGAATTAATTGTAATTTCAAAGTACAAGGAGTATTGTTGTACAAAGTACGATGAAACCAGCATGACGAGTGCTGTGCAGTCCAGGCCTCGTGGTTTGTACAACTCTCGTTCGTTGTACTTTCTACACGGTAAAAACGGAACCTGGTTTTCGCAGGAAGCCAATGGTGAAGGCATAGGCGATTTCTAGGGAGTTCCTGGGAAAACCAGGAACCGTTTTTATCGTGTACAATCCCTGTTGTACTTTTGATGTACTGTTTTTGTTGTACTTTTCACACTTTTGCATAGAGTTACGCTTTAGTTTTACCAGTGACTCGCACACAAAGACACACACTACTTTAACTGTCAATTTTGGAACTGATGCAGAAAACATGAGGATCAGCTTCGACTACGACTGGCCTGTGAAGAAGCGCGCCAACGGCAAGGAGTACATCGACATCCTGAACCACAAGATGACTCTGCACGAGCTGGGTTTCATGCAAGTGCGCTTCGAGAATCTGTTCAACGGCGACCGCCTACTAGGTGAGCAGGAAGCATGCGTCAAATTCTTCTGAAAAAAAAAAAACGCGTGTTCACAGTTTGAAGAATTTAATTTGTGTCACCGTCCTACACTTTTTGTCAATGCGTGGTCTGTGGTTCAATGCAACCACAGGGCCGGTGAACGCACCGTGTGGGTCAGACCGTTTCTGACACCTCCAGGCGTGACACATTGGTTTATCACTCTTGCAAGCGTGAGGCCTTTTTGGTTCCAGCCAAATAGAGTCACTGTGGGACAAAATAGTGAAAACCAATAATGAAAAATAGTGAAAATAGTAAAAACAAATAGTGAACAACTTTTCAACCAAAAAAGTATGTGGATTAAAAGCCCTATACCTGTTGCTTAGGCGTGACAACAATGTCATCCATGAACTAGTTTGATATATTCTTGTTGGAATGAAAAATAGCCTTAACATTGTCATCAAGTGCATTCTCCTAAATGTCTTGAAATAAAAATTCCGATAATACGAAGGGAATGGCGCAAGCATCATAGTGCGAAGGGAGTTTCGTTTCGTACTACGATGGTTTTACTTGTTTCTTACAATGAAAATGATTGAAACGTTCGTATACGAAGAGATATTGCTTCGTGCTCCGAACTCACTATAACATAGCTCAAATTTCATTGTAAGTCAGTTAGAGAGTGAAGTGTGCACAGTATTTCGCGGTGTGCAAAGACAAAACTTAAGCCGTACTGGTCACGCGTCTGGTTCCAGGGGAGAACATGAACAACTTCATCAACGAGAACTGGCAGGAGGTGTCCAAGGAGTTCGGTCCCGGGGTGACGGAGGCGATCGGCGAGGTGTTCAGGCTGGTGCTGAAGAACATCTGCGACCTCGTGCCGTACGACACCGTCTTCAAGCCTTGAGGCGGTCGCTGTGCTGCGCGCCCCCTCGCCGGGCTGGGCCGGGCCGTGCCGGGCCTTGCGTGGGAGTCTGGAGTTGCACCATTCACTGTAACGGTCGATCGAGCACGCATCGGCGCGCGCGCACGACGCCTCGCGTGCAGTGCCTGTCGGCATGTGATAAGACTTTGACTACTTTTCATTTCACCTACACGGTAAAAAGTCTACGAAGCAACGATTCGTGACACGCCCCCAAAAACGGCGTTTCTTGAACCAAAATAATATACTTGTTATAAGTGAATTTTCTTGAATGTGTCAAGAAAATTCATTTATGGCAAGTGAGCGATTCTCACGTTTCGGGGTAGTTTTGGCGTCTCTGATTTGCCGAAAGTGAGAAATATCCAATTAAGTTTCTCTGATTATTGGGGTCCTGGATGATACTAGAGTTATGGCAATGGTATTTATAGTAAAGACCTTGTACTACCTTCCTAAAAACATGAGCCATAAGGTATTCCCATACGTTTTAGTGGGTGTTTTGATCACGGAAATTACGTTATCACGGAAGTTACAAAGTGTGAAAATCGGCTTTAACGGCTGACTCGGGCTTGCTGTGGCTTAAAAGTCGTTCCAGGGTCAAATGATACTCCAAGCCCGACATTTAAGCGGAAAATTTTTTCACCTAGTGCTGCTGCAACATTGGGTAAAGGGTGCCACGGAAGTTACAGGTAATTGTTGATACACGCCATTTTATAATGCTCTAGCCCGCTTTGAGACCGTGTACAGCATCTTAGATTTCCGCGACCCATGCAATTATATCCCAGGGACTCCACTTTGATGGCTTGTGTCATGGAAAGTTAAAAGTTTGGCTTGGGGAGAAGTCCAGAGCTGCCTTTTCGAAATTTGTGTAGTGAAATTGAATATACGGAGGACATTTTTCGTTGCAGCATAAGTACCTTTGAAAGAAGTCTGGCGTATTGGTCTTCGGTTGAAATAAGCTCGAGACACTGGTGAAACAACGGCATAAAAATTATGCCCTTTAAGGGCGTAAACGATTTACGCCCTTAAAAGGCATAAATCGTTTACGCCTTTGGGAAGGGCATTAAAATTTTGCTTGAAATTCCTATACCATTTACGCCCTTTCCAAGGGCATAAAACGATTTATGCCCTTGCAAGGGCGTAAAAGAGTATTTATGCCCTAAAGGGCATAATTTTTATGCCTTTGTTTTACCAGTGGACATGCCAAGCTTCGAATCCCCATCGACAGTTGGCAGCATTTTCGAACCCCACCGCCACACTGGGGGCGGGAAGTTCGAGTATGTTCTCTTTGGACAATCACGGAAGTTACATTTGGGGTATTCCAAACGCTACGTAGACCAATCCAACGAACGTAAACTTTTCGAAATGTGTGCGTTTAGTGGGCAATGGCCCTCCCTAACATCAGAAACAAACCCCATGTCGATATCTGCGCTCGTTTGGGCACAGGAGTCAGAAGAAACGAAACTACCCCGAAACGTGAGAATCGCTCACGTACGTTATCTTGGTTCAAACGCCTTTTTTTGGGAGTGAACAAATCGAAGGCGAACCCGTGGAGAAATGATTCGTATACACGAAGCGAAATCCCTCGGCATACTAAGCATTTCTCAAAAAGGCGAAGCAGTTCCACAATGCCTTCATTTTCTGCGTCGTTCCGAAGCAGATGCTTCGTAGGCTTTTTTTAAGTGCTGTCATTACTTTTTTTTACTTCGTTTTGTTATCAAACTTATCGCATGATTTGTTTGTTTGTTTGTCATTTGTTTTTTGAACGTGTTTGTACTTTGATTTTGAAAGTTTCATTTGTCTGTGATACCGAATAAAATCATTTTATTTTTCAAAAAAGACAAAACTGGTGAACTGTGAAGTGTATTCGCGCGACTCTGCCATCAAAACACCGAACTACCGAACTTACCAAATATTATGTACAATTTTGTACGAGACATCACAGTTTTTTTTTTTTTGTGCAGATGAGCTTTTCATATGGATTTCGTAAAACTTCACATATTTCTCCATTTTTTGTAAAAATCACGCACAAATTTGTACGGAAAGTTAATGTGCACATAAAACTGTGATGTCTCGTACAAATTTTTTAAATAAACATTTAGGGTGTACAGACGCATAGGCCAAGCCGTTTTCAGAGTGATTATAACAGTGTACAGCAAAGTGGAGAGTGCACATGGGACTGGGAGCAGGCTTTGTTGGCGACCCGCGTAGTGCTAGGGAGACGTCTTGGGTAGGAGATGCATTCCCGAGGCCTCTCTCTCTCTCTCTCTCTCTCTCTCTCTCTCTCTCTCTCTCTCTCTCTCTCTCTCTCTCTCTCTCTCTCTCTCTCTCTCTCTCTCTCTCTCTCTCTCTCTCCGTCTGCACGAGCTCACACGCTTTAAACTATGTACACTCATCGCAATGGCCGGCGCAATTTGCCGACCTTGCTGCTCGCACTCATCCCTACAGTGAGGCTGCAAGCCAGGCGGCATGACACAGGCAGGTGTCAAGACTCTCACTTCCCATTAGCCGCGCCAGTGCACGGCGACGTGGAGTTTTTTCAGTAGGACATTGTTTTCGCATAACGGAGCCATTTTTCATGTAACGAAGATTATTTTCATGCAACAGAGACGATTTCCATTCAAGGAACGGTGATTATTTTCAAGTGACTGAACTTATTCTCAAGTGGTGATTATTTTCAAGTAACTGAACTTATTTTCAAGTAACGGAGATTATGTCCATACAACGCACATCATTTTCAAGTTGCGGAAATTACTGTTTTGCAAAGTGGAAAACAACCACCCGGCCATAAAGTGAAGTAGCAGCAGGAAAAATAAAGGAGCGTCGTTTTGCCATCGGGACAGGTCTCGTTTTCTGGAGGGCCTTGTTGGCCTTGAACAGGGCCATGCCAGGTCAGGCGGTCGGCCGGGCAGACCGGACTGTCTGGACTGGCCACGAGCGTGCGTTGGGTTGCTTACCCACTGGGCGCAACAGCGGAGGTCCTCGCCGTCTTCAAATACTGGCAAGGAATGGAGGTTTCTCGTGGTTTTTATATCACACGACAAAATCTGTTCCTAGTTTTCCCAGGGAGCCTATAAAAGACACGACACAGGTGATTTCTAGGGAGACCGAGCCTGTCTGTCTTTCAAACTCATCTGACTTCAAGGGAATTCCTGGCAAAACCAGGAACCGTTTCTGCCGTGCAGGTTCTACAAAGGGTATAAAAGGGATCTTAGATTTCACACACTTCACAATCTTTGCAAAGTACTCTCAGTCATAATTATTTTCGTTCATGGGGAAACAGTTGCTATGCGAAGTTCTTTCCTGTACATGCTTTTCAAGAGTGAATAAGCGCATAAATTTACAAGCGGTGATGCGACTGAAGGTACCTGGATTCATTCCTGCACTGACCTCGCCAAACTTATGCAGAGCGACCTCACTGGTGAAACTAAAGCGTAGTATTACCCTCTGTTTTCAAGCGTAATCAGGTTAAATCAAGCGTAACAGGCCCCACCGCCAAGATTCCCCCTATCTCTAAATGCATGGGGGAATTTCCAGAGTTTGCTTCATTTCAAGCGTAACTTCTTCAAGCGTAACTTTATGCTTGACTCAAGCATAGAGTTACGCTTTAGTTTTACCAGATTTCGTGCCGATAACTCGCGTTGAATATCAACGGGACTCAAACGTTGGATGGACGGGGTGTAAGACCAGAGTGTCGGCGTCAGTATCCTCCCATCCACCCCCAAAGAGCCGCACCTTGAACGAAAGATAATGCACTGGCCAACCGAAATTTACTGAAAACATGCCAGTTCCCTTGTAACAAGTGTATCATCAGTGGTTCAAGAAGCGACATTTTGGGTGCGTCGGAAGTCGGGGCACTGGTGTGGGCTGGGCGGGGGGTCTGGGCGACACAACCCACATCAGCGTCGACGCGAGAATGAAAGAGTAATGATCATTACTATAATTTTGAGCGAGGAATTCTTTATCACCCAAATTTGGGTGGAAGGTTTCCTCGCCCAAATTTGGCCTTGGGTCATAATACGTACTATGGAGCTATGTTGGTAGCTGATACACCCTTCCTCAGCCAATTTTGGGCGAGGAAGGCTTCCTCGCCCAAATCCTCGCTCCAAATTGGGTATTGATCATGACTTTTTCATTCTCAGTGCCCTCTCGGACGTTGCCTGCACTGCCACCCCTCACCGCCACCCCTCGCCGTTGACCTCCACCTAAGTATGTTCAGTGGACGAAGGGGAAGTCACTAGCTCGTCCGCACGGCGCCCACTTCTGCACCAGTGCGCTCACTACCGCACCGCCATAGAGCACATCGACAAGTGGGCTGTCTTCTTTGCCACCTCATCGCAAGGAAGCGTCGTCCCACGAATTGCGTAAGTCGTCGAAGGTGAACCTGCGATGGAAAATAGAGGACTGCGAACCCCCGCGGTGCCAATATATATAAAAACATGTTAACCCAAAAAATCCCAAACAAATAACAGAATGCCGCCGTCTTCGTGGGGCGTGCGAGAATTTCCTGGGTAAATTTGCCAGGCGGGCTGGGACAACAGCGGTGCGCGCCTAGGACTGGGGATACTGGTTCCGCGTACTCACTCGCATACGACGCGCCGGGCGCTGTCGCCGCGTGGGTCCCCGGCCCAGTTCGTTGGGACGCCGGAATCTTCCTTTCTTTTCTCATATCGAGGGTTCAAAAGATCTTATTTGGGTGCTCCTGTTCAAAGAATCTTATCTGCAACGCATGCGAATTTCACTAAGTTCAATCATTTCAGACAGCTACAGTCAAGAAACTAATAGTGCGTGTAGAAATACGTTCCATTTACTCTCTTGTCCGTCCCAAAATGGTCAAACTAGTGAAATTCGCTTGCGTTGCATAAGATTATTTGAATATGGGTGCCCAGATGAGATCTTTTGAATAGGACCCCTCGGATATCCACCTTACTGTCCACTACGTGGTTGTCCACCTCACTATCTACCTCGTTGTGCACCCTGATTTCTACTTCTCTGTCCAAATCGCTGTCCAAATCGCTATCCAAATCGCTGTCCATCTCGCTGTCCATCTCGCTGTCCAACTCGCAGTTCAGCTCGCTGTCCAACTGCTCGCTGTCCACATCGCTGTCCACCTCACTATCTAACCTCTCTGTCTACCCTTCTTTCCACTTCTCTGTCTAGCTTGCTGTCCAGTTCGATGTCCACTTCGCTCTCACTGTACACCTCACTCTCCAACTCGCTATGCAGCCCCCTGGCTGCCTCGCTGTCCACTTCAGCTTTCATTTCACTGTCCACCACGCTGTCCACTCCGCTGTTCGCCGCATCAAGGCTACGGCGACTCCGTACCGCTATTTTCGAATCGGCGGTCGCTGGGAACGGTGGCGTGGTTTCACACACTGTGGGGCCCCTGTTACCTTCCAGGGAATGGAGAGGAGGAAAAGACGGGCCGAGATTGCGGCGTTTTGCGGCGCGGATGGACCGCGACCGTCGCACAGTGGGACTGGTGGAGGCGGCCAAAATTCTGGACTCATTTTCAGCTCTACCCCCGGACGGCAGGCGCTCGGTGTCTGGCGGGCTGGCCTACCCTCGGACGGCAGGCGCTCGGTGTCTGGCGGGCTGGCCTACCCTCGGACGGCAGGCGCTCGGTGTCTGGCGGGCTGGCCTACCCTCGGACGGCAGCGCTCGGTGTCTGGCGGGTGGCCTACCCTCGGACGGCAGGCGCTCGGTGTCTGGCGGGCTGGCCTACCCTCGGACGGCAGGCGCTCGGTGTCTGGCGGGCGGCCTACCCTCGGACGGCAGGCGCTCGGTGTCTGGCGGGCTGGCCTACCCTCGGACGGAGGCGCTCGGTGTCTGGCGGGCTGGCCTACCCTCGGACGGCAGGCGCTCGGTGTCTGGCGGGCTGGCCTACCCTCGGACGGCAGGCGCTCGGTGTCTGGCGGGCTGGCCTACCCTCGGACGGCAGGCGCTCGGTGTCTGGCGGGCTGGCCTACCCTCGACGGCAGGCGCTCGGTGTCTGGCGGCTGGCCTACCCTCGGACGGCAGGCGCTCGGTGTCTGGCGGGCTGGCCTACCTCGGACGGCAGGCGCTCGGTGTCTGGCGGGCTGGCCTACCCTCGGACGGCAGGCGCTCGGTGTCTGGCGGGCTGGCCTACCCTCGGACGGCAGGCGCTCGGTGTCTGGCGGGCTGGCCTACCCTCGGACGGCAGGCGCTCGGTGTCTGGCGGGCTGGCCTACCCTCGGACGGCAGGCGCTCGGTGTCTGGCGGCTGGCCTACCCTCGGACGGCAGGCGCTCGGGTCGGCTGGCTGGTTTCACAGCGCTCGTGTCTGGCGGGCTGTCTACCTTCGACGGACCTGGAGTGGCGGGACGGCCGACCGAGGCGGCGCTCGTGTCGGCGCGGTGGTACCGCGACCGTCGCAGGCAGTGGTGACTGGCGAGGCTGGCCAACCTCTCGGGCAGCCTCGTTCTTCGCTCCTACCCTCCGACGGCAGGCGCTCGGTGTCTGGCGGGCTGGCCTACCCTCGGACGGCAGGCGCTCGGTGTCTGGCGGGCTGGCCTACCCTCGGACGGCAGGCGCTCGGTGTCTGGCGGGCTGGCCTACCCTCGGACGGCAGGCGCTCGGTGTCTGGCGGGCTGGCCTACCCTCGGACGGCAGGCGCTCGGTGTCTGGCGGGCTGGCCTACCCTCCGGATGGCAGGCGCTCGGTCCGCCCTAGCATGTAAATGTTTACAGCGTCGTCCATCAGACCCGCGGACTGAAATCTTATTTGACTGTACTGACGGGCGGGCCACCCGAAGCCGAACGAGTGCGCCGTCAAGGCGCGTCGTACCGCCATTCCTCACTTATCAATGGTAAGTGAAACTGCCCACATTGACGACCGCAAGGGTCTAAATACACAATCTCTCTCTCTCTCTCTCTCTCTCTCTCTCTCTCTCTCTCTCTCTCTCTCTCTCTCTCTCTCTCTCTCTCTCTCTCTCTCTCTCTCTCTCTCTCTCTCTCGGTCTCCGGCTGTACGATTTCAGGGCGTCCCAGGACACCCAGCCCGTACACGCAGGAGGCCTCCGTGCTCGGCCTGGCTGACATGCACTTTGACGCCGAGCGATCATTGTTGCTATCTCTCTTTCTCTCCCCAGAGCGATCTTGACCCGATTCCGCCCGGGATTCAGAGGTGAATGGTCAGAAGAAGGAAGGGGTGGGGGAACGGGCAGAGGCAGCACGCCGAAAGTAATTACCCACACCGCCCGAGGCGGATAAACACTCTCGGCCGTGACTGCAGACTGAGAGTCGTTTTCGTCGCTCTGTCTCTCTCGCACTCGTCGACATCCCGTATGAGAGCAAGAGGGACACAACGACTCTCGGAATCAGGCAACTGAGTCCGTAATAACAAGTTGTTACGTTTCCCCAGTGCAGAGTCGACTTGCAGCGGCGTCGCATCAAGTGGGACTTCGCCGCCAGGAACGTGGAGATCCTCGACCAGTACAACGTGACCGGGCAGGTGCTGCCCAGCCTGGGCTTCGGCACCGCCAACACCGCCCTCGAGAGAGAGGACACTCACAGTGGGCCAGAAGACCGGTTGAGGCGGACAAAACTCTAGACGCGTTTTGAGCTCCAGAGTCGCTAAACAGGCCGCGAAACGAACGTGTGACCCCACCAGAGGATTCCTCGTTCGGAGGGCAATCCATTGGTGGGGTCACACGTTCGGTTCGAGCCCCATTTAGCGACTCTGGAGCTCAAAACACGTCGAGAGTTTTGGCCGCCTCCGCCGGCTTCTGGCCCACTGTGACACGTCTGTTGTCCCAGGCGCCGATCCAGGGCGGTCAATGGGCCCTCCAGACCCATTCAATAAAAACCTTTTAAAATCTCTCTCAATCTCAATGGGCCCTCCAGACCCTCCCTTGGCCCTTTATAGCTGCCGCTGAAAGACAGCGGCAAAAAGAAACACTTCCCCCTTGTAACTAGGCAAATTTCGACCAGCTGGGGAGTTTTGCCAATTTTTGGCATTCAAAAATTCTCGACACAACGCCTTCCATGTGCTCACAACGCTTCGGGAAGATTTTCACCGTGCGACTCGCGTGCTTTCTCGAACTATGACTTCCGCTGCAAAGCTATGCTTCCGCGAAGCCGCTGCACCGTAAGTGGCGGTGGCCAACCTCGCATTATCAACGTACAGGATGGCGTTCGCCGAAATCGGAGCCAGCCTGCAGGACCCAAGGGGCGGTCAGTGCCAGCGGACCGTGGGTCAGTCCAGCCAGTCGCGGCGCACGTTCGAACGGACCATGGCGCCCACGCCGGGGCAGCTCAGCGACTGGCTGCAGGGCAACTCCACCGACATGTCGGGGGCCATCTCCGGAGCCGTGGCGGACCTCAGTGAGTCGGCCGGGCTCTCTCTCTCAACGCATCGGTTTCACAACCGATTTTGTAGAGTGTGCACCGTAAAAAGTGATCGGAATTTTACCCTACAATGCTCTTGCAAATTTCCTGTCCATGTGTGCACTGCAAAGCCGGTGGCAAGTTTACTAGCCACAAATTTGGCAAGCCGTTTTGAATGCCAAAAATTGGCAAGCTTGGCCCGGATATACGCCCCAGCTTCCCAAAATTTGGAAAGCTTATGAAGATTTCCGACCAAAGCTTGCCAAATTTTGGCATTCAAAACAGCTTGCCAAATTTGTGGCAAGCGAACTTACCACTGGCTTTGCAGTATGGGACCATACTGAAGTGTGCTCTGGAGTATTTTTTGGTTCAGATTGTCGGACGTTATCGGGGTTCCGATCTGAAACGAGACCGGAAGCTTCTCACTGTGATTGACTGGATGTGTGACGTCACGTTCGTTAGAATGATGATCATATATCGCGTTCATTTGAACGTGAAACGCCCGTCCAACTGCAGTGGCGTGGCATTCTGAACGTGGGGTTTCTAAGCGTAGATTCACGTTCCAACGCCAACACCATAACGATAGTGACAATTCACATCTATTCTAGCGAACGGTGTCACAGTTGAATAACATATCATTGGGCTCACAATAGTGTTTGCCTTAAAAATTTTTTCTGCGTTACTTCACTGCTGAAATAAATCACAGAGAAAGAGTCTGTTTCTCTTATCATAAACATTGTCCGTGCGTGTCGCAGGTGAGAACATGAACCGCTTCCTGAACGAGAACTGGAGGGAAGTGACTCAGGAGGTCGGCCCCACCATCGCTGACGCCATCTCTGAGGTGTTCCGGAGAATCCTCAGCCAAATCTCCGACCTCATACCCTGGGAGTACTTTTTCCCGTCGTCCTGAACGCCGCAACGCCTATTGCAATCACCTGTCAGCGCTTCCCAAAGACTTATTAAAGTTCGTAACAATCGAGTTTCATTTTCTCATTCTAAGGGAAGAAAGAGGTTAGCAGTCAATGAAATGGACAACTGCAACACTACTCTGTCATCTCTAGAGAGAGTTTTCATCTCACACAATAAAGCCTTAAAAAAATTGTACAACTATTTTATGGTGTTTCAGCGCTTTAACGAAGTGTAACGTTAGTACCTGTGTATTTGTAGGCGTTTTTGTTCTGTTGTTGTTGCTGTTTCTGCCCACTGTTAGTGTCGTTTTGTTCTTGTTGCCTAATCTTTGCCTATCCTTTCTTCTGGCCGCACTCTTAAAATCTTACGAAGTATTTGGAGCATACGTATTACATACCAGAGCGCTGCAATGGGCGGGTTTGGCCCTCTGGCGGACCCGTCACCGAGCCTCGAGTCGGCCCGACCCGATCCAAAGTCCGCTTCGGGCGGGTCGGGTCGGGTCGGGTCGGCAAACCCGTACTGCATTTTATCTATTTTTCACGATTCCTTTCAAGTTATACCCATTCGGACCGCTGGTTCGGTCAAACCTTGCATGGACCCAGTGGTTTCACTAGGTTCCACCTCATTCTAAGACGTCTATGTTTTATGTAAACAACCTGTAACAAGCTGAGTCCACCTGAGTGCGACGAAGCGACGGTGCTGCCGCTCAGCGGTATCGCTCGGAATCTCTTGGCGGGTCTTCGGACCCGCCCATTGCAGCGCTCTGTTACATACTAAAATACTTTGTTACACGAAGAAATAGTTCGTAAATTATGAAGTATTTTCTCTGTAAGCTTACGTAAAATACTTTGTTATACAAACAACTTTTCTTTGTAAGGCCCGAAATAATTTGTAAGGTTTTCTGAGTGCGCGTTACGCCTGCTTTCCTGCTCCGCTCAGCCTCCCTGACGCGTAAGCGGGAAGGGTTGCCGGCAGCGCGGCGCGTACAAAGTGTCCAGACACGTCGTCAAATGGGTTGCCGGCCAACACGGCGCGCGCGGAGAGAAGAGAGCGACGAGGGACATAAACGCCCCCCCCCCACACACACAGACGCACACCTACACACACACACCTACACGCGAGCGCGCGCGCACACACACACACTGTCTCCCTGGCGGCTCTGCCTTTTTGTCATACCCACGTGTGGGGAATGCCAAACGCTGCCATCCCACTCGCTTTTTTTCTACTGCGATGATCGCACTGTCGTCGTTTTACGAGGCGGGACTCTCAATTCCGTCCATTTGGACGCCTTTCGCGAATGCACCGCGGAGACGTTGCCGTCGTTATGCAAGCAACACGGTGGAGAGGAGATGCCACCGAGTTGTGTTCAATCGTCGCGCGTGGTTGCAGTCTGGCCGCACAGTGCACCGGACCGCGATGCAATATTCTGGTCGTGGAATCACACGGTGCAGCTTCATCGCTGTGTTGTTGTTGTTGGGGAGATAGTGGTGGTGCTGGTAGTTTTGGTGGTGCTGGTGGTGCTCTCAAAACCTCTTACCGTGAAATTCACTGCCATTAGTGTACGGAGAAATTTGTGCTAACACAACACTAATTAAATTCATTCATATTTCAAATCTTCTCTGGCTTTTCTTTGTAAGGTACGAAGAAAAAGCTTCATATAGCCTGAAAAATGGCTCCATAATGTGTTTGCACAAAACTGTTCGTATTATAAAGAAACTGTGTACGTTTTCGTCGTAAGACTTTTTTAATGGAGTTCCTGTCTCAGTTTTGGATGATTCACCTTCCCATTGTCCTCGGCTGGCGCGTTAATGAAGGAAGGCTCTAGGTATTCGAAATGAGTTTTATTCAAGAAAAAAAGAAGACAGTAACGAATGAGTCGCGATAAATTAGTGTCTCTAATGATGACAGTGTACGCTCAACACACAATAACGATGATTCTAAACAAAAATCTTAGCCTAATTTCACCTACAGTTATGTGTTCATTAGAAGAAAAACACATGCCAGAGGTATTTCTCTAGTTACAAAAGTAAGATCACAGACAAATGCTAGCTCATCTCCAACAAGGACATGAACACTAGTTAGCGGTGATCGACAATCTACCCTACTATGTCATAAAACGCGTTAGTTTACAAATTTTTGGGAGCCAAAAAAGGCTCAAGTACAACAGAGTATCACTTTGGTTTCCCTCCTCGTTTCGATGGTGAATGAGATTTTTTTCGGTTCTCGTCCGAGTACACCAGTAGTAACACTGCAGTCAAACACACGCACACACCCAAAACACACACACAGGCATATCGACACATACTGATTCACATACACACCTATATACACACACGCACACGCTTAAAACCTCATGAGGTATCATGAGCATATGCAAGGTACAAACTATTTAGTCTGCTCCCCGAAGAAATAGTTCGTAAACGACGAAGTGTTTTCTGTGCAAGCTCACGTATGATCATAATACTACGACATGGCAAACTACTTTCCTTCGTAAGGCCAAATTCGTTCGTGGGGTTTGAAGAGTGCACAAAGAAAAACCCGTACTGGCGCCCATCGGCACACGACTGTCAATCCGACTGAGCTGCAGTCAGTCGCGCAGGCGCGCCCTGCCAGTCCCTGCGGCTAGAGCCTTGCTGGGGCCTGCCGAGCCTGCCCTAGTCGACGGGGAAGATGTTGTCGTACGGCACCACGTCCACAATCTGCTGGATGATCTGGCGGATCACCTCGCCGATGGCGTCGGCCAGCGAGGGACCGAGCTCGTTGGCCACCTCCTTCCAGTTCTCGTTGAGGAACACGTTCATGTTGTCGCCTGTGAAGCAATACGAGTGACATTAACGAACGGCCGGTCTCGCCGCGACTGTGTTGCCATTCTCTCTCTCTCTCTCTCTCCCTCTCTCTCTCTCTCTCTCTCTCTCTCTCTCTCTCTCTCTCTCTCTCTCTCTCTCTCTCTCTCTCTCTCTCTCTCTCTCTCTGCCGCGTGCCAGACACACGTGCTCACCCAGAAGCCTGTCTCCGTTGAAGAGGTTCTTCAGGTCGAAGTAGGCGTGCCCGATTTCGAACTTGACATTGCTGGTCGTCAGGCTGATGTGGTCCTTGCCCGTCTTCTTCTTGGGCACCAGCTCGTAGTCGAAGCCGAAGGTGACGACGAGGTCCGCTGAAAAAAGACAATATTAGCCAGGCGATCGAGAGCCACCGCTGGCACCGGTCTGCCGGTCGGTCTGCCGGGCGCAGTGCTGTTAAAGTTAATTTAACGATTAACGAAGTTACTTAACGCCGTTAACGTTAATTAACGAATTAACGTTAACTCGTTAAAGTAGTCAGAATGTCTTAACGTTAACGAGTTAAGTTAAGTAGGAATGTTAACTTCTTAACGCCGGTAACGTTTACTTTGTTCATCTGGTAAACAATTTTGTCGACATTTGGGTCATACTATGTAGATGATTCTTGGGTGAAAGAAAATGAACAAAACCTCAATTTTTGTGAAAGGTTTTGAAAGCTAGTCATTTTTTGGCATCTTGAGGACTGAAAATCTGTCAAAAATCAAGAAATCACACAACGTCTTCGGTTCATCAAGAAGTAAAACTAACTTTAACTTCGTTAATGCGTTAATTTAACGTTAACTCGTTAACTAATGCTGAAGAGCCTTAACTTTAACGAGTACGTTAATTCGGTTAGGTTAACGGCTTAACTTTAACTCGTTAACAAAAAAAATTAACTTTAGCAGCACTGGCCGGGCGGTCTGCCGGGCGCGCCTCGCAGTGCACCGCACAACCCGCACTGTACTCACTGACGGTGATGTTGGCCGGGCCGCGGCCCTGGATGGGCAGCACCAGGACCCTGCCGTTGATCTCGTAGTCGCCAAGGACGTAGAACACGTCCCACACCAAGTCGAACTCGATGCGCTTCTTCTTGAGGTCGAATCTGGTGGCTTTGATGTCGACACCGCCCAGGCCGTGGATCTGGGCCTCCTTGAAGTTGAGGTTGATGCCGACCGTGCGGCTACCGCTGTTCACCGCGAAGTTGTACAGCGTCAGCGGACTCAGGTTGGGTATCTTGTACTTCCGGTCACCTGCAGCAATCAGAGCGGGGGGAGGTGGGTTAATTTACTGCTACCTTTGGCGGAAGCGGTCTGTCGCGTCAGTCGCTCCGTCTCTCTTGCACCCTCGCGGAGCGCCCCGTGAGTGCGACAGAGACAGAGCGATGAAAAAAGTGTGCGCGCGCGTCACTCACCATTGACGAACCTCGATACCGCCTCCCTGCCGTTCTTCAGGCCGCACTCGTCGAGCTGGGGGTCGTTCCGGCGACACGCCTTGATGTAGGGAGCTGCAGCGGAAAAACAACAACAGTTGCAAACGAAAGCAAAAACAAGACCCTCACGGCCTTGGCCGGCCTTGGCCAATCTCGCCAGCTAAATTCGACGGCTTCGTACTGATTGGCGGGCGCACCAGACCCTCACCATGCACTTTTTTTGTTGTTTTTCAGAATTGAAACTGAATGCCGATACTGCACCCTAAAAATGTCATGGGGCTTTTTTTAATCCCATGAATGAAGCAAGTTTAAGCACATCTGTCGGTTATACCATTTTGTGTTCACGTGGTGGTGCAACTTGTCTGATTCCTATTTCAAATTGCTACTTCGACGAACAATTTGCCTCACCTGCTGAACACAAAACTGAATCATGTATGGAACATAAAAAGCTCCATGACATTTAGTGTGTGCAGACATAGCAATTTATGGCTTTTTTGGCCCGTTTAGGTACGTTGCCCTGCGAACGTAGCAAAACACTCACGTCGGGACACTTTGCATCGAAAGGCGGTACAAACGAAGGCGGTACGAAAATCGCCACTGATTTCGTGCTCTACAAAAGGCGCACGAAAGCAGGAACAGTGTTCCCGGTCCCCGGTAAGGGTCAGTGCGGGAAAGAACCAATCATCTTTGGGACGCTCCATTTTATTGGGCTGGATTCACAATGAGACTTACTCGTACTAGTAAGCGGTAGTGAAGAGTACCAATAACCAGAAGGGGGAATTTCTGGGTGTGAAAATGACGCAAGTTAGTTGCAAATAGGGGTGTGCTATTTCTCCCCGCTCTGACCCTTTCTACAATTACCACCTTAGGCTGCCCGATTAAATTGCCGCGTTTCGATTTATAATACAGGGGATAGCCGGGCTGCTGGGTGGACGGTTCGGACACTACCACCTTTTGCACTAATCACTCTCACCCGACATAGTGTGATGTTGTCACTTGAGAGGATGATAAAAAAACCGTTGCCGCAAAGCAAATTATGCTGGGCTCAAGACCACTTAAAAGAGTCACTGACAGGCAAAAACAAAAGCGCAGTTGCACGCTTCATTCAAGCATACGACATCGCTTGAAGACTTTACGCTTGGAGTGAAGCATAAAGAATAAGTTCTTTTATACATTTAGATAGGCGGGAGACGGGCGGGAAAGAGAACTACGCTTGAAGTAACCACTAAGCTTGAAGAATGGCGGAAAGGAGCCTTTCCGTTCTGCCAGTGCTCTTAGGGCAAGAACCATCTTTCCTCCTAGCAGTACTTACGCAGCTTGAGTGCCTCGGTGACGCACAGCACGGCCATCAGGGCCACAGCCCCGAACAACAACCCCCTGGCCATTTTCCCTTCACTCGGAAACGAAACTGTTTGTGCCGCGGCGGCGCGAAGCGGCAGCTCTGTCCGGACGGAGACGAGTGGAGCGAGTGTCGTCCGGGACCGGCCGAGCCGCTTTATATATGCGAGCGTTCGATCCGTTTTGTTCCGTTCCGGCCGGCCGGCCCGTTCCTGCCGGACGCCAAAGTGGCCCTAATCAGACCCCGCCGAGCCCAGCGGACCTGCCGAGCCCTGCCCAGCACTGCCTGGGGCCCTGGGCCCAGGGCCAGGGCCTGCGGAGGGCATGAGAAGGGTCATCCAAGCGCCAGAGAAGGATTTGGCCAAGGGATAGCCAAGGGTTAGCCAAGGGTTAGCCAAGGGTTAGCCAAGGGATGGCCAAGAGATGGCCGAGGGATGGCCGAGGGATGACCAAGAGATGGCCGAGGGATGGCCAAGGGATGGCCAAGGGATGGCCAAGGGATGGCCAAGGGATGGCCAAGGGATGGCCAAGGGATGGCCAAGGGATGGCCAAGGGATGGCCAAGGGATGGCCAAGAGATGGCCAAGGGATGGCGAAGGGATGGCCAAGGGATGGCGAAAGGATGGTCAGGGGACAGCCAAGGGATAGCCAAAAGATGGCCAAGGGATGGCCAAAGGATGGTCAGGGGACAGCCAAGGGCCAAAAAAGATCCGGCCAATGGTCAGCCAAGGGTCCAGGGTCCAGTCAGAAGCCAGCCAAGGAACGGTGAAGGGACAACCAAGTGACAGCTAAGGGCTAGCCAAGGGACAGTGGCAGGCCAGCAAAGGGCCAGGCGGCGGCATCGAAGGGCGCAGCCAGTGTTCAGCCATGCACCAGCAAGGGTCAGATAAGGCACAGCCAAGCGACAACCAAGGTACAGCCAAGGGATCGCGAAAGGACAGCCAGGGGACAGCCAGGGGACAGCCAGGGGACAGCCCAGAGACGGCCAAGGGACAGACAAGGGGACAGCCAAACGGATAGCCAAAGGGACAGCCAAGGGACAGCCAAGGGCGCGCCAAGCGACAGCCAAGAGACAGCCAAGGGACACCCAAGGGACACCCAAGGGACGGCCAAGGGACAGCTAAGGGCCAGCCAAGGGCCAGCCAAGGGCCAGCCAAGGGAAAGGCAAGGGACACCCAAGGGACGGCCAAGAGACAGCCAAGAGACAGCCAAGGGATAGCTCAAGGACAGCCAAAGGACAGCAAAGGGCGCGACAACGGCCCTGCCCCAAAACATACCGCGGGAGGACAGGAAACGGACGGCGCGACGCAGTTGAGAGAATGCATAGGGAAGAGTTTCGCTCCAGAGTTCAATGGCCACAGAAAAGTGTCGTGACCGCCAAACCGGAGAGCAAATGAGATAATTACTATGAAATGGCTCGACTAGAAAAAGACCAGAGCCAACCGTAGGTACCTTTTTCGTGGCAAACTTTATTGTTGTGTCAACTATATTGCATGATAGGACAAGTCACGCTGTTAAAACTGAGGCATAAAAACTACGCCCTTAAGGGCAATGCCTTCAGGGTAATGCCTTTAGGACACTAAACTTTTGCCTAGAAGTCCCATATTAATTCACATCCCTTCCAAGAGCATAAGACAATTCACGCCGATCCAGGGACGCAAATTATTTATGATGTGTAAGAGTACAGTTTTAGGCCTTTGTTTCTCCAGCGCATAGTCCCAGTGCATTACAAATATAATGCATAACTTGATTGAAAATCATATGTTAAGGGCCTTGGCGTAGAACAGCCGTCATCATGCGGAGGAAACTTCCTTTAATTGACGGTTTGGGGACGGTTTGTTTTCTTTGCGAAAAGGAGATGGGCCAGGCAGGCGTGGAACGGCTTTTGGCCGGTCGATGACGTGTTACGCGCTTCAGGCACGCACGAAATCCCTAACAGAGCCGTCGAACGGGCCTGTCGACTTGTGTACCGACGTCACCACTTGGAACTTGGAACTTGGCGGGTCAAACGGTTGGGGAAGGGGGGGAGGGGGGGAGCACACTGGTGGCATTAGCGGGGCTTCTCTCATCAAAGACAAGAAACAAAGAAAAAAGCCGAAACTAAGAGAATAAGCCCGCTGCTCGCTCGCGCAGGCATGGACCGTCCCGGACACGCTGCGGTCGAATCAGTGTCTAATTCATGGTGTGCTCGCAGACGTACGCCGTGTCAGTCATGTGGAGGGCTACGTGCGTCACTTAGAAATTAAAAAAAAAAACTGGCTAGCCCCCAGTGGAGGTTTTGTTGGGCTAGGTGTGAATCAAATGACCTCTCGCTGGCATCATTTTGTTTTTTCAGTTTGTTAGTTTTTTTAGAATGTGGGTACGCTGTAGAAAAAAAATTGAAAAAAAAATTGAAAAAAAAAGCTCTGGGTCTGATAAGCTGAACTAGTTTCTCCTGGGAAGAAAGAGACCAACTTTTTTGTGCTCGTCGGAAGAAGAGGGAGGGGAGGAGGTGAGCATCCCTGGGTGGCGGGGGGGGGGACACTTTCTGAATTTCTCACTACTCAATAGCAAGTTTACGTGCCGCCGGGACACCAGGAAACCCTGTCACGGCTGGCCCGGCGTGGCGATCGGAGCGTTCGTGTGTGGTTCTCGGAAGCGGAGAGCAAATGAGGCCTGTGACCACGACAACACACATCGGCGCATGCACCGTGTGACAGTGTGTGTGTGTGTGTGTGTGTGAGAGAGTGCACGCGCGCGTGTGTGTGCAAGTGTGCGCAAGTGTGTGACCTGTGTGTGCGCGCGTGCATATGAATTATGTTTTCGAATGCGTCTGCATTTTTGCACTTCCCTTTTCTTTAATACAAATATATGCTGCTGCAGGACGGTTTATGCGGCGCGTCATTTATTTTCGATGCCGACCCGCCTGATGTATGATGGTGCAGGGCGTTCGCTTGACGGGGACGGGGACTTGCATCCGATGCGTCCTGCGTGCCCGGCGTGCCCGTCGAAGCGAAGGGAGCCCAACCGGCCCGGCGAGAAGGATGCCGGGTCCCCCCCCCTTCTCCCCGTCGCGGCCGCCACGGTCACGGCCACCTGTCACCAGCCCCACCAGCCTAGGGCCGGCCGGGCCGGCCCACTCGCGCCTTTCTGCCTTTTTGCGCGTCCGCCGCTCAAACAGCCCAAATCGAGTGGTTTGCTCACGTGGGCGCGCCGCGCGCCGCGCACGCAAAAAAAGAAAGCGACCCGCAACGCGAGGAGATACAGTGCGCGACCAATTCAAGTTCAAGTTCAAGTTTCTGTACGGGGAAAAATGACTTTGTTGGGGAGATCAAGTCTGTCCGATTGGCGGAATTAGACATAGCCGCAATCGAGAACCCAACTCTTGGTAGCCGATTGCTAAGACCGGGCACTTGTACGACGACAACAAACCCCTTGTCCGCGAACAAATGTTCGGTCGTGGCTGCCAGAATTTGATTGCAGCTATCGAATTCAGCCTATCCGACAAAGTTGATGACCATTACAAAGTCCCCCTTTCCGTCAAGTTTGGGCCTTCTAAATGTCTTAAGCGAAAGGCCGCACCAAATTACTATGGAGATGATTTGCTCCATAATAAAAAAATTAATTCGACAAAATATCTCTAAGGTACGACAGTGAATAATTTTCAAAGTAGTTACAAAGTCGGGTGCACTACCAATTTTCACCGGAACATAGATAGTTTTCACCATAATTAAGAGAATTTTCACCAGATTATAGAGGATTTTCAACATAGTATGGAGTATTTTCAACATAATATAGAGTATTTTCAACATAGTATAGAGTATTTTTGGCATACAGGACATGAGCCCCGTCCCGTTTGAGCCCCGATGGTCTGAGCCCCGACCTGAGCCCCAACCTGAGCCCGGGTTGAGCCCCGACTTGAGCCCCGACCCAAGCCCCAATTTCCAGAGCCCGGATTGAGCCCCGACCTGAGCCCCGTTTGAGCCCCATTTGAGCCCCACTTGAGCCTTATAGCAATAAATTATGCAAAAATGCGTGATTTCAGGTCGCGGGGCTCAAATGGGGCTCAAGTGGGGCTCAAATGGGGCTCAAACGGGGCTCAGGTCGGGGCTCAATCCGGGCTCTGGAAATTGGGGCTTGGGTCGAGGCTCAAGTCGGGGCTCAACCCGGGCTCAGGTTGGGGCTCAGGTCGGGGCTCAGACCATCGGGGCTCAAACGGGACGGGGCTCATGTCCTGTATGCCGTATTTTTAACATAGTGGAGAGTATTTTCAACATAGTACAGAGTATTTTCATCACAATAGAGAGTTTTTACCATGATATGGAGAATCTGCACTAACACTACAAACCAAACCTAACTGTCTACTCTTGCTTTTTTGTAGTGTATAGCATGGAGTTATATGGCGCAAAGCATGCAGTTGTAAGTGCGTACCTGCCAAGCATGCGTTTAAGTGTGTACTTGAAAGCATGCATAAGTGCGTTCTAAGTAGACAGTTCACTGAAAATAGAAAGGTCAGACTTTTGACCCCTTAAACGGTCTCACTGAAATGTACGACCGAAAAAGGGTCATACTGAAATGTAAGACCGAAAAAAGGTCATACTTCGATGTATGACCGAAAAACGGTCATACTTTTTAGTGTATCACGGGTAAAGGCTGATGTATCCCCCAGCTAAACAATAGCCAGTCTCGCTGATATCTGACCTTATTTTGGTCATACATTTAAGTATGACCGTTTTTCGGTCATACATTTGTGTATGACCGTTTTTCGGTCATGCTTTTTGAATCACCGAAAATCGGTCAGGTCTCACCCTTCGAATTTCAGTGTTAGGTTTGCAGTGTATGCGACTTTAAGAGTGGGGTTCCTACTCGCAGTCCAGCAAACACATTTAGTTTTCCGCTCCATACGCGTTGGACGGAAACACCCACGACCGGTCACGAGGAAAGCAAACTCCTTTTCGGCTGCAGCGCACGCGGCGCACGCGAAGCACGCGGCCGAGGCGTGCCGGCGCACAGTGGGCCAGAGGACCGGTGGAGGCGGACAAAACTCTAGACGCGTTTTGAGCTCCAGAGTCGCTAAATGGGGCTCGAACCGAACGTGTGACCCCACCAATGGATTGCTCTCCGAAAGGGGAATCCATCGGTGGGGTCACACGTT